ATATTATTTGATTTTGTTCTTTGATGTTCCAGTGTTCCTGGCGGCCATTTTACAACCCCCTTTTTACAATCCGGATTACCCAAAGTAAGTACAACAATAACGACAAACAAACCAAAAAGAACCTCTTAACCTTCTTGAAGAATCGAATCTGACCAAATACAACTGACCTCGATCTTTACCTAAGTCTTTACTTAAGTAATTAGTCAATCATCAATTAAATCTTTATTATCTCGAATTGCTTTGGCTTTGTTTTACTTCGCTCTGTGATTGGTCCAGAAAAAGTGCCACTCTCTCAACCAATCAGATGCAAAGCCAAAACCAGTCGCCCCTTGGTCACTCGCTTTTTCCCGCGCTTTACGCAGTTTACACCTTTTTTACTATACCTTCTCATTGGCTCGTTATGATATTTGCATTGTTCTGATTGGCTGTTGTCATGATTTTGGTTTTAGTTTAACGAGAATCAATCGAAAAGCGCTCAACTCCAGCAAGGGTAGTGTTCACGTGCCTTAAATTTGCCTAAGACAGTGCTTTTAATAAAGTGACCCCAGGAATGATTCTTTATCAACACACGCTTTCCTATTGATGAATTGTTTTTTTTTCTTCAGGTACTTAAATTATGGAGGGATCGGTATGGTGATTGGACATGAAATAATACATGGATTTGACAACAATGGTAAGCGTAAGATTAAGAAAACTAAATCCCAAAAATTGTTTGGAAAATGCTGATCAGAAGCTGGCTGCACGAGCGAGAAAGATGAAGCCGGAGACTCTTCTATTCTGATTAATTAACGAGATCATTTTTCCCGCTGAGGTTGCACGTTTTCATCGCACAAAAATTAAAACAAAAAAAAAGGCTTGTGTTCGTTTTAGTTTGGGACTTTTTGGGGAATGGTTTTTACTCGTTAGTAAAAATATGACCAATATCCGTAAAAATATGACCGATATCCATATTGACCTCACATCCGGTCGATAACGCGTATCTACATCTACGTGATGTTTAGTTTGACTAGAACGTTTAAACAAATGAGTTTTTCCTTATTTTTCAGGAAAATTTTTCGATAAGGATGGTAACATAAAAAACTGGTGGTCCATCGTCTCTCATTTAGGTTTTAGTAAAAGGACAGAGTGTTTTGCTAAACAGTATTCACAGTACGAAGTTTATGGTAAAAAGGTAAACTAATTTTGCTCTTCTTTTGAACATTGCATAACAAGCGCTAGATTCAGCGTGAGTAATCTACCCATGCAAGCGCGAGCGAAATTTCATGTGCGCATGACGTTTCTGCTCTTTCTTGTGCATGTAACGTTTTTGAAGCGACAGAGCTGTTTAAAATCTGGTCAAACCACATTACAAAAATTAGTTTGGCGAAAAGCATCGAGACTTGTGCGTATCGATGCTGGTATTTCGGGATAAGTGTTCTACACGTGATTCCTAACTCTCATATCAGCGAGAAAGTGGAAACTTCAGAAAGCCCACAGATTGTTTTGTATTCTTAACCCAGGTCCAACCTACCGAAATGAGCTACAGAGTAAGACGAACTTATTATATATTTACTTTTTTATTTGTTATCTGCAGATAAATGGAAATAAGACAAAGAACGAGAACATCGCCGACAACGGAGGGATCAAACTGGCATACAAAGTACGATTATTCCACAATTTTGAATTCAAAGCGAACCTAAAATAACCCGGCTAATCTTGAAATAAATATATTCCATTTTGTATTTGTTCCCTCTCAGGCGTATGAGGCACTTGTCCAAGAGGAAGGAACCGAGGGGGCTCTACCAGGACTGGGACTAACAGAAGAACAACTGTTTTTTGTGGGTTTCGCGCGGGTTTGTACACCACAGTTAAACTCTTTACGCACTATTACAACAGAGCTTAGCTGAGGAATCGAGTCTCGTTACAATTTGTTTTACCACAAGATCAAAATTTCCCTTTGGGCTACGCCCCAAATTAAGTTGGCTGCAATAGACTTGAGAGGAGGAAGCTGCAGTGGTGAGATCGCACGCCTCCGTCCGCAAAGGCCTGGGTTCGATTCCCGAACCTGACGTCACATATGGAGCCAGTTATTATTTATGGATGGCTCTTGCCCTTATTCCAAAGTTTTGTTCACATTCTTTGGTTGTTCTTGCTACACACGAACAAAGACTCCAAATTCCGAATGCCCCTCGGGAAAACCGTGTTTTTTTAATCAAACGAGAAAGCGTGCCCCCAACAAACGAATGTTCTTGTATAGTTTTTAAGCTTTACATTTATTCATTTTTAGCCGTGGTGTAGTATCTACAAGAAGAAAGCAGCGCATCTTCAACTTGAAACTGATAAACACACGTTTTCTAAATACAGGTAATGACATTTGTCAGTGTATCAGAACAGGGGGAATCCCACCGGAATCAAGCTGATATCCCGGCCACCACTGTGCTAGGAATTCCGACAGAAATCCCGTCAGGGATCGCGCCGGAATCCTGCTTGAGATTATGTTGTGAATCCCGCCTCGGATCGCACCCGGAATAGTCCCCAAATTTCCCCCCTGGGTCGTGCTGGGAATCCCGTTTAGAATCGTTCCTGAGATCTGTTCAGGATCGCGCCTGTGATCACGCCTGGGTTCTCGCCTGGGTTCCCGCCAAGAGCCCTGCTTGCGATCGTTTCAGGTTTACTATCCGGGATTGCGTCGGGAATCCAGCCTTAAGTCCCGTCCGGGATTGCGCTGGAAATCAAGCCAGGAATCCAGTATAGTATGGTGCCTGTTATCCCATAGGGATAAGAGGAAGATACTATAGTAATAATAGGATACTAATACTACTACTGATAATAATAATGATAATAGTGATAGGTAATAATAGAAGATAATAGGAGCCGTAATAGCGCCTGATGACCTACTGGGATTTCTCTGGATTTTGCTGCAATTTAGTCAGGTGCTGGCCAGATTCGTGCCCATATAAACTAGTATTATTCGTCGTTCTTCTTACAGAATTATTGGCACGCTCCATAACTATGACAAGTTCGCAGAGGTTTTCAGCTGCAAGCCAGGATCTGCCATGAACCCCCAGAACAAATGCACCTTGTGGTAATCAAGGTACAATTGAACCCAGCCTTTTACTCGCCATAATCGTGGTAACATCAGAGCGCACTGCAAACTAGAGCTGAGGAGCAATATATTGGTATGGTTCGGATATCGATAACTTGTCAAGTGCTGACGCAAATTAGGCCTGAGCCCGTAGTCTCATTCATACCGGGACAGTGCCATCAGTACCAATACTGTAACCATGGAACTATTGATTGAATGGTATCCTTACGTAGAAAATGATAACTTTCTTTTGTTAATAATAATCCGGTCTTTCAAATATTTCTTCTATTGTTCTTTTGGATGGTGAAATCGTGACATTGCTATACTGAGGGTCCCAACCTGTACGCGTTTTTGAAAATACACTATAAATTTCCACATTTTGTGTTGTACTTGAATGTGAGATTTATGAAAAGCAGTTATTGAATCTTAGTGTTTGAGGAAGGAACAGCTGCTTTTCCATTTGAAAAATAAGCCTCACGAGCATTTTATTTGAACAAACATAGCCATAGCGTATAGAGTACAATTACCTCACAGTTTTAAATTAGGTATATTGTACTTTGAAGACTGTCGAAAAAACTGCTTTCATTGTTTAAACGGTAAACTCTTTGAGTGCCTCTCAATCGCAAGTAATAAGGTATAATGTTTAAACTTAGGATTACTAAGAAATGGTTGATGTTTAAGACAAAAGATTTCTCTTTATTTATCTTCCATAAGCATATTCATGTAAATAAAGTTCACTTATTCTTGGAGACATGAACTTATTTATTTTCCTTTGGCTACATTCCTTTTTCTTCTCAAAAGTGTATTATTTGAAAACGCTTGCAATATGTTTTGGTACGATATCTGCGCAGCGCCATACTTCATGATACAGAAAGTTCTTAGACAAAGAAAAGATGGCGAAATCAATAGATCACCTTTGAGACCACAGCCTTATTTTACAATAGTATGGGGCTTTGCAGAAATCTTGCCCGCGATGTTTTTGTTAGGATTATAAAAATGCTGTTGGATTTTATTTGCACAAAAAGTAAAACAAACTTTCTATCTTCAAGCCTTTACTGTTCTACCGCGGAAGAATTACGACTCACGCGGAGCTATCAAAGCTGTCTTGCCCTACAAATAAAAAGTGAAATAACTTTCCCGGTGGCACAATAAATCAATGATAAAAAAAAATCTACACATTGTCTGTATTTGTAGAGATTCACACACAAACAGCCCAGTCAAACAGCAAATGAAACATAAACGAACCAAACTCAGTTAGAATCCGTAAAAGTCTCGTTCAAACTGTCAGTTTCTACGATGTCAAACACTTTGTTTCTGGCACGCATTATTGTTGTTCTTATCGAAGGATCTCTAATCTGCATCGGGAATGCCTTCACAATTTTTGTTTTCTGGAACCAGAAGCAGAGTTTAAAACGCGCGTATTACCTCCTTCTCAACCTTGCACTTGCTGATTTTTTTGTAGGAGCAACAGAGATGATCGTCATAGTAACAGAGACTATTCCTCGGCGTAACTTATCCTTACTGACGGAAGTTTGGCATCTGCCGTTGCAGCCCCTTTATCAAACATCTCAGTGTTTACTTTGGCAGTAATCTCGCTGGAGCGAGCTTGTGCGGTGTTGTGGCCTTTTAGTCACCGGACTGCAGGAAATCGAGCGTATATTTTCAGCATTAGTACGATCTGGTTTTCTGGTTTTTGTATAACAACAGTGAATTTGTTTGGCTTATAGAAGAATTGAGTCCTTTTTACGTGTTGACATCTACAGTTTTCATCCCCTTATTTGTGGTGTTAGCGTCATACATTGAGATACGAACGAAGTTGAGAACCGGTCTTTCTGTATGCGCAGATCAAGATATTCACAACAGAAAACTCACTGAACGGAACATCAAATTGTCAAAGATTCTGTTTATTGTGATAGGGTTATCGTTTTTGTTTTGGATGCCAGCAGCTACAATATATTTCATAATACCTTTCTGTAACGATTGCATTCCACAAAAGGATCTTGTATTGTTGATTGTAACAGTCTTGCACATGGCAAATTCTCTCGTTAATCCAATTGTGCATAGTTTTAGAATGACTATGTTTAAGTTGGCGCTGAAGAAATTGTTCAAAAAAGGAGACTGACTTTGATAGTATGTCTTTGAGCCATTCAGGAACCTTGCCAGAAAATTCCTTTGGATCTGGGATCGCGCTGGAAAACTACAATTTCCATGAACATGTCGGGAAATTTTCGAAATGAATACAGAAGTTAGGATTGAAAATGAGCACTGAGAGGTTAAGTTGACCTTGTACTTCAATACAACTGCTGAATTACAACAATAAGAGTGAAACCCAGATTTAATGTTGGTATATTTATTTCATCTCAAGGAGGTTTTCGAGGTGAACAATTGATTCTTTAAAACAAAAAAATATCAATAGCGTCTAGAGCAGATAAGTTCGCTGTTTTATGGTTGTTCAATAATATGATCAAGCGAGAGGATAACTCGCTTGTACGGAGATTATAATTTTGTTTCAAAGAATGCTTGATCAATGTTTCCCTGTCTGCCTTGATGAGGGAGTGCTACCTTTCGTTTATTTTGATTGACTAAGTCACCATTCTTTTCCCGAATAAGTTTAGAAAAATGCTCTTTGATCTCTGATTTAAACCACGGCATCCTGAAGCTGTAAACCATGGGATTTACGAAGGAGTTCCCGTATTGCATGAACTTGACGAAACGTAGAACATTATGAGCTCTTTTACTCAAGTTGAATGAACTCTTAGGGTAATAATTTGTGTAATCGAAAGCTAGAGCCACAACAATCGAGGGAAACCAACAGATAAGGGAAAGAACTGTTACAATCAACAACGTTTTTGTTAATTCCTTGTTTTGCAGTGTTCGCCTCAGCTCGTTGACTCCTTCGGGAATATTATGGCGTGTCTGCAGGTGTGTCAGTAGATATCCCACACAAATAATAATTAACACCACTAGCAAGAAAACAGTCGCAACCATTGCAGTTATTTTGCTAGTTTCAGGAGTGACCATGAATAATGTGAGGTAAAAAACGGAGACAAATCCAGCAGTAACCCACACAAACACGAAACTGTAGGTATATGTTCTGTTTCTCAGTGCTAGATGTTGGAAAGGCCAACGAATGGCATAGAGACGCTCGTAAGCTATCACTAGTAAATTGAGCAGCGAGGATGCCCCACAAAACACGTCCCAGCTTGTGAAAGTGATAAATTCCCATCGCCGTATATCATTTTCATAATAACCTCCAGCTACATCTCGTACTTCACAGCTGAGGAAATTTAAACTGCTGATTGCCACTAACAGATCAGCGAGAGCCAAATTTACAAGGAGATATGAAGCTCGTTTTAGCTTCGCTCGGTGTTTCCAGAAAACGAAGATTGTAAAACTATTTCCTAGAAAAATTGATATGGCTTCAAGGGAATAAACCGAACAAAATATAACCGCTGCAAAAATTTCCATCTTTGCTTGAAATTGGTATTCGTTTCACAATTTGCTTTAGCAATATAATATTCACATGTACGCCCTCTCAGTTTACTGTCTCTCTCTTCAGTTATCATTACCAAGTATAAATAACAGATATCTAATAATTAGCAAGTCAAATCAATTTCAGTTTTTAATTAAAATATCTCATGATAACAAACTACAGCACATTCAACAAAAAGCTTCTAAGAAGTTTCCTGATAAATAATGAACCAGAGCTCCAATTAATTAACTTGAAGTAAGTTCGCTTATCATGAATATTGTGATATTTAAGACTTAGAGGACTCCCCTAAAAGTTAGAAGCTCCTGATTTTCTATGCGGGCCGCCCCGCGCATACGGTCCGCCTTGTGCTTTTCACTAGAATGAAAAAGGACCAAGTTGTTTTTGTTGAGTTTATTCCCAGCATATACCTCTATCGTCTTGTTTGAACACATTATATAGTATCTTACAACAATGAACAAGATAATATAAAAAAAAATAACGGACAGTCTTTTCATATCAAAACAGTTCTCCAAACAGCACCGTTAGCGTGAAAAGTTTTTCTCCACTAAACATCCTTAGGTATAATATTAGTTTAAAACAAAAGAACATCAGCGCTATCCGCAAACGCCATTATAGTAAATGTTGTTCTGTTTGTTGTCACTAATATAACTATTAATTTCAATAACTTTTTTTTTCTAACCAATTTGAATATGGAAAAAGAAACCGGAAACAAATTTTGCTTACAGCTTTTTTCCTCTATCCTCAGTACTGATTAACATTTTCTTTGCAGGGGATTATATCTTATCAATTAAAAGCGCTCTTTTCAATGCATTATGATCTTCTATGATGTACACTCCTAGATAAACAAATATGAACATGTCATGATTGCAAATAGAACTAAGTTCATTTACATAAAAATAGCGGAATGTTTAATTTGCAGAAAGCAGCTCTCGGTCCGGTCTTATCTAGAACTCAGGACAAGTGAAATGGTTCAGTAGAAAGGGTGGCTCTAATCTCCTCGCACGACATCCCAAGTGAAGTGAGTTTGTTGACCCAGATACCAAACTACATGTCTGATTTAGATTTCAAAACAAATATCCACTTGCGGGTAGACAAGTCTGCAACGGAGAAGTGACCCACCTCTTGTTCATCACGAATTGTTAGCTCCTCCTAAAGATTACAAAAGTTATAATCCTCTGCTTTATTATAGAAGACTGAACAAGATGAATGTCACCGACATCTCAGCGTTGAAAAAGACATTTCCTGTAACCGTCACATTTATGCATTTCGAATGCCATTATTCAAGTCTGAAATCAAGGAATGCTTTTCTAAAATTTGTCGTACAAATAGAAATCGGATTGAGATTCGTAACCGCGATACAGCAACACAAGTGTGCGATGAAAATGTTCAAGGAGATGGATATTCAGAATGTCACGAAACCAAATTGTAATTTTTTCCCATATGATTTGTCTTCTCGGCTGAGAAGTAAACTGTATTCTGCTGAGTAGCCTTTATTTTGCCAATGATCGGCAGCCTTCCAGAGTTTTATTGTAAGTTAGAGAAATATTAAGAGTGTTGAATCAATGATATACTCCACCAGGACCTCTGTTAGTCGCATAGTCAAGTGAAATAGCGTAGTTTTTAACAGACTGAGGCTCCAACGAACATTCGCTTTCTGAAAATAAAGGGTGTAACGGCGCTTATGCATCGATCTCGCCACTTCATTTGCACTACAAAGAACACCAAAAAGAATATAGCGCAGCTGTTAATGATTGAAGGACGTTCTAATGGTAAGAAATCTAGATTCACATTTTTATGATCAAACATTACATTTTGTCTGCTGTTGACAAAATAAACGACAATATAAAAGATTGTCATGTATATAAGTGCTATGAACATGCAAAGGATATTTAACTCTTCAACTTTTAGTCAACGATTATGAAAAATTAGTTTTCCAAAAAAGGGTCTCACAAGTCAGTTGTTTAGGAACATCTCGAAATTCGATTTTCTACAAGCTTAGGATCTGATATTAAATTCTGATGTTGAAAATAAACTCGACTCTATTAAATTGCAGCTGTCATCAAAACGAATCAGGTTAATGACATGAAAATTGTGATGAGGGCCTGATAATAAATTATTTGAATTGCAAATGTCTTACGTTCGGGCATCAACAGCGTGAGTACCGCTTTAACAGTACAATGCCATCGATTTACACACCCTTTGTAAGATAACAAAACTCAGCTATTCGGATTCATCTCTGAGGATGAAGACTTCTTTGTCACCAGCGTTTAGCGTAGTATTTTTTTTGGAAGGAGTGTCAATCCTTTTAGGAAATGTTTTTACTATCTTCGTTTTCTGGAAACATCGAGCGGAGTTGAAAAGAACTTCGTATCTTCTTGTGAATTTAGCTGTTGCTGATCTTTTAGTGGCAATCAGCATTTTAATCGTTTTGGGCCGCGAAGTGCAAAACCTGGCTGAAGGCCATAATAATGTGATAAAACGATGGCAATTCACCTTTTTTATGATTTGGGACACGCTATGTGAAACAGCCTCGCTGCTAAATTTACTAGTGATATCACTGGAGCGTCTTTACGCAGTTCGCTGGCCTTTCCGTCATCGTACTTTGAGCACTAGAACCTATATCTACAGTCTCGTCTTCGTGTGGGTTACTAGTGTGCTTGTCCCTCCGTTTAATTTTATTTCGTTCGCCTTTGATGAACATAGCAGAGCAATTCATATCATTGTTATCTTGATTTTCTTAGTCGTGTTAATTCTCATTTGTGTAGGATATTTCCTCATATTCTTGCAAACAACACAGAATATCCCCGACGGATTCCACCAAAGACGCATTCAGCAAAACAAGAAGTTGAGCAAGACTCTCTGTATTGTTACGTTTTTCTCCCTCGTCTGCTGGTTTCCTTCTATCGTCATGGCTCTAGCTATCGATTACACAAAGTACTATACTGCAAATTCATGGAACTTATCGCACTCTTTGCATAATCTTTTTCTTCTTTTCAAGGTCATGCAATACGGGAACTCCCTCGTTAATCCTATAGTCTACAGCTTTCGAATGCCATTGTTCAAGTCAGAGATCAACGAGTGCTTTATTAAAATTTTTGGGGCAAGGAAAACTGTCATCAGTGTAAATCAACAGATAGGTACGCACCCTGAGCCAAGCAGAAAAAAAAATATTGATTTAGGATTTTACGATACGAAACTATAATGACTTTATACAAGCCAGACGTTTCGTTTAGATTACAGTGAGGTTACTAGATTCTTAAAAATAATCACTTGTGAGCCATATCAGTTTGTAGGATAACAGTAACTCATCTTTTAATCTATTCTGGTTATATAATGAAAAGCCTGTCCAAGAGACACGCAGAAAAAACGGCTAGAACAAAAGAATATGTTGGAATATACCATCCTGTAAATAGACTGACAAGGACTTGTGCGTAAGGACTTGGGGTCAAAGTGACACCTTTGACCTTCAGTCATGGCCGCACATCAAGTAAGAAAAAGTCAAATCAAAATGTGAAGAGTCACACACTGAGCTATTTTATCAACATTAAAGTTTATTCCATGATAACCACACCGGGTTAAACACATATCTAAGCATGAACATCTAAGTTGCCCAAAGAATCTGATAGGGGTGTAATGCTATGATCTTCCGCTTTACAGTCTGCACTTCTGGTTCAAGAAGTTCTTGCTTTGTAATTTTTATCGATCTTAAAACTTGATGCAACTTGAACTGAAATGAGGAAATATCTGTCAATTCCTAAATCACAATTTGGAATGACATTTTGTATATTTGGACTAACAATGCTGTAAAAAGGTGTTAAAACCGGACAGCACCTGTCACGATTGTAATTGCTTGTGCAAAATACACTTGCTTTTATTAAAATAGAGTTCTTTTATTAATATTTACATTAACAAAGGCAATAACATTCAGCCTCAGGAACAAAACCTCTTTTGTATTACATCCCACCTGGTGTTTAGATAATTTTTTTCATCCTTAATAATGTAGTTTTATTGTAACTTAGAGAAATATTAACAGTGTTGCATCAGTGATGTAGTCCACCCGGACCCTTGTTAGTCGCATATTCAAGTGAACTAAATGGCGTAGTTTTTAACAGACTGAGGCTTCAATGAACATTCGCTTTCTGAAAAAAAGGGGTGTAACGGCTCTTATACGTCGATCCCGCCAGTTTATTTGCATTGCTAGAACACCAAAAAGAATATAGCACAGTTGTTAATGATTGAAGGGCGTTCTAATGATAAGAAATCTAAATTTACATTTTTATGATCAAAATTACATTTTGTCTGCTGCTTACAAAATAAACGACAATATGAAAGATTGTCATGTACATTAGTTCTGTGAACACGCAAAGGATATTTGGTTCTTGTACTTTGAGTCAATTATTAAGAAAAATTAGTTTTCCCAAAAAGGGTCTCACGAGTCAGTTGTTTAGGAACATCTCGAAATTCGGTTTTCTACAAGCTTAGGAACTGATCTTGAATTCTGTTGTTAAACATAAACTCGCTTCTATTTAATTGCGACTGCTATCAAATCGAAGCAGGTTTAATGACATAAAATTTGTGATGAGGGTCTCATGATAAATTATTATTTAGATTGCAAATGTCTTATGCTTGGGCATCAACAGCGTGAGTACCGCTTTAACAGTACAATGCCATCGATTACCACACCCTTTGTAAGCGAACAAAACTCAGCTATTCGGATTCATCTCTGAGGATGAAGACTTCTTTGCCACTTGTGTTTAGTGTAGTACTTTTTTTGGAAGGAGTGTCAATCCTTTTAGGAAATATTTTTACTATCTTCGTTTTCTGGAAACATCGAGCGGAGTTGAAAAGAACTTCGTATCTTCTTGTGAATTTAGCTGTTGCTGATCTGTTAGTGGCAATCAGCATCTTTTTGGGCTTCGAAGTGCTAAACGTGGCCGAAGGCCATAATGATTTGATAAAACGATGGCAATTTACCTTTTTTATGATTTGGGACACGCTGTGTGGAACAACCTCGCTGCTTAATTTACTAGTGATATCACTGGAGCGTCTTTACGCAGTTCGCTGGCCTTTCCGTCATCGCACTTTGAGCACTAGAACCTATATCTACAGTCTCGTCTTCGTTTGGGTTACTGGTGTACTTATCCCTTCGTTTCATTCCATTTCGTTCGCCTTTGTTGAACATAGCAGAGTGATTTATATTATTGCTATCTTGATTGTCTTAGTCGTGTTAATTCTCATTTGTGTAGGATATTTCCTCATATTCTTGCAAACAACACAGAATATCCCCGACGGATTCCAACAAAGACGTATTCAGCAAAACAAGAAGTTGAGCAAGACTCTCTGTATTGTTACGTTTTTCTCCCTCGTCTGCTGGTCTCCTTTTATCGTCATGGCTCTAGCTATCGAAAATTCATTGAACTTATTTCACTCTAATCTTGTTCTACTTTTCAAGGTCATGCAATACGGGAACTCCCTCGTTAATCCCATTGTTTACAGCTTTCGAATGCCATTGTTCAAGTCAGAAATCAAGGATTGCTTTATCAAAATTTTTGGGGCAAGGAAAACTGTCATCAGTGTTAATCAACAGATAGATACGCACCCTGAGCCAAGCAGAAAGAAAATTATTGATTTAGGATTTTACGATACGAAACTATAATGACTTTATACAAGCTAGACATTTCGTTTAGATTACAGTGAGGTTACTAGATTCTTAAAAAGAACCACTTGTGAGCCATATCAGTTTGTAGGATAACAATAACTCTTGTTTTAATCTATTCTGGTTATCCAACGAAAAGCCAGTCCAAGAGACACGCAGAAAGAATGACTAGAGCAAAAGAATATGTTGGAATATACTATCCTGTAAATAGAGTGACGAGGACTTGTGCGTAAGGACTTGGGATCAAAGCGACACTTTTAGCCTTCAGTCATGGCCATACATCAAGTAAGAAAATTGTTAAATCAAGATATGAAGAGTCACACACTGAGCTAGCTTATCAACACTGAAGTTTATTCCGTGATAACCACACCGGGTTAAACTCATATCTCAGCATATACATCTAACTTGCGCGAAGAATTTGATGGGGGTGTGACGCTATGATCTTCCGCTCTACAGTCTGCGCTTCTGGTTCAAGAAATTCTTGCTTTATAATTTTTATCGATCTTAAAACTTGATGCAACTTGAACTGAATTGATGAAATTTCTGTCAATTCTTAACTCAAAATTTGGAACGACATTTTGTTTATTTGGACTAACACTGCTATAAAAGGTTTTAAAACAGAACAGAACCTGTTCTAACTGTAATTACTTGTGCAAAATACACTTGCTTTTATTAAAATAGAGTTCCTTTATTAGTATTTACATTTACAAAGGCAACAACATTCAGCCTCAGGAACAAAACCTCTTTTGTGTTCCATCCCACCTGGTGTTTAGATAATTTTTTTCATCCTTAATGATGTAGTAACAACTAGGTCGTAATTCATGACCTATCTAAGGCAGATGTAGATTTTAACTCGAAATATATAAATATATATATATATATATTTTTTTTTTTTGCGCTTTATACTCTTGCCGGTTTTAAATCATACTTAATTGGTAACGTTAGACAGCGGTTTTTTTCTTCAGCAGAGCCTTTCCAATATTTCCGCGATGTTCCTTCTTTCTTCAGATCTAAAATAGATGAGTTCTTGGCAATACTACACGGAGCAAAGTACATCGCGGTTTCCATTGCATAAAGCGAACGGGAGTTTACTACTCCTCCTCGAGGGATACCAATCTATCAAATGTCACCCCCTCCCCAGATTGTTCTTCTTGTACTTAATTATATTTGTGGCTGTATAGATGCACTGTAGAACTCAAGTGTCCTCCTGCCCACGAATAAAACGCACTGAACCTTCAGGTCTGAAACATCTTATTTTTCACCTGATGTGCAGCCTGGGAATCATTTGGCCACTGAGTCTGTACGATCCCACAATAAATGTGACACAAAAGTCGCAAGTCGCCGAGCCCCACAAAATCAAAAGAAAACCGACAAGCAACAAACCTGTGGGTCCAAAAGACAACTTAAAATCAGTGGTGGGAGCTCCGTCGTGATTTGATATCTTACGAGTTTTATCCTGAATTTCCTAGCTAATAATTTACAATTCGTGTTAATTTTCTCCATCCAAAAGTTACCTCCATTGAGTCATATTCCCCTTAGTGCTATCGAGTGGGTGAGGAGAAATATGTGAAATTGTCACTTGTAGTTTGAAAGACCACACTTCATCACAAATTAAATCTGCCACGGCAGTATTAGTTATGAATAACTGATAGGCGAATCCGTTCGCCATCAAATCTAAGTACTTCTCCTAGAACTGAAAAGTTATAGCTTAGTATTATAGTTATGTGAATTAGTGATGTCCACATTTGTTCGTTGTGCGGAAACTCTGACTCTATCTTGATAAGGATTTTTGTTGCCATCAAATTCCTACGAAGGAAAAAACTTAGAGCAGCATTTTTGAAGCTCTAATTTGAACATGGGTAACCGAAAGGCATAAAGTATAGGGTTTACCATGGAATTCGAGTATTGTAAAGTTTTTACAATTAGTAAAGTATAGTATGAGTGGTTACTGGCTACATCTTCAATTAAAGACCATCCAAATACAGCGGTACAATATATTATTAGAGGTAGCCAACAGAAAACAGAAACAATAGTTACAATTAACAACGTGTTAGTTAGTTTCTTGTTTTGCTGCACTCGAATTCCGGGAATATTCTGACGCGTTTGTTGGCGAATGAGTACGTACGAGGCACAAGTGATCGCTAAGGAAAAAGATGTCACTAATGCCACAATTATGGAAGAGGCTTTGGAAAGACCAATCGCTTCATTGTGGAAAAAAACTGAGAGAAAATCAAAAATGAACATTATTCCCGCCAGTATCCACACGAATGCAACGCTGTAGATATAACTTCTGATGCTCATCGTGCGGTGACGGAAAGGCCATCGAATTGCATAAAGACGTTCTAATGTCATTGCTAGTAAACTGATTAGTGCAACGAATGCAGAGAAAGAATCAAACCCATTGGTAATGATGAACTTCCAAAACCTGGATTGCTTGTGTGAAGCCAGATGTTGTATTCCGTTAGCAGCAACATCCAAAACGCTGATTCCCACTAAAAGATCAGCGAAGGCTAAGTTCAACAGGAGATACGAAGTTCGTTTTAACTCGCCCCGATGTTTCCAAAACACAAAGATGGTTGAAATGTTACCCAGAAGGATAAAAAATGCCACTAAGAAGTAAATCACACTAAAGGTGCATGTCACTATAGTGGCAGAGGAAATTTCCATTAGTAAAAATCTTTCCAGGTTCTCTTCCGTCAAACGAATGATCCAATAAATTCTGTGCTGTGCGTTTTTTCAAGCTTGGCTTGATTTTGACAAAAACAGAAATCGCTCCTTTCAGTCATGGACAGTATTTATAAAGTTGGAGTTATCAACTTCCAAACAAGTCGAGCGGGCCAAATTTGCATGTTCTTAAATAAATAGGTTCTTCTTTACGAAAATGAAACCTACCCGAAAATGATTCCAAATACTCACAGGTGATTTAATCACATTTAATGAATGTGATTACATTCAAATCAACCTGGTCGAAAAATTAAAATTGCAATGTTTTGAAACCGAATTAGGTAAACCGAGGAACAAATAACGTGTTAGGCCTTTCTTTGTTTTAACACAAACAGCTTCCAAAAAGGTATTTACGGAAAAGTTGCCCCATTGTAAATTGTAAATTTAATAACTAAAAACCATGCAATTACACGCCACGGGAAAAAACATTTGGTGCAAAAACAAGCATTGCTACATTTATCACGAACTTAATTACAAAAGAAATCTCATGAGAGAAATCAATTGATAAACATGCTTTCATTCATCAAGTCAAAAGAAATCTTTATTTTTCTTGCTATTTCGCCTGAACAAACATGTCTAAAATAAATTTAATTTATAAAAATTTGCATGCAAGAGACAATTTTTCTGCAATAGAAGAAGGGTAACAGGTATCCAATCAGCTTTCATCCTCTCATACTTCAATCCTATTATGGAAATAACGGGAAATAATAATATTCCTCGCATATCATTTAATTCTCCTTATCAGCGGATGTCAGTTCCAAAACTAATGCTCGGTTTTTGCAAAACATTTTACAGGGTATATTCCCTGTTTACAGTCTTGTCTCAAAATTCTGTAAAGTTACTTCTTTTTTTTTTCCTAAGAGCTGTTGCATCTAACTCTTTTGCACGACTTGTATCATGACTTCGTTTCTTCTTGGGCGAGATTTTAGAAAATATTTCCACGATTTTCCTCTTAATCAGTGGCATTCGAAATGCGTAGACGATCGGGTCTACAACAGAATTTAAATATTGAAACATTTTCGCAAGTAGGATAGCTCTAAGTCTACTAATGTGGGTTGTCATCACATCGTCAGTTAAATAAGTGCAAATCGATAAGACAATTCCCGGCAGCCAACATATGATTGATAGTCCTGTTACAATACACAAAGTCTTCGTCAATTTTTTGTTCTGCTGGTCTTGTCTCTCGTTGAAACCTTCGGGATTATTCCGACGTGTTTGCCTACAGATGAACATGTATGCGGCAATAATGATAACCAACGCAGAAACAGCTATTAGGACTAATGTTAAGGGACAAGCAACCCCTAGCTGGAAATAGTTATAGATTGTCTCGAGGTATAAAAAAACACAACCTGCCGCAGTTAGCCATATAAATAAAATAGTGACGATATAACTTCTAGCGTTTAATATACGGTGACGGAAAGGCCAGCGAACTGCATAGAGACGCTCCAAGGCTACTACTAGTAAACTAAGCAGCGAGGCCATCCCAAAAAAGGCGTCCAAAGTAAAGATCATGATAAACAACCAATCATCCTGAATTACTCTCTTTGTGGTGAGATATTTTATTCCGCTGCCGACGAGAAATGAAATGTCGACTGTAACTAAGAGATCAGCCACAGCCAAATTTACCAGGAGATATGAAGTTCTTTTCAGTTCAGCGCGATGTTTCCAGAAAGCAAAGATGGAAAAAATGTTTCCCGCGAGGATGAACACTCCTTCAAGGAAAAAAATTACGGCAAAGATCACTATAGTAGAAATTTCCATATCATAGGCAGAGAGAAGGGCAGTCACCTTCGCAGTCGTTGTTTGGTCTCGTCATGCAACGTTTTCTCCCTTACTGCAAGTGGATCTTACGGCGAGTATTGTTCCAATGCATTAGTATTTCTAACGAAAAAAAATAACAATCAAAAAGAGGAATAGAAACCTTTGTTAAGGAGTGCATGAATTTCTACCAGGTGATAATAAACGTCCAATTGAGTCTCCTATTATTGTTAATTTTCCCTTTCCCCCTTTTTCCTCAGACTAACAACGAACATGCATACAATGGAGCTAAAATAACAATTTCATATGAGTTTGAATTATGTTTAAACACCTAGGGCTGTTTTTGAGCATTTCAAATGATCTTTTTCTGATTAAAGTTGAGAATAGTGATCAGAATGAATCATATTCATATTCTCTTACACCACAGGAAATCTCTTCATTGTTGATGAGTTTTTTTAATTCCCAAATTCTATATTGATATATAACGGGTGAATTTGTATTGACTTGTGCAATTACTTTTCATGACAAAGAAAAGACAGGAACATTGCTTTGAAAAAGAGGCACTATACACCTGCTATTCGCCTCTTGTTTGAGTAATAATCGCAAGGCTCTCTAATTAGAACCTTCATAGTGCCGCGATGACAATTTCCCTCGCCTAAACGTGTGATGACCACAAATTCCCTGTTCTAACCTATAAAAATCATTACCTATGGTGGAGAATACCCATTCAGATAACACGCTTTAGGGACCCCACCCTTCCCCCTATAGGGTGTACATTTTACTTTGTAGAACGCAGTGTAAATGAGGTCATGACAAATGTGCCGATCATTTGGCGTATACGTTTTATTGATGATTTCCGATTTCAAGAACAACTTTAGAATCAATGTAAATATGTTCTCACGGCAGATTACAGGCTCTACTTGAAACGAATGAAGTTGTATTTATCCATTTCCTCTGTGTTCTTGTACTCTAAATAGTCTCCTCAAAGATTCCCTGAATATGGGAATTCTGAAACTATATGTAACTGGATTCACTGCTGAGTTAGCGAGATGTAGAACCCTCCCTGTCAGCATCACTGGCGCCGAGATACAAACAGGACAAAAATCACCCAGTGTGTACAAAATTAGACCTGGCAGCCAACAGACAAGCGACAATCCTATGACGAGTAACAACGTTTGGGAAAGTTTCTTGTTTCTTTCCAAATAACTCCTGTTTTGATTGCAAGAGTACGGATGCGTGCGTTTCAAGTACTTGCATATAGTCAGGTAGCCTGTGCAAACAAGACTTATAGAGAGCAGATAAACTACATTTACAGCCACGGTTGAGGGCATTTTATCGGACGCAGAGAAAACTGGTATCAAAAAGATCAATGATGTGCCCATCCCAGCGGTCCAGGCGAAGGTAATGGCGCCAAAATAAACTCTTAGGCTCACTGTTCGGTGGCGAATTGGCCTCAGAACGGAGAAAGCTCGTTCAATTGATATAAGAGCGAGGCAACAACTAGATGAAGAAGAGAAAAAAATTGTCAAAGACGTCGTGATGAAGTTTACCAGGGGAATCAGGGTATCTTTGAGAAAAGACACGCCGAAAAGGTTTGGAACCTGTCCAGAAGCGAGTGATATTAATTCCCATACGCCTACCAGAAGATCAGAAACTGCGAGGTTGATTAACAGATACGAGGTTTGTCGCAAAGTAAGCCTCTTCTGCCAAAAAACAAAAATAGCAAATGCATTTCCAATGCAAATGACAAGGGCCTCGACTGAGAGTAGAAAACAAAATAGCATGAAGAGTGTTTGAGGCATTTGTGCTCTGACTGTGGTCGGAATTCGCCGAACTTATGACCGGGTACTACCTTTAAAAAGCTAAATTAACTTATATGAGTATATAAATTAACTTATATACCTTGATTAAAAATTTAAAATAAATGAATTGTGCCAATAACTGTTTGTTCTTGCAGAGAGACTACTACTGTTGTGGACCTGTTTTAATAAAACTGGATGCAAATTTATCTTAGACTAAGATAAAATAAGCAAGGCGGAATTTTGATTGGTCAAGACTTGAACTTCATTACAGTCATTTTGTCTAGTTATGGTTGGGTTTTTTAATTTTTTAATTAAATATGGCATGCATGAGAAAATAATAACAAGACAGTTTAATGAAAAGAAAACTAAGTTGATAAAGAGATGTAGAAAATGAAAGACATGCTAAGATCTTTGTACAAGCTCTCCCTTTATTTTCCTTTCACGTCCTCTGTTAAGATATATAGCAAAATTTTCTTTTTACACATTCTCATGACTAGCTAAATTGATTTAAAATATCTGCAAAACATTGCAACTTGCCTAATTTTGGCACTTGTTACTCATTCTAAGGTGTAGCAGGAAAGCTTTATGCTTTTTAGAGAGGCTTGTAGACGCCTCCTATAACTTTCATCAGAAGCTTTTTTGCATTCCTACATGTTTTTGTCGTCGTTGTTTTTCAACATAACTTTGTAATAAATATAATATAGACTTATTCCGCCATATGTAACCTTTTTTTTCTGGTTTTTTTTAACTGTTAAGTTTTTGTTTTTTTCTTTGAATTGCAAGCAATTACTCAGTAACGTCTGTCTGTTTTCTCAAGTTCTTGTATTAGTTACTTTTTGCTGACTGTGCGAACAAGTTTAAGTTAATCATGACATCTTAAAGATCTTTACGTTACATATTAAACAAAGTTGCATTTCAAAAAAATTACAATTAAGCAGGGAGTTTTCAATATACACATGATAATCTAAACTATTACTTCTCTACGTCCTATCCACGTTCTCTCAGTTCTAACCTGATTAAGTTTTTATGTATGTAGACTTCTGCTTGCTACTTTCTAAAACCTTGCTTTGGAATCATACATGATCTTTCATTTGCAGATCCTCCCGCTCGTAGAAAACAGAGAGCATCAGTCGAACGTCTTTTATATACAAATTCATCTCAGACCTACTTGCTAAAGATGGCTATTAAAACATTCCAACTGACCAGACTGAACTGTATTCTCGCTCGTGATACATCTAAAGCATCTAATTTTGTTCAGGAATTTTTTCATCTCTTCTCTAAACATAGGCATACGATAACTGTAGACAACTGGGTTAACTATAGAATTCGACAGATGTAATACCCTTGTACTGGAGACAATTTGTAGTCTAACTACTGCTTCAGAACAAGAGTTGCAGTTTACTTGAACGCCGGTAACCACGATGGCGGGCACCCAAAGTAGGAGAGACAAAGTTGTAACTATGATCAATGTACGGGATAGTTTCATATTTTGTTCCTCTGTGTGACGATTGTGAGCATCGAGTGACAGCACAGTTTTGTTCATTCGGTTGCGAATCGCCGCGTACGATGCAACAAAAATGGCTAACGAACAAAGCAGTGCTAATTCGGTGGGGATGTTAGCTTCTTTACGAATTACATCTAATGAGACCAGTGTGTAGAGTACTCCAATAGTTATTCCAGCAATCCAAGCTAAAGCAATGTTCACGATGTAGAATTTTGTACTTATGGTTCGATGACGATATGGCCAGAGTACTGCATAAACGCGCTCTAAAGATATTCCCACCAAGCAGAATAACGACGAACACGAAAATGAAATCTGAAATGCGGAGAGTGGCTCGTCGTAAATGATCGCCTTCACAGTTATTTTCCGAAATGAGAGGAAAATTATTTCTAACAGTGCTCCAGCGCCTATGAGAAAATCCGTCACAGCCAGATTTATCAAAAGAAAAGCAGTTCTTTTTAAGCAGAGTTTTCGTTGAACAAATACATAAATGGTAAAAGCGTTACTAGCTAATATCACTAATGCCTGGATGATATTGATGACGGAAAAAAATAAGGCAGTTGTCGAGGCTGACATGGCTCCCAAAACCGGATCAATTTCAGAATAGAATCTTTGACACAACTCAGCCTTGACCGTTAACTAACAACGAACCTCCAGCCGATCGTAACGGAAACTTTGAGGTTATACGAAGCACAGAGTCCCCAATTTCAATTTTATATGTTGGGACACCGCATTGCGTCATGGATAAATAACACATGCGCCGGAAGGGGAGCTATACATATTACAAGCTATATGTTCGCCTAAAATGGTATTTTTTTTAAGAAAGATGAGCAGTTTGACCACTTTAAAACTGATTTTGTCTCTGTCTGATTCGCCTTCAGCACAGTGCATGTAAACTGATTGACTAAATGAAACAGCGCCATTTTCTAAAACAATTTAGCATAAAGTGAAATCTTTTCAGGACTTGATCACGAAAATTTCAGAATAAAACCCCTGTCGGCTTTTCATCAACCATTGCATGATTTCTCCGCTCTGTTGGATAGTCAAGCAACAAGAGTGAAACAATCGAGTGAGTAATGAAAAAGGTTCATACCATAAAAGGCTAATAGGTTTCAAAGTAAAAAAAAAAGGGGAAGGCGTGAAAGACTTCTCCTTGTCATATTTTAGGCAAAATGTTTTCCTCTTTAATAAATACGTTTTTTAAGATTTGATGATTTAGAAGCGAGTAAATCGACAAAGAGGAAATTATTTGAACTTATCTGGAAGCAGATCACATTAAAAGCAGATTAATTACTTATCTATTAAATTGCACGTCCAGAGAAATGAAAGTACAAATTTCCTAATGAGTTGTTTCCTTCCGCGAAAACGTCCCTCGGGCTCTGCTGAATACATAGAGAAATAATAACTGTTTTCTGGATTTCACCGATAATTACTACGTCTATGTACTTCACTTTTAGATTTGAGATGTTGGTCAGCCTAGAGCCTGGTTTCATTTTCCCAAGTACGGCTGTCATATTTGTTGAACGTTTCTGGCGAAAAATAAACTTGGGTAACATTGAATTACATTGACATCGATTAGCTCAGTGCATTTGCTGTATAAGTAATTTACGAATGTTGAAAATTTCCTTTCTTGAGCATAGAGAGGGTGGTACAGTCCTTAACTATAGGGAATTTCATTGAAATCCAGCATTGCTACTGGTTTGGACAGATCGTTTGGGCTTTTTACAACAGCCTTTGAACTTCTCCTGTTATTCCATGTCCTTCTCGGTTTTAACTTACTGAGTGGCTCTTTAAAGATAGGCATCCTAAAGCTATAAATAACTGGATTTACGAACGAGCTCGCTATATTAAAAAGTGTTGTAGCATAGAGAGCACCCATAGATATACGACATTTACATACGGCGTTCACAAAGTATAGAATGCTCCCCGGCAGCCAACAAACACAAGAGGCAGCTGTTACGATGCACAAAGTCTTCGATAGTTTTATGTTTTGTTCGACGTTATTTCGACTACTTCGATTGATAGCCGGGACATCTCTGGAATAAAGTTTATTCCGAATGCTCCAATAGCTGCCGCAGATTATGGCCAGAGCGGAAAATATCATAGAGCAAATAATGTACTGTGAGATTTCATGATTCCACATTTTGGCTGTATCTAATAAAAGTACTGCACCCACGAATCCGCCGATAACCCAAACGGTGACAATACACCAAATGTACGATTTGTTGGAGGCGAGCCGATGGCGAAGAGGACAAACCACAGCATACGCACGTTCCAATGAGATAAGAACAAGAAAAAACAAGGACGAACACGAAAACATAGTAGGAATTATTGCCGAAAAATCATCTTGGTTTGATACGAGGACTTCGTCTGTTTTATTTCCTTGAAAGTGCCTATGGATTGCCCCTGTTCCAATGGCGATTGGTTCAGTAGCGCCAACAAGGAGGTCAGCAATGGCCAGGTTTATTAGAAGAAACGAGGTTCGCTTCAGACGAGCACGATGAGTCCAGAACACATAAATTGTAAAAATGTTCCCGATTAGAATAAAAACGCTTTCAACAGAAATTATGCTGCAAATAATGACTACTGCAACGTTTGTCATTGTACGACACGCAGTTAAATTTTGTCTTCAAGATTTTTCTATAACGCTGCAGTGAACAGTTTTGATGCGTACTTTTTAGAAGAGACGAACGTAACAGCAATACAATGATAACAATTCAAAATCACATGGTGTGATATCTGATTTTCTCTTTACAGTCTTTTAACGCAGTTATTTGCATAACCACTACAAGATCACTTTTTCAGCCAAGTCCTTTGATTTCATTGGCTTCTCGACTTGCTAAATATACAAATGACTGAAGGGGGTAAGTTTCTAAAGAAACTGTGGTGCTGCGTCAGGGGGAGAGTATAACAGGTAATTTGGTATTATCAGCTGAGTTGATAACGCAAATAGGCCACCGCAAAACGTTTCAAAGCCGACGTTTCGAGCGTTAGCCTCTCGTCAGAGCCAAATATACATTTATCCTGATAAATGTAGCTCGTGAGTACTGCATACATCAATCAAATCTAAAATTGTTTTAAATTACTTGTCAAGGATAACACTACAAAAAGCATTTGCGCTTGATCGCCAACATCGTAGGAACATCATAAGCCATTTCCTCAAACACCACATCTCCACATTTGCTGCTTTTCCAGTGAAAATTTATTGATTTGCATATAAAAATTTGGAATCACACTTTTTTATGCAGCTCGTATGAAGAGCTTTAGACCCTATTTATACGGTCTCCGGTACCTTAGGAGACAACCCCCCAAGCCGAGTTACCCTGGCCGAGCTAACTTTTTACTCATTTGTTTAAGAATTCAACCAATCGCGTAAATGAAATTACACGAAAATGGAAAACCTGTCTCGGGGAGCAAGACAACTCGGGAGAGAGAGGTATCTCGCCCTAGCAGATAGGGTAATCCTATCACGGGGGACAACTTTTTTTCACATGAACAGTTTAGCTCGTCTGCACGAGTCGACACGGCTTAAATTTTGTCCAATATGTTTCCTGCATAGGTTTTACGTTTTGGACTATGGAAGGGGCAGCTGCTACAACTCCTAACTCCATGTAAACGCTCCATACAGGTGTTTCGCGCAGGAGGGTTGTCTGAACAAGTATCCGGCTTGACTATATAAATAGGGTCTTATAATGTAAGAATCAGTCAAATTCGTCATCTTACGGTTAGCTACGAATTTAAGTAACGTGAAATAATGTAACGAATCTCTCTATTAATTTTGGCTTTCTTGAGGTATTTACAAAAAGATAAATAAATAAACATCAGAAAGTAATTTAAAACCAACCGTTAGGAAAACCGAATATTTTCGCCTCCATTTCACACGACATCATTACATGTACACCTTACCTATGAAGGAACAGGCGGGTCATTGATGAAAACTGATGAAATTGGGTTGGACTATTTTGGAAGAATTTTGGAAAAGCTCCTCCCTCATGGCACGTTCTTGACAGAAATGCCGTATTCAGACCATTTACATATCAACTCATTAATCAGTATGAATTTAACTCCTAACAATTCTTCGGTAAAAAGTTCAAATTTGCAACATGCACTGACGGAAAATGTTAGCAGACGTTTAGGAATAACGTCGGTTACTGAATTGTACCTCTTTCAGTTTGAGTATGTTGCCTATTGCCCAAGCTGATTGACTTTCTCTATCTTTGTGATAACGAATATACCACTAAGGAAGAGTTCCCATGATGAAATATAAAAATTAATTTTCATTCGAAAAGCGCAATAGTTATTAAATGTGCAGAGTCAGGCTTAAATTAGTGTCATGTTTTACTGGTAGTTGTAATTAGGTCTTGATGTACACATTATTTAAAAGATGAAAAGGAAATGATCAACAATTGTATTTTCAATTTTTTATTTTTTATTTTTGACAGTATCGCACAAACGGATTCCCTTTAATCTCCCGATGATTCTGGTGTAATTCGAATGAAAACCAGATTACCTTCCAATAAGGCTCTCATGAGGCTGAATATGGTCTTCATTTTCAATTATTTCGTTACAGTGGTGTCAGGTGTTGTAAGTTAAATTGCAAATACGCTAAGAAGTTTTAATCACGTTTTAACGCCCCTTACAGCTTACGAGCTATAATCTAAAAGCTATTCCAGGTTCTGTTCTGAACATATCAAAAATAACAAGATCCCCGACGCAAGTCCTCAAAAAATTTTTTGTTTCTTTCATCGACTCAGTTTTGAGCTTTTAGAGAAGCGAATGAGATACGTGTTTATATTACGTAAATTTGCAGGTGGAAAAACGCGGTCGGCTTTTAGAAAAGAATGGATCGTTTAATGAGTATTATGTGACAATTATGTATTCCTCTTTTGACAGCTTTCGTAGATAAGGCACATTCTGTACCTCACGTATAGGAAAACGTATCGCCCCATATTCGATATCACCAGCATAGTGGAGGTTTGTAAGGTAAGTATAAAAACAGCAGTTGAAGACTGAACACGAACGTGAGTCATCTTAAAAATGAGAAATCATGTTTTATGTTATCTTTATTACAAACTGTATTTTCCTCTGCGTCACTGTAAGCCAATTTTTAGCGCAAATCTTAATTACCAAGTTAGAGTTAATCATATTCTAAAATATCCGTTAAGCTGAAGAGCCTGTTTCTAGTTTTAAAAACTGAAAATTCTTTAACATCACAAAGAACCGCCTCTTTGAAAACTGACAAAGGTTGAATAAAAGGTTCTGCCGTAAATTCTGTCATTAACGACAGGTTTACAGAGCTTATAGTTTTAATATTTTGCCAATTTTACAATAGTAGTCAGCGAGTATTCATGTGTTGATTGCGTTAGTCTTACATACAGCTTTTTTTCTCTTTTCTCTCATTTAGTTTTTTTCAGTTTAATCTTTGCTGAAACAACGTACTGACATTTCGCATCAGCTGTCAGAGACAATTTCATTATCGAACATTTTACAAAAGGCAGTATTTCACAGCAACAAAATGTCAAATAACGGTTTCCGAGGTGTTGCTAAAGTCACTGCAATATAGCTACGGTAATACAGTGCGATCAATTGAATTCGTAATTACTTATTCTTTTTAAGCGAAAGAAAAGCTCTTTGCAAATAACGTGACCATTCCGAAAAAAAATTTAGTCATCAGTTTATTTATTATTCAGTATCAAACACCGCTCTCCATACAACCGACCGAAAATACGCCCTCTTAGTTAAGGTCTGTAGTTCATTCGATCTTATTGAGAGGCAAATTAATGCAGAGGCCATTACGGTTGAATGTTTCATCCAAAATGACACGATCTAACTTTCTTTTCATATTTATTAGTAGGTTTCCCACTGTATTTAGACCTGCTGTAATATTTTTCCCGCAAACTATTAGTTCAGAGTGAGTTCAACTACTTAAACAAATGAGATCGAAAAGGCAAAGTGAAGCTGGTTGTTGCATGAATATTTCATGTTGAGTTGACAAATACCCGAACATTGCTTAACCGAACTTCTCACCATTATCGAGGAGATATTAAAATGTGTAAACTCTTAAAATAGTATGAAGGAAATTGAAAGACAAAGAATAAAAAACAACTTTTCCTCTTATCATCGTAGAGGCTTTTCATGGCTAAAATTCGTTATCTTAAAGTTCAAATTTTGAGGTGGCATTTCATTTGTTTGTTTATATTCATTTCTACAAGCAAAATTCATATTTGTAAGTTTGGAAAACTTGTGAAGTTACAATGCAGGCACTTGCAGTTTCGAGCGAAGAATTAATCATTTATATATATCTATTGGTAAAGCATAAAATACAGGTTAATAGGTTCACTCTTGCAAACCTTTGAAATCTAATGCAGATATTTTCCAGCTGGTTAAATAGTGTGACATATTACATGTTTTAATTTCTACAAGACATAATTAGCCTTGGTAAGTTAACTTGATGATTTTAAAGCTCAAACTCTAAAACCTCAAATTGTAAAAGAGAAGGTTCCAACAATGCTATCTTTACCCGCAGTATTTAACAAATAAAGCCTTGAGTAAGCTAGAGTTTAAATACATCCAAAATATTTATTGCGAGACCGAGCTGCGTTTTAACTAAAGCTGCACACAATAGTATGATAGCATAATGTAGTTGTAGCATTATCTATTATTCATGAGTAAATTATATATCCATTTTCAGCCTTTAACAGTGTTTTCCTTCGTGCGAATCCTTGTTTTGCAGATGCAGCGAGTTACTTTGTTGCTCCTGGGATTCATGGCCAGCTGTGAAGGTAAGGCAACAAACGTTTGAAAATATTGGATCACGTTGAAGGCTCATGATCACAGGGTTTCATTTGTTAGTTTATTTTTTATTGTTTGTTTGTTTCTTTTCATATATATTCCTTTCATTTTAAGATTATTTATTGAAGATTCAACTATAGTAAAATTCCGGACTAAGGGCCGACGGAGAATATCAGAAAACAATTTTCCTTCAAACTGACCTCTCTAAAGAAATTCCTGAGAGAAATTTGGACAAAGCGATACGAAGACTGATTTTAACGTTCGAGTCCAGAATTGGAGTACAAAGTTTAAGATCTAAACACCAAATCATTATCGTTAAGTTTTCGTTTGTTTTTCCTTTTTACGCTGTTAAATGTTCATTTTGTATGGCCCGTGTGGAATTTGTCAGGACAAAAAAATGTTCTGTAATTTATTCGTATTAGTATTCAACGTTAGGTTTAGTCATTTTCCGTTGATAGAGTTAGTTTTTCAGTCATTTTAGTTTCGCTTGTTATTAGCGGTGGTTTGTTTTCGCAAATCGCAGTTTGAAATTGCATAAAAATGGATCCGAAAAACATGATACAGCAACTAATTTGTGTGTTTCGTTAAGTTCACTCTTTTCTTTTATTAGCTATATTTCGAAATTTTGTGTTTAAAGCTTTCTGTTCTAGTTTTAATCACACTTTAATCTCTACACCATAAACGGGGTGGCCATCAGGGTAGAATCTTGAATAAAAGAGAGTTAAAATTGTATGGTAGATATATTACTCGTCTAAAACTTAGCAACAAAATAAGGTCTCGTTTAAAATTTTTCTCGGGTACAAGTGTACCCTGTTAGGTTACTTACTCTACTCGCTATTTCTCACGGAATAGATAGCGAGTACTATAGCCAGTAAGGATGCAGCATTTGTTTTAGAACGCCAGTGGATCTATATTAAATTATTATATTCGTGTCTGTCATTCTAGGACTTCCACATCTTGTTGGATACTACCCCCTGAATTTCTCAAGTAAAGCAAATGACTACAGTCCGTCTAAGAATCCAGCAGGGATCATCTCCAATGCTCAGCCTGCACAGGGGCATTATGACGAAGTTGGTGGGTCGTATCAGTTCACGGGAGCGCGCTCACCGCCAAGTTATATCTATCTTAATGAGTCACATTATTTAAATACGAGGTAAATTAGGTGTTTTTATCATATAATATCTATTCGGAAAGGTAATGTAAGGCTGAGAGGCCATTTGCCAAACCCAGCCGAGCTTATGTCAGTTTCTGTAGCATGAAGCGACGAGGGTTTTTTCCACCTCCCTCTCCTCTCTCTCGCATGACCAGATATTTTGAGTCTAACAATAATTTAAGAGATAGAGGGCAGGATTTCCCTAAGATTCAGTCTCCAAACGTAATGCTCTCCTGGTGTTTGACAAAGAGACTCTTTGCTGAAGCGAAAGACGATATTACTTTTATACCATATCGAGTAAATAAGCTAACATGATGACTCAGTCGTCAAATAAGTTAACCGTGTTAATACGCAAACGTTTCAACTGGCACCAGTGACAGCAATGTCTGTCGCATGGAGAACTCTTCAAATTAGATGAGAATGATAAAACTTATGCCCCTTCGAAGCAATTTAAATCCTTCCTGTATTGTGCCCTCCTTATCTTGCTTTTCAGATTCTCTATTACACTTCTCGTCTGGGTTTTTCCACAAGGCAGAGATGGAGAAATTATTTCCTACTGGAAGAACTCAAATTACGGAGTGAGTATAGCACTTGAAAACTCTCGCCCAGTCTTCCACGTCAATTCTCTTGATCGGATCACGAAGTACTCCGTAAAAGGTAAAAACAACCTGTTGCTGAATGAATGGAGTCACATCGCTGGGGCATATGACAATGAGAGTCAAGCGGCAAAACTTTACGTGGATGGAATAGAAGTGGCAAACGCAACAGCAAAAGGGATTCTGGAATTAGCGACAGAGTCCCCTTTGTGGCTTGGGTACCTGTTCAAGGGAAGGCTGTCCCAAGTTTGGGTTTTCAAGAATGCTCTTTCTTTGTACAATGTATCTCAAATAAAAGATTACCATAAACCATCAAGCTCAAGTAAGCAGACATCCAGTTTTGTTAATTTGTCTTGCTTGGTTTGTCTCAATGTATATGTTTTGCGGGGTATCACTCCTTAGTGTATGTATGATTCAAACAAAAGACAAATACAGCTGAGCTACGGTAATTTACTTATGAGTTTTCTTTAGTTAAACAAACTCGAAACACTACTCAAGAGGACTTTTTCAAATTTTACAGGTTTATCGACTGCTATTTTAACACCAGTTGAATTATCACCAACATCATCTATGACACCCTCCAACAATCCATTTCCAAACACGATTATCAATCCAACGATAATCAAGGTACCCAATCCAACGAAAAACACGGAACTCAATCCAACGATTACAAGATTGTCCTATCAAGCGACGATTCATAACACGTCAACTGTCAATCAAAGCTTTACGTACGCCACACCCGTTGTCAATCAAACTTTTCAGTACTTTACGCCCACTGTAAATCAAACTCTTCCGCTGACCGCTTTCCAGACAGCACCATTGGATGCATCGGCAACAGTAAAACAGAATGCTACGTCGGCAAGTCTAACTTTCAACATTACACCATCTCGTACGATTGCTTCGCAATCGATACTTGGAAGTAGTATAAGTCAAGGTAGGGTTAGTTTATTTATTGTGTATTTACGTGTTAAATACTAACACACATGTAAAAGGGAAGTTTCGATTCTAGGGAACGGGTAAACACCACATGCGATCGTCTCGTTAATCGTGCTATGTGAAGACAATTACTACTCCCTCAGATAAGATGTTGTGCCATCAAAGGGCATGGCCTCTCCTCTCGTATTTCGTCAGGTTTACCTGACAGTTGGTTGGCACATTGATTTTAGGTCGAGAGAGGCATGGTGAGAGTAAAGTGTCCTCCCTAAGAACGTAAGTGTGAAGGTACTTATTTGAGTGATCTCGAGTTCAAGGCCTATACCCAGAGGCCACCGCGTCTCTTGCGATTAACCTACCGGGAGATTTTTCCGGATTTTTAATGCAGACTAAAGAAGGCGGGTATGGTGATAAAAAAAACCCGTGATTGCGGATGCATGATTCTCGGACCGTACACTTCAAAATTTGTGTTATCAGTCTTGAATCCGAGGGAGGTCCAAACTTTTAATTTCAAAAAGCAGGAGCCAAGTTTGACACGCGTTATTTCTTTTGTCTCACAGTCCAGCCCCTCAGGTGTTATGAGTCCTTATGCCGAGGATCAATGATCAATTGCAGTGAAAATAACTTGAAACAAAGAGTTTGTGAGCCGAGTGACGATCGATGTGCCTGGGTCTATAAGCGACTTAATTCAAGTTTTCAAGATCTGTACATGAACTGCACTTCAAGCAATTTATGCAAAGACGTTGGCCCATCATGTGATCTGCTGATGAAAAACAGAGATGTGTGCTGCGACTATTTGTGTTGTGACTCACCACTTTGCAAAAAGCCGAAATATTTGCAAGGTAGGCTAAGTTCGCGTAAAAAGCCTACAACGAAGGCGTCTTTGCATACACTGATTGTAGCTCCTTTGACCAGCTGCGGGGACTGAAGGGGGAGGAGAGGCAGTAATGAAAAACACAGGTTCAAAACAAAGGAACTTACGTCTCACGTGTAGTATTATCGTTCCTATAATTTCTAAACCAATTCGGAATAGAGAAGTTTTTCGAACGAGTATCGCTAGCGCAGTTTTTAAATGAGTGTCGAACGTAGTCTGAAATTTCTTTGGTTTTGCCTCACTTTGCTTTGTGATTGGTCCAGGAAAAATCGCGTCAACCAATCAGATGCAAAACTAAAACCAATCACGTCTTGGTCGCCCGCGTTTTCCCGTGCGTTGTTTTTACTTTGAACACTCATCGGTTCTTCAAGGTGTTTTCCTTGTTTCTGATTGGCTGTTGTAATTGGTTTGGTTTTGGCTTTACGACAATCCAATCAAAAAGCTCTCTAGCTGATCTCAAGTGCAGAGAAAAACAAGGGACTAAGTCGCACTTGAATTCAGTTTTGCAATTGATTGATTCATAAGCGAGGGAGCAGGAGTTCAAGTTAACCAATCAGAGAGCGTAGAAAAGCAAAACCAATGCAATCGCGGGTTATTTTCAAAACATGAGTGAAAAGGGCTTAAAATTATGTGTAGTCTGGTTGATCGATTGCTCTGAGCCGGAACAAAAAATACAACAAAAGAAACAAAAAGAATAGAGCTTAATTTTTGAATGGTCTAACCCATCAATTAGCAAGTTTTTTTCATTCACACTTTTTTCAGGTGGGAAGTCGTGCAAAAGAAAACCCGATCTCGTCGCGGTCATTTACGGAGGCATTGAGGTCATCCGAGGACATAACGAAAACATCACAATGAATGCGTCACTTTCATATGACCCGGATGTTGGCATCGGTGACTACTCGGGAATGAACTTTACCTGGTTTTATGGCGAGATTACAGGCAATTACACCGGCCTACAGACAGCTACGAATGATAGTCAGACAGGGTTAGACGAGTCGATTATTCGTTATTTTGGGAACGATTCTGGTATAGAAATCACCTTTAATACAGCACCACTGCTCCTCAACAGGACATACGTGGTTAAACTGGTTGTCTCTAAAGACTATCGCGACTCGAGTGCATATCAAATTATTCAGTTGGTGAAAGGAGACCCACCTGAAATATACCAACGGTAAGCGAGTTGTTTTGTGCCGTTCAGTCAGATTGAATTAAGCAACTGTTAACAAAATTCGTTGTATTTACATACACAGTTTTAGATTGCCGCTGATTAAGTACAGTGGGAGCGGTTTCCCACACCATTTTTACCAAGTTTTTTTGACGGAACGATTTTAAGGCAGTTCCGAGAACGTAGTAACTACGAATCATCGGATAGCTCCTCATAAGTAGAATGCTGTAGTCGTCGTTAAAAAAAGTACAAGCATTCTGGACGCATTCAAGTGATTGTGTTTCTTTCCACTAAGCGCAGCTGTCCGCCACACAACCGTTAAGTTTAGAAATGATTATTGTTTACGTTAGAAATTTTTCTCCCTCATCAAAAGCAATTAAAATACTTAATTGACTATTAACTTGCCTATCCTTGACGAGCAAGTTTCGTCATGCACCTGAGCCAAGAGCCATCCAGCTTAAGCCGGCGACATACCCGGCGATTTAAACGCCGATCGGCAAAAATCGCCAGGTGTGCTCGATGCAATGATTGCGATCAAATTTGCCGCGATCGGCCGATAAAATCGCCAGGTGTGTCGCCGACTTAACTCTCCAGTTATTTGTCATAATTTTATGCCATTTTTTATTTTTAAGATGCCTAGTAAACTGTGGACTGAAAGTTGTTCCACAAGTTAAACTCAGTATTCAGTCACAATGCCAGGGGTCCCTGTGCTCCAATATCTCTTCGTATGAGTGGATACTCTATGAACAATCCTCTTCATCTGCAAACAACGGCATCTGGATTCGAAAACAACATTTACAGCTTATCACAGACACACCACTCGGTTCAAGTAATATCGTCATCAAAAAAGGTTCCCTCTCTGGGAGAACAAATTACCGTCTGGCATTGTTTGTTCAAACTACCGCCGGCTTACCAGGGATGAGTGCATACGACATATCCACTACGTCAGCGCCTACAGGGGGCACATGCACGATCACTCCCTCCAGCGGCATCTCTCTGAAAACTGACTTCAACCTGACATGCAGTAACTGGAAAAGTGACAGCATACCTCTGTCCTACCAGTTTCAACATCAACTAGAGAACGGTCTATACAGTATGTTGTTTCATGGTTTTAACAACACGGTTAGCTCTTGGTTACCGCCTGGTAATCTGTCGGAAAACTTCACTGTAAAGGTCAAAGTGATAATTACTGATTATGTTGGTGCCTCTGCTGCGGTGACAAATTTGTCTGTGCAGGTACGACTTTATGTTTCCAGCTGTTTTGGTCATGACGTCATCAGGACGAACTGATGACGTTATAAAATTATGATATCATTGCGAAGTGACCATTTTTGTGAAATTAACACCCATATTTTCCATTTCTTCAGCTGTTAAGAAGGTTCGAGGTATTCTTTTAGTAGAGGGGGGCGTGAGTTTTGAACGATTCGTTATCCGGTATCCGAACCTCCCTTACTTTTTCTTATTTCTTAAAGAAAAGCCCAGAAAAACCAAGCGTTTATATTTTGTAGCATGATTATTTTGATTGCTAACACACGCGAGTTGGTCAGTGAATTGTAATCGTATAGATTGTAGAGATTTTTAGAATGTCATTACTTCGTTGAAGCGAAGGGGATTTTTCTTCAAATCCCCCAAGGGGTAGAACTATTCTTATCGAGTCTGAGATATGGTAAGATTAGTTTTTGCTGTGGCCTTTTTTTATTTTATTTTCCAGTCGATTGGTTCATGTTTGACTTTCTGTAGGTGAAGCCATCGGAGCTTTTGAGGCCAGAAAACATCAGCAGCTTTTTGACAGCCAATGATAGTTTGCTTAACGACGTAATCCAGGATGGAGACTTAAGTAGAGCTGCACAAGTTGCAAATTCTGTCCTTCAGACTGTTTCCCAGGATAGCACCGTTAGTTTACAGGATAAGGCTAAGGTAAGTCAGCTTGATGTTGAGTTAGTGATTGAGGTGAAAATTGCTCCGTAAACCGCACAATTCTTTTATCCTCGTTACTCTCACCATTGTAGTTAAAATTTTGTCTTTTTGGTAAGGGGGGAGGGGTGGTGAGCAATACATACACTACGATTAAATTGATTCATGAAACTTACAGTGTCTCAGAAGTATCTTCTTTCATCTCCACAGATTCAAGATTTTCTGATCAAAAAGATCATCTCTCTACCTGTGCAAAATCTTCCAGACCTTCTCCAAAGCACGTCTGTAATTGGCTCTGCTTTACAGGTTTCGGAGAGAGTGTCCTCCAATACTCTGGTATGAAAATTGTTAAAAAAAAAATGAGCATTTGATAATGAATATTATCAACATTTACGATTGCTCTATATCTTTGAAATTTTAGGAGTCCGCGATGTCTGCTGTCGGTTCAATGACATCACTTCTCTGGAGAGCCGCCCAGTTAAAAGAAGTGACCGACATACCGCTAGTCACTCAGTCTGCAGAGAACCTGGGCACATGTCTCAATAGTGTGCTGAAAACTGGAGCAGTAATAGCGTCAGGAGATTTCGGCTCTGGGCTTCAAGAGCAGGTATAATGTTAAGAACACCTGAGCGATCATATATATTTCATACAATAGGCTAACTCATACATGTGTTTTGATTGGTTCTTGTCTATACAACCTATTAGAGGACTGACGCATAGATGGCGTCACCGTCAACAGATTTTGTTTCTTTATTATATAGAAAAAAAAATTGGAGATCACAAAAGACATAGAAATGTGCTAAGACAAAGAGTCTGAAATGATCAAGGAACATGGGAATGAGAATGGGAAGAGAACCTATGATACTCACAAACTTTTCAGCTAAGATTGGTCGGCAGGCGTTGTTGCTACGTTATACGATCACTTTGATGATCGAATAATGACCGAATTTTGAGTATTTTCAAGGGCAAAAGGATAATGCTTCTACTTCGTAAAAGTCGTTCATTTTAAGTGCAAATTGTGGATACATCTTTAATCTTCAAAAAACCGTGTGTTTATTTAGAAGCACGTACTTTTAAAACTCCGAACAGTAAGTTTTACGAAGCCTGGTGGGCCAATTTTGGCCCTTTCTTCTCTAGTTTAGGGCTCTTCAAAGCGAGGTCGCGATCAAATTTGCCGCTTTATTCTGCCCGATGTTTTTAAGATTAAATAAACTGCCTGTGTACTTATCTTCACAGGGTGTGAAATTCGTTAAGACCGCGATGCAAACAATTAGTTTAGTTGCTGACGCAGTATTAGCTGTTAGAGCCCCGGATGAGGGCATGATCTCCATAGCAACGAGGGAGCTGAGCATGACCTTAGGACGCCACAGCCTCGAGAAACTTGCGGGGTTGAGAATCGAAGCAGCGGGCGGGGTATTTGTTTTTCCTTCTGACAGCCAATCATTACAATTTACTGTCACTGCAAAAGGTTACATTGATACTCAGGTAAGCATGCTTATCAAATTATTCTCAGAGTCATCTTAAGAGCGAATAAGACATGCTATTGACTGTGGGGGTCTGTTAGGAAAAATTTTTGGTTCGTGGTCTTGGGCACCAATTGGATTTTTCTTAAGAATGTAACTCAAGGGCAAAAAGATGTAGGTGACCGAGCCACGATTTACTTTTGCATCTGATTGGTGGAGGGTGGCGCATAAGTTTTACTTGACCAATCACAGACCTTTGTAAGGTAAAATAGTAGCAATGTCTGTTACTTTTTACACTCAATTGAATTCTATTTTAAGCTTTTAATAATTCATTTATGGCAGATGTTGTCAATTCCATTCAACCCCTACACTTGGGACGGAACAAGGAAGCGAGTCAACTCTGATGTCTTAGCTCTCGACTTAAAAGACGAACGCGTAATGTGATTAAAGTGTCAAATCTCTCAAGCGACATCATCATCGTTACATCACTACAGCCTCAAGTCATCGCCTTGGAGAAGCCGCAGTATTTTACCAAAAAAGGAAATCTACGTTTTCATGAGATAGATGTTGAGTTCGAAAACACTCTGGTAAAGCTGGAAATCACTCCTCAAGAGTCCACTGTAAGTCTGTTTGTTTACTTGCAGTATGGTCAGCGGCCAACTACAAAAGTGCATGAACTCAACGCTACTGTGTCTAAGTACTCAAGATGTGTTTGGACGTCAAGTGCGCAAGACAAAAACGAGGGCGAAACTGAGTGTTCATTTAGTCCATTTGAACCCATCGAATTCTTAGCTAAGAGTTCTGGAAAATACTTTCTTGGTGTAAAGATTTCCAATGCCAGCTTGATTATTCCCATTAAGAGGCGTAAAAGATCTTGTTTCGGACAGGGACGGCAAAAGCGCTCCTGCGTCGAAGTCAAGGACCCACCGCCCACCCCACCCCGGAGCGAAAATGTATCAGTGGTGCCAGTTTATGACTCTCGAACGGATTATAACTATACTCTGAAGGTAGCCCAAGAGAGCTGTGTGCACTGGTCAGAGGAGCGAGAAATGTGGATAACGGACGGCTGTCAGGTACGCTTAGGTCATATCAACTCGAAAAACGCGAGAGATCTCCAAAGGCATGTCCCTATGCCTACTGAAGGCATGTCCGTATGTCTGCTGAAGGCATGTCCGTATGCCCTCTGAAGGCATATCCGTATGCCTTCTGAAGATGATCGCAGTTGCTAAAAGAACTGTAGTCTGATTTTCCGTACTTTCCAAAATTATTCTGTACTGTTCAGTATTTTCATATAATCATCATATGTAGTCTGAAAGAAAGTGACGAATAAATTTTTTTGCTTTTACTTGCAGGTTTTATCTGCACAATTAAATGGATATCTCAACTGTTCTTGCAATCATTTAACTTCGTTTGGGGGAAGCCTTTTAGTGAAACCGAATCCCATCGACTTCGACAAGGTCCTGATCGAATTCAAGAAACTGGGAGAGACTGGAAATGTTGCCGTCATTGTAACTGTGGCCGTAGTTTTTCTTATCTATATTGTCGTGCTCGTTATCGTCCGGAAAGCAGATAAAAAAGACAAGAGGAATGTAAGTATGATTGATAGCAATATGTCTTTATTTGTTTATGGGATAAAAATACATTTCCTATGTTACAATTTAAAATCTAAAGCGTACAGTGTATAAAAGATGTAAAAAGATCCCCTATTCTAATGCTAAATTTATTTAAAGACTAATCTATTTACATAGGTACTCTTAGAGTGGACCGTGTTGATCCTGGGTTTTTCAGAGGATTTCCTACTAAGGTTATAATGGGTCGATTTGATTCTAAGTAGAAAAGGCAGGAGAGGACAATTCACAGTGTTAGATACTTTCTTGAAAATGTTACGGTCTTGTGTTTCCAGAAGGTTATGGACAGTGATATGTTAGAACAGAACTGACAGCCACATAGTATACTCTATGCACAAATTTGTCTACGCTGAGTGGCAAAAGTGCCAGGAATATTCCGTCCCTTGACTAAAAAAGGCTTTTGACTGCGGAGATTTTTATTCAGTTTTAAACCCTTCCTACCCCCGAAAACAAAAAACAAAAACAAACAATTCTGTATATTAGTGAATTCTCAGGTCTGATAGAAAATGAGAAACATTGTATTCGAATGGGAAACTACGGGTTCAACCAGAAAGGAAAACAATATGGCGTGCCCGGACTTTTGACGCTGATTGAAGCCATTTTAGAAACTGACCCTTCTCCCCTCCCAAAAAAAAAAACAAAACAAAAACAAAGAAAACAAACAAACAAACAAAAAACCAAACAGAATGAACCATAACTGCCCATAATTACCTTTAACTCGTTAAGTGAATGAAATTATCTAACTCTAGGTTGGAGGATATTTCATTTTTAGGAAAAGGCGCCTGTTCATAGAATTGTTAATGAATATCTTCATTTGTATTGCTTTCCAGAATGGTGCGCCGATACAGTTGCCTTCCGTGTCGAATAACTTGCAAGAATTCGAGATAACCGTTTCTACAGGTGTCTGGAGAAATTCTGGCACAACGGCCAGGGTTGCAATAGAAATTTACGGAACTACTGAAAGCACTGGTATTCTTGAGCTCAGCTCGGAAGAGCCTGGTGCAGAGAATTTGTTATTTTCTCGAGCTAACACAGACGTGTTCGTTCTTAAAGTTAGCAATCCTCTTGGCACGATTCAAGGAGTGCGAATCGGTCATGATAACTCTGGAGAGAGTCCTTCGTGGTTTCTAGAAGAAATTGTGATTTTAGACAAGCAGTTTAACAACTCTTGGACATTTACGGTTAATCAGTGGTTTGCCCTTGAACGAGGTGACGGTCGAATCGAGCGTACCTTTGAATTAACGCCCAATCAACTAGATTTCAACCAGGAGGTCATGAAGCGATGGTGGAAAGGCCTCACTGAATCACATATTTGGGTTTCAGTTGCAGCAAAGCCACGAAAAAGCCGCTTTTCAAGAGTACAGCGGGCGTCATGCTGCCTCTCTGTGCTATTAACGGCTATGCTCGCTAATGCGATGTTCTATCAATTGGATGGTGGCACTGAAGAGGTCTTTCAAATTGGACCTCTAAAATTTTCGTGGAGACAAGTAATTATTGGTATTGAAAGCGCGTTAATTGTAGCACCAATTAACGTTCTCATAGTATTCCTGTTTCAAAAAGGAGGAGAGAGGTCTGAGACTAGCACTGGTCGTTTTTCTAAAGCAACCCTGTTGATATATCTTGCTTGGTTTTTGATCATCTGCGCATGTGCAGTTTCGGCGGTGTTTTCAGTCTTCTACAGTCTGATGTGGGGAAAGAGTATCAGTGAAAAGTGGCTTTCCTCAATGCTGATATCGTTCAGCCAGGATGTAGTAGTCACTGAGCCTGTGAAAGTTTTCTTCATGGCGATGTTTGTAGCGGCTATTTTCAAAAGGAAAGCAAGCAGAGGAAAAGGATATGAAAGCATCGAGGAACCCCAAAGTAGCCCCTCAAAACAAAGGTTATGGAATCTAGAATTATCCAAGGTGGAAGAGATGAGAAAGAATCAAGCCAGAAAACAAAACATTTCGCAGTTTTTTGTGGACCTTTTTCTTTATCTTATTTTCATTTTTTTGCTAATGGTGGTTTGTTATGGTAACAGAAATGACCATCGATATCTCATGACAAAGTCCATCCGAGAAGGATTACCAAAGTTTAGCACGGTGGGTAATTTCATTAAAAGAATTGCTGTAGTTTATCATCAAAAGAAGTCGCATCCATCATCAGAACCCTTTACACTCGGTTTTCTGCCTTTGTTGATATACCAAAAATAGAGAGAGGATGAAAGCAGACTAGAATGAATCAACTTTGGAAAATTATTTTGTATCACTTGCTCAGTCTTTCTTATCACCTTTAAAATCCGTTTCCTTGGCTCTACTCCTGTTTAAAAAAATTAATTACGCGAACTCTGCCATATTTGAACCAGCTTATTTGCGCACAAAATGTTTCTACGTACAAACGATAATTTTCATCGTGTTCTTACGAAACACATTACTTTCTCTTACTTCATCACTCAGGTACTGAACGATAAGGAGTTTTGGAGGTGGTTAAACGATGTTTTCATACCTGGCGTGTTTGTTGGCAAATGGTACAATGGCAAAGAGGAGAATCAAACCATGTACATAGGTGATAAACATTCTCTGCTCGTAGGAATGGCGCGAGTAAGGCAGCTGAGGGTGAAATCAAGTAAGTTTCGTCGTCAGTTTTCCCAGTATTAAACCAAATGTTTGTTAAGACCTACCAAACAACGCCATTTAACCCATACGTCATCCAGTGGCTTCAAACTCATGGATAAATTAGTTTATACGACATTGGGTAAAACTTAGTCGTGTACACAACACAGAGTTTAGCATAAGATATATTCATGTATGCTGCACGGGATGAAATACTGTCAAGAACTACAATCTTAGTTGTTCATTACTGCCACAGCTTATTCCATTTGCCATACCATTGTGGAAGAAGTATGCGTATGGTCTACAAACTATACAACTTTTCATCTACACCCATGAGAGGTTTAAAGCAAATTATAGCACTGATCACGTTTTGAGATTCCAAAATATGACATTACTTAATGAAAATTGTCTCCAAATAAGCGATGATCATGCGATAAACGCCCCCATTTTGAATCTTGCCTAGCAACCAGGCCGTTTTCCTGTTAGATTACCAACTTTTATCATGTCCCAGATCCTAGCAATCTGTTTTAATATTAAGGAGTTACTCTAGAAGGCATCCTAGCCCTTGACTCGAATAATGATCTGACGACTAAGTGTGAACCGCTTTCTTTGCTTTTTATCGTGGATAGTGGTCTGTGGAGGAAATAAAATGTTTTTTCCTCCTTTTACATATAATTTTTCAGTTGATTTTTGGAACAACTCGTTTAGGGATACCCTGAATACAAAAAGAATTTCCCATTCGAATTGCTCAAAGGGCAAAAAATCGAGTCAAAACTGATCATCTTTCCTTTTATGTTATTTTTAATTTTTTCAGCCCCGTGTAAAGTCTTGGACTATATGAAAACTACCTTTCCGACATGCTACGAGGGATTCTCGCAAATTAACGAAGACAAGACTGTATTTCATAAACCGGGATGGAACCCTGTCGATAACTCTACGAGTGATGACGAGCTGCTCCGACTCTGTCCGAAGCCATGGCGATACCAAAATGCTGACACAGCACCAAAGTGGGGAAAGTTCTCGTTTTATCCAGGGGGAGGATTTGTTGCAGACCTCGGATACGATACTTCCACCGGATATAGCATCGTTGAGAACCTTAAGAGCTATTACTGGCTGGACAAACAGACCAGAGTTGTTATGATGGAATTTGCCGCGTTCAACCCATCCGTAAACCTTTTAACTGTTGTGACGTATTTCTATGAAGTGGAAGCATCCGGGTACAAGGTGCCTTTCACAAGAAGTAATATTATTTCTTTGAATTCGACGGAAACAGCATCTAATGAGTTTTATCTGATCTGCATACTTTTGTTCATCGTGTTCATTCTGTTCTTCCTCGGAAGAGAATGCTATAAGCTTTATAGGCAACGCTGCAGATATTTCAAGTCCTTCTGGAATTGGGTCGAAATCTCTCAGATTACTTTCTCTGTTTCAGCTGTGGTAATGTATATTTTACAAACGATCAGGGTGTCGGAAACGATCCAGAAATTGCAACAAAACATTTATGCGAATGTAAGCTTTCAAGAAGCTATCGTTTCGCTGGAAGTGGAGAATGCAACGCTTGGAATTCTCACTTTTATCGTCATTTTGAAACTGTTGAGAATGATTCGGTTTAATTCTCATATTGCAGTGTTTTCTAAAACTCTTCAGACATCCATGCGTCTTCTTTCATCATTCAGTTTCATTTTATTTATCATTTTTGTGGCTTTCTTGCACTTCGGCATTTTGATTTTCGGGAATGGATCTGAGTTTTATTCGTCGATTCTTAAGGGAACATACTTTCAACTCGAACTCACTCTGGGACGAGTGAAAGCGAGGCCTATTAATACTTTAGCAGAAGCAAATGAAACCTTTGGAAGAATCTTCGCTGCTCTAATACTATTAAGCCTTACTATTCTATCCATGAACTTTTTCATCGCTTTAATGAATGAAGCACTTTTTGAGGCAAAGGATTCAGTGAATCAAAGTGAACTTTATGATCTAGTGGATGCATACGACTGGCCAAGGAATGAGGAGAGGAAGGCTTTATTCGATGTGGTTAGTAACGCTATGAAACGGATGAAATTCCAGCAAACCTCCACCGCGTTGGAAGAAACAGAAGTAACAAACGTTGCCTTAAATTCTAACAGAAGCAAGTCAATTCATTTTGATTTAATCAGCAAAGCCATTACAGCTTTAAGGAAACGGGAGGTCCAAGAATCGGTACATGAAAAACCAAGAAACATCAGAAGAAAATCTCTCTTTGATAGAATAAGTTCTATTATCCAAAAGCGTAGAGATGATAGCTCTGAAAGAAACTACAGACGAAAAATGAAAAAGAAAGTGAACTTTAGAGATGATGTTGTTAAATCTCAACTGAAGAAAATACACAAAACGAAAAAGGATTTATTTCATCGATTGGATAATATTGTGCAAGGATATTTTGAGGAGGAAGAGAAATTTCATATAATATGTCACGAAATAAAAGCGTATGGCTCTCAGGATGATCTGGGAAACGTTACGGTCACGGGGACTGAGAACGAATCATTTTCTTAAAAGTTTCCAATTTGATAACAGTAAGAATTGAATGTAGAAACTGTAGAGGAGTGAATAAGAGGGAAGAGGAGAACATGGTTGGATCTCGTCGCTAAAGAACATCAGTAATTAAAATCCAGATATTTTTCAGTTTTTTAAGTTTTTTTAATATTTCTTTGTTTTTATCTCATTTTGTTGCTGTTATACACAAGTCTGAATCAATTTCCCAGCTTTTTGACATTATTATAATAAATCTATAAATATGTTTTAAAAGGAGCCACCTTAATTAAACAAATTTTCGTTTTTTGGTATCCCCTCATTATGTATTATTGTCATCGTTGTCGTTGTCACTGGCATCAGAATCGCCTTCTAACTCAAAACATTTATTCAATTTTGTAATATATAAATCTTTTACTTTTCCTATGGCTTCTGAAATACTGTCATTAACAGGTGTCTTTTGACGGAGCTTAGATCGAGACATTTACGGAAGTGATGAAGTTCAGTTCCGCAGATGTACGGGTAGTCGTTGATTTCCGTTCCGGAATCTTCGGAATCGGATTCACATCCATGTCTTTCTCCCCAGTGCAATTACGATTTTGATTCAAAATCTTCCTTGGATCCTTTTAATGAAGACTTCAATTACGTTTCATTTAAGTACGGTATACGATATCCTGATGGCCACTATCGGCAGTTAACATGGCGATGTAATAACACGCCAACAATCCGTTGACGCATCAAAATCAGCCCCATATATACTTGAGGAGCATTCTAACAATATCGAAGTGACCATTTTGATACGCACAATGAAAAGGTGTCATTCAATAATTTTTTCCTTGCTCAACTGGCAGCCTCTCATAAAGCAGGAGTGTGATTGACATTTTCCGTATCGCTTTTTGCCGCAGCGTGATGAAATGGAGAACAATTTCTCCAATCTCTAATATGAACATATGCTTGAAAGTTTTGTTTAAGGAGTGCGAGGACATCATGTGTGTATCTTCGCGGGATCTTCCCCGTAAGACAAAATAAATTTGATAACATCAACAGGTCCACATTAAGGCCGTTCTTTAACCGCTGTTTTGCTCTAGTATTTTGAACTTCAAAATTGCGTCTCTTATAGAGGAATTAATTAAGCTGCCTTACGCTTTCGCGTCTTGCGATCACATGGGAAAGAAAACTTGTTTGAAAGCTTTCTATTTAGCAGCCCTGAGTAGTTCTAGGAGCTACTTGGTAACATAAGTAGGGATACCTGTGTCACTGCCATTCCTGTGGTTTAGGCTGAGACGAGAGGGAGCTGGTAACAAGTTTGCTTTCCACTTTGTTGCCAAAGCACTCCTGCTTGTTGTGTTCTGCAAACCACAAGATACCGGAATTTTATGGGTTTTTTTTTCAGCAGAGGAAAACGTTTCGACAAACTCAACCTTAATTTATAAACAGTCATTACAAGAGATAAGGGATATTTTATTCGTTGTATCAGGTGCAATTGACTTAAGACTGCTAAGTGGCCTGTTTCAGCGCGACCGATTGACAACGTTTGACTTTGGGCACTTCCATTGAAAAAACTTTTTATTTATTTAAATGGCTTCAAGTGGTGGATCTGGAGGGAGGTCACCTCAAAAGCTACGAGAATTAGTTAACTCTAGTAAGGTAAGGCTAAATTTTAAAAGGTTGACTGTGGTTAGTTGACTTGAAACAAAGCAGCCAAGTTAATTTTCGACTTGTTGATATATGTCTGAAATGTCTGAAAACATTTCTACTCACACAACCAAGTAGATGCTGGGTTCAAGTTTCTTGTGTACAAATTTTTTTGAATTTTTTATTTTATTTTAAGAATCATGCGGGTATCTATGACAGATCACGATTGTACATGTACATATGAATATTATAATTTCCAGTGCATACAGGAGCCACGTCTAAAGAATATTAAAATTTCTCAGGCTTCTTGAATGCCTTATTTATTATGTTTAATACTTAAGATCTATTGAGAAGATATTTCCTTTTCTTCCAAAAATAATGAAATGTTAGTGAAAGAAATAAGCGTTCTTATATTCAAATTGCCTCTCTTTGTTTTTATATAATGAAAGGTATCTATTTGTTTTCTCAATTTATGGACAGGTGGTAATCTTATTTAAAGCTCCCAAAAATCCTCCCAGCTGCTAATAGTTAACACTGTTTTTAAACCGTTACACCACAACATCAGTACCCCTACTCTCCACACTCTTCTCTATACATTACTTTTGGTACTGATAAGGAGAATTTGATATACAATCAAAGCTTCCTAGGTTTGTGATCATTTCTTTAATTCTCATGATCTTAAAGAATGATTTAGCACTATTACTATAAGGAGAAATTAGATGCTGGTCACTCTTAGGGTTAAAAGTTTTTTAGGCAGAGTTCTTTCCTTTTTCTTACCCAAAAAACAAAAAACAGACAGTATTGGATGTTGATTAGGAATGTACACATGTACACTTGAAAATTTTTTCTTCATGTAAACAAATCAAACTAAAGTTGTGTGTGTGAGCCATTCACAGTAGGATCCAATAGAATGGGAAATAACCCCAGTACATATCATTGTCACCCTCTAATTGTTTGTTGTTTATAATTGTAGTTTGACAGTGTGGAATTTCCTGAAGAAATGAAAGCAAATCTGGAAAAGCTAAGAGCACTGTCAAAAGATGATTTATCAGAAAATGGACTACTGCGTTCTCGCATTGATCAGCAGTGTGAACTGATATGTATTCTAAAACAGCGTGCAGACGAATCTCTGAAGAAGTGCATGACTCTTGAGGAAGAAAACAGTGAGCTTAAGAAACACAGAGATGAAATATTGACTGCTTTGCATAATGAAACAAGAAAGTTTGCTGTGATGGAGAAAAGATTCTTTGTGCTTAATAAGAATCATGAGGAACTTATTAAAATAAAGGATGAATACAAAACTGAGAATGAAAAATTACGGATGGAAAACACTAATCTGAGGAGGGAAAATGAAGGACTTTTTGGAAGCCTTGTGCAAGAGCGAGATGCACAAATTAAGCAACTAAGAGATGAGTTGAAAAGTCTCCATGATGAATACCAAGCTGCAAGGGAAAAAGAAAGGTTAGAATAAATAAATAAATAATCTATCTTTTTGCCTCAATTAACACACTCCCCCCTGCTGCATATGCAAGAACCTTTGTTAACTTAATTCTAAGAGCTTTTTATGATGTAACAACTAGTTTCCATTGTTTCACAATAACTTCTACATGTAATTTCAGCATATGGTTTAAGTTATTTGCTAATTAATTGTTATTTTCCTTTTTAAGGATAGCATTGGGAAATCTGTCTGCTATGGAAAAGAAGCATGGTGAACAGACTGAAAAACTTCAGCAAGAAATCAAAGTTTTGCAGAAAGAGGCAGAAGGTTTGTTCAGGGAAATTCATTTTACATTGTGACTACCATCACCAGGATCACTTGCTCAAAAGAGAGCAATCCTTGTACAGAAAGCAAGGATTGAATGCCATCTAAATTGTCTGTTGTCTTCTTTTGCTTTTTTCTGAAGCACTGATTGGAAAAATTATGGTAGAATCTTTGCTTATTTGCTAATGGTGTGTTTGGTTGATTTTTTTTTTAACCCTTTACATCCAAAATCAATATGCATATTCTCCATACTGTTCTTTATACATTTCCCAAGGTGCTGATAAGGAGAATTTGTTGAAAATCAATAGCTTCTTTTGTTGGTGATCATTTCCTTTATTCTCATAAATTTAATGTGTGATTCAGGGGTGATATTGTAAGGAGAAATTAGATGCTAGTCACTCTTAGGGGTCAAAGGGTCAAGTGATCTCAGTAACAGTACTGGTACTGTAATTTTTAATTTTCAGCTATGAAACAATTTATTTTTATTTTTTATTGTGTAGTGAAAATAGATTTCTTATGTTCCTTGTTTTGACGTTCCTATTCTTTAGAGCAGCATAGGAAGTCAGAGGAAAAGTTGAAAATGTCCTCAATAGAGAAAGATGAAACTCAAGCAAAGGTATTGGGATTGGCCAAGGATAGAGATGAGTTTGCAAAACTGGCTTTAGAAAGAGGGAAAGCTTTAGAAGTAAGGATTTGTTTGCATATTTTTAGAAAATGATATTTGGTTATATTGTATGCATACTCTTGTGGCACCATTTAGCCTCTGAGGGCTGATGAAGACCTGGACATGGGCCAAAGGGTCCTAACAAGCCCCCGAGAGGCTATTTTTTTCCAGAGGCTTCCTATCATAGGGATTTGATTTACTTGTTTTCAACTGCCAATGGTACAACAGGTGGCTGTACCATAATGCAAAATGCAAAATTCATGATTAAATTCAAATGCTAATTCATGATTATTATCACTATAATTCAGGAAAAACAAAGAGAAATGAAAGAGATTTGTCAGAAACTAGAAGAGACTGAAAGATCACTGAAAGAGACTGAAGATAAGTTTGTGTAAGTGTCTAGTATTTTTATATGACAGAGTCTTTCAATTTATTTCTTTATTATCATTATTATTTTTGATTTTTTTCTGTGTAAATAACATGATTTATCACCAAGTTTTATTGACTGCTAAGACTTTTTTTGACACACTACAGGTCTGAATTACGCAGCATGTCTGTGAATGCACAAGTTCTAAGACTCAAAAAACAGCTTGAAGACTCCGAGAGAAGACAAAGGGAAAGTGCAAAGGTAGGTCATTATGATATTTTGTGCCATGAATTTATGAAAGACATAACATTTAAACTTAAACGTATACTTGCCGTTTTTCTTTTTCATTTCTGCTGTCCTAGAAAAGCCAAAACACCGAATTCGTTCCGTGTTAGACACATAAGGCGATGGTTTCTTGAAATACCCTATCAGAGTTTGTGTAAACACGTTTTAAGCACATATTGTGGATCATTCACATCTAGTGGACGCGATGACAAGTGCATTAAGCGCGATTGGTCGTAGAGCGCGCGTGTAATGTGCGTGTAACTCTCGCGTAATTAGAAAGTAAGTGAAACTGACAAGCAAGTGTGAAAAAAAGGTACTAGTTTACCATTTATTTTGTGTGATGTAATAATCCGTGATAGAGCAGCAACAGTAGAAATATGTGACCTTAACTGGCTACACCTTAAAAATTTATCGAAACCTCTCTTTTTTTGGCAGGAGCACGATGCATATAAACGACATATGTCCACCTTGTTGGGAAAGGAGAAGGAACTAAATAACAAGCTCAGAGTTCTTATTGGTTAAAATGCTTCGGATTCAGTCATCACGTTCATGGGCTCGGCGTGACAGATGTACGAAAGGCACCAACACGTGCACATCGATCGCATGACAGAATAAAGTCAGGCATATAATTATAACCTTAAATTTGGCTGAGGTAGTAATTAAAGTATTGAAATGTCTGTGTATTACTATGAGTAGTTAAGTCTCTATTTGGTGGATTCAGATCGTAGCTGTCTATCACTTGTTTCGATTCCTCTCATCCGATGATGTACAGTGTACTCAAGCTGTGTTGGATTAGCTGTGAGGGTAGAGACTCGCTACTGCGTCTTAGTCTCGATTTCTAAAAATAACTTTCTTTTTCCACATTTTTGTTATTGGATTAATTTTCTGCATATTGTGACTTTCTTTAGTAAAGAATGGTGTTGTCTCATACTTGTGTCTGCGTTTCAAATGGTTTCGTTGAGGTACAGTTCGTTTAGAGGCGATCAATTGTTAACTGGCCCTTTAATCAAACGACCTGTGTCAGATTATAGATGCTCCCCCTCAACTTCTCTTCCCCCACCTCAGTCAGACGCTATCATAGGATTTGGGAGGCTTTTGTCTAATTTCGGATGCTATTGTTCGATTTCGGACGCTTCTGTCAAAATTCTGACATGACACATTTATATATCCAAAATATACCGTATAATGTACACTAGGGTGTCAATGACAGCCATTATTATAAATAACACTTTGAACATGTATTAAATTTACCAGTCCCTGTGACTATTGATGTAGAACTAAGTGCGCCTTCTGTATTAGCTAAATAGAAATACCATTTCGGGGAATTTTTTTAAAGCACAATAGAGCTTGCTAGATCTCCTGCCTTATCTCGTACTTTCTAACTGCGTCTAGTAATATCTGTAATTTGTTACAAAAGGCGAAATGAATCAAAGAATTGTGCAATTTCGAACATTATCCTTAGATTTCGCACATTACCGTTGGATCTCACACTTCATCTCTAATTTTGGTCGCTATCGTCCAATTTCGGACATTTCTGTTTAAAATTGGACACTTATGTCTTAAATTTCCTAATCATTCGACATCTTTTGCTTTCGGACCTTAGCGTCCATATTTTAACGCTTCTCTCTTGTTTCGTGCACTTAAGTTGGATTTTGGATGCTAATGTTCGATGACAGACACTTAAGTCAGATTTCTTTGGACGCTATCATCTAATCTCCCTCTTGAACACAAGACAAGATTTATCTGACTTTAGAGGATATTATTCGAAGGGTTAACGTTCGCTAGGTGAAATCTTTTGAATGTGGAATACGCATAAATGATTCCTGTCAGATTTTCAGATTCGGGCTGCAACAAGCCTCTCTCTGTCGGGAGACTGGTGCATACGGAAGCTGTCAAATATCACGTGACCTGTAGGAGTTCCTTGCAGCCATCTTGAATCTCGTAAGGTAAAGCTTTTTGTTTCCGGATAGAAGGGTCCGCAAACACCACGGTTTTCTTTAGCCAAAATGATTCTCCTAGAGATCAACAACAGGATTATAGAAGAGACACTGAGAGCCAAGTTCACGGGGTAAGACTGTTGTAGCATGGTTTGTTCTTTACTTATGAAATTTGTTTTCGTTTGGGAGGTGTGTGATCGATTCCGGCTTGAAACAGTTTTGCTGAAGAATTATAACCTTTCTCTTACAGTGGGAAGTTTGAGTCCGTGGATATAACGGTGGCAGGTTTGTTGTCTCTAATGTATCATTCTGTTTGTCCATAGGGTTGATATATTATTGCAGAAAAAGCGCAGGTATCGCCATACATGAGTTGCATACATCTGGACCAAAAACATACTTAGATACTATGTCTAAATGATTTTACCTTTCCAATTATGTTCTTTAAGGTTTCTAGGGACCACTGAAGACTTCTACTTCTTCTTCTAGTGAAGCCATGTCATGGAACACTTTTCGTATAGAAATTCTGTATGCTTGATAATGACCAGTACAAGTAGTATAAACATGCAAGCTTTTTATTATAGGAAATTTAGCGACAGAAAAAAAAAAGAAGCTAAAAGAAAAAAAACATCCTCAATGTCTATATAAAAAATGCTTAGGCCTTTGAAATTGAGGTGGAGAATTCTGTGGAATAGCCAGAGAATTCTCTAGTCCTCAATGTGTACTAAACACCCCAGTGTGTGCAGGTCGTTCTGATTTAAAGTCAGTTAAAGGGTAATTCTTTCCATGTACATGTATGACATGGTAGGTTCAAAACCTTTGAAATTTTTAGACATTTGACAAAATTGACATTTTTCAGATTTCGATGGAGTGCAGTTTCATATCTCCAACCCCAATGGTGAAAAATCAAAGATTATGGTAAGTATTAGAAAAAGTTTCCCTTTTAATCTTTGAATTCTTTGTTTCACTTTTGACTTTCATAATTTAAGAATCATTTTCTCCTCACAGCTCAGCATTTCTATGAAATTCTACTCTGATTTACAAAAGTATGGAGCTGATGAGGTATGGTAGAATCAAAATTTCTTGTAATAATGATGGGCAACTTTTGGGTTGTTGACTCTTTTTTATATGAAATGAACAGGAATACAGAAATACTAAGTTAGGAGCAGAAGATAGATGTGCAAACATTTTGATTCATGTGTAAACTTTTGCTTTCAAATGCTGTCTGTACTTTTTCTTTTTCTAATTTTTTAATTATTATAGCTGCTCAAAAAAGTGTATGGAAGCTTCATGACAACTCCTGAAGAGGGTAAGTGGCCATTGCGTACATCTTTTACTCAATTATATTGCCATCAAATATGCAGCACCTTTCAATATGCAGTGCTGGTTGAACAAGAATATTTTTAATCACTGCCAAGAACAGGGGCTGCATGTGAAAATGAACTCTATCAAGAAATGTATGTAAAACACCAGTAGGGTTCAACTTTGTTGAAACAGTCTCTTTTTTTTTCTGTATAACAATATTTTCTATTTAAAAATGACCATAACTCCCCATCTCTCCAGGGAGCTATGAATGTTTGCACACATTATGCAAACAGGGGAAAGCCTATCTTTTCTGTAAACAGAAAAACTGCTTCTTTTGAGTTGATATTTCCTTGTTATCATTTTTCTAGAAATAGGAGGATTTTCTAATAAGCTACCTTAGCAATCAATCCCAATAAATAAGTCCCCCCCCCCCTTAAATAAGCACAGCAATCAAGTCACGAAAAACAAATTTTTTTGGTGCTTACTTAAGTAAATGAAGTCTGTTTTCACCTAAAAGTATGCTTTTCTTTTATAGCCTATGATGTTTCCCTGTTGATTGACTTAGAGCAATTGCCATCTGATGAGAAGGAAAAAGGTGATTGTCACCAATTTAATATTTGAAGAGCATTGTGCATACTGTGAGGATCAGTAGTGTTGTTGAAAGGGTGGTCACTACATGTATTTTTTTTCATTAATTATAGTCCTGTAACTATGAATTATTTTGGTCTCCTTCCAGAGGAACTTATTCAGAAATTTGCTCTGTTGAAAAGAAACTGCTTTGCCTCAGTGTTTGAGAAATATTTTGACTATCAACAAGCTGGCTCTGGTGGAAAAACTCAGGCAGTCATAAATTACAGAGAAGATGAGTCCATGTGAGTTAAAGAAGATTTTTTTTAACATGTTTTATTTTTTCCTCCTTGACCGTGGCAGTTCAATCTCTGAGACTGGTACATTTATTTTTAGTTTGTCTTAACCTCTTCCTTCCCAAATTCAAATTGAAAATTGAAATTCTCTGTTCTGGCTACTATAAATTTTTAATAAGTGATGATGATGATGGATGCTCATGGGTCAAGTTGTTTCTTCCTGTTTCTTTCCAAAGTCTTAATGCTCTCACAGCAAATACATGTACAATTTAGTGTTTTAGCATGATAACACCCCCTATATGATAGGTCAGTCTATACTGGTCACCTGCTTACTGGAAGTGTAAGGAGAGGTTATCTGTTTTCTCTCTTCAGGTATGTCCAAGCAACAGATGATCGTGTTACAGTTGTCTTCAGTACTGTATTTAGAGATGATGATGATGTGATCATTGGTAAAGTCTTCATGCAGGTACAGTTTAGGCTAGCTCTGTGAATGCTTATTTTTTGAAATGTGAGGAAAAATAGTTCACAGAAGCAAAATTATCCCTATCCTTAATTCCTTCTCCCATCCCCTCTCATCCCTCTGAGAAGAGAACAAGTTGTATAATTGTAAAAGTAACTAATTTTTATCATAAAGAAGCCACCAAATAAAGAAAATTTGTTAATGGGGACAACAGCACCAAAAGTGTTTTAACTTGGAATGTTTATCCATCCTCCTCTACAAAGATAATGGTCCATCCCTTTCATAGGAATTTTTTGCAACTGAATCTGTTGGATTCTGTAGATTTTCTAAAATTTCAGCCTTATCCATTGAACTCCTTTTATCCTACGGTTAAAGTTAGGTTGATATTGTAATATAATATAATCTTGTAACAGTGTTTTCACACAGCAGTCAGATTTATTTAGACAGATTGTCTACATGTATATTAGAGAATTAAAACTTCCTATTGTGTGTCAGGAATTCAAAGAGGGCCGTCGTGCAAGCCAGACAGCACCACAAGTCATCTTCAGTCACAAAGAACCCCCACAGGAATTGCAGGGAACTGGTGCCAAGACAGGCGATAACATTGGATATATCACCTTTGGTTAGTATCCATTCTTAGACAGAATCTTTTGTTACCCTTGTGAGTGGAAATGATGGAGGATGATCTGACTATTTCTTGTAGCAACATGAAACAGTTGGGGAGATTTCACAGCATTTTGAGGACATACATTGTAGTATTAGCAGAGGGAAAGTGCCAACTTTACACGGTTTTTTTTTTTTTTAATTCTAATGTAGAGTAATGGAGCTCAACTTGAGTGAAGAGTACAAGAGTTACCCACCCCTCCCAAAGGAGATTCTATTTAAACTACCCACTGAGTGATGATGGAAGTGAAAATAGGTCTGGAAACAGACTAGTGCATGCTGAATCATTAATCAAAGTTCTTAGACTCAAACTATTTCTTATCCTATAAGTAAGATGAAAATCACTACTAGAAAAGAATGCTAATCTTATCCATTCATTGCCAGTGTTTGCATTGTAACGCTCAGTCAAAAGTAGTTTTGACACACACTTAGAGGAGTTTTAAGCGAGTGATAATCATATTAAACGATGACCATCTTGTACCTTTGTAGTTCTTGAACCACGTCACACAAAGCCTGATGCTCGAGACAGCACCATCAATCTTATTCACACCTTCAGGAACTACCTGCATTATCACATCAAATGCTCAAAGGTACTTCTTACCTAATACACGTGTTACAAATTATTAAGATTTTAATTTTTATGTGGGGATGCAGGCCCCAAAACTAAACCAAAAGACCTTGTTACCACTTGTGAGTAAAAGAAACGCAGTGATTTAACAGAACGTTCTTGTGTGTTTTATAAAGGCCTATCTTCATTCGAGGATGAGAGCTAGAACAGCAGAATTCATTAAAGTACTCAACAGAGCCAAACCGGAACAGAAAACAACAGAGAAGAAAACTGTGAAGTACGTAATACGAGTGTAGTTCTTTATTTATCGTCCATAATTTGGTTATCTGAACGAGCCAAGGGTTTACCTGGTAATTGAAACAGTAAGAAAGGCTTTTCTTGGGCGGCGGAAAAACGGGATAGCCGTCAACATTGTGGGACGAATTTTTACGAAAACGGTTCAGTGGAAATAAGGAGAAAATCGCATCCAGCAAATGTAAAAGGAATTCTTGTTCAAAACAAGCGATCTGATTTCAAGGCTTCCGTGAATTAGTCAATCGAAATGCGTTGTTGCAAATTGCTCCGACGACGGGCTAACGCTCGAAAGGTGAGCTTTGAAACTCTTTACGGTGGCCAATGTACATTATTAACTCAACTCAGATAAACGCAAATTATCTTGTTAACTGCCCCACCGACGCAGCACCACAGTCTCTTTAGAAACGTGCCCCCTTATTAACTTGCGTTATTGTTTTTACAGGGGTACGACATTTGTTCGTCAGTAAGGATCAATTTCTCGTTGGTTTCAACCGCACAACCAAATGCTGGAGCTGAACGCTACGAGCTGATTTGTGGGAAAAGAAACAAAGTTTAATCTTATATCTTGAATCTTACGTTTTCTATTGCATTTTATATGTAAAATTAAGAGGAGTCCTTGAAGTAAAGATGTTACGTACGGTAGTTAAGCCCAGTTTGAAGTAAAACGCCATTTTGTTATGTATCGTGCATTGGTTTTTAACAGTAGTATTTTGCCATCACAAAGCAATCCTTTTGTTGACATGTTGGAGAAATCTTCTGCCGAGGTTGAAAAACAATCTGGAGTTACAATGGTTTTGCTAAACTTCGCGCAACTTTATCGCCATTTTAAGGTCCAAAGGCATGAATTTTCATTATTATTTTCTACGATAAACAGGTCTTTACCTGAGACACTCTCCCAATCAGGAATTTCAACATTCACTCGTTTAATTTTCTCCAAAGTAGCTACAAAATTTTCTTTACAATTATTCAATATGTTGGTAACTGGTAGTTGCTACAAAAAAGTAGTTTCGTGCAAATTCTTAGATCAATAAATAAAGTTCCTACTAGTTTAGTGCTTTGTACTCTAAATTTCCATTCCGACTGTCCCTAAATTAACAGTCCATAGTTACTGTTGTTTTTAAATATCATAACTAAGAAATTTCATGAGAAGCTTTTCTGCAAATATATTTTACTCAATAGGTAAGTCTGTCCCACACGACCCACCTACGAATAGAAACAAACTCCTGTGCTGTGGTGATGGACAGCCTCGCTTATAACGAAAAACATTCTTTAGTCCATTCCAGGGTTCTATCCATGCGAACCTAAAAATTACTACTGATAAACTGACTGCTAAACTATAAAACAGGTGTTGAGTAAAACTGAGGCGTTTTTAACTGTGTGCTTAAATTAACGTCTAAGCAAATTATATTTCTACAAGGTTAAAAGATATCCGTCCGTCTCTCGAAACGTCGGCGCATAAGTCTATCGACCAGCGGTCGGTAGACTAGTGTCCTCTCGTCTTGCTGGTAAACTCTCTGATAACAATCAAGCATATCGGTGAATTGCGATCAAAAAAGGTGCATTTTAGGGTATTTAAGAAGCACTAACGTTGACTATAAACTGAAGAATTTGTAATCCAGCGAATGAATTTGTAATCCGGCGGGAAAGAATGCTGCCCATTTAGAATAACTTACTTCCTCGCGTAAGTAAATACTCTAATACTTAAAGTTTTCGTTCCTAGTGCTTAACACTCCTCTGATCATGGCCTCCTCTTCATCATCCTCAAGATCGAGGTCATCATTTGAGATCAGCATCGGTACCGGCTCCCTACGAGCATCGGCCCCGCCGCAGAATTTACGGGCTTTCTCAAAATGAAACAAATGACCACGAATCTTGTACGCGAAAGAAGCGTACAGTAAGCCGCCTGTTCCAACTGCGCCCACAGACATCAGTGCCAACAAACCGAAAGTCTCAGGCTTGGGAAGAGCTATAACTAAGCAGAACATGAGAAGGCTTAAAATTGAGTTGAAAGAGTTTTGCATCCCGCCCACAATTCCTCTCTCTTGTTCTGGTACTGCCTCTTGGGTGAGTTGGGTGATGGTTAGATCAGACAACCATAACCCAAGGCGGGATGAGACGATCCCTGCAAGTAGCAAGCTGATGGAGACATATGAAAAACTGTTGCTTACGGCCTGCGGCATAGAGGCTGTTGTCTTCAAACTACAGTTGCGGTTTGAAGGAGAAGAAGTAGGAGAGACGACTGAATTGGAAGGCACCACACTGGGTGTGGTCTTGGATGGCAAAATGGCTGTTGTGGATGGTATGGCTTGTGTTTTTGATCTATTCACCCGATTAACAACGGACGGCACTGTTACGCTTGCTAAGGACATTCTTGCCGTCGTTACTGCAGTATTACTATAGTCTACATTTCTTCTCATAAACTGCAAATTTGAAGGATGAACGTTTAGAGAGGAATTCCTGGGCCCTTCATTCATGCAACTGGGAGAGAGAGTTGGTGTGGGAGTTGTCTGCTGAGGTGCCTTACACTGGGGCAGCAAAGGTTGCCCTGAATTTCTTGGTAACAAGAAGAACGGCGAACCAGGAGCAAAGACAGCAGCGACACACAAAAGAAGGCAAGAAAACTGAAGAGACATGGAGAATAGCCCGCAGCGAACAACACCAACAGCATTTCTCAATCGGGGAAAAACAAATGTAGCAAAGACACCAAACAACGAACCAACGCCTCGTATCAGACTCAGAACTGACTCAGACAAACACTGCGTGTAAGCGTAACCAGTTGTTATGGCGCCAAACGAAATCACAGTGAAATACAACGAAGCCAGGGCAAGCCCAGGTCGGGCTACACTCTGTCTAAAATAAATGTGCCATCCCATTTTAAAGGTCAGGATCCTTTTCTTAAATCGTGCATAGACATAGGGTGGTCTTTGAACGGGTCTGACAAAAACAGCTGGGACCAAAACCTCAGCGCCATTCTGGCCCCTTTCTTGGTCTTCGTTCTCCATCCTTTCCAAGCGCTCATTAGATCCGTGAGGTTCATCAGCAGGCATATCCACGGAAGAGTTGTCTTCAGTGTTAGAGTTGTGTCTTGTTGTGTCTATGACCTTGTGAGACAGGGCAGCCACGGCTTTGAAAACTTTCCAGAGAAGATAGTACTCTCCAAAAACCGATACAACATTCCAACCCGCTAAAAACAACACACCTGCCATTTTAGAGATGTAAGTCATCACCTGACCAACTACGATCGGAGCAAGGATCTTGCAACAAAGATCAATTCTTCTCATCAATGCATTTGTACCTAAAAACATATGTTAAACCGTAGTTAGATCAGCCAGTCTATATGCTTTGGAATGCAAAAATAAAAAGAGAACAAAACCAAAGACTGTCATTAATTTTGCTCATAGTTCTCTGTGTGATATATTGCTAGAATTTTTTTCAGTGATGTTTGTCATGAAATGACATTCAAAGAATTTTTTTCTCATTTTTTTTTTCTGGGTGAATCAAGGTTTATCAAGCCATTATCACTGGTTTTGTCAAAACACATAGACAAGGTCCCACACCAAATTGCAGATGTCTCTGTCAATGCATATAGGGATGGGCCACTCCATTATGGAATGGGGGAATAAACAAATAAAGGAACAGAAGGAGCGAAGAGGTCAAGTGGCTCAAGCTACTGGTACTTATCTTCAGTTTTTGTGGCATGAAGTGACTTAGACTACTCCCCCTGAATGTAATGCAAGTCCATCTCAAGCTATCCCATAGTATTTTGTTAGTATTTCTGGACAGTTTGCTGGAACCCATTCATTATACTACAAGGGTGAAGAGAGGCACCATGAGAGCAAAGAATATTGCCATGGAACACAATACAGCAACCCCTTGGGGCTCAATCCAAGATCTCTTTGAGACAAAAAATTGACAGATATGTCTTTTTCAGCTCAAATACAGCAAATGGTAACCATGGAAATTCAAATATTTAATTGTCAACTTCCAGCATACTTACTTGCCAGTAGTGATTTATCTGAGCCTGCAATCACTACCACCCAGTCCTTCTCTACAGCAATTTTTGTGCCAACACTAGACAAGTCAGCTACAGAGCCAATGATGATAATTATGGCTTCCAGCAACATGGTGTATGGATGTTGGATTTGCTCCACAAATCTTAACATAATCAACAGCAAAACTCCACAGATTATCACCGCAACATTTTGAATTATCAATGAAATTTGTGCCACTGAAACAAAAAGTGAATGTAACGCTCAAAATATTTTAATAAGCTATGTTTTGATGAGCAGTTACTAGGTGGATATTTTTTTTTCTTATGTAATATATTCTTCAGTAAAACTATATTTTAGTCTTTTGTTCCTGTTTTTCCATTTTTAAAGGTTTACTGACAAGCAAGTAATTAAATTCACAGAGAGACTGATCTGCTCAGTTATCAACTGCATTATTCACTCACTAACTGACAAACTGACTGACTGGCAGACAGGCACACTGACTGACTGATGGATTGCCTTCATGAAAGGTTGACCACCAAACTCAGAGTGAAACTCACCAACTGATTGATGGATTGACAGACTGATTGACTGACTGGCTCTATGAAGAAATGTTTGACTCAGTGACTGACTCACTGACTGATTGACGGACTGATTTATTGATTGACTAGCTGGCTGATTGGGTGATTAAATGTCTGACTGACTGACTGACTGTGATGTAATGACGGACTCAGTGACTGACTAACTGATTAATTGACAGACTCAGTGACTGACTGACTGACAAACCTTGTGAAAGATTGACTAACTGAGGAACTGATGACCAACCAACCTGCCAAATGATCTGTCTGTCTATCAGCTCAGGTTGCTTGCTGAAGGATTGGTAACTTAAGCCAGTATCATATGGCTGCATTTAAACTTAACATACCTTTCAGTCGAGGAGTTCTATCCACCCAATCTCCAACTAAAGGTCCAAATATGATAATTGACAAGGTACTGATCAGTTGATAGATTGCTGTTAAGCGCAATGATCCTGGAGTGAGTTCAACTAGATACAGTCCAATAGCAAAATGCCACATGCGATCTCCCTGCAAAAAACAAATTTTATCCAAGTGATTAACGTGATTAAACAATTATAGCACGTCAAGTAGAGTTGGGGAATTTTTTCTTAAAATAAAAGCTCATCTGCTTTCTCCTAACTAGTACATAAGTTGCTTACAAGTTTGTTGACACGTTCCAGAAGTAGGAGACATATAACGAGATTTATATCTTTATATGACAATACCATGCACCCTGGTGGCGTAAATGTCAAAAATAAGCGTCAGATCTGACGATATAGCTATTTTCGATATAATTGCTTTCCTTTAATTAACTTCACATATTTGCTTTTCTCCAGTTATGAATATGAAAACTAACTTACACTATAGAGCGATATATACCTGGAAATATAAAAAGGAGGAATCAGGAATGATTCAGCGATCAAACCGCAGGGAAATTGAGTGTAATTAATGAAGAACTAAGATAAATTGACGTGAAGCTGTTCACTTACCCAAGCGGAAAACAAATGACTGATACAAACAAGATGTAGGGGCGAAATTTTACAACACTTCGCGGTAGCTTGCCTTCCTGCGGATAGGACGTTTAAAAAAGAAAGCTGTAACAAAATGGGATACCTTTGCGTAGATTAATTTGGAAATATTTCGATAGCTAAACGGAACAATAGAATTTTAGGTGAAGAATCTTGGAACTACTTCCACTGCACTAAAACATATGTAAACTCGAATATTGTCTGCGTTGCAAAAGTGTCTTTTGACAACAGCAATAGCCTCCGACTCACCGGCTGGCGTATTCCTCCATCGCCCGACATCCGATCTCTCGCCGGATTCTATTAGCGATTCTTCACTCTGCCCTTGCTCCATTTCTCGTCGGAATACAGGAAATATCGCAAAGTATCACAGTGGTATTTACTTATATAGTGCTCAGTCGAGCGCTAACTTGCTTCACACTCGAGGACACTCGCGTGGTTCTTTCGTTTCATACTACTCAGCGGTATTGTAACTAACAAATAATAATGTGGTGTAGTGTTCATATAGTGGTTCCACTTGTTGAATCTATGAAAACCGACTGGAAAGTAGGAACTGCAAGATGAGACGAAAAACTGGAGACTCAAGAATTTTTAGAATATTGTATGCCGGCACCTAATATAAAGGGAGGATAACGATATTAAAAAATAACCAAAAGAGTCAAAAATTTTTTTCTTTCTTCTCCAGTCTTGTTTGTAGAGCTGTTAAAATATTTACAAAAAAATATTATCAGCATCAACCGAAAGGGAAAAACGACGATTCGTGACTTTACATTTCGAACTACTGTGTAACTGAGGGGTTTGGGAAACGATTTCTGGTCACGCAAAACGACTTGAAGCGACGGAACCCTCCCTTTTGATCCGCAACTGAAACTTTGGTAACGAAGTGAGGCTATAAATATTTATGATCATTAATGGAGTCAAATAAAGACAGTCAAAATATGTACAGAAAACTTTATTAATCATGAACCAAAGAATTGAATTCATTATGGTTTCATATGTATGCTTTAAATAAAGGATAGATCGGAATGACGCTAAGGCAGAAACTTTTCTCAACGTAAACTTACTGTCTCACCTCTTATCCAATTGTCACCGAGTATTCGACAAGAGCTAGGAGCCGTAATGGGCCTCTGACATTATGTAAACTCACAGCCTTAATATGCATGACCAGCTGTATTGTTCAGCAAATTTTGATGTCTGCAGGTGTCTGGCCAAATTAGTTTTCACTGCTTTTTCATTTTATCCTTCAAAACTTCCTGTTCAAGCAGAACGGCGAAAATGAAATATGATACCATCTCGACTAAACACACCACCAAGAGCCTTTCTAACGACAACTGAGCCTTCTATCTTCATTTTGTGCTTCTATTGCTTTGATCACATTTTTACTAAGGAATAAATATCATTTGGTAATTAATTTTTAATCCCAGCGTTGAAAATGACCGTCTCCCCTTAATTAATATTATAATTTGAAGTTTCAAGACTGAAATACCTTTTTCTCTTCTCTGACGCAAATGTCTCGAGAGTTTACACAGATCTGGGTAAAACAAATATTCCATAAGATAAATTTTTCCACAAATTAAAAATAGAGCTCCCAGACAGGTTATTTTGACCCAGCAAAATATTTAGCACCGCAAATCTTATCTGTCCAGTCGGGTTTATCTTAAGCATCCTGGTGCTATTAGTAGAAAATAAGAGGCTTAAACAATATTAATTTATTCCAAGACGTCAATTTCTTCCACTATTATACCTGTCGTTCGGAAGCAGAACAAAAAAGAAGGATCTACGAGAGCTTAAAAGAAGCGAGGCGGACAAAGCCAAGCGCTATGAATGAAACAAACGAACGAATGACAACACTTGCTTTAGTACTCAAAACGAGAGAGCGTTGGTTGCTTGGAATAGAGTCATTGGCGTGGCTTGTAGTAATATTGGCTGCCTTTTTGGGAAATGTCATGTTGACGCTGGCAGTCTTCAAATCAAGTAGAATACGATCTCCACAAAATTACTACTTGTTGTCGCTGGCGGCTACAGATGTCTTTAATGCTATTGCTATTATGCCCTACACGCTTACCGTTCTCATCAAAGGAACATGGCCTTTTGGAAACTTTATTTGCCAGCTGCAAGGAAGTCTGACTTCAATTTGCGCCACTGTCTCATTGCTTACAATGGCACTAATTTCATTTAACCGTTATGTGAAGATAGTCAGGTCTGTTCAGCTTTACCAGAAAATATTCACCAGACGAAATATCTTGATATCCATCATCATGTCATGGTCGACAACTGCGTTTTTAACGCTTTTTTCACTTTTATTCTACAAAACTATGTTCCATTTTCACCCTGGAAAGTGCTTATGTTGGTTGCAGCTAAGTCCAGTAGATGGAGCTTCTTGGTATGGTCTGGTCAGTTACTCGTCAATAGTTTGTTTAATATTTTCTTCAGTCTTCTTCAGCTACTACAAAGTATTTCGAAAAATCCGCGCACATTACGCTCAAATTGCAAACTCTGGGATTCACAATGAGAACTCTGCGGCCTTCGCTGAGGAAGTGAAAATAACAGCTATGTTATTTGTGACTGTATTAGCGTTTTTCATCTGTTGGGTCCCTTCTTTTATTATCGACTTCTACGAGGCTATTGCAGGATACTACACCCTTCCAAGACAGCTGTATTTGTTCAATATATTCACTTATACATCTAGCAGTGCTATCAATCCTTTTATTTATGGTTTTATGAATAGGGATTTTCGTGGGGCCTACATGAGAATATTGTGTTGTAAAGAAAGTTAGCCTTGTATGACTTCAGTATCGCCCTAACATCTCTAGGCCATCTTATGAATTTGTTTCACTTTTCACTGCTTCAGTCCCTCTCGTCAAAATGAGTCGGTGGGTCGAGCAAAGAGAGGAGAGAAGAAAAAAAGGATTTCACTGGAAAAGCCTAGATATCGATGTGTGTTTCGCTTGCCAATTGTTTACTTAAACCTAAACCTTTCAATACGACAGTGCAAGTTAGATAATGGATCGAGACGATTTTCAATAAGGTCTTTATCACCTGCTCTTGATATATTGTCAGAATATTAATTTTGCCGATTATTGACATGCTTCTGTTCAGGCAATGTGCCCGTAAGTTTTTTGTTTAATTTGTTTTTGTATAAATCAGTCGGTTGGAAACGAAAATTGTCTGGAGATGGATAATCTGTAAAGTTTGGTTCAAGCGGTCATCTGGAGTCGTGCCTCGAAAATATTGAGTAGATCTCTACATTGCATGGTTTTCATAAGTCTTGAATTTGGTCAATAGCAACAATAACATAAAAAAAGGAAAAAAAAGATCATTCTTAACTTAACTTAAAAAATATATATTGCAATCGTATTAAACAGAAATAATTCAGTGAAGTGATGTATTGATATGAATTGCGCGTTAATTGCGGTGGATAATTAGAATGTGAACGTCCAGCGTAATAATAACATTACCATAATACCTTATTTGCAGCTTTAATTGATAATTTTGACAGAACATGAACCAGAGCGTTCTCACAATAAACGTATAATTCCATTTCTCCGCTGGATTTTTTGTGTTTTCTCCTTCCTTTAGCTGCTTGTATGCTACCTATAACCAGAATCCTTTTCGCGGAACTACGAGAGTGGCTTGGTAGCTCAGTTGGTACTAATTCCCAACTCTCACCTGACAGGTAAGGGCACATTTTGCTTCTCATTTCCACGGGTCAAGGGTTCATTTTCACGGGTCATTTCACCGAGGCCTGAATTTTTCCTAGGTAATTCATTGTTATCAACTGAGTTGAAAACGTAAATTGGCCACCGTAAAGAGTTTACAGGCTGACGTTTCGAGCGTTAGCCCTTCAATAGCTCTGACGAAGCTCTAACACTCGAAACGTCAGCCTTAAAACTATTTACGGTGGCCAATTTATGTTTTCAACTCATTTGATAACACTAAATTATACCTGTTATACTCTCCCACCGACGCAGCACCACAGTTTCTTTAGCAACTTATCCCCTGAATTTTTCCAGATTTCTTTTTCAGCGATTTCTTTAACTGCAGATAATTTGTGAAGATCAGTTCCTTACCTGCTAAAATTCTTAACAAATCGATTATTTGTGAACAGCTTAAGTTAAACCCATGTTAGGATTATAAAAAGAAAGGACTGCTAAATAGTTGTCGAAGTTAAAAAATTAACCTAAGCCTCCGGAATATGTAAATCGATTTTCCACAATGCACAATTAAAGTGTAACGAAAGCTGTTTCCTGTTTTTCCGATTCAGATTTGTCACCAGTAATACTTTTGAATACAGAAATGAATATGATATGGTCCCAATCTGATTTTGATAATCAACACCGCTGCGGAGTCTTTGGTCAACCGTCAAAGTCGTAATAAATTTCCCTTCCCTCTTAGTAACGTATCAATCTCGTGCCACGATCCTAGCTACCGTTTAACTGTAACTGGACTTACAACCGCTTAGCCGTGGAAGGTCTGGGCTCGAGACTAGTAACATATGTTACGTCCCAACCCCTCCTAACCCCTTTTTCGCGACGTATATCTGCAGAAGCGACACTAAAAACGCATAGTAAAACAGAGTGTAAAGGAGGTTGAATTGAGGAAGAAAGGCTCTCTTCGATTGTGATATTTCAAAATGGCGGCTATCACTATGGATCAGAATTTTCCTCACTCGCTTACTGTAATAGGCAAAGATTTGTTACAGGATAAAGAAAAAGGATAAGAAGTCTAGTGTAACAGCTGCTAAAGCTGGTTTAAAGCAAACTTAAAAATATAATGGATATTTACTTAAAATCAGCGATCCCCTACGGCTGCATCAACAACTTTATTTAGACATTCTCCATAGCTTGAATAAATCATGAATGACCCTTTTGGAAGATGCTCGTATGGTAATAACTGGCTCCACACGCTGGCACGCCAGATTGAGTAAATCCTGTGTTCTGATTGGCTATTTAAGCGGCCATGATCGGCCCTTCTGCCCGCACGGGCTCACGTGACGTCCCCATTTGCTCATGCTCGGAAAAAATTATATGCACCACTTAACACGATACTCAACTCCTTGGAATTGTCTTTTTTTTTTCGGTCACAAGAAAAATATTTTTTAGCACTTGCGCTCTTTTCAGGCCAGTGGAATCACGAAACGCGCTAGTGTAGGACAATAAAAAATTCACCGCTTCAATTTATAATTTTTTAGCCTTTTAATGAATCCTTTATTGAACTAACTTGCTCGGTCAAGATGGCAGCATATTGCTCACAAATATCTTGGAAAACTGAAACAGCTTCAGGAACGCTAACTTACTATCCGTCTCTGCAGTAAAGAACACGCCTGTATCCTTCTCTGAACTCCCTATTCATCAGTCCGTATATGAAAGGATTCACAGCGCTACTACTTTGAAAAGTAAAAACGTTTAGCAAATAAAGTTGTCGTTTAAACATGAACTGGCCATTACCAAACAGTTCATAGAAATCAATAATTACAGAAGGACTCCAACTGATACATATTGCTAAAAGAGTGACAAAAAGCATGGTGGTAATTCTAATTTCCTCCGCAAAAGCTGCACATTCTCTGTTTTGAAGAGAAGAGTTTCTAACTTGGGCATAATGTGCGCGGATTTTGCGAAGCACTTTGAAGTAACAAAAAAAGATCATTGAAAATGCAACGGAGGTTAAAATGACATACAGAATGGTGCTATAAATGCCTAACCGGTTTGTGACATTGAGATGTTTAAAGAAACACAAACTCTTTCCAGGGTGGAAAGAAAATGCTGTTTTATCGACAAGAAATACGGAAGACGACAAGAACACAGAGCTGAGCCAAGAGATAGCAATGGAAATCCAAACATTTCGTCGAGTGAAAATTTTTTGGTAAAGACTTGCAGAGCGGACGATCTTAACATAACGATTGAAAGCAATCAAACCCAATGTCAACAGTGATACTCCAGTACAAATCGTCCAAAAAGATCCCTGTAGTTGGCAGACGAAGTCTTCAAATGGCCATTTCCCTGTTATCAGGGCCGCAAGAGTTAATGGCATACATGAAACAGCATTAAGGATATCTGTAGCGGCAAGCGACACCAAAAAGTAATTTTGACTATTTCGGAGTGTCCCTGTTTTGTAGATGGCTAAGGTTAACACAATATTTCCCAGAAGTGCGGTCAATATCACCGCGAGATAGGCCGCGGACTCGATTCCAACCAACCATCGCTCTCTATCTTTGAGCGACAGAAAAAGCTGGTCCATTCTGTGCTTTGTGCTTTCATTCATTTTGGCTTCAAATGACTTCCCTCACGAACAGTTTTCATTAACACCCTTAAAGAAAACAGTTCAACGAAATTCTCCCCCTCGATTGCTTTTTCCCTTGCTGCGGCAAAATCTGAAAACTGAACTCCACAAATGAAATGAAAAAGTTCGGCCAAAGTCATAAACAATCGATGGTTTCAAATTAAAGCCGTGTTCTGTAGAGCGAAAGGCTCCCTACAGCGGAGACGAGATTCGCTTAGGCAGGAAAACAATTAAGCTGAATGAGTGTCCTGTTTGCACCTTGTTTGCACCACTTCACATCACGTGGTAACTCAAAGAATCATTGTGTCATTTGATCAAAACGTTCCTTACTTTCTAAATAAAGAAAGAAATCATTGATTGAAAAAAAAAAAATGTCTCTCGCGACACAACAGATAACAGTACCCCAAGGAAACACACAATGACAGCTAAGAATTTTTTCAATAAAAAATTAAAATCTCTAACATCTCAACTAATAGCAGTATCCCATGTAAACACACAATGACGGCTAAGAATTTTTTCAAAAAAAACGACAATTTAATATATTTTAACTAGGTCTCCTCAGATATCTCATTCTACATAATCTAGCAAAGACACCTGCTTGCATTGTTTAGTCAAAATATTTCATTGATCAAGTTCGCGCGGACATCGAACTCAAAACAGACTCCTTTCGAGCAGGATAATTTGTTTTACTCACAAACTTAGGTGTTCAATCATCCAAGTCAATCAACTGTTTCTTTATAATACACCATTCGTCGTTTGTTCTTCCGTACAAAACTATTTGACACCTTACTAGCTTATATTGAAACGTAGCGCGTTTTTAATACACCTGCACGCATAATAACTAACGATAAGCTACTTCTCTTGGATAAGATTTTTCCCATCTCAAAGAACGCCGTGAAAATTGAGGTATCACATTCGACAAACTATGGACAACTTGTTTCGAACAACCCAATACAATGAGTTCTCTCTTCTGAGAACCTAAACACAAGCGGACACCTCAATTCTAGGATAAAAAATGCTAATTTAACCTGTCTATGTGTTCCCTATTATGAAGGGGGTTCCTCTGTTAGGGCACACTTTCTTTGGCCCGAAGAGTCCCTCGAGTGAAGGCTCCTCTGTGTAACCTTTTCTAATCGGTGTCCTTTGTTCAAGGGAATCTTCTAACTAAGGAACATTTTTCTTTGTCCCAGGATTGTCCCAGGGTTCATCAACAACAAACTACAGATACTGGATAAGCGACCTCTTTGATCTGCTGTGCCACATGTGAAGAAAACCAGTCCAACATCACCGATAAGAAAGCATTCCGACTAGTGCCGAAAAACCAAAACCAACGTAATATTACAACAGCCAATCAGAATGAAGAAGAATACCACACGGAGCCAATGAAACTCCAAAGTAAAAACGATAAAATTGCCCTAGGTGCGGGAAAACGCGTGTGTCCGATTCGATCTATTTATGCAGCTGATTAGTTGGGGGGACGCATGCGCAGCATACCAAAACCAATATGACTCCGGATTAGAGGCGAATGTCAATTGAAAATTGCTCTGTCAATCCAACATAAATAGAATGTAAATACTGTTATTGTAGTTTGTTATCACATATCCGTGCAGGTCGATAGAGCGTTGGTTTGGCCAGCTTCTGCTTTGAATAAGGAATACTGATATTGTAGATCTGCAAAACACTGTTTGCGGAGAGTACTTGAATTGTCTCTGTTCTGTAAAGGCAAAAATAGAGTTCTGTGAGAATCACTGATTTATATCATAGGAAAAATTAACCAAACACTCGGGACGATGTTCCGATTCCCTCGAAGTTTTCAAGTAGGTGATGGAAAATCGATTTAAATCTTCTCTCCGTACGCTGCCCAGTTTCTCTTCAGCTCATTTTCAGTAAATTTTGTATCTTTCTAAACAAGGAAAGGAGAGGGGACTGAGGAGAGTAAGGTCCTCTCGACTTAGTCCTCAGTTTCGTTCGTTTCACTGCGTCTTTAAATTAAGCTATAAAAGATTTCCACCAATGACATACCAAGACACGCTGAACCAAAAGATGTACACGGTCAGGTGACTGAAGAAGAATCTTTCGCACTTTACAGCTGAACAGCTTGGTGAGTATAACAGCGCAGGTCTCCATTACACACTCTGAATCATCTGATGTAAAACCTAAAAATTTCACCAATTAAAGGCCTATAAATATTCTGGTAGACGAAAAGCACGCCCTCTCTCTACGGTTACAAAATAAAGGGTGACAAAGGGTGTATCACTGTGTTTTAAACTCAAGACCACGCCCGTAGAAATTCATTTGTTAATTGTAAAGGTATGCCAGTTTCTAGCCTGCGTACCTGATGGTATTTTTGAGCGCTTGATGAAAATAAAGGAGGTGAAGAGAAAACGAGGAGCAGAGCCTGGGATAAAGATACTAGTCTCCCTGTTCTAAAGGTCTCACGCTTTTGTTACTCGTTTCCAGGCTCATCTGCTTAACGCTCCATAGCACACTCGAGCGCCTCTTCACTGCAGTCAACGTGAGCCGGCGAGAGGTCTGGAGGCGGTTTGGCACCGATAATTATTAGTGCCAGACCCCCGGCAAATCTCTTCCCTACTCGTTTTCTTCTCCCGCGGGCGGAGAAACGCGCGTCCAGCGGTGCTAATAACGAGGGCCTGGTCCCAAACTCTGATAGTTTCGTACCTGAAAGGACTGCCACCAGATGCGACAATATCTCCAGGATCATTTGCGGCACTGCACATAACAACTCCACAACTTCGACAAACAAATCCTCGCTCCTTGGTTTCTGCTCACTGCATGAAAAAGATCTCCTCGTGCAGTGCTTCAAACAAACCAGCGTCAAATGTGTCAGAGATAGCAACAAAAAGGTTGGAAAAGGGCAATTTCCGTCTGCAGAGCTGGTGTCTGAAGCTAATTGCATCACACTAGAAATAAGATGAATTTAAAGCATTGGTAATTAGAAAGAAAAACGAATCCGTATCACATCCAATAGAAACGAGAACTTTTAATGGGATCTTTTCCCTGTGAAAAGGATCTTTGGTCGAGGGTAGGGGCGAAGAGGAAAACGGAGACAAAAAGGACGGAGTGGGTATGAGTGGGGAAGAGGGCTAAGGATGGGAGGAGATGAGCGCGCAATCCTGCTCTGGCAAGTGACACGACCTTCGCCTTGCGCTTGCTTTAGGTCTAGGCGTCATTTTGGGGTTTTCTTGCCACGCGTCTGGAAAACACAAAAGAGACATTTTTTTCTGAGGCTAGATCTTTGGAAATAAAGAGTGCATTGTAAGACTTCTTTCCCAGACATCAATTCCAGAAGAGAAAAATTACTCTCGTGTATGTGCTTACTGTCAAGGAGAATAGCTTCGGTCTAGTGCGGCAATCTCTAAATGTTATTATGTATGATGTACGTTATAGTAATTGTAAACGAAAGTTTCCTTAACAAATAACACATCAATATAAAATTTGTTCGGGTTGAAACACATACCATCTCATTACGCACAAAATACCGTGTACAGCACTCAAGGGGAGAACTTTGTAATCAAGCTGAAGATGAATGAGTAAACCATTAAATTGAAACAATAACAAATCTAATAAAATGTAATAATCTTAAAAAAAAAAAAAACATCCTATGTAGTAAGCTTTACTACGTTTTCTGGACGAGATCTTCTTTAAAACATGGTACGACTTTATTAATCAAGAGAAAACATGGAATCATACCAGAAGCTGTTCCAATTTTTGGCTCACGAGCCGTAGCAAAGTGCTGAATGGACAGTGTTTGAAACACTGGAAAACTGCCTAAGAATTCAAAGAACAAAAGATAAATCACCATTACTCTTTACGCCCTAGCATCAGTATGCATATTCTCAATACTGTTCTCTATACACTTCCTTAGGTACTGACAAGGAGAGTTTGTTTTAAAACAATCAAGACCTCTTTAGTTGGTGATCATTTCCCTTATTCTCGTGATTTGAGTGTTTCACTCTGGGGTGATATTGTGAGGAGAAATTAGATGTTGGTCAGTGTCAGGAGTCAAAGGGTACTAGCTTAAATAAAACTGGCAGGTACTGTACAAGCTGATCATTACAATTTACCTGCAACTTCCTTTGTTGGCTCTGCCACAAGTTAGCTTCATCAACCTCCTGTCCTTTGTTTTCATGTAAAATAGAAAAAGGGCAGCCTCTACAGAACAAAAAAGAATCTCTCTAAATGGCTGGTATGTGTAAAATGATAAATACTCAGATTGGGTTTGTTAACTGATAGAGTGCTGTTGGATTGAATATTGTAAAACCAATACCAAAGTAAGCATTGCAGCCAATCAGGAGAAGGGAAATTTCCTGTAGGAGCCAATGAGAACTTGCATAAAGTCAACCAAAAGTGTGGGAGAGTGGTGTGAGTTTTCTGGCCAATCAAGGAGCAAAGAAGAGCAAAACCAATGTAATCATAGATTATTTTTGACACTCAGTTGGAAATTGCTCTGAGAGCCCAAATTCTCCTCACATGAAATCAGTGACCTCACAAGTTTCAGCCTGGTTATTCACATCTTGGTAATCACTGAGTTGGTATTTGGAATATCCTGCAGAGAAAACAACAACAGGTTGTTCTTTATACGCAAGATCACAACCAGTCTACAGTTATGGACAACACATATTGAGATGAAGTTGATCTTCAAGCTGTAGAACACTCTTGACATCAGAATCTCTTGAAATGCCCCTCCCCCCACCTGCCTCTAGGTAATGCTACATGTATGCTGAATAAGGCATATCAGTATAATAAATTATAGTTATTGGACCAGGTTGCTAATTGAAGGGTAGAAGGGAGGGAGGGAGGGGAGCAGAGTTATCAAAACAGGTTTTGTAGTCCAGGGAATCTGAATCAATCCAAATTACTACATACCTATTGCTATACCAAGAAGGGCACTCAAGTATGCTTCAAAGGTGAATGCAGCAGGGTGAGACACAACACCTTCATAACTTGGAGACCTGTAAATATATACACAAATGTGATCTGTATAGACTGATCAGATATATAAACTAAATTGCATGACAGTTACATCTACAAGTGTGGAAAATGCAGTGAACTGATGGTGAACAAAACAGACTCCAGATCTACAGGACTGAGTTGAAGGCCATGCCTCTTGATTATGCTCCATTGAGAACACTGCTGTCTAAATAAAATGCTATAAGTTATTTCCTCAGAAGTCAAAGAAATTTTGTCCCATGTTTACAAACCTGTAAAGCAAGACTTGGAGAAGGTATTGAATTACTGCCACATCAACTTGTTCTCCATGACAACATGATACAATGTTTGCCAACAACTGATCATCCAGCGATGGGAGGTGAAACAATAGCTCCACTGCCAAGCGTTGAATCCCTCCTCTCAGTTTTGAAAATGAACCTTTGTCCTTGGCTAATGAAAAAATAAATGTAAGTTAAAAGGTAAAACTATCTGTATCAGTTTCATGGCATTCTTAGGGTGTTAAAGGGGATCCTTAACCCTTTCACTCTTAAGATCTCATTAGTAATTCTCCTTACTGTCTGCTATACAATTCTCATGATGTTAACTTGGAGAATTTGGTATTGGATCAACTAATAATCCCTGAATTGATATTATTCTTTATTCTCATCAGTAGTCTGCATGATATTGTGTGGAAATTGCAAGGAGAAATTCTGTCTCGGTCACTTATGAGAGTTAAAGGGTTGACCATTCAACTGCCAAGAGTGATGAGCAACTAATTTCTCCTTAGAATGCCACCCCAGAATCACACATTAGGGTGACGAGAATAAAGAAAATGGTTGTTCTTAAGAGTATACTCACTGCATGATCACATAGCAAAATCAGAGATAAAATTGTGTGCTGTCTGAACACTTACAGAAGAACATAGCCAGCTGAGACAAGACTTTGTCATCTGATTGTAGGACACCTTGCACAACTGCCTTTTTCATGACTCTTAAAACAAGTTCTATCAGGCCAGGGGTGGTATCCTTCAATTGCACTAACAGGCCAGGCAATCCAAGCAGCCATTTCTCAACAAGTTCCTGCACCTCAAAAAGCCTGTTATGAAAGATTGTTTTATCAAATCACTTTAGCATGACGGAAGAATGGGAAATCACAAGAAAGAAAAAGATGTTTGTAGGAATTCAGGTTAACACTAGGATTGATGTAGTGCCTCCCAGATAAGTAAGTTTCTGAAGTGGGACTTATTACTAGATAATTACAATGTAGGTTTTATCAACTGAGTTGATAAAGTGAAGTGGCCACTAGAAAGAGATTTTAAAGCCACCACTGTAGTATAAGCCCTACCTCAGAGTAAGTCCTAATTGTCCAATTTGCTCTGACCTAAGGCTAACCCGCAAAATGTCGGCCTAAGAAACTCTTTAGGGTGACTAATTTACTGTACAGTGTATTATCAACTAATTATTATCTGTATCTTGTAATACTCCCCTACTGACCCAGAACCACAATTTCTTCAGAAACTTACCCCCTTTACCTAATCCACAGGTCAATATATTGTTTATTTCATATAAAGCAGTAGAAAATTAGATCTGTATTTGTCAGAAAAAAATGGCATCTACAATAACTAACCAAATAAAAACTCACTCAGAAAAATCCATGTTCTCTTGGAAAACAAGACTTGCTAAAAAATTGATCAACACTCTTTTAGTCCCAGACTTAATGTGACTTGACTGATACAAATTGAATGCTGCATGAAGAAGTTCTCCTGGTTTGCTTGCAATACCCATTTTTATACAACTGCAGTGATATTCAAGAATCTGATGAGCAAATGTGACCAGACTCTCCACTTGTTCTGTCTGAAACTGTTGGCCTGTAGCACCTCCTGATGCTTTTAACTCTAGTGATTCAATGACAAACTCTTCCAGCCTGTGGACTACAGTATGATAGTTCTTCTGCACAGCAGAGCCATTCTTTACAAAGAGCATCATGATTTCGCAAATTTTCAGGTTTAGGGTTAGCACAGGAGCATTGGAGTTCTCACCCATAGCTTGCTGAGAAGCCTTTCCTAGCTTTCTCCTCCCCCTCTTCACCACTGGTGTATCCAAGACTGAAAATGGAAAGAAACTCAGCAAATGCTGATTGATGTCTTTGAAATAAACATCCAGTAAGTTGTCTCCAGGTTTGTGTATTTCAGAGACTTTAGCGTTTGTCTGTTTTTCCTGGGCTGCTTTGAAGACAATTTTAAGAATTTCTGTCACAGCCAACATAACATCAATAGATGAGGAAGATACCATACTGTTAGGTAGTGCAGTTGTCATTTGAGCAGGACTACACTCTATCCAACATTCCAGTAATAAAGGTACAATTACTTCCATGAAATCCTTTACCATCTGTCCATCAGTTAAAATATTGTTTTTACTTTCTGTGTTTAATGCTGTAGTTGCTGTGCTACTATCAAAAGTGAAGGAGTGTAAAGTTGGTTCTTCAATGGAATGTTCTAAAACCTGGATTCGTGTTGGCTTTTTCTTGTCAAAATTAATTGTTGGTTTTTTACTTGGTAACTGAACCAGGTTTGCTGATGATAATGGATTGGAATTGGAAGAAGATTCCAGGGCTTTTAACAATGCCAATAATTGCTGTAGAATTTTGAGACGTGACCTTAGAGAAGAAAGTTTCCCCTTTGGATTCACAGCAAGTCCTTTTCCAACTTTATGTTGTGGCCCTTTTGACTGCTTTGTACCTGGAATGTTCTGACGTGAAATCATACCCACAAAGTTTTGAATCAGCTGTGAAGAGCTTCCAACCATTAGATTAGGAAAATAACGAAGACAAAGCTCAAGAAATCCAAGTGAATCATGTTGTATGTCATCATAAATGTGCGTCATAGCACAACTTAAATGAGCAATCACTAGTGCAGCAAATGGTACCATCTTTTCTTGTGATACTAGTGGGAATATGAAACAGAGTAACAGGAGAAGTGACTGTCGGACTGATGGGTCACTATCAGTCATTTTCTCGCAAATTCTTTTGATTACAATTCCAAGATTTTCATGTAGGAGATTCTCGTGATGTTGGAACAGATCCTTAAGACCTCCTAGTGCTTGCTGCCTAGTGTTCACACTGTAATGACCCACTTGGGCAAGTAAATCCTATGGAATGAGTAGAGGATAAACCAGGTTAAGAACTTTAATACTTAGGAAACCTATCCCCTTTATCAATCCTTTATTCCCAAGATCTGACAGCTAATTCTCCCCTCAAGCCACTCGACATTTCCTTGTAAATTACATGTAGTTATCAGAATTATAAAAACGGCCACCACAGGTCACCCCAGCTTATGGCACCACCTTAAATATGCAAATGTTTATGTTACGGAAATTCAAAACTTTTTCAGAATCATTTTGTTCATAATGCGACTGCATACTAGGCTCGAGGAGTTTGGGGTACCTGTGCAGCCACGTGCAAAACTAAACGTCACCCATAGGTCAGAAATGAGATGTGACCGAGCCCGTAAGATTTACGTTATTGTACACCCTTACACCAGAAAAGTAAAGTGGAAATTCATGTACCTTCATGGTCTGGTTCCTTTGATTTGTTGGTACACTGTCGAGTGTATGAAGCTGAGCTGGGACGAAGATCCCTCTTGATTTAAATGAAGAGTCTGTGGCATTCTCCGCAGGTTTAAGTTTCTTTCCAACCTTAAACTTCACCTTCTGGAAGTCCTGTTCCTTAAGTTTCCTTTTCCTTTTATTTTTAGCCATGCTTCTTGGAAAATTGGAAAATATAACGAAGTAAGTTGCCTTTCGCCAGCGTAAAGTTCTGATTGCAACTGTGACGCCAGCGAATTATCTAGCAGCGGCGTGAACTTTAGCGCAAGCGCATTTAAAGACCTTCCAAAAGGAAGGTCTTGTAGAAGAAGCATCTTCATGTAAATTACACTAAAAGAGTGAGATCGGGGACAAAGATGGAGTTCGTCTGTGCTCAATTCCCACGGAGAAAAGCTTCCATGATTTGATCAGTTTGTTTCTGCTGAGGTATGAACTATTTTATTTTGTACTTTGGCTATTTATCAATATTCCAAAGGTGGACTGAAAGGATTTATTCAGTTTTTGTCTGAAAAATGCTAGCCTGACGCGTCGTGCTGTGTGTTTAGCTTAGCAGTTACGGATTCCAAAGTGACAGTGTGCATAGATTTTCAACTTGATCAGATCCATATGATACATTAAAACTACTTAAGTAGCTTCTATATTTTGGAACCTTCTCATATGATTTTTTCATAAGGAAGACAGCACAATCCTTGTAAATCACAAATAGAATTCCAAGTTGTATCTATATGACATGTAATGCCAAGTTCGTCTGTAAAATGATTGATCGTTGTCTTACTTCTTACAACTCTTAATCATGCGTAGAGATTAATGCTGGAAAGTATGTTTTAAGTGTGTTAGATCCACAACGAGTAAGACTGGTACATGGTTGATTTCTAATCTATTACATTTTCACGGTCATGCGATCAAATGCTAACTTTATTAAGTTAACCCTTTTGCTCAAAATAATGCTAAAGCCAAAAAAGGAACTTCTTCTCACGATATCTATACGTTTTGAGGCAGAAAGGGGATGGGAAGGAAGAAAGATGACAACAAGGGGATATGATTTGGTTTAACACAAAATTCCTAAAAGAGAAACTATGAGACATGTGCTGAGGACAGTAGAGAGAAATGACATTTAGATCTTGAGAATGAAAGAGCTAACACCATCATGCTGTATGTTAAGAATTTCATGGCCTGTTAGTGGGTGTACTGAAGCAGTTGCTCCATGAGCTCCAGCAAATCCAAAATGTAACCATTTTGTTTATTAAATTTAATGTTAAACTGTATGTCTCGAGATTTGGAGTTACTATAGATGGTAGAGTCAAGCTACAGTGTATGTACATGTACTTACCAAGGATCACATTAATTCAACTCTTATTTATCAGGTCAGGTGCCCAGTCACCTTATGGTATGGCAAAGACAAGCCATTTATTTAGTCAAGATGTCACAATCTTTAATTGATACCTTAAATCTTTAATTCAGTTGATGGTTACTCTACATTTGTATTTATTTATCATCAAAATTATGTTGAGCAAACACATGTTTTTTAATATCATTCTCCTGTTTTTACAGTGGACAAGATGGCAGCATCTGCAAGCCCTGCCTCTGTCACATCTCCACAGGAGGCTGGACCAGCAAACATCATCAAGATGTTTACGACATACACTAACATTCTTACAGAAGCCTCTGTTCGTAAGTACTACTGTAGGGTGATCTGTGTATCTCTTAAATCTTCACAGAATGAAGTGTCATTTTCTACTTGCTGAGTGAAACACATCATGGTTGTTAGAGACTTACAAAGGTCAATTTTTGCCAAAATTTTTTCACTCGTTTTCTACTTACATTGTAGTAGTAAACTTACATTCTTACTTTGTGTTATTATCTAAAGCTGAAGATAAAAAATTGAAGGCTGCACAAGAAATTAGTGAAAACTTTGAGGTTTGTACCTTTTGGTTTGCATTTTTGTTAAGTTTCTTGTACTGTAGACTTAACAAGTACTAACATGGGAATGTTTAAGAACAACCATCTATATGTTGCATTATACATTCACAAGTCATAGGGGGATAGCATGTCACTTGTAGTAAAACTTACATGAATTTATCAGAATCGCATTTGACTTTTTCAGACAATTGTCCAGTCTACAAGTTATACAGCATTCTTGGAGCATTCAATACCAAGATTTGTACAGTATCTTAGAGATGGTAAGATTTTCTTTTATAGTGTATGCATTTATAGTGTGCGCATTTCCTTGCATAGAAAGCTATATTCAGCATCTTCAGCTACAAGTACTTGTATTTTTTTTTGTTTTCACAGGAGAGCCACATTTTGTTACTGAAGTTCCTACACAGGTACACTGACACGTAAACCTTCAATGCCCTAACATTAGAATGTTTAGTGTCGACACTATTCTCCATACATTTCCCATTGTTCTAACAAGGAGAATTGTCTTAATCAACAAGAGCTTCTTCACTCAGTCAGTACATGATTGGCCAGTCAGATCAAGTCAAACTTTCAACAGTTTTCTGAGTTTTGCAGTAAGAGTCACAATGTATGTAACAAAGTGGTTAAATAGAGTTTCACAGTGTCCTTATATGTTTTTGACACCTTCTTTTTTAGCAACTGAGAAAACTTTTACTTGAGATTCTGCATCGTATACCTACCAATGAACATCTTAGACCTCATTTCCAGGTATGTTCTAAGTGTTCATAGACCTGCATGGAAATGCCTTCAACCCTTTAACGTCCATGAGTGACCAAGACAGAATTTCTCCTAACAATATCAATAAAATATCAACCAGATAAGTGATGAGAATAAAGAAAATATCAATTTGGGATAATTAGTTGATCCAATACTAAATTCTCTGAACTAACATTATAAGAATTGTGTGGTGACAGTAAGGAGAATGACAAATTTATTTGATCTGGGAGTTAAAAGGTTAACTGCAAAGTATAAAGTATATAGGAACTTTAGAGAGCACAAACTACATGTATTTGCAAGAGGTGCTCACAGTATACATTGATTGTAGATTGTAGATTCTTGATTGCTTTCCAGACTTTCCAACTACTTTAATATGTAAACACAATAAATTTTCATCAGCAAGCAAAATGGGAATATGAAGTATGCTTCAGCAATTAAATTTGTTTATACAATTAACTAGCCATATCAATAGTTATTTGAGCTTTTTTCTTCCCTTTCAGTCCATATTGTCTTTGATGTTTCATCTACTGGAGGTAAGTAGGTCATGGTATAAAGCATATATCCAAAAAATGTAATTGTTAATGATATTCATCATTCTTTGTTTTGGTTATTTTGTGCAATGAATGATAGCCTTTCTCTCATGCAGATTGAAAATGAAGAGAATGTATTGGTGTGTTTGAGGATCATTATTGAGCTCCACAAACAGTTCAGACCACCTTTACAATCTGAGGCAAGTCACTCCATAAATTTGTGTACCTGTATGTTTGCACTGAGTAACATTCAATTTTGCTCAAGGCTCTCTCTTCTGTGCAATGTAACAGTTAATTTACATGACATTTGCAGGAAGCTACATGTCTGATCACAATTTTGGTGAATTTCTTTTGCTACAGATACAACACTTTCTACAGTTTGTGAAGACAATTTACAAAGATCTACCAACAAATGTGGTATGAAATGTACAATGTTACATTATGTTAGTGATTTTATTTTCAATTATTTATCAAAAAATTATTTTTCATTCGTCATACTTAAAAATTTTCATCCTGCATATTTATCTCTAATTGCACTCAAACCAGTAATAAGAAGAGGCTAACAAAACTAACTGATAAATTGGAGGTAAATTATGATGTGGATATTGGCTGAGACATGAGTGATGATTAATGATCATCTGATTGCATATTTATTTGCTTGTAGAAACAATTTTTTGATGTAGTTCCTATCTCAGCTACCGGCTTTTTACCAGAGGGGAATGCTACAACTGCAACCACCACTACCACCCCTGGGATCAACAGTGGAGCTGCCTCCACTACCTCCCCCCTGAACAGTGGGGATGCGGGGGGTGGTAAAAGTGGACAACAGGTTTGTTGGTTTATCTTACAATATCATTATTATTGAAACACATAATTCAAGAAGTGCACATAATATACTGAGTAAAATTTCATGTTTGTTGTATGCATTCTTGTGATCAAGTAATGCCCTGATCAATTTGAAGCTTCAAGCTTCTCTCCCTCCCCCTTCCCCCCCCCCCCCCCCATGGCAATCCATGGGCATTTGACCTTATATACCCATGTCCTAGTGGTGGGGAATATGAACCTGAACTGTCAAGCCTTTCTAGTGGAAAACAATTGTTTTATCTTTGAATAATTATAGGGTTGTTTTAGGGTAAGTAGTTTACTTTTGTAAGCAAAAGGCTTAGAAGAAAAGGTACACCAGGTCTAGGTTTTAAAGCTTGTTCAATGTGCATAAAGTCATGGTTGATGATGTTGCCTTTTATGAAAAAATTGGGGAGGGCATTTAGGGGAGGGGTGTAGAAGCCCCAAAATTGATCGGCGCATAACAATTTGTTATACATGACTTGTAATGAATTAACAGCAAATATACTTTTCCTTCAGACATTAATTCCAAAGGCAGTGAATTCACTCAAAGTACTGGCTGAGTTACCCATCATTGTTGTGCTCATGTACCAGGTAAATGTTTGTAGTTATTGATAGTTATGTTAAATGATGTGTTAGCTTGGGTTTTTTTCTGCAATTGTCATGCCTATGAAGTGTGATTGTATTAATTTATCTGTCATCATTTTCTTTATGCAGTTATACAAACAGAATGTCCACAGTGTTGTAGCAGACTTCATCCCATTGATCATGAATACCATTATTCTACAACCCTCTCTTACAGCAAGGTAACAATCTGTGTTACTCTGTTTATCATATTAAGTTTCAACCTAGAAGTGATACAGTGTAGTTGGCCAGATAGCATGATTGTTCAGGCAAAGGTAGTCCTGAAAAATTGTCCAGGTTAGCATAATTCAATAAAGGACAGCTGCTGTTGACAGTAGTTGAATACATGTACATAATATATTATGTTTTCAAATGGTAATCAAGAGAGACAACTCATTACCAAATGGATACTTGCATGGAAAAAGCACTACTGACAGTACTATAAGTGACTTCTAAAAGTCTGTTGGATTTTCCAATCAGATTGTTATGTATTCCATTGTGAAACAGAGGGCGAAAATAAATGTTTCACAAAAGTTCATTAACAGCTTTTCACTATCCACCCTTTCACTAGAAATTGGCGATGACTTTGCCCAGGTTTTTTAGATGCAGCATCTTTTGATGACTACCCACATATGTACAACTGCACTACAGATGCACAGCAGTGAATGTATGAAATATAGTCTGAATGTTACTGAAAACAATCTTGCAGCTCCAAAAGCTGTAAAGCTGTAATCTTCTGTGGTCACTTGAATATTGTTAACAACTCAACAGTAGTCTTATGTGGATACTGATCATCTTTTACTCATTATTTTTCTATTCTTTAGAAAATCTCCCACATTCAACAAGGAGGTGTATGTTGATTTTGTAGCAGCGCAAATCAAAACACTGTCATTTTTGGCATACATCATCAGAATTTATCAAGATATGGTGAACACATATTCACAGAACATGGTAGGAGGAATGCTGGGTCTGCTGCGCTATTGCCCACAGGAAGTTGCTCACCTCAGAAAAGAACTGCTGATTGCTGCAAGACATATTCTGGCCACAGATCTTCGAAAAAGTAAGCAGGTTTTATAGGGACAAAACTGAGTCTGATTCTCTCAGGGAACACAGGACAAGACATTTCATTCTTCACCCTGGAGTTATTTATTGGGGTGACATGACAAAATGCTGCCTGTTAACACAGGGTTAAGCAGCAGTAGTTATGGGCCAATAGTGACCTTAAACATGTAACCTTTCCTGTCACTCCATTACATTTGGCTGTGATCTCAAATTTCTCCACAGGGTTTGTACCTCACATTGATCAACTATTTGATGAGGAAGTCCTGATTGGTAAAGGTTGGACCACTAAAGAGTCGTTACGTCCATTGGCATACAGTACCTTGGCTGATTTGGTTCACCATGTTCGTACTCATCTTCCCTTACCTCACCTGTCACTGGCAGTTCATATGTTCTCCAAGAATGTACATGATGACTCACTCCCTGTCAGCATTCAAACCATGTCATGCAAGGTGAGTAAAAATTGCAAAGCACAGATCAAATGCATCATTTTACCTGGGGAATAGATTGGTGGTAAGTATACTGGCGTATTCTGTAGTTGTTAACAAGCTCTTGTCGGGGGTTGAGTGGTAATCTAAAGTGTACATTATAGATAGCATAGTATTTAGTCTTGATGGTACTCTGGTGTGAGGTGGTTCATGCTGCCAGGTGTCAAAGTAGTTGGACTTTAAGTACTGTAGGCAGCTTGACAAACAAAGAGGCAATGATGAGTAAAGCATAGAGGGTGTAAAGTAAGTGGCCATACTGCACATAGCAGAGAAGAGAAAGGAAGTGAAGAGATAAGAAATGAAGAGAAGGGAAGAAATGAGATGTGAAGAGATGACAAGAAATGATTGGATTGGAAGAGAGGAGAAGAGAAACAAGGAAACGAGAGGAGACTGGACAAAAACTGAAGGGAAAGGGTGAGAGGAGAAGCTAATAGAAGTGAAGGGAAGGGAAATGCAAACAGGTTGACCAAAAATTCGATAAAATGGGAAGGTGGTTTCATGGGTTGACTCCTAACTGCAAACCTTATTTTTTTTTCTTAGCTTCTTTTGAACCTTGTGGAGGGTATCAAGCAGAAAAGTGATGATCAAGGAACTGTAAGACATTGCATTTACAATTTATATTCACAAACCAGCTGAGACACATAAATTTAAGATTCCCCTTTTTTTACTTTTATAGCATTTTTGTTAACTGATTTCTTTTTTTTTTTTTTCAGGGACGTGAAATTCTTATGAGGATGCTTGAAGTATTTGTCAGAAAATTCCAATCAATTGCTAAGCATCACGTTCCAGCTATCTTCAAGAGATGGTACTTTATCTTGAGTTTGGTTCTTTTCTTTGAAGAGATTGTCAATGACTACATACATGTAGACTTAATTAGAACTGAAGATCAGATCAGATCAGAAAACAGAACTTTACAATTTTACCAATTCATTTAACAATTGTCACAATATGATGATGATAAAAATGAAGGATTTCCATATTTCCTTATTTCCATATCCAAGAGTTCATGGTGCTTTTGGAACTTTGATGGAAATTTGGCTAGACTGCATTGAGAAGTTCATAGTTTTTTTTAGAGGAAAGTTAAATTCCATAAAGGATACAGTAGACCTTTGTAGGTGTCTTTTCAAAAAAAATTTTTATTGTGCTATATAAAGCATAGCCACCATAAACTATGTATCAATTAAAATGTTATGAAATTCACTATTCAACAAAAATTATTTTGTCTTAGCTTGATCTAATTGTAGACCAAATGGGCTGTGGCAATGTGAAGTGGACAATGTTTCTTTGAGCGAACTAATTGCATATCAAATCTGACTACACAAATGATAATAATTTTTTTTAGCCCTCAAATGAGTGAAGTCCAAGCACAGCAGCAGTCTTCATCACAATCAACGTCAGTTATACCATCTGTAACAACAAGCACAGCTGCTGATCGCAGCTCAGTGTCCAGCGTAACTTCAACTTCCACTGCTTCAAGTTCCTCCTCAGCAGCAGTTGAAACCCAGTCTTCAGACAAACAGGATCAAGATGTGACAAAGGTTTAAACAGTTACATGTATTTACATGCAGAGATAATAAGTGACTCAAAAGCTAACAAACATCAATGCCATGAAATTATATTTTACCAGCTTCAGTAAATCAAATTCAGGAAGATTTTCTAAATATTAGTATATTTTATATTACTGGTATCTTATATTTGATGGGTTATTTTGTAATAATCATTGCAATGAGCCTCCCTCTTTTGGGGTGAGTTATAACTAGTTAAAATAAATAATCTTTATTTTTCTTTGTTTCCTGATAGAAAATGGCTGGCGCTTCAGCTGGTAAGCTACTGTTCTCAAATAACGTTTTTTTTTACAATTATTCTTCATCTAGAAAACATACAAATATTGATGTACTGTACATGTGTTCAAAATGGTTCTTTTCCTTGAAATTTTAGTGGGTCCCAGTCCCCCAAATGCCTTCTCTGTTCCTGACTGTCGCAGTATGGTGAAGACTCTTGTGTGTGGAGTTAAGACAATCACATGGGGTGCAGGTTCCCGCAAGGTAATGGGAGGTAAGATATTTCACTTGGTGTAGATTATGACATGTTTTCTATCAGTTTTCTAGACAGGAGTGAGGGCATTATAACATATAGCAATTGATAAACTGTTTAAGAAACTTTAATCACTTAGATGTACACAGGTTGGGACAGACTGTTGGATCCAAAATTGATCACAACCTACCTGGTAATTGCTGTTTAATGACAAATGGCACATTCAAAGCACATATTAAGTGTTGGCTCCAGTTATCACCTTGCTAAGCCTTCTTTCAAATATTTCAATTCTCATGTGTAAGTTTCCAGAAATCTACTTTGAGGACTACTGAGAGCACTTGGAGTTCTTTTTCCTAAGTATGCTTGTGTCACCCACTTAGTAACAACATCATCTTTCCCCCAATAAATGTTCTTTCACCACATTAAGGACTCAATATTGGTTTCATTTTCTTAAAGCTGCAAATGATATCAATGCTCCTGCATCAGCTCAGGCCAATAAAACATTCCTTCCATGGGAGACACATCTATTCACAAGACTTCTGAAATATGGTGAGGATAAGTATAGGGTTCTGGGTAGACTTTTTTTAGTGTAGGCCTATAGCCATGGCTTAAGGATATAGATTCTAAACATGGTCCTCTGCTACAAACTACAAGTTGAATGAATCAGGTCCAGCCACAGTGCTACTCAAAAGTAAGTTGACAATCTTGACTTGAAACTTGATCTTTGATCCTCAAAAATATCAGGAATTGAGGCTCGAGAATCAAAAAGAGAGGTGCTTCAAGCTGTAGCTTGGACATTCAGGGCTTGAAGACACCATCCAATACAGTTCTGCTTGAGGCTGTAAAGGTCTTGTGGGATACATTCAGTGTCTGCACAGAGTTGATTGATTTAAGTTTTGGCAAGGTGTGACCCTGCAGGAAGTTTCTTCTACCAGTAATATCTGGACTTGGAATTTGATCCTTGATTCTCAAAACTTTTGAGAATTAGGAATAGATTAAGGCTTGAGTTTCAGGAAGTGAGTTTCAAGGGACTGTCAATATACTTTTTAGCAGTACCATAGTTGTAGTTCATAGGCTAACTTGTTCAAAACCAAGTGACCCACATTGTAGAATCTTATCCCAGTTTCCATAGCATGAAGCTGCTTATTAAATTTGCTGACAGACTTAAATTTTGAATTTTAGCCTTCAGGCTTTAGATATTTATCAAGTGTCTATCAGTCCTAATGGACAGTATTATCTCAGGCCTCCAAGGTATGTTATAAATTCTTCTCACTTTCTGCCCTGTGCCATACATTTCTTGTCATTTTAGCAATCAGTATCTCATAGAATATATTTCTTGTTCTTCTTATCACCTGCTTGAAAATGCACTGACATTGCCAGGAGAAATTTCTTTTCGACCACCTCTAGGACTTAAAGGGTTAAGTTTTTACAGTTTGTGAAATTTGAAATTATTCGATTTATGATTCTGTCAACATAACCCTTTAACCTTAAAAAGTGATTAGCACCTTAATTCCCCTTACATTATCACAGTAAAATCAAATATTAAGGTTATAAGAATAAACAAAGTGACCACCAACTTAAGGAGATCTGGATTTTTCGGGCAAATTCTTCTTTTTTACCCTTTAGCAAATGTAAAGAAAATATGTTTACTGATGTTTGGGTATAAAGGGCTGAACCACATGTTTTTTTTTACTATTCAGTTCTCAGCAAGTGAGAATGAAAGAAGAAAAGGAAATCTTGGAACACTTTGCAGGAGTTGTAAGTACAATGTACTTTGTGCTTGTATTGTACATCTTCACTGGGTCATGGTTATCTTGCTCTTACTCAAGAAGTTAAAAACAGTTAGGGGACCAAAACTTATCTTGGTAAGAATTTTTTTTTCTGTATCTTTTGTAGTTTACTATGATGAACACATCTACCTTCAAGGAGGTCTTCACTGCAAGTATCAAGGTATTTGTAACTCTCAGAAACAAATTAAATTATTACTGGAATATTTTACTAGGCTTGTCCAGTTCAGCTGCATGCTGGTTTTGATGGGGGCCTGAAATCCTGTTTGTTGTTTATTTGATTTTTGAATCTTTGCCTAGAATTTGCCTTCTCCAAGAAAGGTGGATACAGCACATGGGTGTGATTTGTAGTTAATTTTGTTAGAATTATAACAAATACTTTCCCAAAGTGGGGATATTGATGATACAGCTGTATATATGTAATGTTTGATAATACTTACTGTACTGAACAAACAGCAAATCATATTTAAAAAGGTGCATGGTTTTTTATAATGGTGTCCAGATGTTTTATGAATTTTAAACTGACTGTTTTATTCCTCTTTCAGTATCTGGTGGAGAGAATACACACAAATTATGCTCTGCAGGTGAAAACCAATGATTTGTGTATAATTATGTGCAATGTAGTGAGGTCCTACACAAAGCTGATGTGCAAGAGAATGTGGATGACAACATGCTTTCCCCCCTTCCCATACATGTTTAATTGGCTGTGATACTCTGAGAAAAGGTCAGAGTATCACAGCCAATTAAAAATTACAGGAGGGGGGGGGGAAACATTGATTATTAGGTGTTTCTATGGCTAAAATTGCTAGATATTATTACCAAACTTACACAAAGCTTCTCCAGAATAATTCAAAGTAAAGAAGTTGGAAGAATGGGGTGATATAACAAATTGCTGGTTCCTGGTTCATTTACAGTTTGAATATACTAATTAGAATCAATTTGAACATGAAGAAGAACAGAAAGAACTCTTTTCGATGCCCAGGACTGTAAAAAATCCACATCATCTTCCAGAACAGGAAGATCTCCCTGTAAATATCACTTCTCCCTTAACTTGTGCCATAGATTTCTCATAATGTTGGTAGCTCTGACAAAATGTTATTCAATTGAGCAATACCCCTTTGATGACAATTGTCTTTTTTCTCATCACATCTTTGCTTAAAATGTAGTGATATTGTAGATAAGAAATAGTTTCTGGTCGCTTCTCAAATTAAAGTTAAAGGGTAATTTTGCATTTCTGGTCCTCTTTTTTAGATCATCCCAAACTCCTTTCTGGCCAACCCCAACACCTCAGCCACTTTTGCTACAATCCTTGTACGGTTCCTCCTGGACAGACTGGATGAAATGGGAAGTAAGTTTTACATGTAAATGAAGGAAACAAAAACAAACTAATTGTTTAGTGTATCAATCCTGGACCTGAAATTCTCTTTTTTTTTTTCAAATTCTATTGACCATTACTTTTAAATTAATCAGGGTACTCTACTACACCCAAAGAATTAAGGAAGAAAAATGACCGTAGGAAAGATAAATCTGAGCAATATTAATGCTTTTGTGAATTGTACTTTTTTAGCAAACATGGAGCGCTCTAACTTATATCTGAAGTTGTTCAAGTTGGTGTTTGGTTCAGTTTCTTTGTTTGCATCTGAAAATGAACAGATGTTGAAGGTGAGAGGAACTTTGTGAAGCCACATCCATGTAACAAAAACTTTGTTCTCGTGAGTACATGTACATGAACTATTGAATAATGTAACCATCACCCTAATTTCCAACTGTTTTGGTTACCATGAGGAGTAAAAGTGTTTGTTGTAGCAAAATCTGCCAATGAAGCTGTAATTTGTTATAGTTTTAATGAAGTAAATTTCATCTGACCTGCACATGAAAATCAAGCAAAAAATGATCCTTGCAAGGGAGCTGTAATTTTAGCAATTGCAGAAAAGAGGCCTCATGCTATGACAGTTTTGAACCCAGGACACACAGATTCTAGTTTGGCACTACCACTAGCTTTAGGAACAAATTTTAGAAGGGTTCTTCTTTCCTAAGGAGGAAACTGATCAATATTTATCGAGAAGTAAATTTATTTTACCTGCACATGAAAATCATATAAAGCAATGATCCTTGCAGGTGAGCAAGGATAATTGGAGATTTTTTACCTATTGTTCACAGTTTAAATCATAGTGGGATAAACATTTCAATAAAATGAAATAATATAATATTTTTAAAAAATGGTTCTTTTCACTTTTTCCTACTGGTGACAATTTTATGAGTACAGGTTGTCTGGGACTTTGAAAATTCTGGAGGTTGGCTCCAAACAGTTCTGTAACTTCCACATCACTGAATACCTTGACTGTTTGATTTTCTTTTGTAGCCTCACTTGCATGAGATTGTGAACCGATCCATGCAACTTGCCTGCACCTCTAAGGAGCCATACAATTACTTCCTGTTGCTGAGAGCACTGTTTAGATCCATAGGAGGAGGTATACATTGCAATCCTATCAACTGATGATAATTATCAATGCCAATTTTTTACTCTTGGAATTGAACTTTACAGTTGTAGAGTGTTTTCTTAGGGTCCTGAACTTACTTTAAACCTGTTGGGTTGTCTGATTAACAAATGGATCCCAAGTTGGCCTGCTGTGAATTTGTGCTCTAATAGATCATCAAAATGTGGTAAGAACAAGAAAGTAGCACACGAGGCACAGCTAAGTGTGTCACTGAAGTTCAAACCACAATTTGATGTCTCCTCATATCTTTTACTGAACATACCCATGGCAACATGAAATCTACCAGTATTTGTTTACATGATAAAGAAGTAAAGTGTTTTAATGATGACAACATCTTTTTGTCTGTCCTCTCTTGGGTCATAACTAAAAACCAATCAAAATGTGTGTTTAATTCTGCTTATTATAGAAATACTGTTGGGAAAAAAATTAATGTTGATTATGATGTTATTCAATTTTTAGGAAGTCATGACTTGCTGTATCAGGAGTTTTTGCCTCTCTTACCAAATCTTCTTCAAGGTCAGTTTATCTGGTAACCTAAGATTCATTTTCTCACTGTTGTTTTGTAAACTTCCAGACTCTTAAGGCTTTTTTTTCTTCAACTCTTGTTCCTTTTTTAGGTTTGAACAACCTTCAGAGTGGAATCCATCGTCAGTACATGAAAGATCTGTTTGTGGAGCTGTGCCTCACAGTACCTGTCAGACTGAGGTAGAACAGAAAACTGGCCTACTGATTTTTTGGCTCAGAAAACGCATTTAGGATCATATTTCTAGGCAAAGAGTGTTAAATTTTCTGATCAATTTTCAAAGCTACCATATTCAATTGGTGAGATCAGATGAAATGTGAAGTTAATATGAAATTGTACCAGAGAGGTGATATCGAGAGTGAGGAGAGGTCCAGCAAAGACATTATTTCTTCTAATCCTGACCTCCCCCCCCCCCCCCCCCTTTTTACTGGTTCATTTGCTCTAGGCTTTCCTCAATCTTAACAATCCTATATAGAGGCCTAAACACATGATTGGAATATTTAGAATTTGCCTGCCAGAAAAAATGCCTGCTATGGGAACTACCAGCCCATTTTCTTAACTGATAGATCAGTTTTACCCTTTTTCTTCTTAATCTAATGATTAATTTTATTCCTGTTTGTTGTTTCAGCTCACTTCTTCCCTACCTACCCATGCTCATGGATCCTTTGGTGTCTGCTCTGAATGGGTCCCAGACCCTTGTCAGTCAGGTACTAAGCTTCCTATCTATAATAATAAAGTGTGGTTCAACTAAGAGACAAACGTATGTGGGATTGTCGTGATTTTGCATTGTTTCACTCTGTAATTAGTCAAGAAAAGTTGTGTTACCTCTCACCCTTTAGATGCAGAACTACGAGCATTTGTGCCAATGTTTTGCAGTGTAAAGCCTTTGCCCCTAGTGAGATATTCCTTTGCCTTGTGCAATCGAAATGCACTTTAATACCAATCGATACAAAATTTGGTGTGAAAGGAAAGATTTTTGGGAAGAAAAATTGATATAGTAAAGTAATATGACTGTATCATTTGAGTGAAAAAATTCTTAGCGACAATTTATGACGTAAACATTTTGGAAGATAAATTGCACTTCAATGTTCATAGTTATGCAAGGAAAATGATTCAAATTTGCAACTTGGTAACATGAAGATCTTTGTGATGTTATCAGGGCCTGAGAACTTTGGAGCTGTGTGTTGACAATCTTCAGCCAGATTTTCTGTACGACCATATTCAGCCAGTGAGGGCTGAGCTTTTTCAGGTTTGTTGATTATCCGCCTCATTGTTACGTAATTTTCTTTCTTGATTGAGGTAGCTCTCTACTTACTTTGTCCTCCCTGAATATCAAAAGGTTTTAATAATCGAACGTTTGATTTTCCAGGCTCTATGGAAAACACTGCGAAATCCACATGACAGCATTGCTCATGTTGCCTTCAGGGTTTTGGGTAAATTTGGTGGCGGCAATCGGAGAATGTTGAAGGAACCCCAAAAGGTTGGTTGGTTTAACAGATTCCCTCGTTTGTAAAAAGTTCCACTGTGAAGCTCAAAGTTTCCCATCTTTCTTCTGTTTACTCATCTGACACTTTCAAACACGTACTGAAAAAATATTTTTGTTTTCTTTCTTCCAGCTAAAATATAACAACGCTGAAACAAAGGGGCCATGTCTATCAATATTTTACCCAGAAAATACTAATCCTGTTTCACTTCCCGTGACAGCTGTAAGTGTTGAAGCACTCGTTTTCTGTTGAAGAAGTAGCTGTTTATAATTTTATTACTTATTTCAATCTTTTTAAGTTAGAGTAAGCAATTTTAAATGAGCATCAAAATTCATCCCTGATTATGTCCTTTTGCCTTTCACCGCTTTATGATTGGTCAGACAGAAAACCAGTGTCACCCACTCAGCCAATCCGATACAAGACTAAAGTAGAACCCTGTTAACTCAAACTCCCAAGGGAAACAAAAAATGATTTCAAGGTAGCAGAGTTCGAGTGGGCTCAAGGGAAACCAGATCGTGTTTGAGTTACCGTGGGTTTGGGTTAACCGGGTTCTGCTGAAAAAGCAATTGCAACTTGCTTAAGATACCATATTTGTTTGTAGTTCATGCAATGTGCTTGTCTTTGCTTTGATTTCTCGTTTACTCCATGTGAAATTTTCCTTACTGGCAGGTGTAATTCCTTGGTTTTGGTTTTACGACACTCAATAAAGCGCGGTCTGATTACTTTAGCGTGTAATGATATGTTGATGTTGTTGTCTGTGGTAGGTAATCGAAAGAGCATTAACAGTACTCAAGACCCTTCCTCCCAACATGGCGGCGCTTCCTCAGCAGTCACCAATGCAGATTGATCACACTGTATTCTACAGGAAGCAGGCTTGGTTGGTTGTACAGGTAATTTATGTTTCCTCGATACCCTAGTTCAGAGATAGTCCAGGCGCTTGTCAGTGAGTTGGATCTCAGAAATTTGCGAAGTAAACTGAATCTGCATTCTTCTCTAAATTTTCAAAATATTCTTTCCCTTTCTCTTCTCTTCCCTTCCTTTCCCTTCTATCCACTTTTCTTCGTTTCCCCTTCCCTTTCCTTCTCATCTCTTCTCTTCGTACCCTTTTCTTTTTCTATTCTTCTCTTCTCAATTCCGTTTTCCTCTTCTCTTCATTTCCTTTCCCTTCGCTTTTCATCCCTTCCTCTCTCCTCCCCTCTCTTCTTTTCCCTTCTTTTCCTAATCCATTCCTTTCTCTCTCCTCTGCAATCACATTTACTCAACAAATATAAAGACAAACTACCTTAGATTTACGTGTAAGTGTCGCTAGCTAGAGAACTTGTCATTGGACTTAATCGTCTCTTTTTTGCTGTAGTCTTTTCTTATAGCCATAATGTCTCTTGAAGACACTGAAGCGATATTTCAACAAGTCTTACAACACAAGAGGTATGAGACCACCAAACTATTATCAGAAGTTAGACAGTTAAGCTACATGATATATGCCTTGGTTTCAGCTTTGCCACGAAATATTCTCTCGTTACTGATGTCTATTTTTTCCTCTCAGCTTTAGAACTGAAAAACCTCCCATTTGTAACAAGACAGCTGTACCACCCTGTCTGGATGAACCATCGAAGAAAGTGTTTGAGCAAGCTATCACTGGTGCATTGTGTAAGTAGGCAATGGCAGACTTTATATTTCATCCAAACTAGCTTGGAAAGTAATCACTTGTAACTTACATTTATCTCGGGACAAATTCAGAATCCAATCTATTGCTTAATGTATTGTTGAAAGAGTCGTGTTTGGCCGCGAGGTCTGCCACGTCCGTTTGACGGGGCGTGGAAACCTTACATTTAATGGAGATAAATGATGTAAATTTTGCATTTTTCTTCCCATAGTATCTGGAACAATAAAAGAATTAAAGTCAGAGGCAGTTCCTTTTGTGTCGCAAATTGTGCGACATTACACCATTGTGGGTGTGGTCCAACAAGCCGGACCGTGTCCGATCAAGACTCAGGCAAGGTAACTGACAACTCATTGTTAAAGTGCGTCGGGTGCATTTTTGCCAAAAAAGGAATAAGAAAATGATCGATTGATTAATTTTTGCTCCTGGATCTTCAAGGAATCGCCGAGGAATTGACGTACATGCCATGGTTGATGCTATAGCAGCAGTAATGTCGATGGAGGATAAGGAATTTTACAAAGTGGGTGAATTGGCTGTGGCTGTCATGATTGAAACTGCAAGCGCAATAACAGGAGATCCATACAAGGTTAGTATGGTGGCAGAAGAAAAAAAACCGGTAAACAAAGTCTTAACCACACTTGTGTTTTAGTTATTTCCCCAAAAGGTTTCGATGCCTAAATGTTGTCCGTGAGTGGCGTTTTAGTATTGACCTGATAGTATAGTGTTAATAAAGCAAAACTTAGTGTTGGCGCTGCAGGCAGCGGGTTTCTCTGCGGGAAGAGCAGTGTTCGTGCCGAAGCGCTTATAGTGAGGGCAGTTTGCAGGCTATCTTCTCACTCCCTCTTACTTTGGCAGACGTTTTAGGGTTCTGAAAGGGGCAGATTCTACTTGAATATTGGCTTTTTGATTAAAAACTGAGGGGACGATCTTGTCATCTTGTAGGCTGCAAGGCTACCTTTGTTTGAATACCTTTCTGAAAAACTATGTGGATGTTGTTACGAGAGGGCGTGGTTTGCAAAGAATGGAGGGTAAGTTGCATACCTTACTTTTCAAACTTTAATTTGATGTTTCTGTTAATTCTTGTACTTCTTAATCGGCATGCTCAACTGACAAATAAAATACATTTTGTTTGTTGGTTTATTGTTCAGTTGCACGGCCATCAACTTCCTAATGCAGAAAATGCCTGTTCAATGGATCATTGAGCATCAACTGAACTTCATTAACGCATTGTGTTTTGTAATGATGGACCTCACAAACGAGGTGAGTAGGTGTTGCATAGAATGTCGCGTATCGTGCATGATAATCCTCACCTAACTTTTTCTTCTTCCTCCTCGTTTGTAGGATTATTATAAACCCCCTCTGTAATAAGCCCCCCTCTTCAATGAACCCCCTCTCTATTTAGCCTCCCTCTCCATAAGCTCCTTCTGTCATAAGCCCCCTCTCCATAAGCTCCCCTCTCCGATTAACCCCCTCTGTAATAAGCCCTTTTCCCAATTAACCCCTCTTTAATAAGCCCCTCTTTAACAAAACCCTTCTCAAATAACCTCCCTCTATTTAACCCCCCCTCTCCAATTAGACCCTGTCTAATAAGCCCCCCTCCGACGAACTCCTCTCTGACGAGCTTCTCTCTTCAATGTACTCCCTCCCTGATGATACTCCTTCTCTTATGAGCCGTCTCTTTGACAAACCCTCCCTCTCTGGGAAGCTTCCCTTTCAAATACTCCCCCTCTCCGATGAGCCTTCTCCCTTAATAGGGGCCCCCCCCTTTCTCTAATACGCCTCTGACTCATTTATTTCCTTGAAAATTAGTTAAGAGAATCTGCTGTTACATCAGGGTAACATCCTTGAGTTGATAACTTTTGGTATCATTTAAAGATATTGTTAGGTGGTTTTATTCTTCCAGCTTTGTTAGATGTTGTAAGGGTAAAGACGACTCTGCTTAGTTTTTAAGGTTTGTCTTTGGTCTTTTTCTTTCCTTTTAAGGTGTCAGCTGGTACTGTTGACAGAGCTAAACAGACGTTAGAGGCTCTTCTTAAACAGTGTAATGCCCCCAAGGCTGGAGAGGTACGATAACAATAGATGCTCATGTATTTTTCTTCAGAAACTATCTTTTCAGAGAAGCAAACAGTCTGTTCAGTAATAGCTCGCAGATGACATCAAAATGTGGTGAGAACTAAAGAGTGGCACCTGAGGTACAGCTTAGGGTGTCATTGGTGTTATTACAACATTCTGACGTCATCTGTGATCTATTACCGCACGGACCCAGAGCGACATGGAATTATTCAATATATTTTAACGTGAAATCTATTTATTAATCAGACATTATCCGTTCAGAGAAGCGAACATTTGAAGTTTTAGTTTAATGATGGTCATAAGACTCGTATTGTAATCTGTCCGACTGTTTATCAACGTTTGACTTCACGAACATGCTTCGATTTTGATTCAGGATAAAAATATTGCTACAGTGAGGGAAAAGGTCCTGCCTTCAGTCACTCAACATCTTGTAAAGGAAATTGTTTCGCCAAACCAAACCATTCGGCAGCAGGTTAGTTCATGTGTTTTCTATACTTACACGTCGTTTAAAAGGTTTGATCTTACTAACTTGCTGTTACGAGAGTTTATCCTGTTAGCATACCACGAGGTGAGAGGAAAAACTGCTACCCCTCTCTAACCCTCCAAGGTGACTACTTGTGCACTTCCCCACCCCTCCCCCCTTTCCAGCAATTCGTTGAGTTCCTGGAAAAGATTTTGATGTCCATTTATCCTCCAGGGTCGAAACAGGTCCAAGAACGTCAGAGAACGAAAGAGCTTTGCAAATCTGAATGGACACGAAATACCTGTTTCTACAAAATTAACGGTCACTTCTTTATTCACAGGCTCAACATTCTGTTTCTGTGCTTGCCGAGATTTACAAAACAACCGTTCACAATATCATGCTTCCCCACAAAGGAGTAAGTTTAATTTGTGCCACTTTTATCACTTCTCTGTTATGAAATTCTAGTAATATGAAGAAAATGACCTAACTTTCCTATTGATTGAAACTGACCAATCACAACAGTCACGCGCTACTCGAAGCGAACAGTCAATAATAACACTCCAAACTGACCAATCAGTTTTCACAGGTCAGACAAACAACTCCTCCTTGGACTCTAATGATGACTTTCGCTTAGGTTTTCGAAATGTTAATAATTATCACTAACAACAGCCTTTTCTTGGAAAAATTGGATACGATAAGTCCTCCGTCATTTTTTTAAGGTAAACCAAGGGTACTAAGTCACAATCAAAGCTCAGTTTACTGCAAAAGACACATTGCAAACAGCAGCAATAACAGATAACCCTTTACTCTAAAATGAAGTCTCTGGAAACGTGCATTAGAAACGTCAATCTATGCGACCTAGTTAATCGAAAAAGTGTTTCTTTTTTTTTGTCTGGTAATTTTTTCTTTTTAATTTTTGTTTGTAGATTCTGGAAGACATGATTCCACCAAAGGTAGGATTCATTAAAGTAACACATGATTAAAATGTAGCCAATGAACAGTGCGCATTCCAATGATTGATATAAGAACAAAACCAAAGTAATCAAGACGAACAATCAGAGTGAAGGAAAATTTTTAAAGGAGCCAATGAGAACTCAAACTGAAACGAGCAAACTGTCTAAAGTGCGGGAAAACGCGGGTGTCCAAGTTGCGATCAGGGTTAGTCTTGCATCTGATTGGTTTAGAATTAACTCGAGCTTTAAAGACCAATCATTGAGCAGCGTGAGGTGAAAACCAACGTAATTGCAGATTACTTTCGGCACTTAATCGAAAACTGTTTAATTGCTGTGAAAGCTTATTAAGAAGAGTGTCTTTTTCTGTCATTCTTAGAAACATCTTCTGCGTCACCAGCCAGTCAACACTCAGATTGCATTAATGGTATGACAGTTTCCATTATTATTTGTACGTAGTCCGAGTTTTATCTTTTTCCTTAGACAAAAGTATCTCGTTTGTTCTTAATAATTTTATCTTTCCGCATTTTTCCCTTTGCAGGATGGTAACACGTTTTGTACGACGCTGAATCCTCGTTTGTTCACCATGGACTTAAGCATTATAGAACATAAGATATTCTTTCAAGAAGTACGATTATACATCAATGTTGAGTTTATATTTGATTTCAGACGTTTTCGTCTTATTTCAAATGGTTTCGTCCGATTTTAGACGGTTCCATCCCATGTCGGACCGTTCCGTCTGATTTGAGACGGTTTCGTCTTATGTCGGACCGTTTCTTCTGATTTCAGTCGGTTCCGTCTGATTTCCGACGGTTCGGTCTCATGTCGGACGGTTTCGTCTGATTTTAGACGTTCCCGTCTCATGCAGGTGGTTTCTCGTGTCATATATCATTTTTTTGCACAGTTTCGTCGAGTTGTAGACATTCGGTCTTATTTCGAATGGTTTTGTCTAATTTTAGACGCTTCTTTCCATCCAAAGTCGGACGCCTCCGTCTCATTTCAAAGTTGTTCATCTTATTTCTAACGGATTACACAGTTGTTTACCATAGACTGTGGTATAACAGTACCTCAAATGTCCTTTCAAGGGACTAGACTGTACATGAACATGGATTTTACTCTTACTCAGGAAACAAGCTGAAAATGCTGGTTTTTTTTTTGTTTTTTGTTTTCTCTCAGCTTCTTTCTCTGTGTGAAGCAGATGACACGCAACTTTCCAAACTGCCTTGTTATAAGGCAGTCCATTCCCTGACTCCTCTTAGGAAAAGTGCTCTGAGTAAGTTCATTGACTCACATTTATAGGCACGCCTCTTTTCTACATATTGAGTTCTTATCCAGTCAACACAAGCAGACTTTCTTTGGTAGTGGACGTGATGTATTGTTTCAGAATGACTTCGCGGAAAGCAGGATATACTTAGACGTTTTTACCTTCTCGCGAGTTAAAATTTTCATCTTCGTGAGACGAGAAGCATGTCTCCCGAGACAAACCTTCTATCGCAAGAAGGGGGTTACTTAGTTTTGAGCAGTACTGCTCTTTGAGTTAGATCACTGACGGACGTTGTAGACACATACAGCGTTTCCGCAAGGCTTGACTTGACATTATTGTAACGCGATTTTAAAAAGGAATTGTGTAGGTAAGATTGTCGCCATCTCATTAAGGCAAGAGATTATCACAATGAGGTTTAACTCTCATTCCTTACAAATTTTACAGATGCCCTAACCGCTTGCCATTACATCGTTCAAGCGAAGGATAAAATCTTCACTGTGTTGTACAAGGTAAACAATTTACGGACCTGTAAAGTTGAGACCTTCAATCATTTCTTGTAAGATTGTCAAAGAAAACTTCTGTGTTTTTTTGTGGCTAGAGTTGTAGTGAAGGGAACAAATATATATTTAAGCATTTTAGAATTTTGTTTCAACGAAAAAAAATGATCTTAAGTGAGCCAACCTTTTTGACTTGCGCGGAATTGTTTATGTGTGTACAGTTTCACATGCAACAAACGGAAGCACTTCACTTCTCAAAGAGAACTCCTGGCTAATAGATGTATTTTGTACATGTAGGCGTTGAACTCTCCTGTGACAGAAATACAAGAAGCTGCTAAGGATTCTATGAAGAAGGTAGTATTCTTTGTCACGAAAACGAAGAGTACGTAGCTGGCGTTTTTGAGTAATTGCTTCTTCATAGCTTCCTTTCTCTTATATTGTGCATTTGTTATTGTTGCTTGAGAATGTGCATCGGTGTAGTAGTTCATTTTTATTTCTTACTTGAAAGTAAACAATCTAGCTGATAAATCACCGAGTAAAAAAGTTCTTGATTGTCAAACAAATTCTCCTTGTCAGTGCCTTGGGGAATGCACAGAGAACAGTGTGGAGAATATGAATATTGATATTAGGGCTTAAAAGGCTAATGTTCACATTCGGGACTACTTGACAAACTGATCAAACAGATGTTTGTGTTTTTCCAGTTCATGGCAGGAACTCAAGTAGACATGGAGCAGGTCCATATGAGCATAAGACCTCTGTTACTCAAGTTAGGAGACTACAGGAGTTTAAACTTACAGCTTATACAGGTTAGATAAGAACCGTATTAAACTACATTTCTTAAGTCAAAACATGTAAATGTTAAAAAATATTTGACAATGCTGTAGGATTTCGGACGGGTGCGTCCCATTTCAGGCGTGTGTGTCCCGTATGGAACGGGTGAGTTCCATTTCAGGCGTGTACGTCCCATTTCAGTTAGTGTGTCCTATTTCAGGCGGGTGTGTCCCATTTCGGGCGGGTGTGTCCCATTTTAGGTGGGTGTGTCCCATTTCTGGCGGGTGTGTTCCATATTGGACGAGTGTGTTCCATATTGGACGGGTGTGTCCCATTTCGGGCTGGTGTGTCCCAATTCAGGCGAGTGTGTATCATTTCAGGCGGTTGTGTTTCATATTGGACGGGTGTGTCCCATTTCGGGCGGGTGTGTCTTGATTTCGACCGTTTCATTCGATTATGGGCGGTTTTTCGTTTTCAGACGGTCAGGAGGAGAGAATGTGGATGGAATTTTAAGACTAATTTTCGAACCTTTTTGCGTCAAAATGAGCTAAAAGTTTGAAGAGAAGTTAAACATTTATATTAAAAAAAAAAAAAAAGTTTAATGGCTATACTTTCCCAAAACTTTGTATTCTTTCAGCGATTATCTCATTTGATGGAGCTCTTTCCAGCCAGTTTTAACGAGAAACTCTGTGAGCAGCTCTTGGTAAGTTTTATTTCAGGGTTTTCAGTAACTTTTTACATAACCGGCTGCCGATGGTGTAATAGGCGGCTGTGCCCTAAAAGGGGCTATGAGGCGAAACCCTAACACCAGGACCTGCTTGCAAGCTCAACAGACGGCGGCAAGAGTTCTTCTAGGCAGCCGTAGAAAATGACTCTAACATGTTTAAACACTTTGCTAATTGTACGTTCTTCTTTACTAGTCTCACTTAAGAAAGTGGATTGATGTCGTCACAACTGGTACAACGCAGGCGCAGCAGGCGGCTGGAAAAACAAACCACACTCCTGAAGATGTAAGTGAGTTTAAGTAGAAAAGCCTTCATTTGAGTAACGTGTTAAATTGTGCGTCGTTAAAGCATGCGTATCTATGGCGTGACCAATACCACTCAAAGGTAAGCTGCAAGTGTTGTCATGTCTCTTGAGAATCGCTTTCGGGCAGTGATCGGAAAAATCCGATTCCTTACCGACGCGCAGCTCACGAAACGAACTGAATCCAACAGGTGGATTATAATTGAAGAAATTGCAGGAAATATGCCTGATAAAAGCGCAGGCTCACCCGGACTGGAACCGGTGCTTCTTGGATTTTAGTCAGGCCCTACCACCAACTGAGCCATGAAGCAACGTGTAGTTGGGAGTGGGGAAAATTTTGATGTGATTTTTGTTTCCCTGAAAGGAGTTTTAAAGCAAAGAAATAACTGCGGGTTAGTGGAATGGTAAAGCAACAAGCTTCGTTAACCCGAGGAACAAAACTCTTCTCGTAGGACTCTCGTGTTTTAAAGTGATCCACGCATGACATTTCTTTAATTTTTTTTCTTGCCAGTTTGCTCAAGAATTGAAAATCTGTGCTTCGATCATTAACATGTTCTACTTAATTCCTGCTGCGTCATCGAAGCTGATTGAACATCTCGTTACCTTGGTGCTGAAGGCAGAAAAAGCTCTTCTGATGGAGGTTAACAATAATTGGTTTTAGAGCCGTTTGCAATTGAGGGTCAAAACACCAAAGCCAAAATAATCCCAGTGACCAGTCAAAGGTTAACATTATCATTAGCCAATGAGAACTTAGAGTGAAATCAAACAAACTGCTTGAAGCGCGGGAAAAAGCGAATGGCCAAGCCCGGATTGTCTTTTGTTTTGCATCTGATTGGTTGAGAGGATGGTACGGGTTTTCTGGACCAATCACAGAGTAAAATTAAGATAAACTAAAGCAATCCTTGATTACTTTCAACGGTTGTGTTTATGTAATAAGCCCATGACTCCCTTCTGCAGCCGATTTTAACACAAAGCCGCTTATCGATAAATAATCTTGTAGACGGTTGAATGATAACCGATTTGAACATATTAATTTGGGTTATTTGTTGACACTGTTTAGATTGGAAGCCCGTTGAGAAAGCCACTGTTGAAGTTCTTGGTTCGCTATCCTATCCAGACCGTGGATTACTTCTTGTTGCATCTTGCAGGATCCCAAATGAACCGTCTGTTGATGGTAAGTAACTTTCATTTCCAGAAAAATTTCAACAGATGGGTGTCCTTTCCGTTTGGAAAATATCAGGATAAAAATAAGAGAATAAAGCTCTGTAATGCGGACCGTTACTGCTCCCGTCTCATCGCAGCTTAAGGTGATTTAACACCTTAACCCCTGAAGAGTGACTAGCATTCAATTTCATCTTACAATATCACCCCTGAATGACATTATGGTCACGAAAATAAAGGAAAAGATCACCAACTAAAGAAGCTCTTTAGAGAATATTAAGACTAATATTAAGATGTTAAGGTTAATTGCAGCTCACCTGCGTTGTTCATTTCTTTACTGGTGGTGTTATCTCTCTCTCTTCACAGTACATCCTTAGCCAAGATATCTCCAAACCTTTGAGACAGACTTTAGAGGCACACTCCTTAAAACTAGTTAACAGTACTTTCAGTATTCCTCAGGTAGGTTTCCCACACTGAATTCACTGAGACATCGTTTGTAAACAAGTGTTCTTGGAAATAATATGCGATCCTTCCAAGAGGCTCCTCGACGTGATAGGAAAAAATTCCAAATCTGAGATAATAAATTCTCTTTTACTAAGTCGTTCATGCAATGCTCTCTTCTTATCAGCCCTCAGAGGATCAAGTTTCAGCTCTTAAGAACAAGATGGAGTTACAAAACCAAGGCATTAAGATCATCAGGTTTGACAAGTTTTGTTTTTTCCCCTTCATTTGGGTTCTCGCTAAGGTGATTGAATCTTAATCTCTCAACAACTTTAATCAACCAGGTTGATGGTGAAGTTTAACGATTCGTGGCTTCCAGAACACCCTGTTTTGGTGAGTGCTACAACATATGTATAGCTCTGACCACATGTTTTGGTGGTCTTGTCCATGATTAAACTTGGAAGTGAAGGAAAACTCACGTTCACACTTGTATTGACATATTTTTTAATGGTTTTGAAATTCTGTGCGAAATTCTTGTAAAAGTTGTAATAGAAATTCTCTTTGCACTGATAGATTGGCCATTTACGAGGAATATGGGTATCTAGTAGTTTTCAGGACAGGCTCAAAAAGGTAAGGATATGTTTTTCTATGGAGCTCTTTGGAACTGAAAGTCTGTGTTTTCAACATTGTGTAATTTTCGTTTTCTCTTTTTTCCCTTCCAGGATGGAACACCAATTCATCGCTGGAGAGAACCAAAGCTGTTAGCAAAATGTTTATTGAACTACATCAAGTAAGTCGGAGTTACGTTTATGTCGTGTTTCTGGATGAAGGTCTTTCTTCTTTCTTCTTTCTCTATAAACCAAACAATGTTCTTGGTCTCCTCCATTTTAGGCATAAACCATCGGAGGTGGAATTACTCTTCCAGTTACTTCGTGTGTTCACCATTCGTCATGTTCCTGACTTCCATTTTCTTAGAAAATTTCTAGATGAAACAGTGGCCAAGGTAAGTAAGGTTTACTTCCGCTTCCTTTCGGGAGAAATGAACGTTTATAAGTGTGTCTTAGTGTTAGAGGCAGAAGAGATTCCTGCCAGGGAGTCATTCCAATGTGTTCGGAGGTAACCTGTAAGCGTTAGCCCCTCTGGCGAAGAGCTAAACCTTAGCAACTTAGGTTAAGAAAACCAAATAATTCTGTGATGATCTAAGACTCACAAAGAGCACAGCCATAACCTCTTGCTTGTTATGAGTATTGTTGCAATTGAAGTGAATGGTGTGGTCTTTTGATCAAAAGGTTTATTTGTTTTAAATGATTTATTCACCTATTTATTTATTTATTTTTGTTTTCTTATTTTTACCCCCTTTTTCACCAGGGTTACACGGTGGAACAAAAGAGAATTGTTTTCTTCAAATTTGTGGAACTGTTTCATGATCAGAATTTTCCACAGGAACTTAAAGCCAAGGTGCTCTTTACAATAAACTTAGTTAGCTAAACCTGAACGCCCTAACTAGGTTTGATTTCTAGCAATCGGCGGCTCAAGCCATTCTTAAAACGTTCACTGTGTGTCCCTTCTCGTGCTCTGGTAAAGTGTTAGCGAGGCCTCTTACGCCAATCGCTCCAAGGGCTGTTTTTTCCGGTTTTATATTTGACGCAAGGCATAAACGCTGTCAATTTTGGCTGTAGGCGCTGTTGCACGTGGACAGGGCGTGAAATGGTAGTGACGTGATGTTGACGCAAGGTATTATGCGAGATAGAATCTCGCATGCCTGCATCTCTCATACTTGCCGTATCTCTCATCTGAATAAAAATTCTGTCTGGTCTACCAATTACCTTTTTTATAAGTTAAGGTTTAATCGTTGTACACTGGTAACTCACTTCGCTATACTTGTTCTATTTTTTCTTTAGGCCTTGCAGTATGTGTTGATTCCCATGTTTCAAGTGTCGTTTGAGCGGGGGGAGGGTGACGGTCTGATAGGTGGACCCCCCAGCCCTGAACAGGACAGCAATGAAAATGTTATCAGCGTGTTTGTGTGTAAAGTTGTGGATCCTGATAATCCCTTTGGAACATCTGTAAGTAGAACTTTAATATTATCACTAAAAGTAATCCATTTTGATTTTGATAGACAGTCGCTTATAGCTCAGTCTGGGAGGCGCGGTGGCCTGACTTGCAGCGCGCTGAACTCCGTGACGAGAGGTCTGGGCTCGAGCCCTGGGCCCGAGCCCTGGACGTGTTTTGATGACAGAACAAATTTGTTTGGTATGAAAGGGTTTTCAGATATCTTCTTCAAGAGTACTCTCACCCGGTCGATCAGACCACGATGACAAAAATAAAGTTTTAAGTGTTGAGGATTTACATTCTTGGATCACTGGCATATTTTAGAACCCATGACAATTGTAGTATCTGTTTCTTTGTGATTGCAGGATGCAGTTCGTATTTTGTTGCTACAGTTCTCAGCGTTGCTGGTAGAGCACGCCTCACAACACATACATGACGCTGCAAACAAGTGGGTGAAGTGACTTTGAAACAATGTTTTATTTGCATGACTTAAAGAAAACAAATTGTGTTTTATGTAGTAATCGCGTCCTAGGGAGCTACCGAAAAATCATTCAAATTTAAAATAAAAAAATTTGCGTATTGTTTTTGAGAGAGAAAACTCCTTTTTTGACAGATGCGAGATTATTCCAAGAGTAAAAACTATTAAGTAATTGATAACGCCTTTAGAAGTCCTTTTTGTGTTTTTAAATGTCGTCCGCTGGGCGGTTCTCCCTCTCCCTTTCCTATTTTATCATTTATAATAGTATTTTTCTTTTGTGTAGTTATTACTGTACCGTAATCCAGGATTCTCTCATTGGACCTTGATCTTTAATCTGATGTAAACATTCCACATCGATAAATATGTATCGTGAAATTCTTACCAAGCCAAAAGTGGTTTGTAAATTACCTTTTTCCGTTTGTTTTAGGCGGCAAGGTATTAAATTACGTCGTTTGATGACATTTGCTTGGCCCTGTCTTTTGCCAAAACAGTGTGTGGTAAGATAACATTATCGCGCGATATTTACTAATAATTTAATGTCGCAGTGATTTTTCTCCTTGCGGGATCTACAGAAAAACTAATATTCGCGTACGGAAATTAAGTAAATTTTCTTCCGTCACAATCACGTTTCTGCTGTTCTTTAATTTTTGCTAACTTTCTGGATCGTTATTTAACGGAGTTTCTATTTGTTTTAGGACCCATCCACAAAGTACCATGGTCATTTACTACTGGCCCACATCATTGCCAAGTTTGCTATCCACAAGAGAATCGTCTTACAGGTACAGCATGAGTATACCAAAAGAAAAGGAGCACTACATTGTCAAAGTTAAGGACTGTTAAGAGATCACCAAAAGGCACAAGGGCGTGGCTTGTGGGCGGGATGAGGATTCAAAGAACTTTGGATCTAATTTCATTCAGAAATAGTAATACAGTGTGTTTTAAAACACTGACACAAGTGGGCATGCCCTTAGTGACAGGGAGGCTCTTGTGTCGGAACTGAGACTGAAAAATATTGTGAACACCTCTGTACAGAGTTGATTTAGGTAGAGTTGTAGAAAGAGAAAGGGAAAAATAGATTTATCGTAGAACGCCACGCAGTGATAAACGAGATGAAATGTCGAATTTTAAACCGTTTCAGAGGACAACCCAGAAAGAGGTGAATATTTCTAATGATCACATTTACTGTACTGTTAGGTTTTTCACAGCTTATTGAAAGCTCATGCAGTCGAGGCTCGCGGTGTTGTGAGACAGGCTTTGGACATTTTGACGCCTGCCATGCCAGCAAGAATGGAAGATGGAAACGTAAGGCGTTATTTATAGCTTTGATTTTGTTCTAGAGGAAAATAGGGTGGAGTCGATTTGACCGGAGCTTGGCCAGGTTGGACAAAGCGATAAGGAATATTACCATTTCCCCTAAATATCGCGAGGTCTCCGACTGTCCCCCCGCCCTAAGTAATTTGTTAGGTTTCTGTGCCTGTTTACCCTTACCCTTATATGATTAAGGGGGGGGTGAAGGCCCTATGAAATAAAGTGTCGTGCGCAAAATCGCAATGAGTTCGTCTGGACTTGAAACCTGACCTTCCGGGCTAACCACCATGCAATTGCGCCTCCTACAGTTAATAAATAGTTTGAGAATCAGAAGGTGCCTCAATTGTTCATCGATCTGATATCGAATTTTATTTTCTGGGTAGATTGTACCCTAATACAAGGGTTTTTGTTCCTTTTTAGGCGATGCTGACTCACTGGACGAAGAAAATCATCGTGGAAGAAGGTCACACTGTGGCCCAGTTGGTTCACATGCTGTACGTTCAAAATCTCTTGTGTCTAGTTCAAGTTATTTGAACATCCTGTCGATGTTCGTATGGTCTTAATTGGTCTTAATTGGTAGAAGTGTGCTGCAGTCCCCGACTCCTTCCCAGTCCTCTCTCTTCTTATGAAAATTTTAAGAGGGAAGCGTGCGAGAGGTGCGCCTGTGTGAGAAGATTGGAAGGGAAACACGATCTAGCGTGCAATACTCCTAAAGAATTGCAGTGGAGTAGTTAAAATTGTGTAAACAACCTGTCGTATGCCGCCATACTGGCGTTTTAGTAGAGTGAAATATTAGTAGGACGCCTGAAAAGTCGCAGTTTGGAGAGAGGAGGAAAAAATCTTCTAAACTCTCTAGTCCGTTAAAAGAAAAATAACTGGTCAAAGGAAAACATACATTAGCTTATGGAGTAGTAGTGTAGTCTGACTCCAAAAACATTATGGAATATGTTTTCCAACAGGACATTATTGGTTCGTCATTATCGGGTGTACTATCCTGTAAGAATCCATCTGATTCAACACATGGTTAGCGCTATGCAGAGGCTAGGATTTACCACCAGTGTAAGTGAAGAAAATCTCGATAATATGATACCTTTGCTAAATTATATTCCTCAGTTTTGAGAAAAGAAAATTAACTTAATCTTAGCCCTAACAGAGTGCACATTTCCAGTTCTAGAAAATTCCTTTTTTCTTTTTCTCATGCACTCTTTGATTGGTTAGACGCTTCCCAAGATGGCGATGTAATTTTGAAGTCGTCAGCAACGTTCTCTCGCGCTGGGCGCCCTTTACGAATATCGGTATTAACTTCACATGGCTGACTGTATTCGTATTTCCTGGCGTTTTATTTACGACAATCAGTCAAAAATTCTTCTATTAAAGCACTAAAAAGTTCCAAATATTTTGTTGATGTGTTTAGGCGTCTATTGAGCATCGTAAACTTGCTGTGGATCTGGCAGAAGTGATCTTAAAATGGGAATTGCAACGAATTAAAGATGACCAGGAACAAACGACAACTTCAGAGGTATACCATGTTGTAGCAAGGTAGTATGTTGTAGCGGTTTTTTAAGAAAACACACACTTTTTTTCACACTACAGCCTATTTAATGTACGGAATATTTTATGGTAAGTTAATTACAGATACTTCAAGTTTAGTAGTTAAATTCGATCGTGTCGTAGGAAGAATCTTGGTTTCAGACAAGTTGTAAAAATACCCACAGTTCTGATAAGGGGGGTGGGGGGAGGTCTTTGAACCCCCTGGACCCTCCACCTGGACTCCCACTGTTGTATAGTGTTAGCAGAATTATGTTTGTTCATCTCGTGTTTCGAAAACTGAATGAAGCCATATACTCTGCCGAACTAACAGCTCACTATGTACAGAAAACCTTTTTTTACTTATTTTAACGTTTTGCTGTTTCAGCAGACGACAGAATCTTCTAGTTCATACACTACAACAGCTTCACAGGTAGGGTTACAATCACAAACGTTTGATTTTGTCGTAGCTTTTTGACTTCTGGTGAGTAATACTCTGAGTTTCTGTATTAATTTGTTTTCTTTTTCTTTTATAGGTGGGAGGTGTTAAACGACCTTCTGAAGATACTCCCAGTCAAGAAACAAAAAGAACGAGATCCATGTCCCAGGTTAGCAAAATGTTGCTCTGTCCTCGTTTTGTTATAGCAATTGTCGATCGAACGTCGATAGTAATTCTTGATTCCTTTGGTTTTACTACTCTATGCTCTTTTATTGGTCTAGAAACTCGCGCCACCTATTCAACCAATCAGATTCAAAACGTGAACCATTGACGTCTTGGTCACTCGCATTTCCCCGCGCTTGCAACTGATTGTATTTGTGTGTGTTGAGTTCTCATTGACCCATTCTGATTGGCCGTAGTTTTCACGTAGGGTTTATCAACCCTCTGTCAAAAGGCGCAATAGCTGCATTATTGATTCAATTTTTCAAAATTTTTGATAGCACTGTGGCAACATTTCGTTTGAGCATTAAGGTAGTAGATTCATATTTCCAGGTCAAATAACTGTCAGTTATTGGGATTGGGTTAAGAATCAGTTATTTCATAAGATTCAATCATGTGATGTCTGTTGTATTGTGTTTAGAGCACGGCCTCAAGGGTAGCAGTTCAGGAGAGTCAAATCAAATCTCCACTGGAGAAGCACCACGCTGATGCTGTTGTCAACTTCCTTCTTAGGATAGCTTGCCAGGTAAAACCCTGATTCTAAGCAGGTGAACCAGGAAACTGCCGGGGAAATTTAAGGGGGAGGGATGGAGAGGGCCTTTTATGAACTGGCATCCCGTCCAGGGTTTATAGCCATAATCTTAGTTTGTAAGCTGATTTAATGTAGTTTTTAACTCGGAAAATGGCTGAAAGCAATTTCTGAGTTATTGTTTACATGTGAGTTTATCTGTGAGTTCGGTTGTCGTCCTAGGTGAATGAACCATCGACTACTATGGGATCCCCTGGTGAAACTCTTTCCCGCCGATGTGTAGTCCTCCTGAAAACTGCATTGAAACCAGATGTGTGGCCAGGTGAGTGACAAGGGGTGGAGCCTGTACAGTTTAAGTGACAAGGGGTGGAGCCTGTACAGTTTGAGTGTCAAGAGATGGAGCGTATACAGTTTGAGTGATAAGAGGTGGAGCCTATACAGCTTGAGTGACAAGAGGGAGATTATGTTAAGCTTATATGACAAGAGATAAAGCAGGAAAATTTTAATTGACAAGAAGCTGAAAAAAGATCAAGGTCGAGTGACAGGGTTTAAACCTAAGACTTTTGTTGAAAATAGGGTGAAGCATATAGAATTCGATTACCATGATGGGGAAAATATGAACCGTTTTCCTTTGTTGTAGGTACTGATCTGCGGGTTGGATGGCTGGACAAAATTTTAGTTACTGTGGTACGTACTATGATATTTTCTTGGAATCATCAAGCATTGTTTGCTGGGATCTTTGACTTGGTTTTCGAAAATTGTTTTTTTCATATATACGTTTTCAGTACTGATCTTCTTTTAATCTTTTAGGATCAAACGCCTGCCGCCAATTATGCTAACGTGTGCACAGCTATTGAGATATTGACTTATCTACTGTCAGTTTTGGTAAGTGGAAAATATTTGAATGTTTTATAATGGCACCATGTTCTGTATATCAGCAATTTGTTGATAAGATTTCTATCCGGTGATTGGCTGTTTCCTTATTACTCATTACTTTTCAAGGAAGTCGTTTAATTTTTCTTTGCTGTTTCTTTCAGCCGCAGCAAACCATCCTAACTCTGTTTAAACCTCTTCAAAGAGGAATTGCTACCTGTATGACTTGCCAGAACACAAAGGTACTCGTTTTTAATTTCTGTTTTTGTAATAGAAGTGTACTGTAAATTGTTTAACCTATTTTGTCATCTTGAATGTAGGGGTAAGTGATTGAGCGATTGTGCGCACGTGTGTGTACAAAGGGTTATTGGGTGGATGAATAGGTGAGTTGGTGAATGGGTTTTCGTAAATACACAGATCCACAGCGCGTGTGTAAATCATTTTGTGAAGACAGGGAGTTGGGATAAGGAGTGAAATTGAGCCAAGGGAAACGAAAAACGAGGAATGAGGAATGATGAACGGGAAATGGTAAAGGAGTGGGATATGAGAAATTCAAATTATCTTTGATTGTATGCATTTAATGTGGAATATGACAGTTTACGTCAGGTAATATAGCGCTCTGTTAAACATGAAGAGACAAGCGTGCATCACGGCCTTGACAGCACCACCCATTTAACGCAATGCAGACCTATTTTTGTTTGCATTTTAAAGTTACTCTGCTGGGTCACGAGATTTTGTGCGCACTTCAGTATTCTTCGTGTGTGTCAAAAAAACTCGACTAGCGAATGTAACGATTTTGTGTAACAGAGAACATGTACGGGAACTCGTTCCGATGCTCTACCACTGAGCCACAGAGACTCTACGGTGAGCGAGGTCTATTACGAAGTTCATATGACACGCGTCCTGCATACTGCTAAGATTAGCAAAAGATGTTGAACACTACTTGATGTGTTCAGTTCTGCGCACAAATTACAATAAGTATTGTATGTTTTTCTCTGTAGGTTATACGTGCCATTCACACTCTTCTCGCCAGATTGATGACGTTGTTTCCCTTGGAATCAAGTAAATATTTAGCCCTTTTTTTATCTCTTCAGTGTTTGATTCACATGCTATTTTCTTAAAAATTGCGTTAGTAACTAAACCTACGTATGGAATTTCCTCTTTAGGTGCAGCAGCTTCAAAATATGATGAATTAGAAACCTTGTACGGAAACGTCGGCAAAGTAATATTTGACGGCCTCACAAACTACGAGAGGTATTCATGTTTTTCCTGTTGGAAAATTTAAAACCATACATCATTTCTGTGAACTGTGTGTTGTAACTTTATGGATCATTTTTGTTGTGCACGTTTTAGGTCGGCCAATGGAGCAACATCTATTTTCTACGGGCCTTTGATGATGTTGAAAGCAGCTTGTATGAACAATCCTTCATACATTGATCGGTAAGGTTACATTTATTTGATTGCCCAGCCAGCTACAAGGAATTTTTTTGTATCTTATGTATTTTCATGACCAGATGCACTTTAAATTCATTTTGTTTGCACCTATTGTAAGACCGCGTTATCTTCATCTAGTGTTATTCAGGTTTTTTTTTTTCCCTGATTGCTTAAATTATATTCTTCACTATTTCTTTTGCATTTTCCTCTAGTTTGATGACTCAGTTTTTCAAAGCATTGCAACGAATGCACAAGGATCATATTAATGCTGTGCTCGGAGAAAGCACAGGTATTTTTTTGTTAGAAAAAGTTTATTCCTCACTGAGATATTTTTAAATAAATTGTTGCGAGGGGGGGAATGCTATTCCAAGTCGCTTCATGTAAACCCTTTACACGCTAACATCAGTATGCAAACTCCCCATACTATGCTCTATACATTTCTTAAGGTGCTGACAAGGAGAATTTCTTTAACAATCAAGAGCTTTTTCAGTTGGTGATCATTTCCTTTATTCTCGTAACCTAAATTTGTGATTCGGGGATGATATTGTAAGGAGAAATTTGGTGCTAATCACTCTAAGGGGTTAAAGGGTTAGGGAAACTGGGATAAGCCTCGGCTGAATGAGCAACATGGCTCGAGTACAGACTTCACTTATCTATGGTTTGGCCAACGTAATTTCGTTTGTTGTCTTCTCTCTTCTTAGGTGCAAGTGATATGTTGATTCTGTGTCTGGAGTTGATCCGTGGCCGACTCGGAGTTATGAGCGCCGAGATTAGAAAATTGTTCTTTATCATTCTCACGACACTGATTGAAAAATCACCCGTAAGTACACAAATTGTTTTGAGATTTTTGCAAATCTTGCTAACCCTCGTAGATTGTCAAATTGTGTCAGAGTGAAAATCAAGGAGTTACATTTCATGAAGAATTTTCATCTGTTAAAGAAATTCTTGCCTGTACCATTGCACTCTCCTGTACAACTTTGATGTAAACATAGCTACTTCTAATCCACACATATTTTTCCGTTCAGGATTCAAAACTTCTTCGCGCCATCACGAAGTTTGTAGAGGACTGGATAAAGACCAAAATGGTAAACTCGCAAAATGACATTACGAAACATTTTTCTTGTAATTTTACTTTATACTTAAGGTCTATGCTTCATTTTAGACGCAAATGACGATTCAGCGGTTGCCCACTCTAAGAGAGAAGTCCTTGCTACTGGTGCGGATGATGGCTAATTACGAGAAGAGATTCCCTGAGGATTTTGAACTCCAAGCGCAGTTTTTAGAGCTTGTTAATTACGTCTATAGGTAGGAAGACGATAAATCTTGCTGAGATCTCACTATTCTCTGATAGCTACCATACATTTCTTTGTAAATATTCTGCCTTTTGAGCTTTATTTCTTTCTCTGTTGCAGAGATGAGACTTTAGTTAGCACCGAACTGGCTTCAAAACTTGAGCCTGCATTCCTGTCAGGATTGCGGTGTATCCAACCACAGATCCGGTCAAGATTTATGGAGGTAACGTGTTTATATAACCTGCCCTTACCCCTCCCTCCCACCTCAACATTAAAATTCTCGTCCCTGCTGCGTTACATTTTATGTTATGTCGAAAAGTAGAATCTCGCGTGACATAAAAACACTATTTTATTTCAGTGTTACTTGTTATAAAAAACGTGTGATGAAGAAGTCTAATAATGATTTTAATTTTAGGAACCAGTCAAACCAGTCATTATTTATTGCTGGGGGGGACGGATTTTTTTTGGGGGGGGAGGGAACGGAGGGGGAGGGGGATCATTAGAATACTATAGAGCCTCAGGGGGGAAATTTTATTGTGACAGAACCAAAATTCTCTGGGTCCCCTCCCTCTCTTCCACACTCCCCCCCCCCTCTCGGGGATAAATGTGGACCGGTGCCTTAATGACAATAAGCGAGAAAGTGTATCGCTTTAACTTTCTAGTTGACACACTTGAATAAACATTGGTTATTGTTATTTGTGACAGGTTTTTGATAAAACCATGAAGAAGAAGCTGTATGATCGACTGCTTTATGTCTTCTGTTCTCAGGTAGAATTGATGCTCGGCGCTTTCTGTGTTGTAGTTGAAACACTTTGTTGTACTTAAAAGCTAACAGCGCACTTTCACTTTTTCTCCAACAGAACTGGGAAGCAATGGGTCATCACTTCTGGATTAAACAATGTATCGAGGTAGGAAATGGACTGTTGGTAATCAAAAGAAAAAGATGTCGATCATCGAGCTCTGTTCGGTTCATTTTGTTGTGTTCTGAGGCAAGACTCTGTCTCTCACCGTGCCTCTCTCTCCATCTTGGATTATAGACGATATCGGTGAAATGTCAAGGAGATCAGACATCTTTTTGGTCAATATCAGTATCTGAGCACCCGCGCGCCTACCCCTCCCCTGACCCAACTTGTTATCAGTTTGATGTTCTCGAGTTAGGGGAGAGGTAGTTGAACAGGAGCCCATATACTGACTTTGTTCCCAAATTTTTGCGGAAGGTTGGGTAACCTGCGTCCTAGCATCCAGGAAGAGTAGTAATATTGCTGGTCGCCTCAAGCTATGTACGTGTACTGTTCCTTTTTTTTAGCTTCTCCTAGCTGTGTCTGCATGCGAGAGACCTGTAACACCCTCCAGTACATTCAGCATGCTTCCTTCGGTGACATCGTTCCTTCGGTCTGCCGACAACCAATCAGGTAAAGAAATTCTTGCGCATGCTCAGCGACAGAAGACCGCTGTCCCTGAGGATAGTAAAGAAGAAAATATGGAAACAGACAGCAGCGCTGCTTCAGAAAACAAGAAGGAGAAAGATGACTCTCGTTATCTCTTTGAGATCGATAATTCCGAGGTACATAAGCAAGTAAAGCAATACATTTTTTTGAAAGATTAAGGCTTTTGGATATCAAAAGCATAGTCTCATAATTGTTATAGCCTTTCAATCCCAGGACCTCCTTCCTTTCTGTCTGCCATACAATTTTTATGACGTTAGTTCGAGAACTTTGTATTTGATCAACTAATAATCCCCTTATTGCTATTTTTCTTTATTCCCATCACTTTTCTGTTTGATATTGTATGGGTATGCGAAGAGAAATTCTGTTTTGGTCACTTATGGGAGTTTAAAGGTTAACTCAGACAGAGATAACCTTTGTTTTTCCTTTGCTGTTGTAGCAACTTCTCAGCGCTTTGGACAAAGGTTTTCCCGTCAGTCGAACAAAAGAGAGAGACGCTGTCAAGTTACTGGCTGAAAAACACGGAAAATTCATGGACAAGCTGCGTGAGGTCAAGGTACAAATTGCTTTTGATCTTAGCTACAGAAACATGCTCCCTGGCTATACTGTACATGCTACCGACCCAAACCTCTCTCGTTTTTTCACTTCTCCACTTCTATCGCGCCGTTTACCATAATCGCGCTTTGTTTTACTCACTAAATGTCTGGAACGGGCTAAGGAAGTGTCGCAAAAATTTATGTCAAAGATTATGGCCTCAAAAACCTCTTTTGAGCTTACGCTGCATGTTATTTTAAACGTTAGCCAAGTCGAAGCTGAACGGAGGTGGTTGAATGCTCTGTCGTTCTTTTTCTTCTTTAGACCGCATCGTTCCTGGGACCCATGGCTCAGTTGTGCCACAAGTACTCCAACCTGGCACATACTGTGTGGATAGACCTGTTCCCACAGCTGTGGAATCTGCTGACTGAGAAACAACAACAAGTAAGCTGATGTTGCTGTTTCATTGCTCCAAAGGCTACAAATCACTGCGCGCGCCCTCAGCTGGCTTTGAAACTTGTCAGTCGAGACAACCAATCCTAATACTACAATTAGCAAGCAAACATTAGAATGCGTTTGCAAATTGTTATTCAAGACATAGCGGTCAATCGAGACACTGCATTTAAGAAGTGAAACTTAATCCCGAGCAAACAACAAGCGCGCATCACAGTTTGGTTGCACTTTAGACCTAAACTTGCCAAATAAGATCAAGTTATATTCTAAGTTTAGCAAACCACAATCACCTTGTTATCTATAAGTCATGTCTTTTTTTTCCCGTCCCGCTTGTTTTCCAGGTTCTAGCGGGTGAGATCAGTCCGTTTATGTGTAGTGGAAGTCATCAGGCCCAAGTGGATACATTTCCCAGTTCAGTTCACACCATACTGGAAGGTGTCTCTAAGTGTAACCCAGCTGTTCCCATTCGACCCTGTATACTCAAGGTAGGATTACGCCTTCATATTCACGTAACTAACGTAGAACGGCTACGCTGTACGCCACTGTTCTCGAATCTTCCAAAATTCGGTTCGACTCTTTACGTGCGTTATTTGCAACCCGTTTTAATCTCGACATACGGTTATGGGAGGACAAAAATGGCGTGCCACATAATAAGAGGCGGTTTGATTGAGTATCGTCAGATCAGAGCAAGAGTAAACATCGCAAGAAGCCAATCAGAACTTAGATTGAATAAAGTAAATGTTGCCGGCTTTAAGCGCTGGAAAACTGGAGTAACCAAGTTAAATATCTCATCAGTGGGGAGGGCAGTGCGAGTTTTATTTACCAATCACAGCGCGTAGTCGAGCAAAACCAAGACAGTCCCGGATCGCTTTCTACACTCGGTTGAAAAATTGTTCCATGAGAGTGTGATTTCAGTTAAGCTTGTTTTTAGAAGTTTCTTTTTATCTTGTTTTGTAGTATCTTGGTAAAACGCACAACTCGTGGCATCGTTCAGGACTTATGTTGGAGGACTATGCCAGTTTGTGTGAAGAATATTCCAATCATCAGATAACACATCAACAACAACAAGTCATTGATTTTTCGCCGTTTGAAGAAGACCCGTCAGAGATTAACCAACATGTATGTTATAAACCATGCAATAAGCTTCTTTTGTTATTCTTAAATTCCTCTTGACATCGCCACCTCTGACTCAGAGATTGTTACAGGCCTGATTTTGAATGGATTTGAGAGAGATTTGAAAACAATATCGCTTTTGTTGGTTCATTATCGATAACGTTCATTGCAATGCTTTAAAAACGTTTTGCTGATGTTTCAATTCGTTTTTCTTATTAACGAGTCTCTGTTATCGCAGGTGAAACGAATGCGTTTCTTTCTTTTGATGTTTGTCAAAGTAAGGGCTGTAAGGCAAAGGGAGAGCAGTATAGGAGAGACAGAAACGTCCGTAGTTTTGGTTAATGATAAACGAGAACTGTGAAGAAACAGAGAAGGCGTTAAGTAAACTTCCTTCACTAAAAACGTATGGTAGTTGTTGACACTCATGCGAGGTATTGTTTCTTTGTTGTGATCAGGAAACTCTTGACGCCTTAGCGGAGATGTACTCATTACTAAATGAAGAAGACATGTGGGCTGGTCTGTGGCAGCAGCGCTGTCGGTATCCTGAGACAGCCACTGCTATCGCGTATGAGACCCAGGGCTTCTATGAACAGGCACAGTCTGCTTACGAAGTGGTACGTGAAATCATGTATAGTCAACCAAGCTCTTAAGTTTGCGCCTTAAGAATCTGCATATTTTTTTTCAAGGTGCCATCAGTTTTAATCTTCTCCATCGTTCCCAATCCTTCTTACTTCTTGGTTTATTGTTACCTTTCTTGTGTTTTTTATATATTTTTTATATTTTGCGTTATCGTTCAAAGTGGAAATTATTCTGCATTGCTAAAAGAGGCTATTCACTATTTGTTTTCTGGTTTGTTTGACTGTTACGTTGGCATCTCGCGCACTATTTGTTCTCGGCTTTGTTTAACTGTTACGTTGCTCTCTCGCGCACTATTTGTTTTCGGGTTTGTTTAACTGTTATGTTGGTATCTCGCGCACTATTTGTTTTCTGGTTTCTTTAACTGTTAAGTTGGTATCTCGCGCACTATTTGTTTTCTGGTTTGTTAAACTGTTACGTTAATATCTCGCGCACTATTTGTTTTCTGGTTTGTTTACATGATACCTTGCTATCACACGAACTATTTGTTTTCTGGTTATTTTGACTGTTATGTTGGTATCTCGCGCACTATTTGTTTTCTGGTTTCTTTAACTGTTACGTTGGTATCTCGCGCACTATTTGTTTTCTGGTTTGTTAAACTGTTACGTTAATATCTTGCGCACTATTTGTTTTCTGGTTTGTTTACATGATACCTTGGTATCTCGCGCACTATTTGTTTTCTGGTTTGTTAAACTGTTACGTTGATATCTTGCGCACTATTTGTTAAACTGTTACGTTGATATCTCGCACAGTATTTGCTCTCTGGTTTGTTTAACTGTTACGTTGGTAATTCGCCCACTAATTGTTTTTTGGTTTGTTCAACTGTTACGTTGGCATCTCGCGCAGTGTTCCTCTTTCAGTTTGATTAACTGTTACGTTGATATCTCGCGCACTATTTATTTTCTGGTTTGTTTAACTGTTACGTTGGAATCTCCCGCACTTGCGCACTATTTGTTTTCTAGTTTCTTTAACTATTACGTTAATGGGTTGCGCACTAATTGTTTTTCTGCTTTGTTTAACTATTATGTTGGCATGTTGCGCACTATTTGTTTTCTACTTTCTTCACCTATTGCGTTGGTGTGTTGCGTATTATTTGTTTTCTCCTTTCTTAAGCTATTACGTTGGTGTGTTGCGCACTTTTTGTTTTATACTTTCTTTAACTATCACGTTGGTATGTTGCGCACTATTTCTTTTCTACTTTCTCTGACTATTACGTTTGTGTATTGCGCACTATTTCTTTTCTACTTTTAACTGCTACGTTGGTGTGTTGCGCACTATTTGTTTTCTATTTTCTTTGGCTATTACTTTGGTGTGTTACGCACTATTTGTTTTCTACTTTCTCTACCTATTACGTTGGTGTGTTGCGCACTATTTGTTTTCTACTTTCTTTACCTATTACGTTGGTGTGTTGCGCACTATTTGTTTTCTACTTTCTTTACCTATTACGTTGGTGTGTTACGCACTATTTGTTTTCTACTTTCTTTATCTATTACGTTGGTGTGTTGCGCACTATTTGTTTTCTACTTTCTTTATCTATTACGTTGGTGTGTTGCGCACTATTTTGTTTCTACTTTATCTATTACGTTGGTGTGTCGCGCACTATTTGTTTTCTACTTTCTTTAACTATTACGTTGGTGTGTTGCGCACTATTTTGTTTCTACTTTATCTATTACGTTGGTGTGTTGCGCACTATTTGTTTTCTTCTTTCTTTATTTATTACGTTGGTGTGTTGCGCACTATTTGTTTCTACTTTCTCTAATAATTACGTTGGCATGTTGCGCACTACTTTGTTTCTACTTTCTCTCACTATTACGTTGGTGTGTGGTGCACTATTTGGTTTCTACTTTCTTTGACTAATACGTTGGTGTTGTGTGCACTATTTGTTTTCTACTTTAACTATTATGTTGGTGTCGTGCACACTATTTGTTTTCTTCTTTCACTAATACGTTGGTGTTTTGCGCACTATTTGTTTTCTACTTTAACTATTATGTTGGTGTGTTGCGCACTATTTGGTTTCTACTTTCTTTAACTTTTACGTTCGTTTGTTGTCCACTATTTGTTTCCTACTTTCTTGAACTAGTACGTTGGCATGTTGCGCACTATTTGTTTTCTAGTCTCTTTAGCTCTTACGTTGGTGTGTTGCGCACTATTTGTTTTCTACTTTTACTATAACGTTGGTGTGTTGCGTACTATTTGTTTTCTACTTTTAGTATTACGTTGGTGTTTTGCGCGCTATTTGTTTTCTACTTTGACTATTACGTTGGTGTTTTGCGCACTATTTCTTTTCTACTTTCACTCTAACGTTGATATTTTGCGCACTATTTGTTTTCTACTTTCACTATTACGTTGGTGTTTTGCGCACTATTTGTTTTTTTCTTTAACTATTACGTTGGTGTATTGCACACTATTTGTTTTCTACTTTTACTATTGCGTTGTTGTATTGCACTCTATTTGTTTTCTGCTTTAACTGTTACGTTGGTGTTTTGCGCACTATTTGTTTTCTACTTTTACTACTACGTTGGTGTTTTGCGCACTATTTTGCTTTCTACTTTCACTATAACGTTGGTGTTTTGCGCACTATTTGTTTTCTACTTTTACTACTACGTTGGTGTATTGCACACTATTTGTTTTCTACTTTTACTATTACGTTGGTGTATTGCACACTATTCGTTTTCTGCTTTAACTATTACGTTGGTGTTTTGCGCACTATTTGCTTTATACTTTCACTATAACGTTGGTGTTTTGCGCACTATTTGTTTTACACTTTAACTATTACGTTGATGTTTTGCGCACTATTTCGTTTCTACCTTCACTATAACGTTGGTGTTTTTTTCACTATTTGTTTTCTACTTTAACTACTACGTTGCTGTTTTGCGCACTATTTGTTTAATACTTTCACTATATCGTTGGTGTTTTGTGCACTATTTGTTTTCTACTTTTACTATTATGTTGGTGTTTTGCGCACTATTTGTTTTCTAATTTTACTATCACGTTGGTGTATTGCGCACTATTTGTTTTCTACTTTTACTATTATGTTGGTGTTTTGCGCACTATTTGTTTTCTACTTTTACTATTACGTTAGTGTATTGCACACTATTTGTTTTCTACTTTTACTAACACGTTGATGTTTTGCGCACTATTTGTTTTCTAATTTTACTATTACGTTGGTGTTTTGCGCACAATTTGTTTTCTACTTTTACTATAACTGGTGTTTTGCGCACCATTTGTTTTTTACTTTTACTATTACGTTGGTGTTTTACGCACTATTTGTTTTCAACTTTGACTATTACGTTGGTATTTTGCGCACTATTTGTTTTCTACTCTCACTAATACGTGGGTTTTTTGCGCACTATTCGTTTTCTATTTTTACTATTACGTCGGTGTTTTGCGCACTATTGGTTTTCTGCTTTTACTATTACGTTGGTGTATTGCGCACTATTTGTTTTCTACTTTTACTATTATGTTGGTGTTTTGCACACCATTTGTTTTCAGCTTTTACTATTACGTTAGTGTGTTGCGCACCATTTGTTTTCTACTTTCGCTAATACGTTGGTGTTTTGCGCTCTATTTGTTTTCTACTTTAAGTATTAGGTGGGTGTTTTGCGCACTAATTGTTTTCTACTTTCGGTTTTACGTGGGTGTTTTGCGCACTATTTGTTTTCTACTTTCACTATTACTTTGATGTTTTGCGCATTATTTGTTTTCTACTTTAACTATTACGCTGGTGTGTTGCGCACCATTTGTCTTCTACTTTAACTTTTACGTTGGTGTTTTTTGCACCATTTGTTTTCTACTTTAAATATTACGTGGGTGATTTGCGCACTAATTGTTTTCTACTTTCATTTTTACGTTCGTGTTTTGCGCACTATTTGTTTTCTTCTTTCACTATTTGATGTTTTGCGCATGCGTTGGTGTTTTGCGCACTATTTGTTTTCTACTTTAAGTATTACGTGGGTGTTTTGCGCACTAATTGTTTTCTACTTTCACTTTTACGCTGGTGTTTTGCGCACTATTTGTTTTCTACTTTCACTATTACGTTGGTATTTTGCGCACTATTTGTTTTCTACTCTCACTAATACGTGGGTTTTTTGCGCACTATTAGTTTTCTACTTTTACTATTACGTTGGTGTTTTGCGCACTATTTGTTTTCTACTTTTCCTATTACTTTGGTGTGTTGCGCCCCTATTTGTTTTCTACTTTTACTATTACGTTGGTGTTTTGCGCACTATTTGTTTTCTACTTTAACTATTGCGTTGGTATTTTGCGCACTATTTGTTTTCAACTCTCACTAATACGTGGGTTTTTTACGCACCATTTGTTTTCTACTTTCGCTAATACATTGGTGTTTTGCACACTATTTGTTTTCTACTTTAAGTATTACGGTGGTGTTTTGCGCACTCATTCTTTTCTACTTTCACTTTTACATGGGTGTTTTGCGCACTATTTATTTTCTACTTTCGCTATTACTTTGATGTTTTGCACACTATTTGTTTTCTAATTTAAGTATTACGTGGGTGTTTTGCGCACTAATTGTTTTCTAGTTTCACTTTTACGTTGGTGTTTTGCGCACTATTTGTTTTCTACTTTCACTATTACTTTGATGTTTTGCGCATTATATGTTTTCTACTTTAACTATTACGTTGGTGTGTTGCGCACCATTTGTTTTCTACTTCTAATACGTTGGTGTTTTGCACACTATTTGTTTTCTAATTTAAGTATTACGTGGGTGTTTTCGCACTAATTGTTTTCTAGTTTCACTTTTATGTTGGTGTTTTGCGCACTATTTGTTTTCTACTTTCACTTTTACTTTGATGTTTTGCGCATACGTTGGTGTTTTGCGCACTATTTGTTTTCTGCTTTAAGTATTACGTGGGTGTTTTGCGCACTAATTGTTTTCTACTTTCACTTTTACGCTGGTGTTTTACGCACTATTTGTTTTCTACTTTCACTATTACGTTGGTGTGTTGCGCACCATTTCTTTTCTACTTTCGCTGATACGTTGGTGTTTTGCGCACTATTTGTTTTCTGCTTTTACTATTACGTTGGTGTGTTGCGCACCATTTCTTTTCTACTTTCGCTGATACGTGGGTTTTTTGCGCACTAATTGTTTTCTACTTTCACTTTTACGTTGGTGTTTTGCGCACTATTTGTTTTCTGCTTTAAGTATTACGTGGGTGTTTTGCGCACTAATTGTTTTCTACTTTCACTTTTACGCTGGTGTTTTACGCACTATTTGTTTTCTACTTTCACTATTACGTTGGTGTGCTGCGCACCATTTCTTTTCTACTTTCGCTGATACGTTGGTGTTTTGCGCACTATTTGTTTTCTGATTTTACTATTACGTTGGTGTGTTGCGCACCATTTCTTTTCTACTTTCGCTGATACGTGGGTTTTTTGCGCACTATTCGTTTTCTACTTTTACTATTACGTTGGTGTTTTGCGCACTATTTGTTTTCTGCTTTTACTATTACGTTGGTGTGTTGCGCACCATTTCTTTTCTACTTTCGCTGATACGTTGGTGTTTTGCGCACTATTTGTTTTCTACCTTAAATATTACGTGGGTGTTTTGCGCACTAATTGTTTTCTTTCACATTTACGTTGGTGTTTTACGCACTATTTGTTTTCTACTTTCACTGTTACTTTGATGTTTTGCGCATCATTTTTTTTCTACTTTAACTATTACGTTGGTGTGTTGTGCACTATTTGTTTTCTACTTTAACCATTGCATTGGCGTTTTGCGCACTATTTGTTTTCTTGACTTATTACGTTGGTGTTTTGCGCACTATTTGTTTTCTGCTTTAAGTATTACGTGGGTGTTTTGCGCTCTAATTCTTTTCTACTTTCACTTCTACGCTGGTGTTTTGGGCACTATTTGTTTTCTACTTTTACTATTACGTTGGTGTGTTGTGCACTATTTGTTTTCTACTTTAACTATTACGTTGGTGTGTTGCGCACCATTTGTTTTCTACTTTTACTATTACGTTGGTGTTTTACGCACTATTTGTTTTTTACTTTAACTATTACATTGGTATTTTGCGCACTATTTGTTTTCTACTCTCACTAATACGTGGGCTTTTTGCGCACTATTGGTTTTCTGCTTTTAGTATTACGTTGGTGTTTTGCGCACTATTGGTTTTCTGCTTTTACTATTACGTTATAATAATAATAATAAGGACTTTATTTATAGAGGGGGACACGTAACAGCTGAAAAGCTGACAAACCTGTGGCCCTCTAACTAGATTATACAGCATTACAAAATAATACTAATAAATAGATAAATATACAAATAATTACAAAATTCTATGATAGAAATAGCAGGATATATTAAAAATATTCAGAAAGATAAAATTAATTTATAAAAATTAAAATTAGATAATGTGCTATTGCTTAATATTGTTTCAAAGTTGTCCAGGTTTCTATATGAGCTTATAAAATACTTTTTCACAGCTGTTTTGAATAGTTTTATACTAGGCTTATTTTTGATATTATGGGGAAGGCTGTTCCATAACTTAACTGCGTCAACACTGAATGCCTTGCCACCATCGTTATTTCTTAGGTATTTGGGACACACTAAATTTAAATTGCCATGTCTAGTAGACCTATTGTGTACAGAACTGTTCGTCTTGAGCAAGTCTCTGATGTAAATCGGAACATCGCCTTTAAGGCTCTTAAAAATCATTGTACACTTATTTAGTTTGATTTCATCAAAAAAAGGCAACCAGCCTAGTTTACTAAAGTTTATAACACTTCTAGAATAAGAGTCAACTCCAAGGATTACTCGGGCAGCCCTTTTCTGTAACCTTAGGAGACAGTGGAGTTCTTTAGCGTCGCAGATATTCCAAACCATGCTCCCATACATAAGGACGGGTTTAATCAAGGCGTTATAGTATAAGAGTCTTTCTTTTATTGGAAGGTACCTCTTTATCTTCTTCAATAAACCAATACGCTGAGAAAGCTTGGCCTTTAGACTAGAAATGTGGTCGCTAAATGTAAGATCTTGATCGAGTGTTACACCAAGCAATTTATAAGAAGTTACTTGTTCTATTTCGGCCCCATCAAGGGTTATTGACAGGTGATTGCCTTCCGCTAATGATGAATGTAGCCTCTTTCCGGTGATAAGTAACGTTGGTGTGTTGAGCACTATTTGTTTTCTACTTTTACTATTACGTTGGTGTTTTGCGCACTATTTGTTTTCTGCTTTTACTATTACGTTGGTGTGTTGCGCACCTTTTGTTTTCTACTTTCGCTAATACGTTGGTGTTTTGCGCACTATTTGTTTTCTACTTTAAGTATTACTTGGGTGTTTTGCGCACTAATTGTTTTTTACTTTCGCTTTTGCGTGGGTGTTTTGCGCACTATTTGTTTTCTACTTTCACTATTACTTTGATGTTTTGCGCATTATTCGTTTTCTACTTTAACTATTACGTTGGTGTGTTGCGCACCATTTGTTTTCTACTTTACCTATTACGTTGGTGTTTTGCGCACCATTTGTTTTCTTCTTTAACTATTACGTTGGTGTTTTGCGCACTATTTGTTTTCTACTTTAAGTATTACGTGGGTGTTTTGCGCACTAATTGTTTTCTACTTTTACTATTACGTTAGTGTGTTGCGCACTATTTGTTTTCTACTTTTACTATTACGTTGGTGTTTTGCTACTATTTGTTTTCTACTTTTACTATTACGTTGGTGTTTTGCGCACTTTTTGTTTTCTGCTTTTACTATTACGTTAGTGTTTTGCGCACGATTCGTTTTCTACTTTAACTATTACGTTGGTGTTTTGCGCACCATTTGTTTTCTACTTTACCTATTACGTTGGTGTTTTGCGCACCATTTGTTTTCTTCTTTAACTATTACGTTGGTGTTTTGCGCACTATTTGTTTTCTACTTTAAGTATTACGTGGGTGTTTTGCGCACTAATTGTTTTCTACTTTTACTATTACGTTAGTGTGTTGCGCACTATTTGTTTTCTACTTTTACTATTACGTTGGTGTTTTGCTACTATTTGTTTTCTACTTTTACTATTACGTTGGTGTTTTGCGCACTTTTTGTTTTCTGCTTTTACTATTACGTTAGTGTTTTGCGCACGATTCGTTTTCTACTTTAACTATTTTGTTGGTGTTTTGCGCACTATTTGTTTTCTACTTTAACTATTACGTTGGTGTTTTGCGCACTATTTGTTTTCTACTTTTACTATTACGTTGCGCACTGTTGCGCACTATTTGTTTCCTACTTTTACTATTACGTTGTTGTTTTACGCACTTTTTGTTTTCTACTTTAACTATTACGTTGGTGTGTTGCGCACCATTTGTTTTCTACTTTCACTATTGCGTTGGTGTTTTGCGCACTATTCGTTTACTACTTTTACTATTACGTTGGTGTTTTGCGCACTATTTGTTTTCTGCTTTTACTATTACGTTGGTGTGTTGCACACCATTTCTTGTCTACTTACGCTAATACGTCGGTGTTTTGCGCACTATTTGTTTTCTACTTTCGCTATTACTTTGATGTTTAGCGCATACGTTGGTGTTTTGCACACTATTTGTTTTCTACTTTCACTATTACGTTGGTATTTTGCGCACTATTTGTTTTCTACTCTCACTAATACGTGGGTTTTTAGTGCACTATTTGTTTTCTACTTCCACTATTACGTTGGTGTTTTGCGCACTTTTTGTTTTCTACTCTAACTATTACGTTGGTGTTTTGCCCACTATTTGTTTTCTATTTTAACTAGTACGTTGGTGTGTTGCGCACCATTTGTTTTCTACTTTAACTATTACGTTGGTGTTTTGCGCACTATTTGTTTTTGTCTTTAACTATTACGTTGGTGTTTTGCGCACTATTTGTTTTCTACTTTAACTTTTAAGTTGGTGTGTTGCGCACCATTTGTTTTCTACTTTCATTACGTTGGTGTTTTGCGCACTATTTGTTTACTACTTTTACTATTACGTTGGTGTTTTGCGCACTATTTGTTTTCTGCTTTTACTATTACGTTGTTGTGTTGCGCACCATTTCTTTTCTACTTTCGCTAATACGTCGGTGTTTTGCGCACTATTTGTTTTCTACTTTCACTATTACTTTGATGTTTAGCGCATACGTTGGTGTTTTGCGCACTATTTGTTTTAAACTCTCACTAATACGTGGGTTTTTTGCGCACGATTTGTTTTCTACTTTCACTATTACGTTGGAGTTTTGCGCACTATTTGTTTTATACATTCACTGATACGTTAGTGATTTGGGCACTGTTTTCTACTCTCACTATTAGGTTGGTGTATTGCGCACTATATGTTTTCTACTTTTACTATTACGTTGGTGTTTTGCGCACTATTTGTTTTCTACTTTCACTATTATGTTGGTATTTTGGGCACTATTTGTTTTCTACTTTCACCAATATGTTGCGCACTATTTGTTTTCTACTCTTACTAATACGTGGGTTTTTTGCGTACTTTTTGTTTTCTACTTTCACTATTACGTTGGTGTATTGCGCACTATTTGATTTCTACTTTGACTATTACGTTGGTGTTTTGCGCACTATTTTGTTTTCTACTTTAACTATTACGTTGGTGTTTTGCGCACTAATTGTTTTCTTCTTTAACTATTACGTTGGTGTTTTGCGCACTATTTTGTTTTTTACTTTAACTATTACGTTGGTGTTTTGCGCACTAATTGTTTTTTACTTTAACTATTACGTTGGTGTTTTGCGCACTATTTGTTTTCTACTTTAACTATTACGTTGGTGTTTTGCGCACTAATTGTTTTCTATTTTAACTATTACGTTGGTGTTTTGTGCACTATTTGTTTTTTACTTTAACTATTACGTTGGTGTTTTGCGCACTATTTGTTTTCTACTTTAACTATTACGTTGGTGTTTTGCGCACTATTTGTTTTTTACTTTAACTATTACGTTGGTGTTTTGCGCACTAATTGTTTTCTACTTTAACTATTACGTTGGTGTTTTGTGCACCATTTGTTTTCTACTTTAACTATTACGTTGGTGTTTTGCGCACTAATTGTTTTTTACTTTAACTATTACGTTGGTGTTTTGCGCACTAATTGTTTTCTACTTTAACTATTACGTTGGTGTTTTGTGCACCATTTGTTTTCTTCTTTAACTATTACGTTGGTGTTTTGCGCACTAATTGTTTTCTACTTTAACTATTAACGTTGGTGTTTTTACTACGTTGGTGTTTTTGGTGTTTTAACTATTACGTTGGTGTTTTGCGCACTATTTGTTTTTTACTTTCACTATTACGTTGGTGTTTTGCGCACTAATTGTTTTCTACTTTAACTATTACGTTGGTGTTTTGCGCACTATTTTGTTTTTTACTTTAACTATTACGTTGGTGTTTTGTGCACTATTTTGTTTTCTACTTTAACTATTACGTTGGTGTTTTGTGCACTATTTTGTTTTTTACTTTAACTATTACGTTGGTGTTTTGTGCACTATTTTGTTTTCTACTTTAACTATTACGTTGGTGTTTTGTGCACTATTTTGTTTTTTACTTTAACTATTACGTTGGTGTTTTGTGCACTATTTTGTTTTCTACTTTAACTATTACGTTGGTGTTTTGTGCACTATTTTGTTTTTTACTTTAACTATTATTTTTTTTTTTTACTTTAACTATTACGTTGGTGTTTTGTGCACTATTTTGTTTTCTACTTTAACTATTACGTTGGTGTTTTGTGCACTATTTTGTTTTTTACTTTAACTATTACGTTGGTGTTTTGCGCACTATTTTGTTTTTTACTTTAACTATTACGTTGGTGTTTTGTGCACTATTTGTTTTTTACTTTAACTATTACGTTGGTGTTTTGCGCACTATTTGTTTTTTACTTTAACTATTACGTTGGTGTTTTGCGCACTATTTTGTTTTTTACTTTTTAACTATTACGTTGGTGTTTTTGCACTAATTTTGTTTTTTACTTTAACTATTACGTTGGTGTTTTTTGCACTATTTTGTTTTTTACTTTAACTATTACGTTGGTGTTTTTGTGCACTATTTTGTTTTTTACTTTAACTATTACGTTGGTGTTTTTGCACTATTTTGTTTTTTACTTTTTTACGTTGGTGTTTATTACTATTTGGTGTTTTACGCACTACGTTTTGTTTTGTGCACTATTTTGTTTTTTTACTTTTTTACGTTGGTGTTTTGCACTATTTTGTTTTTTTTTTACCATTACGTTGGTGTTTTGTGCACTATTTTCTTTTTTACTTTAACTATTACGTTGGTGTTTTGCGCACTATTCTGTTTTTTACTTTAACTATTACGTTGGTGTTTTGTGCACTATTTTGTTTTCTTCTTTAACTATTACGTTGGTGTTTTGCGCACTATTTTGTTTTTTACTTTAACTATTACGTTGGTGTTTTGCGCACTATTTTGTTTTTTACTTTAACTATTACGTTGGTGTTTTGCGCACTATTTTGTTTTTACTTTAACTATTTTGGTGTTTTTGCACTATTTGTTTTCTACTTTAACTATTACGTTGGTGTTTTTGCACTATTTTGTTTTTACTTTAACTATTACGTTGGTGTTTTGCGCACTATTTTGTTTTTTTTACTTTAACTATTACGTTGGTGTTTTTTCGCACGTTGGTGTTTTGCGCACTATTTGTTTTTTACTTTAACTATTACGTTGGTGTTTTGCGCACTAATTGTTTTTTACTTTAACTATTACGTTGGTGTTTTGCGCACTATTTTGTTTTTTACTTTAACTATTACGTTGGTGTTTTGCGCACTAATTGTTTTCTACTTTAACTATTACGTTGGTGTTTTGCGCACTATTTTGTTTTCTACTTTAACTATTACGTTGGTGTTTTGCGCACTAATTGTTTTCTACTTTAACTATTACGTTGGTGTTTTGCGCACTATTTTGTTTTTGCTTTTACTATTACGTTGGTGTTTTGCGCACTATTTGTTTTTTACTTTAACTATTACGTTGGTGTTTTGCGCACTATTTTGTTTTCTACTTTAACTATTACGTTGGTGTTTTGCGCACTAATTGTTTTCTACTTTAACTATTACGTTGGTGTTTTGCGCACTAATTGTTTTCTACTTTAACTATTACGTTGGTGTTTTGCGCACTATTTTGTTTTCTACTTTAACTATTACGTTGGTGTTTTGCGCACTATTGTTTTTGTTTTTTACGTTGGTGTTTTTATTTTGTTTATTACGTTGGTGTTTTGCGCACTATTTGTTTTCTACTTTAACTATTACGTTGTTGGTGTTTTGCGCACTATTTGTTTTCTATTTTAACTATTACGTTGGTGTTTTGCGCACTAATTTTGTTTTTTACTTTAACTATTACGTTGGTGTTTTGCGCACTATTTGTTTTTTACTTTAACTATTACGTTGGTGTTTTGCGCACTATTTTGTTTTTACTTTAACTATTACGTTGGTGTTTTGCGCACTAATTGTTTTTACTTTAACTATTACGTTGGTGTTTTGCGCACTACGTTGGTGTTTTGTTTTACTTTAACTATTACGTTGGTGTTTTGCGCACTATTTGTTTTTACTTTAACTATTACGTTGGTGTTTTGCGCATTTGTTTTCTACTTTAAATTACGTTGGTGTTTTTTTTTTTTACTTTAACTATTACGTTGGTGTTTTGCGCACTATTTGTTTTTTACTTTAACTATTACGTTGGTGTTTTTTTACTTTAACTATTACGTTGGTGTTTTAACTATTTGTTTTTACTTTAACTATTACGTTGGTGTTTTGTGCACTATTTGTTTTTTACTTTAACTATTACGTTGGTGTTTTGCGCACTATTTGTTTTCTACTTTAACTATTACGTTGGTGTTTTGCGCACTATTTGTTTTTTACTAATTTTTTAACTATTACGTTTGTTTTGCGCTATTTTGTTTTTACTTTAACTATTTAACTACTTTAACTATTACGTTGGTGTTTTGCGCACTAATTTGTTTTTTACTTTAACTATTACGTTGGTGTTTTGCGCACTATTTTGTTTTTACTTTAACTATTACGTTGGTGTTTTGCGCACTATTTTGTTTTTTACGCATTACGTTGGTGTTTTTGCGCACTATTTTGTTTTTTACTTTAACTATTACGTTGGTGTTTTGCGCACTAATTGTTTTTTACTTTAACTATTACGTTGGTGTTTTGCGCACTAATTGTTTTCTACTTTAACTATTACGTTGGTGTTTTGCGCACTAATTGTTTTCTACTTTAACTATTACGTTGGTGTTTTGCGCACTATTTTGTTTTTTACTTTAACTATTACGTTGGTGTTTTGCGCAGTAATTGTTTTTTGCTTTAACTATTACGTTGGTGTTTTGCGCACTATTTGTTTTTTACTTTAACTATTACGTTGGTGTTTTGCGCACTTTTTGTTTTTTACTTTAACTATTACGTTGGTGTTTTGCGCACCTTTTTGTTTTCTGCTTTAACTGTTACGTTGGTGTTTTGCGCACTTTTTTGTTTTCTGCTTTAACTATTACGTTGGTGTTTTGCGCACTATTTTGTTTTCTACTTTAACTATTACGTTGGTGTTTTGCGCACTATTTTGTTTTTTACTTTAACTATTACGTTGGTGTTTTGCGCACTAATTGTTTTCTACTTTAACTATTACGTTGGTGTTTTGCGCACTATTTTGTTTTCTACTTTAACTATTACGTTGGTGTTTTGCGCACTAATTGTTTTTTACTTTAACTATTACGTTGGTGTTTTGCGCACTATTTTGTTTTTACTTTAACTATTACGTTGGTGTTTTGCGCACTAATTGTTTTTTTACTTTAACTATTACGTTGGTGTTTTTGCGCACTAATTGTTTTTACTTTAACTATTACGTTGGTGTTTTGCGCACTAATTGTTTTCTACTTTAACTATTACGTTGGTGTTTTGCGCACTACTTTTTGTTTTTACTATTTTAACTATTACGTTGGTGTTTTGCGCACTATTTACTTTTTTTTGTTTTAACTATTACGTTGGTGTTTTGCGCACTAATTGTTTTTTACTTTAACTATTACGTTGGTGTTTTGCGCACTATTTTGTTTTCTGGTGTTTTAACTATTACGTTGGTGTTTTGCGCACTATTTTGTTTTTACTTTAACTATTACGTTGGTGTTTTGCGCACTAATTGTTTTCTACTTTAACTATTACGTTGGTGTTTTGCGCACTAATTGTTTTCTACTTTAACTATTACGTTGGTGTTTTGCGCACTAATTGTTTTCTACTTTAACTATTACGTTGGTGTTTTGCGCACTAATTGTTTTCTACTTTAACTATTACGTTGGTGTTTTGCGCACTAATTGTTTTCTACTTTAACTATTACGTTGGTGTTTTGCGCACTAATTGTTTTCTACTTTAACTATTACGTTGGTGTTTTGCGCACTAATTGTTTTCTACTTTAACTATTACGTTGGTGTTTTTAATTTTTTTCTATTTTTTTTAACTATTACGTTGGTGTTTTGCGCACTTTTAACTTTAACTATTACGTTGGTGTTTTGCGCACTATTTGTTTTTTACTTTAACTATTACGTTGGTGTTTTGCGCACGTTGGTGTTTTGCTTTAACTATTACGTTGGTTTTTTTTTACTTTAACTATTACGTTGGTGTTTTGCGCACTTTTGTTTTCTGCTTTAACTATTACGTTGGTGTTTTGCGCACTATTTTTGTTTTCTACTTTAACTATTACGTTGGTGTTTTGCGCACTATTTTGTTTTTTTGTTTTTTTAACTATTACGTTGGTGTTTTGCGCACTAATTTTGTTTTTACGTTGGTGTTTTTAACTATTACGTTGTGTTTTGCGCACTATTTTGTTTTCTACTTTAACTATTACGTTGGTGTTTTGCGCACTAATTGTTTTTACTTTAACTATTACGTTGGTGTTTTGCGCACTATTTTTGTTTTTTACTTTAACTATTACGTTGGTGTTTTGCGCACTATTTTGTTTTTTACTTTAACTATTACGTTGGTGTTTTGCGCATTTGATTTTGTTTTCTTCTTTAACTATTACGTTGGTGTTTTGCGCACTATTTTGTTTTCTACTTTAACTATTACGTTGGTGTTTTGCGCACTATTTTGTTTTTTACTTTAAGTATTACGTTGGTGTTTTGCGCACTAATTGTTTTTTACTTTAACTATTACGTTGGTGTTTTGCGCACTAATTGTTTTCTACTTTAACTATTACGTTGGTGTTTTGCGCACTAATTGTTTTCTACTTTAACTATTACGTTGGTGTTTTTTTTTTTACTTTAAATTGTTTTATTGTTTTTAACTTTAACTATTACGTTGGTGTTTTGCGCACTAATTGTTTTCTACTTTAACTATTACGTTGGTGTTTTGCACCAATTGGTGTTTTCGCACTTTAACTATTACGTTGGTGTTTTGCGCACTAATTGTTTTCTACTTTAACTATTACGTTGGTGTTTTGTGCACTATTTTGTTTTTTACTTTAACTATTACGTTGGTGTTTTGCGCACTAATTGTTTTCTACTTTAACCATTACGTTGGTGTTTTGCGCACTAATTGTTTTCTATTTTAACTATTACGTTGGTGTTTTGCGCACTAATTGTTTTCTACTTTAACTATTACGTTGGTGTTTTGCGCAGTAATTGTTTTCTACTTTAACTATTACGTTGGTGTTTGGGCACTAATTGTTTTCTACTTTAACTATTACGTTGGTGTTTTGTGCACTAATTGTTTTCTACTTTAACTATTACGTTGGTGTTTTGCGCACTAATTGTTTTCTACTTTAACTATTACGTTGGTGTTTTGCGCACTAATTGTTTTCTACTTTAACTATTACGTTGGTGTTTTGCGCACTATTTGTTTTCTACTTTAACTATTACGTTGGTGTTTTGTGCACTATTTGTTTTTTACTTTAACTATTACGTTGGTGTTTTGCGCACTAATTGTTTTCTACTTTAACTATTACGTTGGTGTTTTGCGCACTAATTGTTTTCTACTTTAACTATTACGTTGGTGTTTTGCGCACTATTTGTTTTCTACTTTAACTATTACGTTGGTGTTTTGCGTACTATTTGTTTTCTACTTTAACTATTACGTTGGTGTTTTGCGCACTATTTTGTTTTCTACTTTAACTATTACGTTGGTGTTTTGCGCACTATTTTGTTTTCTACTTTCACTATTACGTTGGTGTTTTGCGCACTATTTTGTTTTCTACTTTCACTATTACGTTGGTGTTTTGCGCACTATTTTTTTTCTACTTTCACTATTACGTTGGTGTTTTGCGCACCATTTGTTTTCTACTTTTACTATTACGTGGATATGTTGCGCACTATTTGTTTTCTACTTTCACTATTACGTTGATGCGTTGCGCACTATTTATTTTCTAGTTTGTTTGACTATTACGTTGGTATGTTACACACTCTTTATTTTGTGGTTTGTTCAACTTTTACGTTGGCATGTTGTGCTCTATTTGTTTTGTAGTTTGTTTAACTATTACGTTACGTTTTCTGCACTATTTTGTTTTGTAATTTGTTGAAATATTACGTATGTATGTAGTGCACTATTTATTTTCTAGTTTCTGTAACTGTTACGTTGGCATGTTGCGCACTATTTGTTTTCTGTTTTTTTTAACTTTTACTTTAATGTGTTTCGCACTATTTGTTTTCTAGTTGATTTAACTATTACGTTGCCATGTTGCGCACTATTTTTTTTCTAGTTTTTTTTTAACTACTACGCTAGGATGTTGCGCGCTATTTCTTTTCTAGTTTGTTTATTTGTTACGTTGCCATGTTGCGCACTATTTGTTTGCTTGTTTCTTAACTATTACGTTGGTGTGTTGTGCACTATTTTTTTCTAGTTGGTTTAACGATTACGTTGGCATTTTGCCCTCTATTTATTTTTTAGTTTGTTTAATTGTTACGTTGGCATGTTGCGCACTATTTGTTTTCAATTTTTTTAACTGTTACGTTGGCGGGTTGCGCACTATTTATTTTCTAGTTTGCTTAACTATTACGTTGGCATGTTGTGCACTATTTGTTTTCTAGTTTTTTAATTATTACGTTGTCATGTTGTGCACTAGTTGTTTGTTCTCTGGTTTCTTTCACTGTTACGTTGGCATCTCGTGCACCATTTGTTTTCTGGTTTGTTTAATTGTTACGTTGGTATCTCGCGCACTATTTGTTCTCGGGTTTGTTTGACTGTTACATTGGTATCTCGCGCACTATTTGTTTTCTGGGTTGTTTGACTGTTACGTTGGCACCTCGCGCACTATTTGTATCCTGGTTTGTATGTGTATTACGTTGGCATCTGGTGCACTATTTTTTTTTTTGGTTTGTTTAACTGTTACGTTGGTATCTCGCGCACTATGTTTTTTCTGGTTTGTTTGACTGTTACGTTGGTATCTCGGGCACTATTTTTTCTCCGGTTTTTCGAACCGTTACGTTGGTATCTTGCGCAGTGTTTGTTTTCTGGTTGGTTTGACTGTTACGTTGGTGTCTCGCCCACTATTTTTTTTCTGGTTTGTTTGACTGTTACGTTGGTATCTCGTGCACTATTTGTTCTCTGGTTTTTTTTTTTTTTTTTTTTTTTTTTTTTTTTTTTTTTTTTTTTTTTTTTTTTACATAACATGATACTTACATTAACTACATTAAGGTTCCTTTCACGGGACTCTCTACGCACATTGCGTTACACTACTTACAGTACTCTTAAGATACAATTAATATTTATGCTACGTACATTGTTCTACTTATACTACGTACAATGTGATAATGCACACATATTTAGAGGCACACCATTTACACACAAAAAAGAGAAACTCTCTTGGCAGCACTGTACAAAAATTATTAGAAAACAGTATGGAGAATATGCATACTGATGCAAGGGCGTAAAAGGTTTATGCCTTCCACTCTTCAGTGCTATCTTTTTATTCTTGGAATCTTATTCTTAACTTAATTCATGCTATAAATTTTCCCTCTTCTCTTCAGGTGATGGGCAAAGCGCGTGAGGAACATAACCGCGGCCCAGCTAATCCGCAACTAACATCAGAGTATAATCTGTGGGAGGAGCACTGGGTCAGGCAAGTGTCTTAAACAATTTAATCAGAATGGAGCCTCTGAGCTTTCGATGTGGAAGTTCCATGCGTTACCTCCTGTAATAAGCGGAGAAAGGTTTTGGTTAGGGGTGTTATTCTAAGTGTGATCTGCCCATAAATTTTCCGCGTAAGTCAATGCAGTTAGAAACAAGGAAGGTAATGAGAACTCGCCTTTTGATTACCTATGGAGGTTCTGAATAATGTTGAAACAGAGTAGTGACTTTCCGCAAACCACGACGGCGAATTGTTCACATATCTCTTTTGGAACCCAGCACTGCCCTCAAAAGTTATTTTGAAGTCTGGCGCTGTGAGAGGCGGTTAATGAATCCAGTCATTTGCAAAATTTTAAAGAAAAATATAAATTGGTTTTTTCAATTGACGTGTCCTAAGCATTGCCACTCGGGCCCTATTCTCACATGTTAATCGAAATTAGTGTACAGACACTGGTAAATGTTCTTATTTGTTGATATATTTCGTCTCATCTTTTTCAGTTGTTCTAAAGAGCTCGGTCAATGGGATTTGCTGATGGAGTTCGGAAAGACTAAGGGCCACACTAATCCTTTCCTGGGTACGATCGTGAAAATTTTCCTACTTCATTTGTTGATTTTCTTTTTATGATAATGTGTGTTACTTTCTCTGATCGTTTCTCTGATATTTCTTGTTATTTTAGTTCTAGAGAGTGCATGGAGAGTCCCTGAGTGGCAATCAATGAAAGAAGCTCTTGCACAGGTAATTTTTGAACAACTATAAGCTCCAAAAGAATATTTCCACTATTTTATCAGTATTTGATTTCCACGTGTCTTCCTATGGCTTTTCAGGTTGAAGTCAACTTCCCGGAATCAATCGCGTACAAGTTGAACTTATATCGAGGTTACATAGCCATTTGCCATCCGGATGAACAACACCTTAACATGGTTTGTGTCACAATTGCGTTTGATATTCTATTTTTTTACACGCTGCCAGCGGTTTGTTCTACTCGTGATATGAAGCGAAAGTTATGAGCATGACGGGAGAGGAACGAGTGGAGATTGGGTCTCGAATCAGTCTCTCCTCGTTCATATTAACACTACCATAATCGCTCTTTTCCAACCAATCGAAGCATCTGTTATATCTGCATGTTATGACTGTCTCTTCTAACCAAATGCTGTTTTAATCCTCCGCGACATAGGTCGACAAACTTGTAGAGCATTCCACAACTCAAGCAATTCGCCAGTGGAGACGCTTACCTCCGATTATTTCACAGCAACACATTCCACTCCTACAGGTGAGCTTCTCTGATTGTTTCGTTTTCATGTTTTAAGCCTTTGACCCCTACATGTAAGAGTGACTAGCATCTAAATGTTATAGAGAACAGTATTGAAAATATGCATAGTGATCTTAGGGTGTAAAGGGTAAACAAACGCCCACACTTTCATAGGCGCAAAAACATATGTCGCGGATGTGAAGAGCTGGACGAAACGCGCTTACGTCGGCGTACGATCGGTTCTATTCTGCAGCGGTCTTTAAAACGAAAAAACTGTTTTTCTTACATTTATCCTTTTTTTTCTGTTCTTTTTTTTTTATTTACTTACCAGCCAATCGCCTGGTTTCTATTTAATCTCTCTTTTGTAAGCTTTGCCATGTTTTTTTTTCTGTGACAAATTCTATCTTTTCAATGCTCTCTCGCCCTCTCCAAAAATAGTTCACACGAATGCTCCTTTGCTCCAAGGGGGTCGTTATCGATTCTACTGAATTTTTCTTTGGACGTTTTGTTGATTACTGTTGCTGTTAATTCCAGGCGGCGCAACAAATTATGGAGCTTCAAGAAGCTGCTCAGATTCACACGGGTCTACAACCGCCGAATGTTGGACGATCGACTAGTTTACATGATATGAAGGCTATTGTGAAAACATGGCGGTGAGAAGCTTCTCCTTCCAATATATTTATCCACAACTGTTTTTATAATACAGCGAGTAAACTCGTTTATTAAATTCAAATCGTCATTCGTCAAGCGTCATATTCCCATTGTTCGAGCTGACGACGGGTGTATGCGCATTGAAATAAAGCAGCGGAAACTGCTCTTGATACAACATAGCACAACGGCGTCGACATAGTTTTTTAAAAAATTTGTTCGTTTGTAAGCTCTTTGTTAATCAAGATGTGAAGATGGGAAGTTTGGAAAGCACCAAGCTATTAGCTACGTCTCGAGCAATTCTAACACTACTAGTATTTTCAGTTATTATTGAATGAAGCAGCAAGTGAAATAAAAAAGACTGATTAACCTTTGCCTACATTCAACAACGTTAAAATTCTTTAAACTTTTAGTAATCGCCTCCCCATGCCGTCGGACAATTTATCTCACTGGAGTGACATCTTTATGTGGAGACATCATCACTATCAGGCAATTGTAGCAGCTTATGAAAGTCAAGCGCAACATGAACAGGTATGTCTTTCTTATCTGCAAATATCTACTTGGCTTACGATGTTTGCTCTACTAATTCTGTTGTCTCTTCTGTTGTCTTTTCATAAAGGATTTAAGAGTAATTTAAACCAGCTCTTGTTAAGTCAATGTCCTTCGTAATCGTTAGCAGACTCCCTGGTAAGCTTCCTAGGAATGCGGAAACTCCCCTTTTCCCTTCAAACCCCCCCCCCCCCCTCCCACCTTTACTACCCAGGTCAGGTTGAGCATTTGCTCTATAAGTGACCGTACTTTTTTTCTGTCAAGCAGCAAAGTAACCACTCCATGCTTGGTGTCCACGCCTCCGCTTGGGCCATCATTCATTATGGTTACATAGCTAGGAAACAAGGCCTCACTGGAGTGTGTTTGGACTCGCTCAGCAGGTTGGTAGTAGCACACTTAATGCAATTTAATATCACTCTAAACTTGCCGCTGACCTCTATTCATGTGTGTTACAGGATTCACACTATTCCCAGTGTTCCTATCGTGGATTGTTTCCAGAAGATTAGACAGCAGGTGAAGTGTTATCTGCAGATGGCTGGCGGAATGGGAAAACAAGAGTTGCAAGAGGTGAGTGGAATAGAGGAGCTACAACGGAAGAAAATTGTTATCTTTTTCACAGGTTGGTGAGCCAAACTAACGCAACGGTCCAACGTCGGGTGTACGCAAGGGATCAGTTTTGGCCGGCTGCGTGCAATTTTTTGCAAAAAAATTAATAGGACAACATAAGAAAAACTGCTATCTCACAGAATAAGAGAAAAGAAATTGAATTGTTTATGAAAATCTGTAAAAGGAAACAAAGGTAAGGAAAAGGAAAACTCGAGACTTTTCGAACACAAAGATTTTTCAAGGAGGGTTTTTACGCTAATTTACGTTTTTACTTTGAGCTCTACTGAAAACGTTATACGCCTCTATAACACCGTGAGGCAACTTAGTTATAACTGCCTCAAAGCACGCCATCTCATTATAACAACGTTCGCTCATGCGCAGGCGTTTGGCTGCTCTCTTAGTTAAACCATAGGTGAGGTTCCTCATTATGAATTCGGAAAATTAGACTAAACTAATGCTGTTTTTTTGTCAATCTTACAGGGCCTGGAGGTCATCGAGTCTACAAATCTGAAATACTTTTCCAAGGAAATGACTGCAGAGTTCTTTGCTCTTAAAGGAATGTTCCTCGCTTACATTGGAAGGTAAATTGAAAGCAGAGAGAACACGACGAAAGAGGGACAAAACGAAAAACAGGGGCAAATTGTCGCCTTAGATTGCTTTGAGTGTCTTAAACCAAGCCGAAGCAATTCCATCAGCCAATCATAGGAAGGAAAATATCACGAGCAGCTTAAGTTAACTCGAAGTAAAAACAAGCAACCTGCATGGAGCGCGGGAAAACGCGAGTGACCAAGTTGCTATTGGGTTTAGTTTTGAATTTTATTGGCTGAAAAAGTGGCGCGAGTTTTTTGGAACAATCACATAACGAAATAAAGCAAATGCAAAGCAATCCTAAACTGCCTTGGACACTCAAGTTACGTCAATCAGTACAATCAGTACAATAATCAGTATAGTACTACTTTGTTTAGCGTCCAACAGGAAATGCGAAGATCAGATATTTTATTGCCGATAGTTGCCGACCTTTTGAAGCACTTTTATTTCCTCTGCTTAGGGTAAATTAGTTTTATTTTAATGTGTTTGTAGGTCAGAAGATGCTAACAAAGCTTTCTCGCAAGCGGTTCAGATGCAGGACTCGCTTGTGAAAGCCTGGGCACTATGGGGTGACTACCTTGATGGTCTTTTTGTTCTAGAGAGGTAAGAAAATACCCTTCTTTTCTCTTACATCACCCACACATTTGAGTATTTGTGATGACTATACCAGCCAGAAAACGATAATTACAGTGTGGGTCTCGTTTTTAACTCCACTACTTTAGATTATAGCGGAGCGCGCGCGCATCGAAGCGCCATACCTATACGTTTTATGTATAAGGCCACATATATAAATTTGTATTAATTTGATACTTGTTTTCTATGCTTCACTTTATTTTTCCTTATGTGATTACAGGAACATACAGCTTGGTGTATCCGCCATTGTTTGTTATCTTCACGCCTGCAGACACCAAAACGAGGCCAAGTGTCGGAAGTATTTGGCGCGAACAATTTGGTTGATGACGTATGATGACGAAAAGGTCTGGTAACGAGATATTTGCAGCTTAATCACAACAGCAACAAGATTCTCATTGCTTATCTGTAGCCCTATTTTAGCTCGAACAGCACATTTTAAGCGTCATGCCCGTGTTATTAGACAGTATGTGCCGTTCAGTTGTACGCGTAATTATATAGACTGTGGGGTCCGTTTTCTCGTGGATAAAAACAACTTTTTTATACATTGATACGTCTTACCGAGGAGTTAAGAGGGTAAGTCTCCAAAAGAAACTTTGGTGCTGCGTCGGCGGAAAGTAAACTACGATAATTTGGTTTAGTCAAATGAGTTGATAAAGGAAATTGGCCACCGTAGACAGTTTTTAAAGCTGACGTCAGTGATGATAAAAGCTCACCGATTTATGTTTATAGGGCTCGATCGCTGAAGCAGTTGACAAATATTGTGTCGGTGTCCCCCCGGTTCACTGGCTACCCTGGTAAGTTACGCCAAGTAACGTCTCTTGTCCGTTTGTTTCGTCTGAAACATGCGTAGTGAATAATTCGTCATATGTTTCTTTGGTGCTCAGGATTCCACAGCTGCTCACGTGTTTGGTTCGACGTGAAGGTCAAAAGATATTAAATCTTTTGTGTAATATTGGTCGAGTCCATCCTCAGGTTAGTAAATGAAAGTAGTTCACTTCTCTTTCGTCTTTCTTTTTTTCAGTTTGCTTTGATTTGTTCTTTTTACACGTTGATTGTGTCTGCGCCTCACTAGCCTGACGATCTGGATGGAATATCAGTTTTGTACGTTATTTATTGAACGATATCTTATTTTCAGGCCATGTACTTTCCAATTAGAACCTTGTATCTTACCTGCAAGATTGAGCAACGGGAGAGACGTAAGTGTTCTTAATTAGTACCTTAATCGGTTGGTTTTCGAGTAACAGGAGCATATAAGAAAACAAAAAAACATATAACTCTATCAAAAATGGTGCGTTTCGTTGTTATTCTTTGATGTTCATTTATATGCGCCTTCTCGGCCCCGTCTACAAGTGTACGAACAATATTTTCCCTCATAGCTGAGGCGAAGACGGCTCATTTAAGTACCTGTAAAATGAGCTTAATCATCCGTACCAGTGAGAGTTTGTTAGTCAACCACTCACCTCTGAGAACAATCGTGGATAAGCTTACAGCAGAAGCCATGTCATAAGCTTGTACTTACAGTGCATTCGATACTCCTGCGCCTCCAACGTATATCTGCTCATCGCTGATGCATGTCTCCAACCTTTGACCACAGTTGCATTTTACGTCGTTTTTCTTTCCGCACTCACTTTGGTTCGTTGCCTGAGGCATATTTCCCGGTTTCATTGCGGACGACATGTTTTAGCAACCTTGTCTTTTAGGTGCTTTATTGAATCGAAGTTCGCATGGATTCTAACTTACAAAATTTAACAGAGAGTAGATTCTTAAATGATTTGAGAAATATTATATTTCACTCCTAGTTAAAAAAATTCTTAAGCTTTTGTAACCTCTTGCTATTATTTTTAAATCTGCTGCTTCACTTCTGTTGAAATCCCAGATAAAATGGAGGCAGCGAACATAACAACCCAGCGGTCTTCTACTTCAGGCAGCAACAGTACCGCCTCCTCAGAATCACAAAACGCGTCTTCAGCTACCCCTAAAACCAGTGCAACCGGTTCAGAAACAGGACAGACTGGTACCACAGCCTTGTCAACGAGTAAAAGTGCTGGTTCAACGCCAACAAGCGCTGCACCAGGTATTAACTTGTTTTCCACTTCATTGTCAGATGTTACTTGACGTATGTAAACGGAAAGACACTTTTGGGTGTTGCTTGTTTCTGTTTAGTCTAAAGGACGAGACGAGTGATTTTATTAATTGTTAACATTTATTTTTTACAGAAAATGCGGCAAGTTCAACAGCCACACCGGTTTGTAGATCATTAAATTTATTCTTATGAAACCTCTGATCGTACTCTCTTCAAGCTTTTCGAATTGTGTTACATGTCGTCTTTTGTTTGGTTCATTTCAGACAACGCCATCAACACCCACCCCGATGCCTACAACAACTACCTCTGAACAGGCTACAGCTTCGACTGCAGGCTCAGCGACCACTTCTACAACTGCTGGCTCCACGACACCAACTACAGGTACCCCACAGGGGACTCGTAAAAACAAGAACCTGAAAGGGGGGGGGGGGAAATACCAAAAGAAAGAAAAGGTTGCATTAGAATATCCATCAGAAGTTAGTTATTGTCAGTAGCCTTCCCCTATGTACCAAAAGATCTTTGTTGTATAAAATTTTAATGTACATCTCTTGGTTTTCAGCTTCAACACCAACTAGCAGTCATAGTGACCCAGGGGCGATAAGAGCCACAGCCCAGATGTGGCGCTGTAGTAAGATAATGCACTTTTTGAGGGATCTACATCCAACTCTCCTCTCAGCCCTCGAAGGAGTAGTAGATCAGGTACATATTCATGTCGTAAAATTATACACTATTGTAAGGGATCTTCTTCCAACCCTCCTCTCGGCCCTAGAAAGAGTAGTCGTTTGGATACATGTGCCTATTCTGCGATTGTGCACTTTTTGAGCCACTTTCATCCAACTCTACTCCCAGCCCGTGAAGTGGTAGTCAATTAGGTACATTAACATGCACTAAGATTATGCACCTTTTGTTATAAAGTTATGCATCTTTTGGGAGACCACATTCTTACTCTCACTCCTTGATGAGGTTGTCGATCGGTCCATGTACATGGGTTTTTGAAGCTGAAAAGTTTGTTTTTTGTCGGCAGATGGTTTGGTTCCGTGAAGGTTGGCCTGAGGAAGTATTAAGGCAGCTGCGCCAGGGACTCATAAAGTGTTATCAAGTCGCGTTTGAAACAAGAAGCGACGGTAAGTTTCTCAGGCTCCTTCATTTTCTGAAACGATGGGAACAAATACCCTTTAATCAGTTGGACGCCTGCACTAAAGATTGGAATTTCTGATGAAGCAGACTTCGGTCATTATTTGTTTATTTGCTTTGGTTTGAGTTATTAAAACAATTTCGATCTTCCAACAGTTGCAGCTGCCCGAATCACACCACACACACTGAGCTTTGTGAAGAAATTAGTCAGCACATTCGGAATCGGATTTGAATCGGCCTCGAGTGTATCAAGCACTTTTTCATCAGCTGCATCTGAGTCCTTGGCGAGAAGGGCCCAAGCCACGGCTCAAGATCCAGTATTTCAGAGGCTGAAGGAACAGTTCGCTGTTGATTTCGACTTCACGTAAGTAGTGAGAAAAATAAATACATTCTCGTCCTAGGGGACACCTAGTTTAACTTAATGTCCAAGCTTTTAGTGTTGGACGCTATTGAACATGATGATGATTCAAGCTTGAAACTGTTTTGATTTTTACTTACTTTTGAAGAGGATAACAACTGAGACTGTTAACGTCCAGATATTTTAGAGTGTATGTAGTATCAAGTCATATTTTTAAATCTTACAGTCAACCAGGGTCCATGGTTCTTCACACTTTGATCGGTAAACTGAAGAAATGGATCAAGACTCTGGAAGAAAGAGCAAAACTTCTCCCAAGGTAAGACACATTTGTCTCGAGTTTGAGAAACAACCCAGTAATGTTGCATGCATTTTAAGCTTTTTTCATATAGATGTGGGACAATGTACGTATTTGCTTATGTATGTTAGTGTGTGTTGTATGAGGTACACTCAGGGACAAGCTAAAAGTAGTTATCAAGCTAAGCGTGAACCTCTCTGTCTCTTTGTAGCTCATTCCTTTTGGAGGAGAGATGTCGATTCCTCAGTAATTTCACGACCTCTACAGCAGAAGTGGAGCTTCCTGGCGAGTTTTTGATGCCCAAGCTCAACACGGTTAGTTGAAAAGAGAAATCTACCCTTTTCGCTCTCTTTTGAATAGAAATTCAGCCAGTTGGCTCGATAGAGCAACTTGTTTTAATGACACAGCGCTCAAGTTAGTAAATAAGTTTTGAATGTCTATGTTTTAATTTCTTTTCAGCATAGTCCATACTATATTAGGATCGCTCGCTTTATGCCGCGGGTTGAGCTCGTTCAAAAGCACAACTTTTCTGCTCGGCGCCTTTACATCCGGGGTAATAATGGCAAGGTATGACCATATATGGTATTATAATGCTTATCCGTGAAACGTGGAATTAAAAGAAGTACACTTTTTTACCTAGAACTTAAATCAGTGTAATGTTTGTGCTACTTTCTTACTTTTTTAAAGTTTGAATTGTGTTTTACCTTTCAGATCTATCCATACCTGGTAGTGAACGATGCGTGCATGACGGAATCGAGAAGGGAGGAGAGAATCCTTCAACTGTTGAGGCTCCTAAATCTTTATTTAGAGAAGAGAAAGGTACAAGAGATGAAGTTTTAGAGAAGACATACAACTTTTGTTTCTACAAAAAGAGTAACGACACAGAAAGGTTCTTCTCATTTCCTCAAACAAGGGAAATACCTCTTCTGTATCCCATGGTCCTTTCACGTGACTCAACTGCCTCGTTCTCTTGCGGGTTTTTTTTTTTTTTTTTTTTTTCGGTAGAATCGTTACATGCTTTGAACACGGCTAAAAATCTCTCCAACGTTTATTACTGTAATACATACTTAATAGATTTGATTTTTGTTCGTTTAGGAGTCCTGCAAAAGACACCTGTTATTTACGGTACCGCGTGTTGTAGCTGTATCACCTCAAATGCGACTCATCGAGGTAAGTCACGCGATGTTATGATTAGCCACGCGTTATGGTTTATCAGTCATGCATTGCTGTAAAGTTGTTCTGCTCCATGTCTCGTTTACTTCATTCTTCTTTATGTTAATCAGTTTCAAAATCTTTTTTAGGACAATCCGTCTTTCATTTCTCTAAGGGAGATCCTAACTGACGTAAGTAGCCATTTTCCAGCACTTCTCTGTTTCCCCACCAGACTCCTCCTATTTACCCATTATTTTTCTTCGTAGCGTTGTGACAAGAAACACGTGGAGTCTGACGCACCAATCGCGTTGTATTACGAGCGCCTCGCTTCTGTCCAGTCACGTGGTTGTCAGGTGACTCACCAGGTTTTAAAGGACATTCTCAGAGAGGTGCAGCTCACACTGGTGCCAGAAGTCCTTCTCAAAGAATGGGCCCAGTACACGTATCAGGATCCCTCTGATTATTGGACCTTCAGGAAACAGGTACGTGAAGACCTCTCACTGGTCTTTGCTCAATTAAATAACCGAGTAAACTAAATGTTAGTTTTCTTTTCTTGTAGCTTTGCATTCAACTCGCTCTCTCTGGTTTTGCTGAGTTCACTCTGCATCTTACAAGACTGGGACCAGAAATGCTTCAAATTGCGCAGGACTCGGGCCGACTAACTGTCTCTTACAGCCGCTTTGAGCTGGACGACACAAAAGGTAGACATCAATCTTTGGTAAACCTTTTTGTGAATAAAATTTTGCAGGACTGAGTTGTGCTTTCGTTTCTTTTGTACCCAAGGCGAACTGGACGCGAACCGTCCCGTACCTTTCCGACTAACTCCGAACATTGCCGAGTTCGTTACGCCGGTGGGTGTGAATGGAGTGATGACGGCAGCGATGGTGTCAGCGGCGCGGTGTTTAGCTGAGCCTCATTTCAGTGTTCAGAGTATCTTGAAAGCTGTGTTGCGAGACGAGATTATTGCTTGGCATAAAAAGGTCGGTAAACGTTCCCTCCGCTGCTTTGAATTAAAAAGTAGAGTTTAAGTTTATCCCGCCTTTAACGACGTCCATAGCCAGCTACTTAAATATCGGGGGAGAGGGGGTGGGGCGGGCGAATGATGGACGTCTTTGAAATATTGGGTGGTTGGGTTGTGCCACTTAGTTTTCCAAATCCTGACTTTCTTTCAGACAAAAGAATGTAATTCCCACATCCTTTTTTAGACTCCTGGCCTTGTAAATCCATACCCGTTTTCGAATCTGGCCATAAAAAGTTCTACTTGGTTTGTGTATCTCTTCTGCTTGGTTTTAGAGTTTTAAGTAAATGTAACACACTTGCTTCTAATTGCAGGAACAAGACGAGGCCCACACCTTTCCCCTGAGTAACCCACCGACTGATATGGACAGCGAGCTGTTAATTACACTGGTGAACGCAGCTGTAAAGGCCATTACCACCAGACTACAGAGTAAGTCAAAGTATCCTGCAGGATCAGCACGAAAAGTTTCATCTTAATTTATACCACAGTAAAAATCGAAGTCTTTGGTCACTTATCTGCTGATACCACAAATTAATAACTGTTTAACGCATGATTATCATTCATTTACTTCGTAGACTTGGCACAATACGAGGGAGGGGAGACTAAGGTGACAACTCTGATAGCAGCGGCCACTAGCCCGGATAATTTATGCCGCATGGATCCAGCATGGCACCCGTGGCTCTAGAACACTTTATCCTTCTAGTCCATGGCGAAAAAGGAAAAAGGCATATACGGTTGTGATTTCAGTTTATCAGGAGTAATATTTAAGAACATTTCCTCAGAATTTTCTTGTTTCTCTGAACACCTCAGAGATGTTTTGTCCTTATTAACAGTAACCATTCGGTTTCAAGGCATTTTCTGGTCAAAATGCTCACTTAGTTTTCACGTCATTGTTTCTTCAAAAACTTCGCTTTCCACATTAGATTTGTGTCTGAGCAGCAAGGTTTGTATTGATCATACATATTTATTTTAGTTCGGTAAAATTTTTATAGTTACGTTCAACTGCTCTGACTGAATAACTTAACACCCTTAACTACATAGAGATCTCATGTATTAACTTTAGCATGACAGTCGAATTGTCCAAGAAATAACATGGAATCACGCAAAAGTTGTGCAAAAGTTGTCCAAAAGTTGTGAAGAAGACTAATTATTAGTAGCTTATCTCAGGTTAGGCTCTTGCAAATCATGTAGAAGCAGTATTGTAATTTATTTTCTATTGTGTTTTTATTACATTCATTTAAAAAAAGCGTTAAGAAAGTCAATGTAAGTGCACATGTATGTGTATAAATACTTCAATAAATTAGTGACCTTGTATTTAATTTCTTGTGTAATGGGGTGTAAGAAATATTTATGAATAGCTTTTTTTTGGTCTTACAACAGTTACTTGTGCTTACAGTAAATGCTCTAATAAGCCCCTCCTAAAAGGTTGTGTAAGACCCCCTCTCTAATAGGCACCCTACTTTAAAAAGCCCTCTCTAATACACCCCTCTCTCATAAGCCCCCCCCCGCCCTCCTAGAAGCCCCCCTCCATAATAAGCCCCTCTCTCTTGTAAGCCCAAGTAATCTATGAGCCCTCTCCTTCCAGGGGGTTATTAGAGCATGGGACACATCAAGTGAGAGACAAAAACCCTTCTCCCCCATCTTAGACACACCACTACACACACTTTCTCTCTATGCCAGTAATCCCCTCAAGATGTTTCATCATCTGTTGCTCTGCCTTCCAGTTTGGGATACAGAGCTTCGAGAGGATACAGGTTTGGTTGCTGATTTCATCTTACTAGGGCCAGTCTTCCTTGAGGCACTCCCTGTGCTCTGCTGTGTAGTGCCTGGCCCTGTCAACCTCTTAGGTTGTGGCGATCGCTGCACTCTAGACTGTTCCTTTTCTGCCTTCAGCTGTAAAACCAGGAATGTTTACTTGTCAAGTCTTGCTACATATTGTAACTCGTAAATGTGAACAAAACTCAAAGAGATTTACATTAAATTTCACTCACTCTGGCTTGGTATCGCTTCTCAAAATAGGCCATGTCCTCTTCCTCAGTGGTTCTACGTGCCACCTGTCCTGCACCAGCACCCATCCCATCCTCTAATGACAGCCCAGCCAGACCAGCTTGTGCTTTGAGGAAAGGGTGGTCATTAGGTCCTAGGAAAAACAACAAAATTGAAAAACTGTAGACATCTTGCGCAGTATGGAAAAACTCCTGTTATACATATTTAAAAAAAAGAACACCAGTTAAAGCAGAGCTCTTGTGCTTGAATTTAATGTCTTTTTCTGAGGTTTTTGTGAACATGTTCTTAATCTAGGAAGGCAGCAAACCCTGGCAAATTTTTTTTTTTTTTTGCATACCTACTGGCTGCTCCAACATATGCAAGGGTGGTGGGCCAATTCCACTGTCATCCAAGCGCATGTAGCCATCCATCAGTGAACTGAACCCTGTGATTCCACCCATGGCAGCATAAGGCACATCATGGCCTGTTGGGTGGCCACGAGATATGCGTTCTTCTTTTGTTTCAACAATTGTCTTGTGGGGAAAAATTTCAATAGTGAAACAAAGACAGCTTGCTCTATGCATAGTTCATTAAAGTCAAATGGTTACTGTGAGTACTGGACTTGAAACCTGGTGGAACCAGATGCAAGTCCTCTTCCCTGCTATCTAACCCTCTGAACCTATAGAGTGACTGACATCTAATTTCTCCTTAGAATATCACCCCACATATCACACATTAAGGTCATGAGAACACAGGAAATAATCACAAACTAAAGAAGCTCTTGACTGTTATATCAATTCTTCTTGTCAGTGCATTATTGTATAGAGAACAGTATGAAGAATACATATACTGATGCTAGGTGTAAAAGGTTAAGTAGGAATACTCTAGATGAGGGTTTTTTTGTTTTGTTTTTTGTTGGTTTTGTTGTTGTTGTTTTTTTTTTCAAGACAAACTCAGTGGTTGTGCTCTAAGAACAGCCCACTGTCTGGTCTACCTTCTGCAAGTTGAGACTCTTAACCGATACATTTAAATTTATTTTGAAAATTCATTTTATTCTTCAGTAATTGTGTCAGCCCCATGAAAAAAATTAATTTTATGCCAAAAGTAAGATTGTGGGATAAGAATCCCAGTCTTCCAGAGAGAGTATGTGAGAGCTGATTTTTTAAAATCTAAATCTAACAGTGAGGTAAAGTTTGGACAGTTTTACTGCATTTATATATGAGTATGAAATATGAGCTGTTCCTTCTTTGATTAACAAAAATTTGCAGGAGCCAAAGCAAAATTGTCTACAGAAATTCTAGCAAATTTTAATTATGTCTCATTTTCTCTTAAGACCTCTGAAAACGGGGCAGGAGGAAGGGAGGGGTGGGAGAAGGTTTGCTTACTCATCTAGGACCCTAAGTTAAAAACAATAGCACATTTCACCAACCTTGTGAGCATAAGTTGGTTCTCCACAGCCACAAGTGTAAGAACTTCTGAATTTTTTACATGCACATCCTTTTGAACACTTATATGGTACCACCTCAAAATGATCATCAGCAAAGTGTTTACACTGGCATCTGATCGGCTGGGTGCCATTCTTTGGTACATAGTGGTAACTCTTACATTTACAGCCACTAACACGGCAAGGGACTGGGATCGGTCTGATTTGCGGTAGTGTCTCATAATCAGTTTTGTGTTGTTTGTACCTATGTTGGAAAAAAAGCATTAAAAGTTCTTTGTAAGTTTGATTTCTTGTATTTTGGAATAAAATGTTACCAAATTATTTATTTTGCTTTTTTTCTATTTCTCTATGTGACCCTACATGTGACTGCTGATAAATGGCTCCAGGAAATGGTTTGCTCATATGTAATACTGTCATACTGTAATCTCCTCAAAGAACATTCTGCTTACAAGTAGAAATGTCCATGCTCATTCATGCAAATTGTCAGATCACTTCTTTAAGCTGCCAAAGAAATACCCCCCCCCCAAAAAAAATAATTAAAAGCCAAGATTCCCATATCATCCATACTTCATTATACATACAGTTGTTTGATTAAAGAAAACTGTGGTATAAACTAGTTTACCAATGCGGCTGAAGTTTACGAAATAATGAAAAAAAAATAGTAATCGATTAATAGGACAATCGTCTCGCTTACCCCAAAATATCTGATTTGCTAGCGTCTCGCAGATCACTCATTAGTATCGATTTTCTCGTTGCTGTCAATCAACGATACTTTGCTCAAAGTCATCTAATAATTGTCAGTAATTCCATTTTTGCGTTTCTCACCTGTGATTGCAGAAACACATTGTTTCAGGGCCGACCATCTTGCAATCCATACCGTTTGGTGCTGTCCAACTTACATACAGCCTGTTCTTCATTCTCTGTGGCAGAACTTTTTTCTTGTACTCTTCATATTCTTCAGGAGTAAAGAGTTTTCCTCCATCGTCATCCCCAACAATTCTGAGAAAAAAAAATAACAACAGTCTTTTCGAAATTATGCAAATGTAGCACAAGTGTGTCTCCAGCTAACTGCGCGCACCCTGCAATTCTGTTGCAGCATTCATTGAAATGCAAAATCGCAGCTGTTAGGTTTATATAGGTTTGGAAGACCTGAACCATTGTAAATGACTCATTTCACACGAAAATGCTGCTACTGCATGCCAGCCAATAACCAAGCTCGCTTCGATTTAAATTGCTATTTTAGATCGCATTTAGGTGACAAACCTTCGATATTCCAAGTATTGATCTATAGAAGCCGCAGCAGTACTATCCAGCTTTAGATGTATTCGATCTCCAGCCATCTAGCCGCAAGAAAGGTCAAAATTCAGACAAAAATTCACAGCAAACAACTTGATAGAGGCTTCCTTCGTTTCCAAAACGACTGGATGGATGTTGTATAAGCCATACCAAATGTCCCTCAAATTAGTTCCAGTCTTTTTCCACAAAGATCGTTGCCAGGCAAGCGTGAATACGAGGCAAAAACAAAATTTGCAAATTTCAAATTCCAAAAGATAACTTTATCTTTCCGACGATATTCCTTCCAAATAAGCCAAATATAGCCTAACATACATCGAAAGGTATGGCTCGAAGGATTCCCTGGAGAAGAAATTGCCCTGATGTTGTTCTGAACAGAATTGAGGAAGCCAGTCAAGCTAGAATTTATCTTCTTCGCGAGACAGGCCCCACAGGATTTCTTTTGAAGGAAGATGGCTTGGATAAGAAATTTAAGGTTTGTTGACGTAAACAGCGATTTCTTAACAATAACAACAAGTCTCATAGCCGCATAAAACGTCTATTGTCTTTTACGAATGATACGAGAATACAGACGAGCCCTAAAGTTTGTTGAATGCATGATGAATATACCCAAAGACGTTTGAAAACTTATATTAATTCTACTTGATTGTCATATGAACTGGGTTAAAACTCAAATCTTTGGTTTTCCCTTACCATAAGCTATTTACTCTGAAACAATACTATTGTTGTATAAAAAAGTTTGACAATGGTGAAACTAACATACAGTAACTTGCAACATGATTCTGCAAATACATAATTATTGTCTCCTATTTATTTTGTTTGCCGGCGTTACAATATGAGAACTTACATTACAATACGTACATGTATACTTTCCACCTTTTCAACTGTACCATAACAGTTCCCTAATAATCTAACTCTACCCTATCATGAGTTTTAACTCGCTTTGAACCTTAGGATACCCTGCTAGGAATGTTACCAGAAGTAAGCCACAAAAAGTATGCATGACTTTTCATATTTTATTGTCTCATTCCATATTATTTTGTTTTTCAGGTGTTTTTGGGCGATCAACATTCTTGTACTTGTCAAAATTTCACAAAGGAGAAGGAGCTATGTATTCATATCCTCTGGTAAGTACAATTTTGATTCCAACACATAACAAAAATCTGTGCATGCACTCACTTTTAATGCACAAAGATATTTAAACATCTTCTTTCAAAGACTTCATTAGCACTCAATAGTACTGTTTGAAAATAATAGCTTATACATCACTTTTTTGTCTTTTGTTTTCTTCTTTGTTATTTTACTGCAGGGTGCTTCTCAAAAAATTTCGAGTTCCTAAGGAAAATCAGAGTAAGTACTTTATCAACTATGTACATGCAAAAATGTTGTACCCATATCACTGTTTGCTAAATGCCTGTTTTGCACTTTTTCCTGCTAGTTTTAAATCAGATTAATTTAACTTTTTGGGGGGAAAAACTCAAAACAAATACCTACAATGTTGGTTGCCCATATGTGTAACAGCTTGTCAGTATCTATTGTGATTAGTGCAATTGACTGTGGGTTGAGAGGTCTGGGTTAAAACCCCAGCTGCATCAAGATGTTTATCTGTTCTTGAGTGAGAAACTTTACTCTCTCAGTGCCTCTTTCTCTCCACCCAGGAATATAAATGGTTACAAGAAAATAATTAGGAAAGCCTTAGAAAATGCTGGAGAAAGCCTTGATGGACTAACATCTAATACAGAGGGGGTTGTAAGATTCTTTGTCAATTCATGCTGCTGAAACTTGGATAAGCTCTGGCCAGATGGGCCAGGAGACTTATAAGCTGATTTTACTCTACCACCATTTAGTGATTGTAAAGATAATGAGCAAGGAACAAATGATCACTGTTTGAATCTTAGTTATATTTCAACTATCACTGGTGGAACGTGAGATTAATGAAGTGATGAAGGGAGGCTACTCAAGGTCAAACAGATCAAAGAGGAAGGATTCTGGTAAAGATATGGCAAACTCTGATGATCGAGAGAAACTTAAACAGAAACAGATCGAGGAAGAAGATGTGTGTCCAATCTGTCAGGATGAGTTGCTGCAGAAACCTGAACCACTAACTTATTGCAAGTAAGTGTCAAAGACAGGGAGCCTCTGATAAGATACACAGTAGCAAACATTCCACATAATGGAAAAGAAATTCAGCAAACAAACCTTTGTTCACTTGTTCTGTATGGCAATCTTTTCTTTCAATAATCTCCACATTGAAAAGTATTCAAGTTTTGCCCTGGGACTTGGTAAAAACTCCAATTAAAAGGGACAAGTTTGTTGTTTCACAATAGTTCTTGGAAGTTTTGCTGCAAGCATCAATATCATGTTTTCAGTGCACTTTTCTGGCTGGCATCTAAACTAACCATAGTTTAACCAATGAAAACATTTACATTGTTGTTTGTAGGTATGGCTGTGGTAATAGTATTCATGTAAAGTGCATGAAAATCTGGGCTGAACACCAACGTTCCACTGGAGAAACCATCATCAAGTGTCCTCTTTGTAGAATTGACTTTGGGACTTTGCAGGTTAGTCATTCAACATGAAGATGTTCATGACCTGTTTTTTTCATTTCTGTCAGTAATTTAAAACATCCTTTTGATATTTTTACCATGATGCTCATTTAACCCAGATATTTTGGATTTTTATTTCTTAACTTGGCTTTTACAACTAAAGTATTTTAATTAAAAGGAATTAATGGATGAGTTTCACAAATCCTCTCGACGTAAAACAAGAGCAGAAAGACAAGACCTTCACCTTGGTGCAACTTGTAAGAGATGCAGAGTTTGTCCCATAGCTGGAAAATGTTACAGGTAAACCACACCTGTTGTATCTATGAGGTAGACTATTTTGTGGCTATGGCTCTGACAGAAGATTAAAAGTCATAATGTTAGCTGTGGAAACTCTCTACAGAGGCCAATTTACATTATCAACTCAGAAACCAAATTATCTTGTAATATCCCTCCCCCCACCCACCCATTACAGCAACACAGTTTCTTTAGAATCCTACTCTCTTTACTATTTTGTAGTATTTTATTAACAGTTAGTTCTGATTTATACAACTTGACAGCTTACTAATTTGAAAAAATTTCTGGCTTGTTTACAGGTGTGTTGTTTGTGCAGATTATCATCTGTGTCACTCTTGTTTTGCCACAGACACACATTTACAGCATTCTTTCCAGTTTAGACAGGTAACATCAGTATGCATAATCTCCATACTGTTCTTGATACCTCTCCTAAAGTGCTGACAAGAATAATTTGTTTTATAATCATGACCTTCTTTAGTTGATGATCATTTCCTTTATTCTCCTGAGCTTAATGTTTGGCTCAGGGGTGATATTGTGAGAAGAAATTGGATGCTAGTCACTCATCAGAGTCGAAGGGTTAACTGCTCACACAAAAGCAGATTTCAATCAATTTCAATGGTGAAATTTGTTACATGTAAATTCTACATTGATTGATAGAATCTTACACTAATTGTTATTTGCATCACATGGAGTTGGAGATCAGTATAAAATTTTATTCTTCATGTTCATTAGAAACCCAGTGAACGATGGCGAGCAGCTTCACGGATAACTCCTTTACCCAGTGCAGTAATGAGTGACTTGGAAAATAGAGATATTTCTGAGAGTGATTATGAATTGCTGTTGCAACTTGACAGGTAGGACAACAAAATTATTTGGATCAGTTTCGTACGAGTATCAAAAGTGATTAAAAATTTAATTTAATTTTAAAACTATCCTCATTACCTGTTTGGTCCTTGCATTCACAGGCAGGTTACTGATCAGGATGGCATCCCTGCAAATGTGATCCACAGTCTACCAACACAAGTGTTGCAAGATGGACACAGGCTGTTGGGTGACAGCAGCAACTGTGGTGTCTGCTTACAAAGATTTCAAGTCCACCAGCACATCAGAACTCTTCCTTGTCACCATCCTTTTCACATCACTTGTATCGACAACTGGCTTTCAAATCATTCACAGTGCCCTATGGATGGCTCTTATGTTGGATCTGTTATTACCACAGCATCCGGGCAACCAAACAGACAAATGGTGTCAGGAGTGGGGCAACTTAGGTCTGGACCAAAAGGCAGTCATGCGTTAGGAGGGGCTGGGAAAAGACCAAGCCAGAGATTAAAAGGACTTAATGATAGTAGCAACTCAGCAGCAAGTTTACCAAGTAGTTTTACTCTCAGCGGATCTCAATTGATGGTAGTACAAAATGATAAGTCTCGGTAAGAGTGGAAAAGATTGTCAGACCTTGGAGTAAAGTTCTTATAGAGATTTGAATATTGCCCTAAAGTTACTTGCATTTCTTTTTTACACATAAACACATCAACTGAATTTAACTTATTTTGCCAAGGTCCAGATTGATTACTTTACCTACAACCTATGACTGATTTCTTTAAAGTTTCCTAAGTTTTAAGATTTCTTTAGATTATGGCCGTTCAAACTTTGGTGTCTATCAAAAGACCAAATTCTATGTATGAATATAGTACTTGTTACACTTTCCTATGAATATGGCCGGCAAACCTGATGTTAGGTGATTATAACTCCAGTGACTTTAGTACAAGTCGTATTCCAATAGTTGACCCTTAACCCTTTATTTCCTATGAATGACCGAAACATAATTTCTCCTTGCGATATCAATACAACATCAAGAAGACAAGTGATGAGAATACAAGCAATTATCAAGTAGGAAATTATTAGTTGATACGATTCCAAATTCTCCAATCTAACATCAGGAGAATTGTAAGGCAGACCGTGAGGAGAATTACTAATGAGATCGTTTAAGGTTCAGTGATACTTTTGGCTTTACAATGGTACTACAACTGTTATCCATTTTCATACAGGTCCAATGGAGACATTCAGATCCCCAGTCATGACCGTTTGTCATCCGTAGTGCCTCCGCTAATGGATCAGCCTCACATTATTCCCCACGTGGGTCTTTTTCGAGTATCTTCAGCGGGACGGGACAAGACGCGATCTCAACACAGAGCTTCTCCTGAATCCTCTGTTGGAATAAAATCGTTCACGCGGTACAACTTAAATTTTAATCCTGTGAATGCTTCTAAACCACCCATGCCGCCTCAAAGTTTGAACAATAATAGAAGTTCGAGCAGTGAAACAAGGAGGCCGAGGGCAAAACTGGACAGAACTCAACGAAGCAGTGTAAGTTGGTACTTGCAGTTGTAGTGTAATAGAGCGCATTTCGATTATATATGTTATAAAAAAAATCAGCATGATCAACCGAACCAATGCCAAATCGGAGAAAAATGCAAAGAGCTAATGATAGTTCAAAGCCAAAAATGGGCAAACAGTCTAAAGCGCGGAAAAACGCGGAAAAACGCGGGTGACCAAGTCGTGAGTGTTGTAGTTCTTTCATCTGATTGTTTGGGAAGTTAGGGCGAGTTTTCTAGACCAATCACACGGCGAAGAAGCAAACGCAAGACAATCCGTCTCGTACTCTATCTTTAGAGACATTTAGAGGCCAGATATTTCAAAGTGAAAGCATAAGCGCTTTTCGTGAATGGTGATTTCGTGTTAGGTATCTTAATTATTCCGTATCATTTCTTTGCAGTCGGTTGGAGAACTTAGTTTGTTTGCATCAGGCACCGCTGTGTCACTAGGATCGCAGACTCCGCCATTAAACACAGACAAGAAACTTAAAGGACAGCTTATGAAAGGAAAGCTAACAACCAAGAATTCTCGGCAGTCTCTATCGGACCCAGGCCTAGCCGTGACGTTGGAGCCTATTGTTGGCTCTGGAATATCAGTTTACCTCCCTCCTGTTGATATAGATTGAGTCAAACATAATTTGTAATGAATAATGAAAAGTGTGCAGAGGGAAAAAAAATTCAAGACCGACACGAGAGGAAAAAGAGTCAGTTTTGTTTGAATTAAATAAAGTAAATTTGAAGGAAACATGAGTTACTGGGTCAGAACTTCCGAGAATTAAACATCTCGAATAACGTTGGCCACCAAATTTGTTTTAGACCAGTTTATCCCTCTTTTAATAAACTGAACCATCTTTTACAAAAATAACGTGAAACAATTTTCTTTCACTAATAGCTGTTAACTGGTACGGTATATTAGAGATAAGTAACCCAACAGATGCAGTTATTTACTCTATGCCCCTTCCTTCCCCCCAATATTTTTACTTAATTATTTTCCAAAGATAACAAACAGGAAACCTCTTTTCAGCCACCCTCTCTATCCCCTTCATACTTGGAAATAAATTAACCCTCACTCAAGAAGATAAAATCAGGTCCAAATTATTAGATGAAAAAGTAAAAGCTATCATAAATTATACAGCGTTATTTGTGGCGTGTATTTCTAAAATTCACAAGTTGACATTTAATTCTAATATTGAGTAAAACGAACGATCTGAAAACAAATTTGCCGTATTGTCAAGCTTTCATTCTTTATGGTAACTAATCATTTCGTCTAAGAGTGGTTCGCTAATTAAAACGACAAATTCACTAGCGCCATAGGTCGGCCCGTCAAAGGCTAAGTCCCTTCGTAAACGCACTACGTCGCTCACAAAGATTCGTATTTTTAAAGTCTTAGCAACTACAAAGTGCGACGCGTTATTATTCATCGAGATATTTAAAACATGTAAATCGGCCATTTAAGGTGTGTTGCTGTTGTTCTTCGATTTCAGAGGTGCTTGTCAACTGAGCAGGTATTTTCCCTTTTTTTTGGCTTATTGTTTTGGTTTAGAAGACCTTTCTTAACTTCTTTTAACCGTATTGGCCACAATACATGTAGAGAGTATATATATCTCAGGAATGGTTTGAATATCTCAATACTTAACTTTCTTTGAAGTAATACGCCCACGATACGCCCACAGGCGCCCAATGTTATCTTTTCAAATATTAGACAAGCCTCCAGACTTGTTGTGGGGAATTGTGCTTCTATCTGCAGCGAACTGAAAGAATCTATATTGCAGCAAGAATTAGCAGGCTTTTGTTTTTGTTGCCGTTTGTAGAATTTCTTTCAGAGGTGAGGTAAGTTGAGTCCTTCTAAGTTTTCGCTTCAGCTTTTTCGGCTAAAACTGCGGAAGAGTGTTTTCGACTACTGCAGAGTGAGTCTGTAACGCTGTTTAACTACCTTAGCTTTGATGCCTGTGGAGATAACCTTTATGACAGAGGTGGAAATAATTAAAATATGATTGAAATGAAATTGGCTTCGATCTTATTGCCAACTTACTGCGGCATACTCTCGGTTTCGAAAAAATTCCCTTCCAGGGTGAATATTACGCGATTCAACAAATATTTGACGCTATTGTTGGTTAGGAAATTGGTTATACTTTTCAGTCCATGCAAAGCAAGATTTTCTCATGTCGATGAAGTATAGAGACATCTCTTTGGTCATAATTTAACCTATTTACTCAACTGCCGAGTCGGTTTTCACTACATTTTATCACAGGTATTGAAGGGACATTTCATTTCTCGTATACGCTGGCATTTGCTATCGAAACCCATTTCAGTTTACATGAAATCAGCCAATCAGTGGTCACATGACTGAAAAACACTGTTTTGCATTCGATTTTGTGTCAAGGTCGCGAAGGTGTGTCGCGGATGTGTCGCCTGGATTCAAAAATTTCGCCTCGTGTTGATTAATTGCTTCAAAGAGTAGCGCCTTACTAGTATCGGTAAGTAGACTGTAGTCATTCTTTACTCGTAATATTGTCTTTGAGACGCTTGTGGTTTTGGCAAAAAATGCGACATAACGTCATGAAAATTCCGCAATATTTGAAAACGCGAAGCTCTATGGCACATGGATTCGTTGAAATTGCGTAACGGCAGGATTTTACACGGGAGCCTTCTCTTGACTTTCGTTCCTTAATATTTGGAGCAAAATTTCACCTGTAACGTTCTATCACAAGGCAAGCGCTGTTATTGAAGCAAAATCGTGTAAAACTTGGAGGGCTTGAGTAGTTTAGGAATGTTCACTGATTTAAACTGTTGACTTCAAAGAAGGATTTTGAACAATCGGTCTCTCTCTAAAATCATTCCTCTAAATCCGTCAACGAATTGTGTACGTTGCTAAGATACTGTTTTGGTCCTTCAATTACCAATCTCTATTAATGATATTAGCGCTTTCGTATTTGGCTTAAAAACTTTAAAAAACGTTACTTTGCTTTCTTAAATGCCGCTGTGTAATCGTCGTCGGGTATGTGCAACTGTTTTAACTTAGAATCAGACTTATTCAATATGATATTAATATAATAACTTGTTTATTTTTAAGAATGTCGTCTAAAATTGTCTGTTTATTTTAGTTTAAACAAGCTATCGTTTCAATATTGGCTTTCAATGTTTTTTTGTCTATATTTCCGAATTTATATTGAAGAAATTTTAGGCAATATTATGTAAGAAAAAAAATAGTAAATGTAATCTTCTTTAGTTCTCTTCAGCGTACTGTTTAGGCGAACTACCCCTAAAAGAAGTTTGACATTCTTATAAAAATCTAGGGCAATATTGACTCAGTAATGGTGGAGAGGTTTTTGGTGAACCAAAGTTACATTCGTGAGGTTTTCGGTGACTTCAAACAGATATCGAGACTGCTCAAGCTTTTCTGACGAGAAGAGCTGATTCAGAACAATGGGATACGTAACAAAATATGACATTTTCAAGTGAATGACTACCTTTGGGCCAAGGACAGCCACAGAGGGAACATCATAGGTCACTTCTTTCTGATGTCAGCGCGAAATTTTAAGAGACAGAGCCATTTCGAGGCATTTCGCCAGTCTTTTTCCCCAGCAGACGTTGAAAACAAGTGGCCTTTTACGAAGAAAAATTTTTCGTGTATCTAAGCTTGTTTCATATTGGGTGAAATATAGTTAAGACAATTCATTGAATCACAGACAGACGTATAAAATAAATTTTGAGCAATTTAGATTACCATGTAAAATGTCGACGGCCTAATTTGGTAGGCAACAGTGCTGGCGCCGTTTTAATGTAGTAAACCTTTATATTCTTAACAAAAACACACACACACAAAATAAATTTGGAAATACTTCAGTGAGCTGTTACGCTCGAACCAGATAGAAATATCGCTGCTAATAAGTTTTGTTAGAGGTAAAGCCTTTTAGCTTTCAGACATGTACATTTTTACCAAAAACTACCAAATCAAGAAACACGTCTAGATGAGCAATATCTCATGGTACAATTATCCTTTTTACAGCAAACAAAATCAGGAACTTTTTTTTGACATGCAACTCTTGGAAAATTATCAAACTGACTCTATGTCTTCGAGGCAAAAACCTTTATCATATAAATATCTGACTTGCATGATTCCAATTCTGCGCATTCATTCTGCATGTTAAGAAAGAGAATGGGTTTCTGCCATATTTATTTACTTATTTATCTATTTTGTCATAGCGCAGTCTCCCTTGGTGATTTAAATCAAGTTTTTTTTAGTCACACTGGACAGTCGAGGAGAACTGGCATAAAAAACAACCAAATCTGGCTCTTCTTTCCCATTTTAAAGTCTTCCTTCTTTTGAAAAACACAACGCATAAAAAACAAGAGGGTTGACCAATAGACCAGTAGCCCTCGGAATCATGTCGCCTCTCTCTCTCTCTCTCTGTATTATTCTACTTAGTATCAAAGACCATAGAAAGAAGGTCGAGCGAAAGCGAATATATCCCAGAAGATTCATCGAAATTTAGCTCCTAGGCATTACCTCGTATTTCAATCTTGTTGAAGAACTGCTTGTTACGACGATAAATTTACCCAATCTTCTTAATTTGCTCAAAAAACGGAAAAACCTTCCACTGTACGACATCTCGTGCCGCTGACACACAATTTCCACAAATAAGAATTTTGTAATGACCTTTTGAGAAAATAATCACAAATCTATAAGAAAAATTGACAGCTTGCTGTTTTCCCTTAATTCATTCAACTCCTTAAAGCTGCTACATTAGTATTCCAAATTTTCTCAGTGGAATATTCATTCAGCAGTTTTAAAACACGGAAATGGTGCATTTTTTTTATTCAACGACAACTTCCGCCGAAAAAAATTTACTTGAGTGATACCACCTGCTGTGAAACAGCTTTCGCTTTTCGTTTCAATTAGCGGAAGTGAGGCTCTTCAAAATAACACATCGCATGTGCTTTACACCGAAGGTTTAAGTCGGCAAAAACTGTTTCAAAGAGGTTGGTCTTGCATGTAAACCACACGGAATTTAATGCATTTTTTTCACATTGAACAAAGTGACCTAAGACCATGCGGTTGACGAAGGCCCTTAAATACAAATTGGTTTTTTTGATTTGCTTTTAATGACGTATTAAAGCTTTTACATCACTAATCGAGCTTTTTTTGTTTGAAAATTTAATAACCGTAACTTAATCTTACGTAGACATCGTAATTACATACCGAATCATCACGAACAACAAGAATTTTGCCTAAAATGATTGTGGTTTAATTAATAAGTTTAGATTTCCAAGAACTGTTTACCCTAAATGGTGTTTTAAGTTAAGTTTTATGCCCCATCACATTAATTATATCCAAAGAAGTCTTGTATCTGATGCTGATATTAATACATGGTATACCTAAGTACGATGAAACTACCATTCTGATCAGTCTTAAGCTCTACAATCACTCAAGGAAATCGAGTTGTAAATTTCTTCACAATTTTGCTCTGGGTTAAACAGAATTAAATAATTTACGTGCTAATTTTAGATCTAATGTAGCCACTAAATCGGATTATATTTTTATCACCACTGAAGAGGTTTCGTGTAGGTAACAGGTATTAAGTGTTTGAGGTAAGTACGTGGGCAAATCACACGAACACGCAAAACCTGCCCAGTGCACACGAAGAGAAAGGCTCCGTTCACACAATGTTTGTCACTCAAGTGTGCATAATAATTGCAAATTCATTCATTTGCGGATCACAGTGCATGAAAATAGGTTACTTTGCGGGCTTATGACTTAGCATGTTTCGTGAGGAAAATTAAAACAACCATTTCGGTAACAACGGATGGAAACTTTTTAGTATTGTGCCTTCTAGAAGCATGTACGAACTGCATGTCATTGGTCAAATTCTCCACTTTAACTCTCCACAAGTTTGTTGAAAAGTTTGAGGCTTTGTTAAATTCTTTACAGTGATCGTGAATCCGACAGGTAAATATTCGCTTTGTGCGCCGTGAACTCTTGGGCCAAGGGCAACTCCTGCAAACTAATTGCACTCCCAATGTCTTAGAAATTTAATTTTGTATTGTTCGTCGTACACGGCTGTTTATAGGCCTACCGGTTCTGCACCGGTGATTTTTGGAGTGAATTTATTACGGTAATAAGGCTCTGAGCTTCAACGCAAATTCTGAATTAATTTCAGACACTCGCTGAGTGAAGTGTACGCTAACACTACATATTCTATGAGGATGGCCGCTACTCTCAGTTACTGCGAGCTGATGTTATTTCTTGTGGCGATGACGTGCTCTCGACTTCCAACTTCAAGGTAAATTCTTAGTTTTGTCGTTGCGAAACTTCATGATGGTGTATTATTTACTGCGTAGTTCTAGGAAACTTGCGCTTTTAAGCTACTATAATTATAGTGTACGGAACATAGGAAGAACAAAAAAGTTCTGTTCGACGCAAAACTAACTGGCGTCGCTGTTTTTACCATGTTAAACCGCCATATTTCTTTCTTTTAGCTTAGGCCAAGAGACGAACTCCACGGGAAATGGGAAAGACATTTCACGCTGCAAGAGCGTAACATGTTGTGTAAGTTGTAAAAACATTTGTTAGTACTCTCTCATTCAAACCTAGCGGGACTGCTTAAAATTCAGCTTTGTAAACAAAGAAGTATTATTTTCCAAAAGTCGTGCGCACAAGTCAAGCCGCAGTAGAAGAAGAAACTTCGTAGAGTTGGTTCTCGGTTCTTTGTGAATATGCCATGATACGTTTGCGCTCTCTTTTTAGTTGGCTGTGAGACAATCCACTTTTACTCAATAGCATGCATCTAATACAGAATAACACAAACCCTTGACCTTCTACTTATTTTCGTCCAAAACCGGATCACTGATGTTCAAAGGAAAATTAATATTCTTGCCGCGGTCTTCATTTCGTAGGCAGTTTTTGGTCAGCGCTGTATTCAAAACCTGCTGCAAAGTTGGTTGGCCGTTTTACCGAGCAAACACTGTTGTTCGAAATTGAAATATAGGAAAGTTTTGCTAGTAGTTTCAAACAGCTGAAGGAATTGTATTTGCGGTGTTTTTTCTAATACAATATCGCCTTGGTTAGTGACGAACGAAGAAATGTCGAAATGTTCTTTATTCTGAACAGTCTCACTGAAAGTAAATATACACTCCAGTTTGTGAAATTTCGAGCTGCCTTACTGTCAAGCAAACTTTATCCAGGGAAATACTTCAGTCGCTTTTAGTTGAGTGAGTGTACAATGTTTGCGAGAGCGGTCTTTTTGATAATAACTTGTCAGCTGGGTAGAAACAATAAGAACGTGTCAATTTGTTCAGTCAGTAAATGAGCTTTGTGATTCTTGTTTACATGTGAACAGCTCCAAAACACACCAAGATGCGAGAGCGTTTAAATGTTTGTTCAGGTTGGAAATTTGTTGCAGCGTAAGGGCCGTGAAATTAGGTTCGCAGTGTGTTGAGGAGTCTCCGTTTGACAATATGCCTCTTAGCACCTTATCAACGAAATGGGATTTATCAATGGTACGAAATTATCTGATCAGTAAGAAATAGCTTGTGCGTGAGCGAAGAATCTTCGTTTCCTATGTTAACATCTCGAAGGAGTAAATCTACAATTAAATCTTATCAGTGAAAGCGAACGAACCATAAAGTTTATTGTAAGTGGAGACGCGGTTTCCTTTGCCTTTGATAAGAACCTTACGCAACCCATCTGCTATCTCGCTAAACATTTCCGCCCTCTCTCGTGAATAGAAGTAACGTGGCTTGAACGAAGCCGAAAGGAAACACATTGTTTCCAGCGGATCAGAAAAGTGCCACCGCAGTGGATGTAATACCTCGTACTAAACGTACATTCGGCACCAAATACACCCACACATTGCAAAGCCGTGACAATAGCTCTAGAGTGATTTATTATAAGTCAAAGAACTAGTCCAATTCATATAACTCCTTGTTTTCTTCCAGTGCACACAATTGCGGTTAGACATTGTGTTCTAAGTCTGCTTGCTCGAACTGTAGTTTTTCATTCGTCTTAAAATGGCGTCGAACGTTTCCCAAGGGAAGCTCTGAATAAAATACCAGAGAGTTGAGACTGCAACAAACTAAGGCAATTGTTTCATTTTAGATATCGTAAAAGGTGAAGGTTATATCGACAGCAAAAAAGAGTTGATTTCTTTCTTTTTTGTTTATAAATGAATGCAAATAAACACGAGAACTCAGTGTGGGTTAAATTCAACAGAAATTGGGCGCATATGTGTCATTAGAAACACTTGTTTGAGTTTTGCTGTCGGTTGTGTCGACATGAGCGTCGATTTTTCCTTTAACATGTTCATGTCTGGACGTTTAAGAAGCCAAATGAAAAGAAGTTATCGAAGAAATACGTGACAATCAATAGAAAGCTGTATTCTTAGCGCAAATCTTTTATGACGTAGCCATCCGTAAAGGTTTAAAAAATCTGAGCAAGGAGGATGGGTCGGGGGCTGGTGATGGGAAGATCAGGGGGAGGAGACTGGGAAGGAACGCTGACGAAATTTTGTCCCTGCTGACAATCTGTTTAACTGTTGTAATCAAGAATTATTTTTAGCTCATGCAGTGAGAAAATAATCCAACTTCAGAAAATTTGAAAATTCTGCGTCATTTGAGACCCCACTTGGCAGTGCTTACAACTTAAAACACCAAACAACTTGTTTCCAGAATTCTGGAGCAAGGTTTGTCTAGTTTTAAAACTATTTACCTTCGTAAGACATTCAAAGCATTTTAGAGCATTAAGCCCAAGGTTAACATCAAATAGAGCGAAAAATACGCGTATAGAACTACCAAAAAAATCTCACCGTAAAATTTCAACTGCAATGAAGACTATAGAGCTTTGAAAGTTGGCATGTCGAAGCCAAACTTCTTCGAGTTCGAATTTTTGTGTTGATGATAATAACGAAATGTAAGTTTTCATTCACGGTAAAACTCATTAAGACATTTTAACTCACCTGCCAGATTTTCACGCCCGTTAAAACTTTTAAAGCCAAGATCTTTTCTCAGTGCGATCCCATTTGTTTTTGTTTCCAGTATCCCAGGTAATGATGACGCAACAATTTGCATGCACGCTCGCGTTATAAATTAAAAAGAATTGTCGCGCGCAGGTTGTTGTCTAGATTATTAATTCCACTATTTTATCTTAAAAATAACTGTAATACCTGAACTGTCCTTGTGAAAATGTCCTGTTCTTTGAGGGTACCCCTTTTTTTTTTTTTTTTTTTTTTCCTACGCAAAGAATAAGATAGTTTACCTTTTTTAGCCGTTTTTGATTAAAAACCGGTATAGATATAGAACATGGAGGTCTCAAATGAAACGTGCTTCTTGAGATAACTAAAGGAGCATATGTCAAATAAATGATAACATTTGGAAAAATTTGGGTTGAGTCTTTCGTGCACCAATTCGCTACTTCTGCACTTGAGTGACAATTGATTTTGCCGCTTAAAGATCAAGTTCAACGGATCGAAAAATGGGTGTAGACGGCAACTGCCTGGGGCTCGTTGGTAGAAAGTTCCGAAAACTTAATGGGCCCAAAGAAGTGTTTTCATCTAATTGTTAGGAATGACGGCACAGGTCCTAGTTCAAAATTAAGTCCATTCTTATTTCATATTTCATGATGTCGTAACTGCTTGAATTTCATAACTGTTTCCATCTTGATCATCAATGAAAAAACGATCCCGATTTTGAAAAGGGGTCCCGGATTTGAAGAACCGAGCGGTACTTCTCACTAAAAATTGTGAAGAGTCTCCCCCCCTTATCCCCCAACTCAGACAAAGACCGAGAATCAATTTGTTACCTAGGTAAGAAGCTGATTATGACAATCATTTCTATGTTTTAACTATCCCCATTCTAAACCAAATCCTTTTTTATTCTTTTTTACAGGGAATTCCAGGAACTCCTGGTAGGAACGGTAAGTTCTAATGAAGGAATTTCACTTACTTGAGGGAATTTCTTGATTATAGACTGAAAGTGAATTCCCAAAGGGAGATTTTCCACTCCGAACCAATATTTGAAATTCTTTGAAGGGGTGATCACTCCTTTTAGAACAATTTTCAATTTAGTGTCGAATGTCATCCGGGATCTCATTGATTTTACTTTTACTCTGTGATTCGTGGTCAAGAAAACTCGTGCCACGCTCTCAACTAATTAGATTCAAAACTGACACCAATCACGATTTGGTCACGTGCGTTTTACTGCGCTTTAGACGGTTTGCTTTTGCCGTTGGAATAAGTTTGGTTTTGGCCTTAAGACACTCAATCGAAAAGCGCTCTAATTTGAGTAGTACATCTAAGGACTTAAACCCAATTCAGGAACTTTTGGTGAACGTGATAACCCCATGCTAACATTCAACAAACATTGGACCTTTTTTTTAGGGTCAGGCGTGCCTCAACAGATTAACAAAAACATTTTTCGGATTTGCTTCCTTCAGGTTTATCACCTACTGATCGATTTTTCCTCCTCACACAATATTCCGTGTCCTTTTAACTGATTATCTCGTCTCCATATCAGATATATATTGCTCACGAAATGTTTCAATTTTCTCTTCTACTTGGATTAAGTACCTAGCAATACAAACAGCTCATCTTAATATGGCTAATTTTATTTCAAAGTTGATTAAACCAAGACATCTTTTAATACCCCCCACCTTCTCAGCACCACAGTTTAAAAAAGTTACCCCTTACATGGATTTTAAACTTGTTGACTAGACAGCTGTGAACGTTTATACGATTTTCTGGAAAAGGAAGGCAAACATGATTTTTTACTTGGTTCCGCCATTTTTTCCCGTTTTGTTTTGTTATTTATCTGAGTTTCACATGATTCGTAAAAATGCAAAAAGTCTATAGGCTTACGTACAAAGCTATTTCATGCTTTCATAGGTCTTTGCTATTCGGTGGAAAATTAGCGGGAAGCTACGAAACAATTTACCCGCCAGTAGGATACAACCCTTAGGCAAAATGTTTTTTCTGGTTTAGTGTCTCTGCTCTGTGTGATTATCACACCCTTAGGCCCTGTTTACTTTCTGTAAGTGTCATTGTGTGCAGCATTTTAAAAATAATAATTTCATTTTATAAGGATAGGTTCTGTTTGCACAAGGGCAATCGTTGCTCATGCCATGGCTTGAGGCAAAACTCATCAAAATCTGCGGTTTTTTTTAATAATATATCATCCTGTCATGTTCCTTAGTATTTATGCAGTGGAACTGTTCTAATTACTTTTTGCAATGAGCTTTAAGTGCATCCATCAATTTAAGAATGGTCAAATCACTTAGTGTTCAGTCAAAATAAGGAGCAGATTGATATAGAGATCAAATTTGCGCGAAATAAATGATTTAATCTTTCCTTATCTTCCAATCTTTGCATAATTAACTCTCAAATTTGAAAAACACATATTCTCACGTACTCGAATGGAATAGATCCATTGCTCAGTTAAACTTAGAAGTAAAGACCTTACGCCAAAAACCGCGCAGACCAATATCGGCTATTTAGTTTAGAATAACTAAAGGAAGCAAGTTGATATCGTCAGGTTTGGCCGTGTCTCTTAGCTCCTCCTATTTCGAAACTCAATCAGTAATGCAACGAAGTTTACACCTAAGTTAAAAGTTAAACAAGCCGACATCCGGCGTCTGATACTTTAAACTAACATACATGATGCAGGTGGCGGTTGCTTGATATGGAACTGAAACTCCTCTAACATAAAATCTGCAAAATCTGAGTTTGACGCAATAAAATTTGATGCTGTTTCCTAAAGAAACTTAAGTTGTCTCGCAATAACATGTAAAGCAAACCATACGGCGAAAAAGGCATCGCGAAACAACCTTGAGCAACCTTTCCGTTTTGTTCTGGGTTTATGTCGCTTGCTGAACGATCAGCGTCGTTCCGTACCCATTCCCTTTAGTTGCATCTCTTAAAGTTTCTATAGTTAGTTTCATTATAGGGCACTTAAACATGCTCAAACAAGACTGGGGGGGGGTTTCTTTAACAGGCATGTGATCGTTATCTCAAGTGTATTTAAAAGTCAACTCGCCGTATTTCGGTTTGGCAAAAAATAATCTAGCCATTTTTTACAGGGATGCAGCCAGGTTGGAAACCAAAACTTAAATGGCGATGCACGATTCTTAGCGTATTTGAAGTCAGTTATCGAATGGTTATGTTACTCTTTCGAATCCAAAAACGAAGTAACTAGTAAAATAGGTAATTTTAGGGTTAACAACTGAGTTGAAAACGTAAATTGGCCACCGTAAAGGGTAAAAAAGCTAAAATGTTTGATATACTTTGAGATTCTGGGGCACACTTTTCCTTCGACTTGCGTTGTGATAAATATTGCAATTTCCTTCATTTCAGGAATTCCCGGACACCCTGGGCCCCAAGGACTAAACGGACCTCCCGGTAGGAACGGGCTAAACGGAATCCCAGGGAGCAAAGGCGAAAAGGGAGAATCAGGATTAATGGGCCGGCGGGGGAGAAAAGGAGCACCTGGAGAACCGGGTATCAATGGTACCGACGGCATCCCCGGTTGGAGGGGTAAGGAAGGACCAAGAGGAATGAGAGGCCCGATGGGTCCCCAAGGGCCTACAGGCGAGAAGGGGGATTCTGGAAGCCGTGGTGAACCGGGGCCCCCTGGGTCCGAACGAATCCTCAAGGTATGCACATGTGAAAGAAATGTCCCAACACAAGTCTTTTACGTAAACTCAGGCCACTGGATCTCAGAGAAGGCCATGACAGGGTTTCAGGATGTCAGTTCAGCATACGGGGAATTTCAAGTCAAAGTTGTGGTACCTGTCACCTATGTTCTCCATATTGGTGGTAAGTTTCTGTCTTTGAATTACGACTCATTCAGAACTGAGATGTTGTACAAGTTTTAAAGTTTGCCAGGAACCATTTATGCTTCTGAATAGAGATTAAAAAGTCTAAAAGACGAGTACAAGGGATTTTCGCTACGATGCTCTACCACTGAGCCACTAAGAGCTTGAATGTCGAGCTAATTATCTTTCCGACCTTTTTTCCTCTTCCACTTACAGGAGACTGGGTGAATGACGATTCTGTAACCTTGTTCTACCGTCTCCGTTGCGCTCACCGCCGACGAATGGCGTACCTTCCAAACGAAACTGGCCACAAAATCTACAAGTTCAAAGAGGAGAATCGATTGGAGTCGGAAACTTTTACACATGTCACCACAGCGCTCAGCCATCACGGAAAATGGAGATGTCTGCTGCAGATCAGCAAAGGGATGGATCGGGCATTCTATCGCTGGGACTCACAATACGGTGAAATCAGTTTGACCATGTGGTAGCTATTGTTGAGCCTTCCACACCTTCACTGGTTTGATTCTTGCATCGTTAGAAATTTTTTATAAGCGAGGAACTCACCACACGAGAATTTAGGTTTAGGAGGGCGTCGCCACCTCTTTCCGTTAATCGTTACAAAAATAATCACGTTGTTGACACGAACGATTAAATCCTAAAGTATGTTACAGTTCGGTTGTGTTTCAAGCATCTGAACATCATTAGAAACAGACTGATCCGTTAGGCCACAAAAATTTGTTGTAAAAAGGTATATCATACTTTCAGAGGAGACCGAAGGAAGTTGGACGAGATTATTGACATCACCTCATTGCCGGTTATGTGACTTCTCCTCAGCGAGTATGACTGACAGCTGTATAGTAAAAACCTTGGAACGTGCGCTATGAAGTACAAGAGAATTACTGTTGAAATCAGTTGAGTTGAGTTGAGTTCTCCCAGTCTTCAAAGAGATATTTCATAACCATGACAAAATATTTATGAACGAGTAATTGTCAGATTAAGCATCGCCATTTCAGCGATTCAAAAGTTGAAAACTGCCTGTGAACTAACACAGGTGAGAAAAGTTCGCTTTCACTTCATTCCCAAAATGAACTCCGTAATCAACAGCGGTTGCATTTCATTGTTCCCATAGAATAAAGAATAGTTCGTAATATGAAAGCAGGTATCCCATCCAAAGAGTGATGTGTGTTAACGAGCGTAATTGGGGCGTTTTAGCTTTTAGCTTTTAGAGTGTCCAAAGTAATCCAGGATTTCGTTGGTTTTACCTCACTTTTCTCTGTGATTGGTCCAGAAAACTCGCGCCATTCTCTAAACCAATCAGATGCAAAACTAAATCCATCACGTCTCGGTCGCTTCAGTTTCCCAGCTTAAGGCAGTTTGGTTGGTTTTTACTCCGAGTTCTCATTGGATGTTCAGGGTAATTATCTTCCTTCTGATTGGCCGTTGTGATAACTTTAGTTTTGGTTTACGACACCCAATCGAAAAGCGAAACTAGCAGCGAACAAAGTGTCGTCTACACGTTTAAGATCGTGTTGTCTCGTCCATAGTCACATTAAGTTGCGCATTATATACTGCAAATTGATATGTCAAGTTAACGATTTTTGCGTTAAAAAGTTTTGGAAATTTTGCTACTATGTAGCTCAATAGCAAGTATTTTACAATAATTCCAGTAGTCTGATGAAAGTAATGAAGAATATAATAATTATAAGTCACACCATCTGCCCTTAAAATGTGTAAGTACGGTCGATCACAGTATAGAAGCGTTGGCGTGATAATGCGTGACTGTGACAACGAATGACCGTGATACGGAGGAAATGACAATTGTTTCTGGAGTTTAAAGGCTTCTTCGTTGGTGTATATACAGACGTTACTACGTTTAAGTTGTACTTCAAAGTGTTGACTTTATGAAAGTTTGTAAATCTCGAAAGCATGTACAAATTTGAAACGAGCATAAATAGACAATTAAGTGAATAAAAACAAACGAATCAAATAACCCGACTGTGAGCGCTTTTGAATGGGAAGGCATCAAAGAAATTGCCGCGAAGGGTGGGGGGGGGGTATGGTAGTTCCACACTTTTTTCACACTAAAGCCTAAATAAGCTTAGAAATGTTTCAAGGTAAGTAACTATCAAATACTTCAAGTTGAGTGGTAATATGTGATCCTATCGTTTGAAGTACTTCCGTTCAAGAAAAGTAGCAAGGAAAATCCCAAAAGCCTGATCTGGAGGCAGGCGCTCCTGGACACCCCCCATCACTTCAGTCCCTAAAACTTACCCACCTCCACCATATAAACAGGAGCATCGGTCATACTAGTGGGTCAACAGACTCATTGCATGATTAAAAATTATTTTACTTTCAAGTCTACTTGAAAGAGAGCCTTAACCTTCATTAGATGTGACATTTCCACAAACAAAAATTGATCATAGTTGGACAACACAGGTATGTACGGTAAAAGCAATAAATATGGTGATAAAAATAGAGCATATTATATTTAAAGCTTCAAACTATTCAATCGCGATTTTTTTCGCTGCACACATTCAAGATAATTCAACGAATTTACTTGATCAAGCGGACAGTTATCGCTTCACTTCCGGTTATCGCTACCGGAAGTAAAGAGCGACTTTCTTCATCTTGTTCAACTATATATTACTCTTTATAAAATACTTTTTAACGTGTATAAATAGTCTTCACTTGAAAAGCACATATCTCTGAAAAGTTATGCAAAGTTAACTGAACACGTCGTTGAGTTCAGAAAACCAACTGGAACCTTTCAATTAGCTGAAGGAAAGCCATATAACTGTCAATTCAACTTATGCAAGTTAGAGCTTAAGAAACCATATAATTTTCATCTCCGCGTTAATTTGATCACTAATGACTGATGCTTTTATTGTTAAGCTCCTAATTGTTCAAAACTAGATCAAAGTGAGTTGGAAAAACCAAGAGTAAAACTTTGTTACGTCACAAAAAAGAGGCCAGGTTACCAAGAAAGATCAAATGGCAGCGATCTTGAGCGAATTTTAAGCACATCTGAAAACAGTTTTCAGAAAGCTAAGTTTCTCCTTGAATCACGCGGTAATTTCACATAAAATTTTAAGCAGCGGAGATAAAAACTACATTGCTCTTGCATATTTCTTTACAATTCATTTTAAGTACTACTACCATGGCGAGGTTCCATATCTTGTAGTCATCTAATGACATAACGAGTATTCTACACCTAAAAGTTCCCATTTAAAACAAGAAATGTGGAATTCAATTTGTGTTTTAAAAAAAAAGCGAACAGGCTTTGACGTTAACCTCTACAAGAATCACAAAATTTGGCAAGCTACATTTTTCTGGCTCTGAAAATACAACAACCAGTCAACTAAAAGCGAATTCGTAATCACTGAAATTGAAGATGAACCACTCTCACAGGTTTAATAATTACATCACGATGGGATGGATGGGAGAAAAATGTATAAATAAATTGCTAAGAACAAAACGCGTGGGGTAAAAGTTGCTACAATGCAAAGATTGCCGTACGTATTTTAGAAAATTTGCACTGTCACGCAAACCTTTGACACAGGACAATGACGATTAATTTGGATGGGAGCTCTAGAAAGTAGCTCAAAGTTATGAAGTCAATGTTTGTTATGCTTAAAAGTTAAAGTCAAATAGAAAGTTATGTCGAATAAAAAAAACAAGCAAAAGTCAAAGCAACAAAAGAAAGTTTTTCTTTCGCGCTTTACTAAGCTTTTCTTTTCTTTTCCTACAGTGGATGGAAAATGTTTCCAACAATGAAAGTTTTCTAGCTCGAGTCCAAAAATATTGAAGGTGACTCTTATCTGTACCCCAATTCATTTTTTTTTAATCTCAACATCCCTCTGATTTCTTCAAAGGTCGGCTTAGTCCTACACCTTGAATTTTCTCAGGTTAACCTTCAATGTTGTGCCATCGAGCTGTACAACCTTGCCGAGGAGTTTCACTTGCGAAAGATTCTGTTCTAGTGCTTGGCACTTATAACGGTTTTACCATCTCCTCTATAGAAAGAAAAAATTCAATAATCAAGGAAAACTCTGGCTAACGATTAGGTATATTTATTCAATGAACGTTTCACGCAATTTCGTGAGGCATGCCATAACATCAAGCGTAACGCAAGATTATGACTTTCATTTAAGTCTTTCAGAAGTAACACTCACCGTCGTAAGCTTTTAGCAGTGCCTCCAGGACAAAAATAAATTGTCCCTAAAGAAAAACAAGGGACAGGACTATGAATTAGTAAACAACGAAGATTCAGAACGACCCGCAATCAAAATGCTGTTGTTACAGTCCAAACACTGTTACCTGCAGCACTTGCACAAACCTGACCAATCAGGTAACTAGAAACGAGCGAAAAGTTACATCGAAATTCGACGCTATGTATGCTTGCTTTGGTCCTTGGCACAGATTGGCTCAACTGAATTTATTCGGTAAAATTGTTCGTTTGCTATGATGCGATTGGTTAATTTTGGTTCAGTGGCCCTGTAATGATGAAAACTTTTCAATACTGTCACGCAATCTCAACTTACCGGAGTTTGTATGAGTGAACATCTTTGATCCCTCATCTTTCGAACGATTTCTAATGGATAAATGGGCTCTGCACTTTCAATCATGTTGAATGCTGACTCCATAAAGATAAGAACACCTGTTCGACCAACACCCGCACTTAAAAGGGAGAAGAAAAAAAAGGTACTTCACTCACACAAAACATGAAGTGATGTGACAGTTAGCCTAAATGTCACGCCAACTTGGTTAACGTGAAGATGCTTAGATTCAGCTGTGAGATTACACTCGCTAACACCATCTCTCAAATTTTTGATGGAGAAATAGAATCTCTTAGATTTCAGCAGATGGTGAAATGATGCTCAGATTTGAGTGCATAATTATATTTTTTTCAGTCTTTTGCCGCAGAAATCGTAAGCTTCAAAATCAAACTATATCAAAGCGATTCCTTTTGAGAGAAATACTCAGTTTCTTCAGCTTTATTTTGACATTTTGTGTAAGTTGTTTGCTTACCTGCAATGTAACACAGTCGGAGTGTTTGTTCCTTCCCGGTAATGACGAACAATGTGAATAAACTCCAGAAAATCTGTTGAATCGTCCGGAACATCTACAAACGAACACAAAAACAGTATAAAATTAAAGTTAGATTAATTATAAACCTTTGAAGACGTTTCTTTTGGATACAATATCATTAATGATAAGCTACATAAATTCAAGGTATACAAATAAACACTCAAACTAAGAACTTTGAGGGGAAGCTTCCTAAAAAAAAATTTAAAGAAGCCTTGAAAATTGATTAACAAACAGTGTCACAAATTTACCGAAAATTTTAATTTGTCAGCAAAAGGAAATTTCGTTTCCAAAATAGATAAATGAGTAGACGTTATAGTTGATGGAAAATAAATCTGACTTCCAACTCAAAATTACATCTCATCGGTCCTGATAATAGCGGTAAACCATCCAGTGATTTTTTTTTAACAACTTTTGGCTACAAGTAGCGTAGAATCAGATAGATTTTGGAAAACTCAGGGAAAAGTGTCGAAATGTTTGACCAGGTGGCCTACTGCTAAATATTCCTTTCCAAACAAAACCATTGTAAGCCAGGTTTCAATGCTTTAGCTATTGTTTGAATAAAGAAACAGAACAAAGCGACATAAAACCAGTAACATTTTCCAACGATGTTTAAAATTTCTTTCTTTGAAACAGGGACTGAAGGATTTCCACACGCAACACAAGGAGAGCTTCTAATTGGTTGAGATTTCCCGCGCAATTTCATCACTGTTTCATCGCCACTGGAGCGCATTTTGTAATGTAAGCTGGTTTCACCTTCTTAAAACATTTCATATTTTAAAGCGAAATATAACTTAGGTTTGAAAAAATTCAGGTCAAAACCAGCTTTAAGGTGACTAACAATGGGCACAGTTAAAGTTTTCATAGAAAAGGTCGGGCAGGCGCCTCCGCCGAGCAAAGATTTTCATCAACTCGTCGTGAATGAAGAAGAAGTAATATGGCGAACATGGAGAATTGCGATCCGGAGAGATCAAAGAGGGTTACCGCCAAACCAAAAGAAAGTTCCTTGGGAAGATTTTGACGACGATGCACTTCTACAAGGCGATATAAGCCGTGTATTCGGTGAGGAAACACTTCGGCACGTCCATGCTATCGTCTGCGGAGACTGGCTAATTCGCTTACCGCCTCGCGTAATTGTTAATATTGCTTCGTATCTTGACCTCATCGACATAGTTCATTTAGGAGCTGTTTGCAAGTTTACAAGAAAGATATGTGCAAGCGACCAGCTCTGGGAAAAGATCTATCTAGCTTACTGCGACAGTGTGACAGATGAAGTCAAGACCTTGGCCAAGCAACATGGTTGGCGGAAAGTTTTCTTCACAAACAAGCTAGAGCTTCGCGTAAAATTACGACGAATACAGCGGATCAAATGAACAGTAAACTGACCTAAAACAATGGCGATGTCTCAGTATACTCGAGAAAAGGCCTTTCAAAGGTCTACAGGAGGTCTCGCCAATCGTTTCAAATTTATTTTTGAAATCAAATATTCTACTAACACTACATTTCACTTGAATAAGAGAATTTTAAAATTTTCCGATGTAGAGATTTCCTCAAGCTGGATTGTGATTACTGACACACAAACGGCACTAGGTTGTTTACCTTTCACGAATATTTTGGATGTGTAATCTCTTTAAATGACAGATGTTGGATTAATTTCAGATAAGGCTCAGAACCGTATTTTACTAATTGCAAACCGATATTATATTTTTCGAAACTGACTGTTATCTGTGTTGACCTTTCGAAAACCGTAGAAATTTAAGACTCAAAGAACTTGTGGCATTTCGTACTAATATCTTCTGAAGCTATGAATAACAACCTCTTACAAATAAAAACCAGTTTATCTTTGCTATGAAATCAGAAATGTCTTCGTCAAAGACAGTTAATCCAAATGGGTTTTAATTCTACAAAAGTCTTCAAAAGATTAAGCAAAAGTTTTCGTTAGCGAGGGGTGAGGTGGTCGTATATTAGTGTTACCTACCATGGTCCGGCCAGGCAATATATTGTAGCTGAACAACAACACGGCTTCGAAGACTCTATAAATAGAAAGAACAGGAATCAATTTTCAGAGAAAAAACCGAACAACTTATTTTGAGCATCATGTTAATGATTTTCCCAAAACACTAAGGCAACACAGTGAAAAACTTATTTTAGGCCACAAAATGTCAACCAAACACACTTCGTAAGACGCGTTCGGAGAAGTAGGTTTTTTTTCCGCCGCAATTCGAGTGCGTCCGAAAAAAGCCAAAGGCCCCGCTCGTCATGAGGACGGTACCAATTACCGGTGCAGTATTTTTCGAAGCCAACTTACCTTCGTTTCGGTGACATACATTTCTCTGTAAATATACGACGGTGAGAAGTCGCGGATTTTTGTGCAGACTATTTCTAGATCTCCAAAGGTAAGAGTTTCCTCTCCTTCCGGCCAATATTGGTGACACTTCACCTGGGAAAATACAAAAAGAAGTGAATTCAACATCGCTGTTATAAATTCAAAATGGGAAAAAAATTCAAAAAGGGGAAAATACAAAAATAATTTAATTCAACAGCCCCAAAAGGAAGCCAGTTTGTAGGCCGGAAGGCCTAAGTCACCTCTTAAAGCGAGTACTAAGACGTGATCCCTGCCACAGAAAACCCTACATTCTAACATCTCATAAGCGACTCCAGACACCCATTATGAGGATATTTTTTGAGCTCCAAGGGAGGGGAAGGGAGGTGGTCTCACTGGAGGGTTTACCGCATTAAGGTTCCCGAAGAATCAGCCACCTATCCAGGTAAACTGGTATACATCCAGAATCTATCGCATTCATGAAACTCGCGAGAGAGTAATGATCTACAAAATCTACCGAAGATAAGATTTTTCTCTTCGATTTTATACAGTCTGATGTAGTCGATAATTAGAGAGCCTATAACCCTACCCTTCCTCTCTCTACTGTGGTAGTCAGCATAATAATAAGAGATGCCTCTTGCTCCCACACCATCTGTAATTCATAGAACAGATAACACTGTTAAAAAGCGACAACATAATCATCAAGCTAATTCAGTGACAATGTATTTACACATTACCTGCCAGAAATCCCCGCACGTCTTCTCCAGTGGACCTTGAGCAGCTATGTATCTGTTAAGTAATCCTCTCGCAGGAATTTCCATCTGAAAGGTAATTATAGAAAAGGCTGTTTAGCCAACCAACAGAACTGCAACAACTTTATTTCCTCATTGGCTGTGGTCACGTGTTCACGTGTGATACTCACCGTGACGTAGTTAGCGTTGATATAGTCATTCTTTCCTTTGTAAAGTTTGCATCGCGTATCATCGTCTGTGCATGTAAAGAGTTCAAACACAATTTGAAACTTTTTCATTGCCAAAACACTACACAAAAAGGGGCCCATTAACAAAATAAAAAAAAGAAGAACGGTAGATAAACTCAAGTTCTCACAAGGTAAAATATCTCTGTATCTGTTGCGTGGAAGGTTTTCGGGCTTTCTCGCTTCTTCCATAGACATTCCAGGCTTTTTTCTGTACAATTCCTACAATAAAAGACAGTTAAATATTACACATTAGTTGTGTAGTATTCCACATGCCAAGCACTAAAACCTCGTCTGAGAAGAGTTAGGATACTTCAAGTTGCTCAAAAGCAGGGATAGACTTGGTTCAATGGAGCCGGTAAAAAAAGGCCGGTATACCGCTGCTCACCTGAAAGTACACGAGCAGATCACCGCTTTCGAGATTCTAGGAAACAATCAGTAAAATATATGTATCAGCACACAGGTGTATTACCACTTGACAACCAAAGCATCACATTTTCTATTAATAAAAGGTGACATAACTGTAGAAAAACAGAGGTGCACGGTACAACATGGCCGCAGAAATATGCAGGTAGCTATTGCCTGCAAGCCAAGCCCTCAATATTAGCTCTTCGGCACGAACCCGACGGCTTGCCCACACGCGAGGTAGCTGTGAAGGACATAATCACCGACAGCTTGTAGCGGCACATAATTTGTGACAAGGACGTTACCACAATTAAAAAAAAAGTCGCGACGAACGCAACATATTTTAACTCTCTGAACTTTCCTTTGTTCTGGTTGGCTGGAGAGTGTATCATAAGTCTTCTACCTCCCGGCTTGAAGCATATATTACCTCTCGGAGTTGATCCATAGAAACACGAAGAGCTTCGGTGTCCTTCACCACCCCTTTGTCCTTTACTTGTTTGGCTACAACTTTTTCTTGTTCGTGTCTCTGTTCAGCCGCGGCAAACTGCTCCGGACTCACCGCATGCACGGGCGAGAGGGCAGAATTCGTGAAAACTGGAACGGAATGGAATTAATTTACCTTTAGTAAACGGAAAAAGTTCACGTTACAGTCTTCATTCTTCTTGTCGTTTAAGCTACAGAAACCCAAACAAGCTACAGCAACGATGGGTTACACGACTTGATAGGCTTGACCTGTTGTGACATAATAAATACAGAGGAAAACACAAAATATTCTTACCGAATGGTCTTATCGTCATTATCAGTAGTCGTCGGTTTGATTTGCTGATTGTTCTTATGAGATCCACAATCTAAAACCAAACCAAAATAAAAATGTAAACAGGTATTTTATTATTATCATTATAATTATTATTATTGTTATTTAAGTCTTCAGACATCATCTGCACGCGTTTGGCCTCAGTTTATTCATCAAGATGATAAAAAAATAGTTTGAATTGCTCGATCCTTTTGGGAGTGTAGTTTTCAAGGCTTTCAAAGCATGACAGTTGTGACCCCGCCAAATTGGTCCATAAATTTTGCGTCACTCTCTGAACAAAGCAGATAGAACTACCTGAAACCATCACTATTCATGTTTTCCCGCGCTTTGAGTACGCTGCTGCAGTTACTCTGGTTTTATGAAAGACGGATTGGAGAAAAAAAGCACAGTATAATTGCAAAGATAAAAGCCAGACTCAGTAGACTGATCAGTAATGAAAGGTTTCGTACTTCTTGATGTGGCATTTCCTTGACAATTCTCCCATTTATGTGGACAATCTCATCTCCTTCCTGTAGCTGCGGCATGCACATATCCGCCTAAAAACAAAAAGCCGCGATATAAAAAACTTCATATGACAGCACTGAAACCTGGCAAAATGCTGAACTTGATTAATTTGATCCCAAACACGACTTCATGATGGGGTTCGCTCTGGTGGACTGGTAACTAACAGCATGGGAACGAAGCCAGTTAACATTTAGCACGAGCCTTCCCCAGTTAAAAATACAGTCCAGCGTGATCTTAAGTGTGTGTGTCAAATGAATATGCATTCCGCTGGGAACAGTAATGTAATAAATACAATTAATTACCTGTACAACAGAACGAATGAAAGCCTTCAAACTCACCGGCATTCCTCGTGCGATCTTGGACACAATCACTGGTAAATCGATATCAGCTCCACCCTACGAAAGAGAAAAATCACAATGAAAAAATTTGTCTGCGTAAAACTGTTAACACGAGAAGGTAATAACTTACCTGAACGTTAAATCCGAATCGTCCTTGTTCATCCGGTTCCATTCTGAAAGAAAAAGAACCATCGATAATTACTGACATATATGCCAGGTTAATCTGTCTCTCAAAACCTTCACAAGACTGAAAAAGAAAGATTTGGATGCACAGGAGTCTCTAACAATGCCTTCTTCACCAGTTCATATTACAGACAGGCAGCTAGGTAAAAACTCTTTTATTAACATTTGATTAAAAAGGAGATAAATCAAACAAATAAATCGAGCAAATATATCAGTATTTTTCCGCACGCAGCCAAATAAAACATGTCTTCTTTACCTTACAGTAATAAGACCTTCTTGATTAGCAGAACCATTTCTCTGCGAAAAAATAGCAGAAGTAAATAGATTTAGAATCAAATTAAAAGATACAAAATAAAAATATGGGCTCAGCACGCTAAAATCATGATAGAATACTTATTTTTGGACCAGAGGAAATTTACATATTCACATATGTAGCTGCTATTTCTGGGTTTACGAATGATATACAAAAATTTCCTCCCAAAAGAAAGAGCGTTTGTAAAAAATAATAATCTGTATGCAAGGAGAGAATCTACACATGTACAAATAAATAAAACAGGGCGGAGGATGATAAAAATTTCAAGAGGATATAGTTGGATTGTGAGTGAAGGAAAAGACAATTTAAGCGCTTAAAGCAAGGCAAATGTGCAGTGGCATGAAATACGAACGTCATTTTAAAGACGATAAGAATGCTTAGAAGCATATCATAAACATTTCCGCACAGAAGGATTTTCGTGTAAAGTTTCCAAGGGAAAAACAAATAGGAAGAAACAAAGAAGGCTTTCGTTTCCGTCTCTCTCGTCTGATCCATACGCAAAGACAAAAACAACTTGACTGTACTCTGATAAAGAAACAAAGTAATGGGGAAATGAGAAAATCTACATGGAATTCAATTTTCAAACTTTGAACATCCATAGCTGCCACTACTGGACATGGTTCAGTGAACACAAATATTGCATATTAAGCAGATTTGAAGTAGAAACAGAGAAGAAACACTCTAGAAGTGAAATGAATGCTGTGGAAAGAGGAAAGTGAAGAAACACAACAAATGAGAAGTTCGCGTTTAAAGTAGCATAGTCCTGATCAAGATTCCAGATAGTTACTTTTACTGTTTTCATTTTGTTTCTCATACATACCGGACGAGAACTGCACCCAGCTGCCTCGTCTTCCATATCAGAACCACAAGAGTCGTTAGAGGAAACACTTTTACGCTGAGCGAAGGAGAAAGATACGGAGAAGAGAGAGCAAGGAAACTCAGGTAGTAAACAGAACAGTATGCACGCTGCCCGCATGCTGTAGAAAAGCAAGAAGGCTAAGAAGCAACGCGCATTGACGGACCTCACCATAGTTTTTTTAACTGTTTTCTGAAATGTCACGCAACATCCTCAATCCCCTACCCCGCCCTATTACAGCTCCTGCCTCAAGAAGAGTTGCGTGACCCCCAACTAACGGCTGCGATGGAGACTATGTTAACTATAAACCTTCTTACATGTAATTCTGGCGTTAGAGCAGGTTTTAGTCGATTCATATGTCCCTCGGCGTCCGCCATTCCAAGGCTCTTGCTTCGAACTAAAGAGTTGTTCATTCTAGAAACGAAAAATTAAACAATTTATCATGTTAAGAAGTCATAGGCTTTGCTGGTTATCTCAATGATGCCCGCGATAAAAAGATGAGCCCGCGTATTGGCGGCCGGAGATTCGCGCATGAGTAAGCACACGCAAAGATTGAAAATCCTTGTGACTGAAACGCCCGCTCAATTTTTTCAATAGTTAGAAAATTCGCCCGGAACTGTGTGAATGTAACAGGACCCACTAAATATGGAAAAAACAGATCACTCGCTCACTCACTTGTCAAAATTTGACGGGACAGATGACGAATAATTCAGACCAGCAGACTTGTCGTTGAATACCATGTCATCTTTGTCAAACACGTGATCAAGGTCTATTCTCCGCCGAGAACCTGGACAGAATTACGAAAATCAAGACTTAAAAACATGTATAGAAACTCGAAAACTTAAGTTGAGTTAACCAGATTCCTAGTGCAACTAACCGTCATCATTCCTTTTGGAATACCTTCTGCTGAGAGTCCTAGAAAAAAACAGTGTAATAATTTAAACATAAATTCACTCACAAAGAATATTAAAACTAGAAAATATTTCCCTCAATGAATAAAACGCAAAAACGACCTACATTACAAAAACAATTTAAATACCTCACAATCTTAGGTTCAGTTCTTGGCTGTCTTCTACCTTCTTCTATCGCCTGATATTCTGTTTTCCCCCTGCAGCGAAGTGAACCAAGGAAATTACAATATAATAATTTTCCGCAAATGCACCATGGTACAAAATATCTTTGCACGGTGTTGCAGCGCGCAGACATTACCTGTATCTGTACTTCGAGCCGATCCTCACAAGCGAGCCTTTGTTGTTCGTTGGTTTTGGAAAATGAGTTCTATAAAGGAAAAGAAAAAAAAAATAATGTTAAATTAAATCAAGCACTCAAGTGAAAATTGCTGAATGGTTTCACAATGCAGTCTTGCTAAAACTAGCGCCCAATATGCTCTTGTTCGCGGGGTTGTCATGAGCATTACATAAGTGTACTACACACGCGTGTAATAAACAAGAGAAAAAGCCCCTTTAATCATCGCGCGCGCGTGAATTCTCGCTCGCGCGTGCTGATCTCAATCACGCACATCTAGCACGCAGGCAGAGTAAAAACTGACCTATAAAAAGTGTGATATTCAACACAGGTTTTCCAAAGTGTTTTGCATGCTCTGTAGGTTGGCATGTGAAAACCAATGACATTATCAGTCCATTCATTCTGAAAACAAAAATGAAAACAAAACTAAGCATGTTAAAAATAACAATCCCGTCCAAAATTGTGATGTATCTTAAAAGTGTAGATCAGGAGAGAAATCCCAAACAGGGATGCTTGTAATCCAACATTTGTAAAAAATAAAACTCTTACCCAATCTGGCCGTATCTGAACAAAGAATCTTTTCCTTTTAAAACAAACTTTTACAATCTTTGACCTGCAAGTAAAACAAATCACAAAGTTTTTCAGCTTCTGAACATTTAAAAAGAGAACTAAAAGGGCAATTTTAACAAAATGTTCAAATGTCAAATTGTGTTAGTATAAACCCTGTAGGACATTTTTCAGGAAATTTTTAAACCAAGAGGAAGATCTTTTGGAAACAATTCAGTCTGAATACTTTTTATCTTGTAATCTTTACACCAGAGAAAATTTTGGGGCTGTACATATATAGACACAAGAGGGCTAGAAGCTGTCAATTTCTGACCAGACTGCGATAGAATTACTGATGTGATTCTGGGTTACATGTAAAATGATCAATCCTACACTAGCTACTAGGAATCTTACATGTACAATACATCCAGAGGCTTCATAATTTTTTCCATAAGTGGCTTCCACAGGTGTGATGGGCAACTGTGCTCAAAAGGAAGGAGTAAGGCGACACCCAAAAAAGTGAACCTGTTCCCAGCCTAAATAGACGGTGGTAAGAGGTCTTACAGGCAGCAGCAGACCCCTTGTAACTGGCTATTATCAAAACAATGGTATATCAGCCTTGATGTTCTACAATCTCATCTCTACATACCATGGGAAGAAATTAATTTTACATCTGTTGTGGTAGACAGTCAAACCAAGAGGAGAAATTCCAATGTGAAGATCAAGGCCATCATGATCCTACAAAGAAAGAAGAAAGAACCTTAACATCAACACAGTTATTCTTGTCAGAATTAGTATGGACCATACATTACATTTCACTCAAAAACTCTAACAATATTAGTGTTGATAATAAGATTGAGTGGAGTCCAATTCAATCTGTAATCATACAAATGATTAACAAAATCTAATGAATGCAAGGTGGGAGTTCAATTTTGCTAATCATTCATGTGATTACAGACAGAACTGAACAACACAAAGTCCTGTCACCAATTAATCCAAACTATTACAAAACTAGTGAAACAAACTGGCCATTCAGTGGTTGTATGTTTTCATTACTAAAACACACACAACAACAATAGTAAACAAATGGGAACTTCTGACCACAGCACATGCACATAGGAGCAAAGAATTTAGAAGCAGATTGTCTCCCATACCTTAGCAAAATGAAGGTCTACTCCATAGAGATCCAAATTTTTGGCCACCTCAAGAAAATTGAATTCTGCATCTGCTGGACTTTGGCCACTGAAAAAGATTCATTACTTTAAGATTCAAGTTGAGTACATGGAATCTCAAGTATACTGACAGAAAAAAATAAGCCATCATCAATCCTCAAATTTATTACCCATGATGTTTGTGAAATTCTGCTGCCCTCTCTTCAAAATCCTCTGACTGGAAAGAGAAAAAATAAGCCATGTTTAACACATGCCATCAAGAAATATTTGCATTTTTCAATTACAATATCTTAAATTTACAATATTCTGTATATGAGTACACTGTATGTCTAAGTTAACATTGTACACTTTCATTCCCATGCATAACTGTAAACACAAATGTTATGTTTTTTTTTTTTTTTCAGAAATGTCACCAGCATATCACAAATACCAAAATCCAAGTTATTACTGCAGCCAAACAGGAAAAAGAACAACATCACATGTCCCAATGTTTACTACCAAAACAGCTTGATTACAAAGTCAGTACAGCATTAGGAAGGGAGAACACTTCACAGACCTGATCGGGTACAAAACGGAATTCAGACACGTATGCTTCATGCATTGCCCTGGGGTCATAATCACCAAGTTCACCTGAAATATTGACCAGTCAATAAGTAAGAATACTGCGTAAGCATAAGTTAGTTTGGAATTGAACATGCACATTGTGAATGTTTTAGGAGAATATCTACCTTGAATGTATCAACTTCAGAAGATGTTGCTGTTACTGTATTTTCAGCATAAGACCGCAATTTATTAATTAGTGGCAACGAAGAACAAAAAGAAATTTCTTGGAGCAGAATTCATAACCTGTTCAGAAAAGCTAGTTTACACATCCTGAAGAAAGCATCATTCATTTTCACATATTTTTATTGTCATAACCAGTTGATGACAAAATTCAAGTTAAAAGGAAAAACTTAGTTCACCTTGAAGTACATAGGAAGCTAATTCTGCTGCAGTGTCGTACAAACATGGCAATCTGCAAAAAGGAAATACTTCATCTATTAACCCTTTAGCCTCTCAGTGTGATCAGTAATAAATTTCTCCTTACAATATCACCCCTAAATCCAACATTTAGGTCACAAGAATAAAGAAAATGATCACAAACTTAAGTGGCTCTTGATTGGTAGACAAATTCTCCCTTGTTAATACCATAAGGAATGGAGAAAGGATAGTATAGAGAAAATGCATGCTAAATTGTTAGGGTGTAAAGGGTTAAAGGTCTTGTACCCACAAACAAGCAAGTTATGTGTCAGAGTAAATCAGAAATCCTTCATGAGAAAAGAGTAGTACATTTATCTAAGAGTTAGATGATCATCAATTACCTTCCAGTCAAAAGGTCTCGTTTTATTTGAAGATAGAATTGATATCTGCAAATGTACAATTTAATTAACGATTAACCACTCAAAGTATTTCAATTGTGACAGTAATAGGAAGAACAAGGTTGTAATTGTTGATATTGCATCAAGTTTATAGCAAATAATTTATAAAATTTCATACCTTGTTACATCCTCAGAAAGTTTGGAAGGATCTGAAGCAAAAAATCTCACTCTAAAATAAAATATGTAGGGGGGACCACCTGTGAAGTAAAAATTAAAAGAGCAAAATGATCACCAATTTAAGGAGCTCCTGATTATCAAATAAATTCTCCATGTCATTAGAAGAGGAATTGTGATGATAAGAGTATAGAGAATGTGAATGTTAATGTTAGGATGTAAAGGGTTTATATTCAGGTCCTAGAACAGCACCATTCTCATGGTAAATACTGGCAACCTAGCTGGGGGATGTGGGAATGAAAATGCCACCCTTACATAAACATGCCTTCATCCACTTGATACACTTCAGTTAGAAGGTGATTGTTAGAATCCTGGCACATGAACAAATTATTCAATTATTTTAACTGCACTTTTTATCCACCTCTTATAAAAGTTCCTATGTGACAAGACCTCAAAATGAAACAACTCCCCTAATATAGTAATGAAGACCCAAATATTTTTAATGTACATTGTTACAATATTGTTACTTACGTTTCAGTTGTTTTCTGATTTGTTTGTCAGAATTAAGCCATTGCTATTAAATGAAACAGGAGATGTGATGGTCAATGGAAAAGTCACAAATAAAACTGATATTATAAGAATTGGATGGCAGACATTAAGGATAATTACTTACGGGATCTTGGGAGTGAAATTGTTAATGAAGGGTTACATTTGATACAGGTTTCACTGTTTGCAAAAGAAACTATGAAGTAAATTTTGCAGAAAAAATATTGGAGGGTACCTACCAAGTTGTCGGGAGAATCAGCAACATATTGAAGACCAAAGAAATGTTTTTCCAACAAGTCAAGATGCTTGTGAACAGCTTCTAGCAAAGTTTCACCCCTGGAATGTTTCTAAATAAAGCAAAGACAGTAAATATTTGCAAGTTTTAAAGCTACATGTATCACAAAAATGCAAGCATTTCTGGAATGTCAAAAGAAAACTCATCTTGATGAAACATCAATCTGAAGTCTGTGGTTAACAGATTAACAAATTACCTAGAAGTTAATAACATCTGTAAAAACCACATTACTAAATTATCACATATATTTTTTTAGATGTGCAAATCACAAACATTTATAGCTTCAAATCTGCGATACTATGATGCTAAAAATATCAAAAAGATTTCATCAGAATGTTGGCTAATCAAAGATTTATCTATATTTCATAAATGGTAATACTAAAAATAGAATTTGTTAATAGTGTTGAAGTCGAAGGAGATCAGAAGTTTAAAATTAAAGTAAAGGAAAAAAAGAATGAGTATCTTTGAATAGTTAAGAATATCCAAACTACTGCTAAGTCACAAGTTTCACAGGTAATCAGCTTTAAGACATTTGCTACATAAATATTAATGAATGCAAGACCCCCCTACGACCTCTACAGAAACTTGTAGTTTTAATTTAAAAACTTGCTGTAAGAAATTGCCACTCAGAAATTCTACTCACATGTATGAGGATATCAACAGAAAATTTACATTACTGATTTATGCTGTATATTTAACTCACTAGAACAAAGACAAGTTCCAGAAAATATCTTATTTTTAAATGACCAAATTAATCTTCCTGATGTTCTTGAGACAACTTCAAATTTTATGAAAAATATCATATTGTTTTAAAAATCTAGGTGATGATACTGTCCTAGCACACAGACAATACCTTCTGAAAGTAAAAGAAAGAAAAATGATAATGATGTTTATAAAAAGTTCAAAATTACATCATCATGCATAACTGAAAATAAGTTAATAACTTTCTTTCATTTACATAAAAATAAAACAATACCTAGGAAGCAGTAACAGCAAAATGATGACTCAGACCTATTCAAATTCCATTCACGTAATGTAGAATCCATCAAATAGAATTGTAAATCCTTTTGAAGATTTTAAATATTTATAATTGGTAGGATTTTTTTCTCATCAACATATATCACATATAAAACAGTGTCAATGGAAAACTGCTTTCATTGAATTAAGGTATATTTTTCATTATTTTATGTGTAATGCAATAGATATATACTAAAAAAGAGCTTAAAATTTGTATAACACGATCAAACTATAAAATGTGCTTGTAACATGATACTAGTAAGACGATTTATTGCTCTCGACAGTTTTCAGCTGAATTGTGTTCAAAAATAGACCAGGAAAATATTGAAGAAATGCAAATAAAGTTCGAAAGAAGAAAACAGAGATTCAATTCAAAACTCTAAAATGGGAGTTCTGCTTCTTCACACTGTAAATTTTTTACTAAAGGAAAACACCAAGGTGTGAAAATATGCGTAATTTGTAACTGTCGCATACATTCTCCGGCTTCTTTCATTTTTCGAGATTTTTGAAAAGATAATGCAAAACTAAAATACACCGCCGGAGTTTTGAAGCTCATCAAAACGTAATTTAAAGTTAGATGTTTTCCAATGGCTTCATATATTTTCGCTAATTTTGGTGTTTATTTTTTAAACACATTTAACTCGATCAGAATCGCCTTAATTTCATACGATGTCTGATCATTGAAGATTGCCTTCGTGGTTTTTCCCCAGAATGTCATCACAAAAATCACAAACTATTCAAAGTGCACATGGAGCGATTACTAAACCAAAACCAATTTGCGAAGCTAGAAAATGGTACAATGGTCGCGAGTTAATTAAAGACAATCCAAAAATACCAGCAAGCCGATTTTTCGAGAGCGATAAAAATACTATTTAAAATGCACACTGGGTTCAAAATTGTTCTTCCCAAATGGAGATTGATTAACTATAATTAAGAATCATGACTGAAATTAAGCATATAATTTTCAAAACAAAGGCTCAACCTAGTGTGCAACTCAGCTCGAAAGAGTCGTAAATTTACCTTGAACACGCACGGATTACGATTAAACAACGGACATATTCCTTCTCTCCACGGGATAACTAAGTTGTCGAGTGCTATTTCAAAAGAACTATGCGAAGCTCGACAAATTCAAAAACGCCTTGCTCTATACTCACACGAAACTCAATCAAATTTACAAATACAAAATGACAAAATATGTCTACTCACATCAATATCAATGACAAACTCCGAATCATCTAAAAGCTCCACGACGCATCGAATTTTGTTAGGAGTTGTGTTTCCGCTCCGCGCCAATTCAGATCCACGAACGCTGTAAATCCCGCTCTGGGAACCCAGCGATGCAGGGCGAAATCTTCTTGACATTGAGCCTTACACCGAGCCAAAATCTTTCATATAAGTCACCGTGATCTACCCTATGGAAGAAAGGCAGTCGATCGCCGAAGTTATAAACAAACTAGTTGATATTTTCGTTTGTATTTACGATGATAGAAATTTGTGAGCGATTTGTAGCCACATTCGACGTCACGTGGTTACTGTTAAAAACTTCTGATTGCGGGCTCGCGTTACATTGCAAGATTTCAAAATGGCGGCTGCCACTCGCGATTCTTCCCGATTTGCCGGTGTTAAAACCTTTAGCGAGAAGTTCTCTCAGCCAGAAGTAGATGCAGAAGGAAGAGTTAGAAAGGTTGGTTCTCATCCAATTAACTTTTCGGGTTAATCCTGTTGAAAATACTCACCGAATTTTGGTAAGGAAAGTAGGTGTTGTTTCGTGGAATTTCCGGTTGCAATATGATGTAAACACTGTAGTCAGTGAAACGCCCACTCGTTTGATAATAACATGTAAATTTTTCTAATGACAGCGAACGGATGCAGCGACTGTTTTCTCCCATTTGCGGCGGAAAATGTTGAATAAATTGTATGTGAATGGAGGCGGTATGATTGGGCATGTTACAATCATATCAGTGATCCCATTACCACATGGAGATTTTTTTCCAAAGCCTGTACCACTTTTGTGATTGTGGAACCCTCTACGCTGAATGAAGTAAAATTGTACCTAGAGCAAACTCGCTCATCGATAGTAAGGAGTAGGAGGGGGGAGGGGGAGGGGGGTGTGTTTCCTTGTCCTAACTTCTCTTGTCACATTACACCCACCCCCATATCATCACAGAGCATCAACAAGTAGTATAATTTTTTAGAAGCCCAAGCTACAATAAATAACCTCCTTTCCAACTTAAACGTCCAAACCACCCCCATATCATCATGGAGTATCAACAAGTAGCATAATTTTTTTAGAAGCCTAAGCTACAATAAATAACCTCCCAACTTAAACATCCAAACCACCCCCATATCATCATTGAGCATCAACAAGTAGCATAATTTTTTTAGAAGCCCAAGCTACAATAAATAACCTCCCTTCCAACTTAAACATGATGAAAAATATACCACTGGGAAAGCAGAGGAACAAAATCCATTATAGCTAATAAAATGTTAGAAAATTTGACCAATCAGAGCCATTCAAAATGTAAATTTGGCATTTTCTGTAATTTTTACCACAGATCGAGACCAGAGAAGATGAAGAACAAAATGTTAAAATGGCAGAAACTGTGGAACTCCTCCTGGCTGCAGGATACTTCAGAGCAAGAATCAAAGGGCTATCACCATTTGACAAGGTTGGCAATAAGAGGCAGGGCTACATCCTAGTGCCTCTGATCATCTATCGGTATTTCCTATGTGGCTTTTAGTCTTCATCGCATCTCAAATGCAATGTTATTATATCCAAGGTTGTTGGCGGCATGACATGGTGCATATCAGTCTGTGACTTTGACATAGATGTGGATCTTCTTTTTCAAGAAAATTCCACCATTGGACAAAAGATGTAAGTTTAATAGCCATTAATTTTATTTTCCACAACTAATCTTCTTTTGTGGTAGAGATTTTCTCATGCCTCAAACAGGAGCAGTAGGTCATCCCTTGATGATAGTTTTCTTTTTTCTCATCTCTTTTATGCTTGAAAATGTGCTGACAACCAGCATATGGAAAGTGGGATAAATAATACTGTTTTCATCATCAGTGACTTTCCCACTCTTCACCATGACCTAAAGATTGTCCCCAGAAATGGTTGCTAGTTATGAATCAAGGTTATTTTCCATCATGTTACAACAGCTGCATGCTATTGTTGACCTATGCAGAGCCTTGACTGAGAAGATTGTTGCTGTGCTTCCACGCATGAAATGTCCTCATCGCCTTGAGCCCCATCAAATCCAAGGCTTGGATTTCATCCACATTTTCCCAGTGATACAGGTAACAGATAAAAAAATATCCAGACCCATGCAAGGGGGGAGGAGGGGGGGGGACAGTAAACTATATATGGGAGAGGTGAACAATTCTTAAATTTCTAGAGGGGTGCCCATAGAGGTGGATTTAAACTATATAACTGAGTTGAGGTATGGATATTTTCTAGCAATCACTGCTACATGTATGCAGACTATTAGGTTTGTTTTCTTATAGCAAGAAGCCAACTATTATGTTTATCAGTGAAAAGGTTTAAGCAGTAGGTGTTGTGTTTCTCAAATTTTGTCATTTAGCTTTACATAGTAGGTAACAGGACTTTGTGTCGTCCAATTTTGTCTGGAATTGTGCTTTGGAAACTTACTGCAATTTCTACTTAAATGCCCATAAAAAAGAAGTTGATGTGTTGTTTTTCCCCATCAGTGGCTGGTGAAGAAGGCAATTGAAAGAAAAGAAGAAATGGGTGACTACATCAGAGAGTTTTCTGTGTCACAGTTCAACAAATTTCACTCAACTCCACAGGTATAGTCTACAGGGACACCAACTCCTTGATTGGATATTTAAAACAAGCAGTACATGAGTGTTGATACTTATAATTGCTTCCTTCCATCTTTTCGCTGTTTTTCTCTTTAGGACCTTGAATTTAATACAAAGAAGCCAAAGTGTATAAATGGAATGAGGAGCCTCAAGGTTGGTTTCTTGCATTGTTCATCTAGGGCTTCCAGATGATAATTCTTTTCTCCATTTCTCAACTAGAGATAACACCTTTTATATCTTATTTTATGTCCTATTTAGGATACATACAAACCACGCAGAAGATATCGCAAACCAGAATCCATGGCACAAACTGATGAAGAAACCCAGGTCAGGACGACACTTTTGGAGTATGGCTGGTGAGTACAAACAATTTACTTGTTGCAAAAATATTCTATATAATTGCCGTGTCCTATGATAAAATAAACTTGATGGTAAATTTCCTTTTTTTTTACTGTTTGATTACAGGCAATATGGATTCAGCAAGGAACAGAGAGATAAGGCAAGTGATTACATCAAAATGTACATTTATGTTAACCTTTAGCTCCCAGAAGTGATTACCTTGTAACTTCTCCCAATGATATCCACTTATTATCCAGCATAAAGGTTATGAGAATACTCAAACTTATCATGTAGAACTTGTTATCTTGATCTAATTCCAAATTCTTACAACTAATTTACAACAAAATTTGTAGCAGCTGGAGGGGAGAATCAACAATCAGATCTTGACAGTTAACAATGCTAAGCATGCTTGTTGTTAGAATTTGGTAGAGTATTATTCTTCACAAGAAAGAATTTTCAAACAAAAATCACGTGGTGATTTCCTCTAAAAGAATTTTATATTTTTTTATTAATATTCCCTAGGAGAAAGAACAGGCAGAGAAGAAAAAAGCTGCTGGAGCTTCAATGCCAGGAAAAATGAAGCCAGTGTCCTCTGGTGAAGAGGATGAATATGTTGTTGAGCAGGTCAGTGAGACTACAACATAGGAAATGTGGAGATCCATGACACAGTGAAAAATCTGTAAAGTAAAACTTTTATGCAATTTTTGTGCTATTCAGTTATATTGCCATCTCACTAAGTGTTGCATTTCTCTCTAATCACCTCTTATGTTTCTACTTTTCTGAATTGTTTAGCGGTATTATGGAAAAATAAAATTTGAAACCACTCTTTATTACAGAAACGTCTGAAATCATTGCTGAAGGGAATGTCTGTCATGCAGGGGAAGGAGGTATGGTTTGACCCCTTATTGTAAACACTCTGCAAATATACTTCCTCTCCTCACTACCCTCTCTCTAATAAGTCCTCCTGTTCTTACAGTTTTTCCAACAGCCCTCAAAATCTGTAAAATTGATCGGTAAAAACCCCTTTAAAAGCCTAATAAGCTCTCTTCTCTCCGAAATCTTTCTCTTTAATAAGCCATCCCCTTTCTCTCTTGAGCACCTATCTCTGTTAAGAAGTTTTGTCTAGAATATTTTTAAGAAGGCAGCCATTAAAAATATACCAGCCAGCAAAGGTAAAACTTATTTCTAGACAGGTATTTTACTGCCTTGTATTACTGATTTAGGCGTCACTTCAGAAACAAGAAGGGAGTGGAAACACTGTCCAAATCTCTTATATTGAATAACTCTCCTCTTTAACAGGTACCGATACCCCTCTCAATGTATCATCATCTAGAATTTTAAGTTTCTACTAACCCCCCCCCCTCCTACCCTCCTCTGTCTACTGAGTTCTCCCTCCCCCTTGATCCCTCTGGAAGCTATGGAAATTGAAAGCCACTTGAACAACTTATGAGGGTTTTTAAAGTTGGTAAACAATGAAGATTTTTACATACAAATTGAAAGCCACTTGGTAGACTTTTGAGAGCTTTACAGTAACTAAACAATAATAATCTTTGTATACATGCACATCATTGCTTTCTATCACCTCTCAATTTTTTCAGGGTTCACTTTCATCAAGTGCAGTTGGCTCCATTGTTGGTTTGCAGTCAGAAGAGATCTCTCAGATTGCCTCAGAGTATGCTGAAAGGGTATGTGCATTCAACTATTCTAAAATTTTCATTTGAGAGCCAAAAGTAATCAGGATTGCTTTGGTTCTGTTTGCTGCCCCTCCTAACTGGGTCAGAAAGATCATGCCACCCTTACAGTCAGTTACACTATAGAGTAAAAGTGAAAACAAACACGGCTTGTTTGTTGGTGAATTCCTTAGCTTAAGGCCATTTATTTCACCATGAGTTCTTTAGCTTCTTGTGATATCTTTTATTTATTTGTTCTTTTTTTTTACGGTTCATCTCTGTGTTTCCTTTGGTGTTGAGTTTACAACAAGTGATCAAAAAGCACTTCAAAACATGCTCCCATTTATCAAGCCAGGTTTGTTTTAGAAACACAAAGAGTAAAGTCCTCTTAAATTCCAGAAACTGAAACAAAAGTACAAATTCTTATACATTTGTATTTTCAGGTGAGACGTTCAGGTAAAAGATGTGTCTCATTTTATTAAAGATAAGCTTCTAATTTGTGTGTAAAACTTCAATATTCAGCAAGCAGAGCTACAAGAGGACATGGAAGCCAGAGGTGAGCGAATGGGAGGAGTACAGGCTCACAAAAGAATGGTAGCATCACTTGAGAAACAGATTGCTGTACAGGAAAAGAAACTTGAACAGGCAAGTGTGTTTTGTTAGATTATGTGTCTGTTTGTTAAAGTATTTCTAAATTCCTGTTATTTTTATTCCAGGTACAAGAGAAACATAACAAACTGCAAGAAAATTTGTCTGAAGCAGAGGAACAGCTTTCACAGGTAAGTTAAATGCATAAAATTGTTAAAATTTATCTGAGCTCAATGGAGTTTCTGCCAAGGTGTACGTCAATCACTCGATAACCAACCGCTGGTGAGGAAATGAGCCTGCGCTACTGTCCTCAAGAGCGGCGAGCATTGACCCCTTTAATACCAGCAGTGATCACCGAGGAATTTTCCTTTCAATGACAATACTTCTAAGACAGAAAGGTGACGAGAAGAAAGAATTATTAAAACTAAGGTAAAGTGTTTGATTGAACATTAAATTTTAAGAGTTATGATAGTAAGAAATGTATGAGAGAGAGTGCACAGAAGTGATTTTTAGATCTTAGAGGTGAAAGGGTTAAGTAATGACATTTCCTGCTGTTTTGTAGGATGTAGCTCGTGGAGAGAGAATTAGCGAGGAAATGGAGAAGTTCAATCAGATGGAAAGTGGAGAAAATGCAAGGTATTCTATATTTTCAAGTAGTGGTACTGTCCACACGATGAGTTATCTAGTAAAAAGCATTTTCGATTACCCTAACACTTGTTCATGCGTTGTTGTTTTTTTTTTTTTCAGCATTCTTCAGAAGCTTCGTTCCATTGTTGCCATGAATGAGAATCTGAAGAAACAAGAGCAGCAATTCAGGGCGCACTGTAAGGTAAAGCGGGTTAAATGCACAGACACTTTCTTTAAACTAATTTTTTATAACCATCATTTCCTATTACTATATCTCGGATTCCAATTTCATGTCTCTGATTGGCTTTCAGTGGTCTGTCTTACAGCTTAATTTCGTGCAGAACCAACGAGCAGTCACAGACCTCATTACGGTTACGTTATTAACATAAAACTTTTTTAAGAAGAATTTATTTTGTCTCTTGAAGGTGTTTACGATAAAATCGCTGAAATCTGTCGCTAGACATTCAGTTGGAAGAGCACTGTGTGATTGATTGTTTTTAAAGCAACTCTAGCTATCGCTGCAGTCAATCAGATTGTAAGGTGTAAATCACAAATGGCTTCTGACACCCGAAAGGAAAATGTTAATTTTTACATCTTTTCACAAAGTTGCCATGTCTGAGAACTACCAGTTTTTTTTTAAATTGTGTTTAATGTGTCACTATCATTTCGTTTGTTTCAGGAGGAAATGGTTCGCTTGCAGAACAATTTGGAAAAACTTAAATCTCAAGGATCTGAAGATGATATCGAAGAGAAGGTACTGTTGGTAAAGCAAGTAAAGCAAGGAACGAATTGTGTAAGGACCTCATCTATGTCTTCTCTCTTTTTCAGGAAAGATTGGAGCTGATCAGCAAACAATACGAGGCTGATAAAGCAAAGTTGGAAAAAATAAGGCTTTTGCTGGTAATGGTTTTAAACATCTTGATGGTGTATGAGTGTTTCCTTGACCTAGTCCTCCATTTACTTGAAAAATGCACAGGAGAAGCGTGGAATCACGCGTGATCTGCGCGTGGAACACGCTTGGGGTCGTGCGCGGGATAACGCGCGGAATATTGACACCTAAATCTTCGGGAAAAATTCTACATATGGAGAGCTTCTTCGTGGGCCATAACGTTTCTTCCCCTTGAGTTTTTTTTCCTGTTGTTTATTCGACGCTGTTTTTGTTCTTCAGGCTCGAAAGAACCGTGAAATATCTTCGCTTCAGAGGAAGATTGACGAGGTGCCTTCTCGTGCAGAGCTGACTCAGTATCAGAGAAGATTTGTGGAACTCTACAATCACGGTACATAGTGCATTATCTGTCAATTAACGTGGCGCGGCCGAGAGCAACTGTTACATCATGAGTGCTCTCCAAAATGGCCAGTGGCTTTGTATCTCAATGAACGCTGAAAACACAAACCATATTCTATAATGATTCAACGCGGAGGTTTAAATGTTTTATGAAGAGAAATTCCCTCTGCCGTGCTGCTATGGGTGCGCGCTCCAACACAGCGTCAAACGTCTGCGCCTGTGCGAACGTTGTCATGACTAGGTGGCGTGTTCGTGGTGTGCTTTCAGGCTGTGAGAACCAAGTTGCCACACACGAGCTACAAACAGCCACACAATCCAGTAAATACCATTGTATGACTTGTTTGACAAAGCTCAAAACAGAATGGTAAATCAACAAGCTACCCGTTCTTGAAAAACCTTTGTGTTCAAAAACTCGCAAGTTTTCCTTTTCCCGACTTTTTTTTCCTTTTACGATTTCTCCGAACGTTTCAATTTTCTTTCGTCCTTTTTGGGGAGACAGCGGTAGTTTCTTATGTTTTCCTTTCAAATTTTTCGCGGGAAGTTGGCATGCGGCTGGCCGAAACTGTTCCCCTCGCTCATGCCCAACGTTTGACCGTTGTGTATGAACTTACTGGCTGTGTTCTTTGTGTTACCTGCAATCTAATATACTGTGATACAGGTAATATGATAACGATGTTCCTTACTTATTCCTAGTGGCTGGAACTCATAAGGAAACGAAGCAGTTTTTCACTCTTTACAACACTTTGGATGACACGAAGCTGTACTTGGGGAAGGAGGTTAGAAGTGTTAACTTACTTTGTTTTGCTCCCCATCCACCCCTCCCCTGTGCCTCGTGTGCCACTTCATTCTTATTACATTTTGACGTCAATCGTTATCTTTTACGCAGTATATATATGCAGTATTATCATTATCTGAGGTTTTCGTATACTTCATTCACAGTGATGGAGAGTTTAAAGTTTTTTTTAATCTCTTTTTTTCTACAGGTTAACTTGCTTAACTCCATCCATGACACCTTTGAACAGTAAGATCTCTGTCATTTCAATAAGTTTTTATCAATTAGAATTGTATATCCATTTTCTAACCAGAATGTTACCTAACTTGTTTGCGCTCCTACGAAGGGCTAACGCTCGAAACGTCAGCCTTTAAACTCTTTACGGTGGTCAATTTACGTTTTCAACTCAGTTGTTAACACTTGTACTCTCCCACCGACGCAGCACCACAGTTTCTCAAGAAACTTACCAACTTTATTCATTTGTGCTTCTAACAATTGGTTTGTTTTTCTAACGCACCAACGGAACTAAAATTAGTTAGTCACATTCATACACTCTTCAAACAGCCTAAGAAATTTTATTTTGATATGCTATTTCCCTTTTTTTTTTCAGAGGTATGTCATCTCCTATGAACAAGGAACAGTTCCTGAAGCAGTTTGACAAAATCGTGACGGGAATTGTGGACAACAAACAAAGGGTACGAGATGCTTAAGAGTTAAGCGAATTACATTCCCAAGGAACGCAAAGCGCTTTAAACCAAATACACGAGATAGTCTATAACATGTTTAAATCGTTATGTTATCTTGACCGTCTCAATAATTCTGCACCATTATTTCCCGAGCTTCCCGCTGGGGTTGTGCGGTTTCCTACGTTTGTTGCTGTTACCTGTTTTCCCGTCAATTTCTCTTTTGAGTTGTGTTCCCAATCTGAGCAATCATATATCTTTGTTTCAGATTGAGAAGAAGAAAGCTGTTGAGAAACAGCGTAGAGACGCCTTGAATCAAAAATATCTAGAGATAGTGGAGCAAGAGAGATTGTACTTCAAAACAGTTAAAGATTTTACGGAGGTAGGCATTGGCGTGGTTCCACTGTGTTTTGTTTTCGCGCGATTTAATTTTAAAAAGACGCTTGCGTTTTAAGCGCGGGAAAATTGGCACGTGAACCAATTACGATTGGTTTTGGGAATACAACGGTCAAACGTTGAGCATGCGTAGCTGTTTCAATTTTTCCCAACCGTGCGCCACGCGCAAATATTGCAGGAAAACAGAAACCACTGTTTCTCACAAACTTCACGATAGAAATTAAAGACTTACAGAAATCTGTAAAAGAAAACAAAGGTTTCCTGTTACTTAATATTTTGTTTTGAGCTGTGCTTAAAAAGGTTCCTAAACACCGTGTCTCGCTGGCTTGTGCGCATGTTTCCAACCGCTTTCAGACAACTTGGTTGTGACAGCCTTAGAGCACTATGTTCGCCCGCTATTTTGGCTCTCTTGTAGCTATGTCAACTTCTGCTCATGCGCATTCATTTGACCGCTGTGTACGTTTTAGATTTGTGCCTAGTTGAGGAAAACCACAACATTTCTTGTCAGCTCATTGAGCTAAGCTAGCGTTGTATAAATGATGCAAATTGTCTTGATCGATTTTTGCGTCTTTTTTTACTTGTAGGAATGTCGCAAGAATGAGGTCCTCTTATCCAAGTTCAAAAGTCTTCAGATTTCTTAGTTCCTAAAAGGTGTTTACCATGTTTACAAAAATCTGATCTGTTTTAAAACTTGCCTTGTAAAAGGACACGAGAAGCCAAGTTTGGTACACAGTGCTGTTTCGGAAAAAGTACAGTTTAATTTTATTCTTGGCGTAAAAGACGAGGGTAAAGTCATTCACAAGAACGAAATACTTCATTAAAGATTTTTATTCAATAAATGTTTTCATCAGTCTTGGTTTATTTTGTGTGCCTTTTTACAACGTCAAATACCATGGCCAGTGTATCATATTTTCTGCCATCATCAGCAAAACACGTTAAAGGAGAAGAATCTGATTAAATATAGAGCCAAAAAGGTAACCATGTTACTGATTTATAGAATATAACGAAACTATAATAGAATCGGTATCTACCATAATCTAATCATCTGATCATCATTCGGCGAAAAAATATCCAACATAATGAAATACTCAACTGAACGTTTTGATTCTGTTACTTTCCTAGGAAATAATTTTGCTGATTTTACATCTTTGATCGTCTTTATATCCTTAATATAAGGAACGAGAGCCAGTTACAAGATCAAGTTAGCCATTAAACTATTTGTTTCAGAGGGTCATGAAGTCATGCAACGCATTGAGTCGGACAGTAGTTCTATGGGATGTCACGCAGCGCCCCAACTAGTTTTGGGAGCGTTTTGAGACATCATAAAGGACGATTGCGAAGGAGACCAGTTGCACAGTTGTTGTTGTTATTTTTTTTTTTATCGATTTTGGAAATCACCCTCAAATTCAATTGTATTGGAAGATTATATGATCACGTTTTTCTCTTGTATCGTTCTGTTTTTGTAAAACTAACATGAAAACGTTCACGGGTTCACACAATGAAAATCTTGTTACGCGATTTGCTTGCTATGGCCACGTGACCGTCTCTCGTAACAGTTGCTCCCCCGGAAGAATATTTCTCGTAAAAGTAAACTTTCCTGATGAAGTGACCTCTGGTGTCAAACATAATCAAACTGTTACTCGCTCGATCAACTACAGAAATTTCGTCCGTATGAGGGTTAAACGCGATTCCTGACGGATTAAACAAATTGGGGATATCCCTGTGCGGCATGCTAAACCGGGTTGGGTGGACTGTGCGCGATTTGAAACTTGTGTCATTGGCAGCCCGTTTGGAAACGCAGAACACTCCATTATTGGCCGTGATGATTAAATTGCCAGCAGTTGTCACGCAGAGGTGTGACTCATTCGCCTGAGTGAACTCTCCTGTCAAAGTAAAACTACTCAGGAGGGTTCCATCTGTAGTTAGCACAAAAACTGTTTTCTGACAGAGAGTAAAAACCCTCTCTCTGTTTTTATCCACTGCAATGCTGGTAAGCTTTCCTTGATTGAAGCTAGACACGCCCCGTCCGAAGCTCCAGAGGAATTCCCCTTGTTCATTAGTAGAGATGACTTCGTTAATGTAATGACCACTGAGCGCCGACTTGTAGCTGCTGCAGATGTACAGCCGATCCAATTTATCAACATCGATACTCTGCGGGTGAATAAGGTTTGCATCCACTAAGTCTTCATGAAAAGTTTGTAAGAAAGCCAATTCGCACATTCGTTGGCTCAAATTACCATCTTTTGAAAACACTTTCACCTGGAAGTTGTAACGATCAGCGATAATGAAAGATCCACTGCTGTTTGTAGCAACATCTACAGGGCCGTTTAATTGCGCCGGGCCACCGCCAAATTCACCAAACGTCCAGAAATAACCGCGACAGACCTCCCAATTCTGAACTGGATGGATTTTGTGCCATGAATCTGCGGGAATAGCTGGCCAGTTTCGTAACACATCATCACCCTTGGACGAAAGATGTAAATACTCCCACAAAATGCGATTTATGGCAACCACTGCCCCAATAACAGCTTCTCGTCGCATCTCACAAAACAGCCTTCGCATGTTGAATCGACCAAAACGCACAGAAAATGCCTCGCGAACTTCCGGTAAACCATTCAGTTGCTCAATGTAATTCTTGCACAACACAACGGCGACTTCCGGTTCACTGATGTAATGAAGCATCGTCGCCGCAGCTCTAAATTTCATCGCCAAAACTCTGTCGTAGATATCCAATGCTTCGTTACTGAAAGCTTTGGTGGCACTTTCGGCTGCCTTTTTGAAGAAATCCTTTGCTTCCACAAAAAACTTGTTTTCGCAATCGATTTTGTTAAACTCCAAGCCATCGGAAATCAAGTGCAGAACTTCCCACTCGTCTAACTCGATATTTGTAACATCAGTGTTCACGAGACTGATGTTATCAAACTCGTCCCTGTAGACTTCAGTTTGAATGCTTGAACTGGCATTGGGGAAGCTCTGGTACATCAAGCTCACTCCGTCCTTGAAGAAATTGGCAGAGGTGATCAGATCTACTTTACACAATCCCTCAAGCTTCTCACGAATATCCGTGAGTTCACGAACGATGAATTCTCTAAATCGCTCATCGCTTACATCTCCATGTTTAAGATTCTCCGCGCCCTTATCTCTTACCTTGCTAAGCAAAAGTCTAAATGTTAATCTCAGAGTATCACCGACTACAGACGCCATGATCGAGCGTAATTCAAATGCATACTAAATAAGGGCAGGGGATATATGTATATATCCCTTGATAAGGGGAACCCCTTACTGGTTAAGAAACATATGTCATGTTTTTGAAGGGGAACGCCCACTTATTTTGGTCTAAGAAAAGAAACTGGAACAGAAAGGTGAGCAGGAGATCTATTTTCAGTTTTAATTTTCATATGAAAGTTTCTTTGATGATCAAAAAATTTCCATTTGTTTACGAAGCTGAACGGTCTGGCGGCGACTTTTCTGATTATTTTCCTACGGTGGATACGGTGGATTATCCAGTAAGGGACTCGCACTTTGACCTTGAGATTACGTCACAGGTCGTAACAAGTCTGGAACAGCTACAATGTTTAATTCATTGGTAAATTTCCTTATTTAGTCGTGGGGCTTGAAATAAATTTGTATTTGACAAGAAGTCCCCGTGATTCGAACTGGGAGGGTAGGGTAGAAAATGACCAGAATTTCAAAAGTTCTCCGACATGGCTCAGAAGTTACAAAAAATATATAAAGAGAAAAATAGAAAATAAAGAAGATACATATTTCATATAGTTTTCGGTCTCTTGCATCAGAATCAAGTCACGCTAAGTCACGCGATTTACTCTTCAATGATAATCCTTACCCGAGAAGACTGGGACGAAAGTTGGTCGAAGAAGTACAGACTAAACCCTCGCGTGAAACAATACATTTTATCTAACATGGAAAAAGTTGCTCTGGTAGGTTTTTTGTCTGTCCTTATATAAAAAAAGTGTAGCTGATCTTTTTTACTTTCAGTTGAGTACATTCGTTTTGTTTTTTATTCAAGAGGCAGTCATCTGTTTTGTAACCTTCCACCTACATCGATTAAGGGGATGCAACGAGGCCTGTTCTGAATGTTTAACTTGATCCTAAAACTTTCCATTTCGCGAACTTTCATATTTGTCGCAAATGCACATTTTGGCTGTAGGAAATGGCATTATGCGTTTGGTAGCCATGCTTGTCAAATTTCAAAAGCTGATGGCTATAAATTATACCCTTGCTTGCTACTGTATTAGTGTCGTTCGTGATTTTTGTGATTCAATCCTCTTTACTTTACAGGTGACAGGCGGTAATCGTGGCATTGGCTATGCTATTGTTAAGAGATTGTGCAAAGAGTTTGATGGAGTAGTTCTCTTTACTGGTAAAATAGTTTCATGAGTAATTTGTCTTATGAGATATTCCAATTTTTCCAAATTTTATAATGTTGTCAGGATAATATTTTTTGTTAGTCTACATGTGAGTGGAATTGGCTGTATTATCTACCAGGTTGAGAATTAAAAGATATAACTATAGCCTTGGTTCTGCTAGCTCGTGGACCTTGTTAAGGTTTTTTAATTAATAGTTGATAATAATAATGGTGATGATGGTTATTAAATGATGTTGATGACAGTGATCATATCATACCGGATCTTTACTTAACCAATGAGGGCTTAAGATAAATCACATATATTACCCAATTTTTACAGCAAGGGATGAGACTACTGGTTCAAAAATCTGTGGTGAACTTAATAAGGATTTAAATGTAACAAATATTCAGCACCATCAACTCGATATCACATCACAGGACAGTATCAACAAACTCTACACTCACGTTCAGAAGACATTTGGGGGATTGGACATATTGATAAACAATTCTGGTGTCTTGCTCAAGGTGGGAACTTAATGTATTGTAAGGTATTGGCATTGGCCTGTGTTAACACCTTAACTCCTGAGATCTGATTGTTAGTTCTGCCCTCTAGCTGCCACACATTTCCTTGTAAATTAGTTCTGAGAATTTGGTGTTAGATCAAGATAACAACTTTTACCTAAGACATTTGAGTATTCTCATAACCATGCACACTGGATAATGCATGGATATTGTAGGGAGAAGTTACTTGTTAATCACTTCTGGGAGTTAAAGGGTTTAGTAGTTTTTCTAGACATTTTGTTTATCATCAGTAACCTTCATTTGGTGCTAAAATTTGTGCAGGTGTTTGTCCATGGAAGTGTAGAAACAAATAGTTTAGCAGGAGTGAAGCTCAAGGAAAACTGTGAGCTTTGCAATTATATCAGTATTTTCTATTATCTTCAATTATATTTCAAACAAAGCCTTCTCAAAAATCAAATGTTAAGTTAAATTTATTAATATAAACTGAGAAATATCTCTGGTGTTCCCCTGTTTTTGTTGGGGCGTATTCCTCCATGTGATACATTTAGACCAATAGCATTAGAGTAAAGCTATTTTATGGGTAGCAATGAATAATGTATAATTTCCAGATATTTAATCGAGTTTAATTCAGTTTACTAGTGTAATGGGAGGATGTTGGGAGAACACAAGAAAAGTGTTGTCATGTTGAGTCCATCAGGAGATTAGTCCCCTCCCCCCCTGCCCTCCTGTCCCCCCTCTAGCATTTCATCAATATTTCCATGACATTCCACTGGTATCCATTAGTTTTTCTGGGTGTAGGAAGGCAATATAGGAATAAGGAGTCAGAGACAGTCACAATCAGAGTAAATATTCAAAGTTATTGATTGAATCCAACAACAGAAAACTGTGCCATATGTTGAAAGAGCTGAGACAACTATAGAGACAAACTATTTTGGAACACTGAACATGTGTAAGAGCTTCTTCCCTCTCCTTCGACATCATGCCAGGTATTCTTTCTAACTAAGTGATATTATTCTTTATAACAGCTGTACAGAATTTTTGCACAGGCCAAAATGGCCAGGAATCACATTTTATGTCACCGTCAATTTTGTTGGTTGAATAGTTTTTATTGAGTGACTGCAAGGTCTGTACTGCAAGTAACAGACCTAGTTATTCCACCTTCAGTTTATGATCCAAGAGCACTGCATGCAAAGCATGGTTTTACTGTTTTTCTTTTTTGTTTGTTCCATTTTTACTTGTCAGGGTGGTTAATGTATCCTCTGGGCTTGGAGACTTGCGTTGTGTTTCACCAGCACTGCGAAAGAAATTTTCCTCCCCAAATCTAACTGTTACAGAAATTACATCTCTCATGGAAAAATACAAGAGGTACTTTTCAAGTTTATTCGAGACAAATTAAAATCACTTTAACCTGTTAATGCAATGATAATTTTGATCATGCATTATTTAGAAGTTGTTTGCTCATTAACTTGGAGGTATTATTTAAATTAGTGTCCCATGCAAGTTCAAACCCACATACAGAGTGTTTATTGGTAATAACATGAATAATTATCTGGCTATTCCACACTGTGATGTTTTATATTTGGATGTGGAGGATGTTCTCTTGTCTCTTTTTACTATTCTCTTTTGACTATATTTCATAATGAACACCCTGCATGGATGATTTTAGAAATCAGTAGGAGTGTTCAGCCCCACTTTGTGATCTTGTTGAACATTATTAATATTATTCAAAGACAATATTCGCATTCTGTCTACAAAGGGTTTTTCAGTTTTAAGTCTTCCTCTCTGGCACAGGACAGAGCCATGGGGTGACTTAGAGTATAGCTACCTTCTCTATCCCTGGATAGGATGCTAGTTCATCACAGGTTAACCCCCCATCCCCACCCCACCCATAGCTTTTTGTCAGATTTCCTAGACAGTTCCCCAGTATCCACTTCTACTTCAGGGTGTAGAGAGGGACTGAAAGAGTAAAGTGTCTTACCCAAGAACATAACACAACAACTCCAGCCTGGACTGGAGGGAGACCTTTAAATTGGAAACCTTATTTGAAAGCTATTATGGCCACAAAGGCTTCTTAGTGGAATTTACAGTCACTCTTTCCCATGGGGTATTACATCTGCATACTGTCCTTTCAGTAACTGCACAAATGGCATTAATTCTGACTAGCATATATTTTCAATTCTGAGGAAATTCTTATTTTCTCCCATAGGGATGCTAAGGAAGGGAAGGTGACAGAGAATGGTTGGCCGGATGATTCTTCCTCATTCACTCCAGGTGAATGATATATATATATATATATATATATATATATATTAATTTACTTTCCAAACTGACTTGAACACACTACAACTTCGAACACTATTCATCTCTCTACATTGTTGTCATAAAAAGTTTAAAATCAATATTTTCTCATATCTGGCAATAATCATAACTGAGCTGATTTCGAAAATAATTCTCTCCTCAGCTTACAGTGTCTCCAAGATAGGCGTAACAGCTATGAGTATGGTACAAGCAAGAGAATTAAAAAATGATCAGCGTGAAGGGATATTGGTTAATTCTGTGAGTATTGACAAGACAGACAGATCCCTTTTTCTGTGCCTAAATTGTGCTAAGAAATTTGTGTGTTCTCTAAATCCTGTTATAACATAACGGCCAATTTATGACAAATTTAGGTTTGTCCTGGCTGGGTGCGAACTGACATGGGTGGCCCTAATGCAGAGCGAAGCCCAGAAGAAGGTTAGTTCACTATTTATATAAACTTTTTTCATAATTTTCCTTTCCATTCTCTTTTACTCTTTCCCTTTTTTTTGTTTTTTTTTTTTTTTTTTTTTTGGGTCCCATTTTATTTCTTTAGCTTTCACTCTGTATTTTTTTCTCTATTGTCTCTCCAACCCTAGTGGCAGGCAACCTGCGATGAATAATCATCCCTTTAGGAGAAGTCGACATTTTTCTTGTTATTCCAAGCTACAGAAACCACAGATAAGCATTCTCAGTGATGGGAAATAATGTCCTAAAGATTTACCCCCATTTTTAATCCATTTATACCTGTCCAATTCTATTTACTTTTCCTCAGGAGCAGACACTCCAGTTTATTGTGCCCTTCTTCCCAAAGGAACAACAAGTCCTAATGGAGAGTTTTTGCAAAACAGGAAAATTGTCCCTTGGCTTCCAGGCAAATTATAGTAATTTGTTTGAAAAGCCATACTTAGGTTTTTGCATAACATACTCACTAAAGAGATTAACCCTTCAACTCTCATGATCTGATTGTTGATTCTCCCCTTTAGACTGCTACACATTTCCTTATAAATCAGTTATAAGAATTTGGTGTTGGATCAAGACAAAAACTTCTACCTGTTAAGTTTGAGTATTCCTATTACCTGTTTGCTGGGTAGTGTATAGATATTGTTGGGAGAAGTTGCATGTTAATCACTTCTGGGAGTTAAAGGGTTAAACTTGATTCATCTGTACCAGTTAGTTCGTTTTGATTGGTAGTTGAAATGTGAACGATAGCATTTTTGTTTATCATCATTCGTGAATTTTTAAAAATTTATTTTTTAGGGGGGGAGGGGTAGGGGAAAAAACTACTTAAGGAAGATAGCAATAGAATGTGACCGAAGAGTAGTTTCTCACTTCAGTGTGTGGTACCAATAAGTGTCAAATAAACTTTTGGAAAACAAATATTCTCGCAGCATAATGAAACACAAAGACAAAATGGAGGCTTGATTACTAGAACTCAAAAGCTTGGTTTGACCATAAATGGATGTAGCTTTGTTATAAATTGTTAGGAGGATTCTTGCGTGTGTATGTGAAGTGTTGTTGTTTGAAATAACCATTCACTTTCCATTTGTCACTTACAACTGTTTTGTGTAACAGATACCTAACAGATATTAAGAATTCTTTTCCTAAGTACAAACCATCTTTTGTAGACTCAACAATAAATGAATCATGCTCGCACAACACTTCCGAGAAGACTTTGGTGGTAAATTTGTTCTGTTTTCTCTCTTAATTCTTACGAATGTCTTCTTTGCGTTTGTATCAAAACCTAGAAGAATTTTTTTGTCTCGTCGACTGAGACTTACTTTGTATTTGGTATTTCAGTTACCAAGTTGAATTTTCATGTACGCTGCCGCTGTGATTCGATATGATTTGACTTTAGCCAAGCTATTCCCTCGTATTCGCTGGTAAAATAATTTCGATCGCAAAACTGAGGAGATTTTTATTATGCACATTGGTTGTAACCAAGAAACATGCCCTGTCAAATGAGAGTACCTTCAACGAAAACTGAATAATAATAACAAAGAAAAGTACCAAGAAACGAGTGGCGAAATAACAAATTCTGGAATCGTTTATTTGCTTGAGTTTTGTGTTATGGCACAGTTAGGAAGATGATGTAACGATTTAATTCCCTGTCGTGCGTCAAAAACATGTGGTATTCAACTTTAGAAAACACCCGGCAACTTCGGTGATACAGAACAGTCGAACGCACAAACGTTATGACTTTTGAAACATTGAGTTTGCCTTGGTTTTTAGCGAGATATCGATAAATGATTGCGTCGCGCAAAAAGAAAGTTTATTTGCTTCTGTCGTGGATGAAAACATTATCAAATGACTTGGAACTTAGAGACGTGAAAAAGGTGGGGGCAGCTTGCTTTTAAAACGAGTTGCTGTAAACAGTTCAGTGTGCTGAAATCGCTTGATCAATAAATAATGTAATACGTACTTGCGAAACGTTTCTGACGACTTTAGCGATTGAATGAACCAAAAAGAAAGGAAATATTGGTCCAATATCACTCCCAGAATGTCCTTAACGATGTGATTTGATGACGTTAAAACAAACCGATTAATTTACGAGCACAATGCGAGGAAACGTCTGCGAAACAATACGTCCATCTGCTGAATGAGTTCTGTTTTTTTTATCTTCTAGTTTCTTGTTACACCTTTTTCTTTCATGTGGTATATCTTTAAAAATTACATTACAGCATTTTGTTTAATTAAGAGCACTTTGTTTTCTTATGAGAATTTTCCGCCCAATTTCCGGCAGGAAAACTGGAATGAAAGCAAATTAACTTCGAAATGGTTATTTTGCTATTAATTCGTAACAAGTTAAAAATTGTTTATTTTTACAGCGCGAGGAAATTTCCTCGAACTTTTTTTATTTAAACCTTTAGCCAGCGTGGCACCGGGATTAATTAGACGGGATGTAACAAAGACTGAAGGATTAGTGGGCAAACAAAGTGCAATTTTTATGTTAATAGTTTTCAGATTTAATATTGCCCTGAAAACTGCTTTGTTTATTTTAAACACTTGTAGACCTCTCCGCTTACATCGTAGCCATTTCGTTTTATAGTTCTCCTATTCTTATGGAAAAATCTTCGACTTCTCCCTTAGTTCGTTGCCTAGACGAAGTACCCGGCTACGAGGAACGAAAGAACGACGTGGTGTTTTGCGGTTCAGACGCTCAACAACATGTTGTATTTTTCCCTGGTGATGTTCAGGTGAGGTCAACAGATTTTGTAGTTGGAAGCGTTAGGCTGAAAACGCCGAAGAATACTTGATCAGAACACAAGCCATTCAACTGTGATGTACGCGCGTGCAACTTCACGCCATTTCCAATTTCTCTATTTTTCGTTTGTGCGCTAAGTTGCTTAAGAAGTATTTTTCACGGTAATGTGATTCTGTTGTCTTCCATCGCGCGGTTCTGCTTTGAATTTTTTCCTCAATCCGACTTCTTTTCAGTTTCCATACCGACTCGAATTTTGGTTTGAACAGAATGCAGACCATCGCAAAATGTTTAAGAAACTCTGCATATAGTGTAACTCTTTTTATTTGAATGAGACATAAATGTAATGAACTGAACTAAGATGCTTTGTTTATCGAGCTGTTGAGTTTAACAGCTTCAAAATGGAAAGCTCTGTACCGAACGATTGGTTCATCAAGCAATATATTCGATAAAAAGCAGATTTTATCAAACTGCATCATTGACAACGGAGCACAAACTGCTGACACAATGCAATTGATATTTTTTCACTGGTTGAATTAGTTTTCAACACATTCATCAAACTATCAGTACACTGTTCACTCCTTCAAACAAAGTCGTTTGTTTTGTGTTTTATATGTAATCCCTCAAGGCATTGAAATACGTCAGTTTATTGTGTCAGATGTTCTTGTTATATCTTGTGGGTTTACAACATTTTACCATCAATGCACGAATTTCCGAAATGATAGATTTCGCTCGAGAAACCTTGACGATTTGAAAGTAAAACTTCACTTCCGTAAAACGAGCTGAACGCAACTTCTGAAAAAATAAACAAAATTTGAAAGCACCTAATTGATGGGTGTAGAATTACGCATCTCTCGTTTTGAATTTCCTTGTTCGCGACCTCGATTTTTTCAGCGCTATTTCGAAAGACAATATTATTGTTTTCAAAACGGAACGTTTAAGCAGAGGTTAAAAGGATGAAATTCAGGCATCGAGTTTGAATCGCACGAGACAATCGTCTATTGTGAAATCCTGTGTCTCCTTGCCCGTTTCATGGCTTAGATTATTTTGCAAATGAAAATATAGTTCTCATTCTTTCTACAATCCCACTCCAATTCATTTTACGTCGTGTCTACTTTTCTGCTTTGTCTCGAAAAGTTACCGAACAATCGGTTTATTACCTTTGTCCAAGACGGTGTCCAACATTGACAACGATTTTGGCAGTTCAGAAAACAAGAGTAAGAATTTGAAACTTTTCTTAATTATCTTTGAGCGTTCGATTGCCATACTTAAAATTTTGGCAAATGTTGATCAAAGATGACAGTCGAGAGAATAAACGCTAAAAGGTATTAATAAAGGTTAATACCTATATACACAGAGTCTTCGCGGCAATTTGTGCTCCTCAAGCATTCCGCTTTCAGCCTTACAAGCTCGATATGCGCAACAGGAACTGTCATCAATAGAGCGTTTACAACTCAAATTTCTTGATTTTCAGGATTATGAAGAAAACATGGAGAGTCACAGAGATAATAAGAAATGGAAACAGTGGAGTTTGGAATCTACGGCGAAAATATTAGAAAGAAGATTTCCAAATAGCTTTGTATGGGTCATTCGTCCTTCAAGATATCATCAGAGCACTTTCGCATGTTATCATAACTTTGTTGAAGCTAACCTGCTCGGTGTCCCTGATCATACAAATCACGATTACGGAGCTTTGTTTCACTTAAGAGCATTGCTGGAGTCTGCGGTGAAAAAGCGTAAGTATTCAGAGTCCTTTTGTTTAGATTAATTTCCGCCAAACGAACAAGCCCAGATTTGTGTTTGTTTCGCTTGCTGTCCAGTGGCGATTAGTCTTGAAAATTTGCGTCACATTTAAACCAATCAGAATCAAATTGTGCTCCACTCGAAACTTGATCACGTGCTCTTTCCCGCGCTCGGAACAGTTTACATGTTTGTACTAAGAGTTGTCTTTTGGCTTCTTCTTTTTCTTCCTCTGTTCTGATTGGATTAGCTCTCCCTATTTTTTGTAGCTCAGATTTCTCTGATGTTCCTTGTCTACGTGTTTTTTGTGGAAAACTTACCCCTGACTTTCCCAAAAATACTAGTTGCAAATTTTCAGCAATTTTCAATTTAGTGTCAAAGGTAATCCGGGATTGCTTTGATTTTACTTACCTTTGCTCTGTGATTGGTCCGTAAAACTCGCACCATCCTCTCAACCAATCAGATGCAAAACTAACAACAATCGCAACCTGGTCATTGGCGTTTTCCCGCGCCTCAAGCAGCGCGCTCGTTTTCACTTTATGTTCTCATTGGCTGATGATAATGTAAACCTGTGTTCTGATTGGTCGATGGGATTACTTTGGTTTCGGTTTTTCGACATTCGATTGAAAACTGTTCGCTTGTCAACCAACGCAACCTGTTTACTCACGATATTTTTTAATTGAGGACGTTGGCATGTGTTCTCTCTTGACATTTATCTTTTTTCCGATGGTCGTTGCAAATTTTTAAGCTATGCAATAATCTGGTCATAATTGAAAACTCAGACTAATTTTTCCTAGAATTATCAACCCAACCTTTAAATTCCTTTCCTTTTATCCATGCAGTTTTAGATGTCCCGAAAGAAGAGGAGGACCCCACGTTTGATTTCCCAGTGATTCTTGTTGGTTTTAGTAAGGGCTGTGTTGTTCTAAATCAAATTATTTACGAGCTCTACATGGTGTCTGCTGGAGTGGACTCACGTCTCAATGAATTTGCATCGCGTATTAGTGCCATGTATTGGTTGGACGGCGGCCATAGTGGCGAGTCGAACCTGTGGGTAACAGATGAAAAATTTCTTTACCATCTGGCTACTCACGTGCCAAGAATTCGTGTGCACGTGACGCCTTATCAGATCGGGGAAGAAACGCGGCCGTCGATTAAAAAGGAGCTGAAGAAGTTTGAGGACAGTCTTCGTTCGCTTGGCGCGAATATCAAGGTCAAATCTCATTTTCAAGGCACGCAGCCATATCTCGCTTTCCACTTTAAACTTCTTGAAAGTTTTTAGTGGAATTTGCAAATTGATTTGAAATATCTGGTTACTAAAACAGAACGACAAAAATTCCTGAAACATCAGGTGATGGTGAGAGTTATTGAGTGTTTTTGAGAAGCTCCAGGGTTGAAAGAAAGAATGGGATTTGCACCGAAAAAAACAGATACAGCAAATAGGACCGGAAGATATCACAAGCGGAAATAATGGGTGTGAAAATGATGTCCTATGATCAGGACACACAGCAGCCCCTCACTTGAACAAAGACACACCTACAGCTTATTTTGATACAACTATTAAGCCATTGATATTTCAAGTTGCGTTCACGTTGCAATTACCCTGAAGGGCATACACATTCTAGATTAAAACATGTGACGATTCTAATCGATAAAAACAAATGTTTTTCGGCGAAATTGTAAATGACATTTGCTTAAGGATTGCTGTGAGCCCCTCAGCACCCTGCTTTTTTTTTATTTATTGAGTGTTAATGGAGGGAGATTTGAAAATAATCCAGGGATAAGCCAAACATGTAAACCTTGGCAACAAGAACCCTTTCACTCGTGTAATTTTTGTGATGCAGGCCGCAAGCGAGCCCTCGTTCCCAGTGTTTGAGCGACTGGCGAAGATGTCGCCTTAGTGTACTTGTCCAACTAACAAAACAAAAAAAAACAAAAAAAATTGATAATTAGGAGACTGAAAAAATTATTAACATACGAACTATCGGCTTGCTTTATTTCTCCCTAGAAAAGAAGAGTTTGTTTTCAGACGATCTAGTAACATATATCAACGAAATGAAAACAAAACACAAAGCTTTCATGTCTTGTTCACCTCTTGCAAGAATGAGTCTGTTACAGGCCATGTAAAGCCAAATAGTTTGGCATTGAAAAAGAAATATTACGTTTATCAGTAACACAATGACTAAGACAAAATATCTTCCTAGAATGTTTCGTATAGTATATTTTCAAGTGAAGCCAGCGAACATTGTTTGCTAAATATTTACAATTGAATTTTGCTTGTTTGTTGTACAAAGACGGCGGAAATGAATGTACGCAAGAGAAATTACTGAGTGTAAAAGAAGATCTTACAAGCAATATTTCGTTTCAATGAAGTGTCCCAATATGTTTTGCATTTAGCAACTTACGCTCAATTAAAGGCTCTGCGGAATGATCTGGAAGCAAAAGAATGCGTTTTTTCCTTCTATTTTTATGTTTTACAAGCCTGTTTCTTCTGTAAAAGGTCGTTCTGGACTACTCGACTTAGCACGAAGAACACGTTCAGTCTTAGATCACTACGTTGGAAAACATTCTTCTTCAATGCATATAACAGTCGGTCTCGTGATAAATTGATTCTCTCACTAAAAGCTACTAGCCGTATATGTCAGTTTTGCTTTCTTTCCTCCATTGCTAGAAAAACATACTGTTAAGTAATTCATTTCCTGCATCAAAACCTCTGCAATTTTGTTTGCAAATCCTCGTTTACAAACTCAAAAAACAGATGTTATACAAAAAGTGAGATATGATATCATAAACTGGATGGCAGTTAATTGGATATTACAGCATGTACATGATTTTCTTTCATCGTTTATATGTAGTTTTTCTCTTAGGATCTGTCTGCATTTTACGTTGAAGTTTTGAAAAATGTACTTATAAAAAACAATCTTTTCTGTACCTCATCGATTTGTATGACTTCCAACTTGTTAATTTTGATTAAATGTAGACGATAATATACAAATTTAACCTTTTTACATAGCAAGTCTCGTTTCGTGACGCGGCAATTTTCATCGTTTTGACGCTAATCAGATTCAAGCTGTTTGCCTTATTAGAGTGTTTTGCTTTACCCGGACAGATGCTTAATGAATTTCCGCTAGATAACCGAGATATTTGTTTTCAATTGTGATTACGGTAATGGGAACTCTCAATTTTCCTGCATGCCCCTGGCCGGGAGAACTTCCTTTAAATGCTGCTAAGAAATGCTCTTGTCTTGGTCTTTATGCCTAACCGTTTGCGATGCCAAAAAATTGCACTGCAATGAAATTCTTACTTTACAATTTATCCTATATCATCCTATATTAGACAACAAATTTGATCCGAACCTGCGAAATTTTTGTTTACATGCAGATTATCTATTTTCGCGATTAAAAAAAATTAAAAAATTGGTTTAGGTTGTGGCTCGAATCACGTTTGCCGACGATCTCACCTGAGGCAACAAAAATCACATTTCTGCCTCCATTTTCTCTACTTATCAGTTTTTGGATGCTAGAGGCAATCCATTTTGTTAGCGTTTAGCTAAATGCCGATTTTAGAAGAAGTTGACTGAAAGTAAGAAACAAATATTTACCCAAAACAGCATGAGACATAAGAGCCAATGGGAAACTTTGTGTAAATAGCTGCTGTGACTTTGCGTTGCCTTAACGTCCGGGCCTGAGCATTTACTGAGTTTCTCTAACAAAGAGTTTGAGAGTTCAGGCAGGTAATCATTCCAAAATGCAACTTTTAAAGGCTTGAAATCTTTTGACATCTCAGGGTTGGCTTCCACGCGGAGATACATTTGGTCATTTGGAAGGAATTGACTCCATTTGATTCCATGAACAGGATGCGGTGTTGTATTGCCAAACTTGACAAAATTTGTGTAGACTGTTACCATGAAGTCACTGATGTTTCTGTCGACCTCAGTGTACGGGTGTGGCGAAGATCCATTCAGAAGCGGAACTCCAAATACATACGCTGTGATGTCACCATGAGCTACCCCTTCCCAGCCTTGTTTGGGGCTGTGATCAGAACGATGCTGGAACTCATAGAGCCATGTTGGAGATTCCTGGCTTTGGTAGAGAAGGCTTGCATATGTCGGTGCCACAATGTAGTAGTCTGTCAGGGCATCGATAATACTTTGGCGAATCTTCACTGAATTGTTTTGTCCTGGCCAGTGGGTGTACTGAAATTCGATAGCGTCAACTATAAGTGGCTTATGGTCTTTGGAAGGCCCCATCCCAATAATTATATGTTTTTCAATGCTTTCTTTAAAAATCTTGCTATTGTATTTTGATAAGGATTTGTTCAGCAAGAAAGAACCTTCATCGCTCACGAACCCAGCAATGGTTGGTAATTTTTGAAATTTTCCAGCCCTTCTGAGGTTTATTGGAGAATCTTCCAGGAAATGTTTGTCAACTACAGGGAAGTAAAACAAAAAATCGTGTGCCTTTTTCAAGATATCTTGCGCTGATTTTGAGCGGAGACACGCTAACATGTGGTTCTTTTCCTTAACACAGCTTAACTCCTCAGCAAGCCTCATCGAAGCCTCGGTCACACCTGATTCTGCGTGGAAGGCAAATGGGGATAGATCGCTTCCACTCTCGCTTATAACTCGATGAAAAAGACCCTTTGACAGGGTCGAAAGAAGATGAAGATTAACGCTAGCACCTCCTGCGCTCTCGCCAAGAAGCGTCACCTTAGAAGGATCGCCACCAAAGGCTTCAATGTTCCCCTGGATCCATTTCAGTGCTTCAACTTGATCCAACATTCCATAATTTCCTGGTGCAGTGGAATCGCCAGTTGAGAAGAAACCAAAGGGGCCCAAGCGATATTGAATACTGACAAGAATGATTCCACGAGTAGGTAAATATTCCCCAGGTGACACGACGCGTACGGGTGTCCCAGCGAAAAACCCTCCGCCATGAATGTAGGCGAGCACTGGATAACGCTGACGAGATATCGTTGCATTGTGGGGTGTATAGATATTAAGATACAGGCAGTCCTCCCCAATGTTTTCTTCAGCCTCCGCGAATCCTTCCCAAGCCTGCCGGATAGAAACATTGTAATGGTGTATCATCTGCATACAGATGCTTCTAAATTGTGTCGCTTGGCGGACGCCTTTCCATCCCGGGTGCGGTTGAGGTGGCGCAAACCGTAGCTCATCAATTGGCGGTGCAGCGTAGGGAATTCCCAGAAATTTATGGATGGCTGTTACAGACCCGTGGGCGTTTGGAATTACCTGAGTTAGCCCCTGAAGGGCGCCTAGCTTAGTTTTGATGACAACACCTGGGTCTACGGCTTGATTTGCGGGAAACAGCATCGCCAAGAACACCGTAAACAGTATTCTGCGCGGAGCATGGATTTTCAACGCCATCTTTTCCGTGATTGGGGCGGCGATCAAATGGCTGTCTGGTAAAAAGCTTGTGATCTTTGAGCGTCGTTCACCTGTCGACTTGCTGACGAAACAATCTTTAAATGCCCTGACAAGGTAATTTCAATCGGTTAGTTTGTTTTGCAACTTCGCCAATTTAACGGAAATTGTCGTATATCTATCCTATTGATCTGACCGACAGGGGGTACCAAACAAATGTTAAGCAATCGCGTCGATAATTGAATTGAACACCTTTCCTCAAATCATAATTATTTCAATGCCTCCTGGTAATAAAAAGGAATCATTTAGTTTTTTTTATTTTTCGCCCTGAGTGCTCAATATCGCGATATCAATTGTGTTTTTGAGGTGAAATATTTGAATAAATTACTTACACGAATGACATGGAAAAGTCAACACGTTTTCAAACCTTCCATCTGTCCCATTTTATATCTCTTTTTTTTAATGTTAAACTTACTACCTTAATCATCCTGAACTATCATTGGTAGTAACACATTATAAATAGGTAAATGAATGAATTAATATCAACATTAAGGGAAAAATCTGATTTTTTTGTTAAGCAGAACTTACTGCTGGTCAGAAGACAGCAATGTTACAAGTTGCATGCTGTTAAAATGTGTTGACTTGAATTGAAGTAATGAATTCAAATGCACGGTGTGAGTTCCGGAATTGTAAAAAATGTTTGTGTTAACTGCAATTAATTCATTGTGCAAAGTGTTTTTAATTACAATTCAGCTCTTGGCTGGAGATTTGGCAGCTAATGTTTTTTTCAGTGCCACAGCAACCTCAATTCAGCATCGAAAGAAGCTTGTGTCAGTGCCTTTATTAAACGAAGTGGTGTTTGTCACTTCGTTTCCCAATTTTTTTAAACACTGGAAAGGGGTAAATATTCAGTCTTTCCAACTTAATGGAGGAGAAATAATTTGATTTTAAAGTAATAGAGAAATCAAACGTCAGAACACTTTTTCACTAAAACTATCAGTTACAACGCTTAAACAAAAGTTATTCCAATTTGTGCGACAAAATAATTAGGGAATCTCAATCATTATTTGATTTATAAAACAGTTGTTTGGATAGAACCCACCATAATAACGTTAGGAGCAATAAGGCATTTGTAAAAAGTGGAATCAAAAGAATTTGCGAACTTTCTGAGCTTCAAAAGTTCACTTGCACCTTGTATAACGTTACTGACGTAACCTTGCTTTTACAAACAATGGAACTGTGATATTATTCAAGACACAGTGAAACACTTAGACTACAAGAATAGATGTTAACTATCTAACCCTTTTATTGCATGATATAACCACTAACACATGTATGCAAAGTTCATTTAGGCAAAGCACAGAAAACTGAGAGAAGGGTAATTTGTAAGAGTCGGCGACATTTCCGACGGAGGCGTTCTGACGCGGCACGCCACGGGATGCGGCGCGAAAAGGTACATTCCGCGCGTTTTTTCCCGCCAAAATTGTTATATCGAGTTTCGATTAGTTCAGTCTTTTCTATGCCTTACTATATTTAACTACCGAAAAAAAAGAAAGAAATTATGATTTTGGTTTCTTGATTTAGTCTGTGTGTTTGCTGTACCAACAACCTCGATTAATCTGCTTTTAAATTAATTCAAAGGTAGAAATACATGCATGTGGTTAATAGTCCCGCAGTGGTTGTTACGCACAGGAAGGTAATTAATAGTACCACAGCAAACCCACAGTAGGGTGGCTGGTTTTGTTTTCGTGGGACTTACGACCTGCACTTGCAAAGAGATTATCGGAAGTCATTCACGCCCCCTCAGCTGACGAGAAAAACTATTCATGAAATGAATTTCTGTTTCGATGCTCGTGTTTTCAAGGACAATTTTAATGAATTAAAAGGTAATGTTATTAATGTGAACAAACTCTTAAAAACTTTTGAAGAGTTCGAAGTCCCTTTAGTTATTTGGAATCCTCTATGCCGTCAGAATTCAGAGAATAGTGAAAAATCTGTGTACTCCCAACAGATGTTTTTCTCGTGAAACTGAAGCAAATGAGTGTGTTTTGAATTTTCATACATTTCTTAGTTTACCGGCCTAAACGATGCGCTTCAGTTAGACTAATTAAATTATGGGCGACTTAATTTCGTGAAGGCAAAAACATTTGACATTTTTAACTTAATAAACCTGAAGCCTTCAATACCAAAACATTTTGCCGAACACCCCCGCCAGACTTCAAAGGGCAAATGACGTAAGCACAGCCATCCAGAAAGGAGGAACCCTGGGGGCGAGAAATGACGTCTCCGTTCCCAGGGATAGCGGTGCTTGGGAGATCTTGGGATGTAAGCCGACTCATTGTGAAAACCGAAAAAAGACAAAGGGGCTAAGCTCGTGCCAATTGTTTGAGGTGAAAGTGTGAAATTTGATATGCAGGATTTTCGTGGAGATATTTTCAAATTTTCAATCAGCTGAGCCCATATCAGACCTGCGGATATTTGTATCACTTTTCTGAAACCAAAATTACTCCAACAATATGAGCGCATATTATTATTCCGTCTATTCAACTTAAAGTATTCAAAATTCCTTTTTTTGAAACATTTTCGGCATATTTAGGTTTGAGGGTAAAGAGAGAATTTTATGTTTTCTGAGTCAAAGTTTAGACCTCACCCCTCCCCCATTAAAAACTCCTGGATCCGCCCTTCAGTCGTCATGAATTTTCTCGGGCAAGATCACGATGGTGAGCACCATGAACCCTTTCTGTTCATAAACATTAAAGGACGTTTTTCTTTCCATTTACATTGAATGAGGATGGTTTTCTTACCGTTTACAAGTCGACCAAAACTTAACGATCCCGATGACTTTCTTTGGAAAAGATCAGATTCATACTTCGGAAAGGTCTGAAAGATTGAGAGATTTCCCTCAGGAATGACGTTCTCACTCCGGTGCAGCAACTGAGGTGAACTCGCGCCGATATATAAGTCACCTTTGTGCTATGTTAATAAGGCCCTAGACTCAGAATAGTCTTACCATGGATCGAAGCAGACTGTGAGCCTCATTTATAGGACAGCCGGAGGAAGAATCATCCGTGTGACGGTTAATAATATTCAGAGCGCGACAAGCGTTCAAGTGGTTGTTTAAAATGCTGAATGATTGCCAGTAAAATGCATAAAACGCCCCTAAATGGAGTGAAATGTACTTTAAGCACATTCTCGATACAAGCCGCTGTAACAGTTGACGTTTTTGTGTATAACTGATGAGAAACAGCTGATTTAATAGCAAAATTCAATTTTTTTTAAAAAAACCCGTGTTGTACCTGAACAAGGATTTGTCTGTTGTATCACTTTTTGTCGTTGAAGCCTGAGTAGGTCTGATCTACTTCCCTTCGTTCAATACGAGCTAATAAATCAAACAGCTTGCATAGATGTCATAAAGAGAAAATTAGTCACAAGAAAATGATACTCTTTGAGCAGTACTTAATGAATTTGGGCGTCGCGCAAAACTTTGGGACGAGACGCGCCTCGCTTCCCAGAGTTTACATGACGCCGAAATATTTTTTCGCTGATTTCTTTCGACTCACGCGACAGTTTACGCTGAGAAATAAGAACTGTTCGAAGTGTAAAAGAAAATTTATGGCTCTAAGCCGTTCTAAAGAGGTAAGTACTCACAAACTATTCCTAGCACTCCCCGAAAGGGGCACCATGACTTGAACAACTCCTTTGTAATTTCTACGAGAGTTGACCGATTGCTTGGCGAGAGGCCGAAAGTCATCTGTCCATAACACATCGTAACGGTTCGACCTCGGCACGGATACGTTTCCTACGTCAGTTTGCCTGCATTCGTCAGCACAAGAAACATCGCTGAGCATGTCCGTTGACCGGGGAACAACCCCTTGAGAGAGAGGCTGACAAACAGAGCATCAATGTGATTAATGAAAAGTTGCAATTGCGAGTGAAAATTAAATTACGTGGACAAGTCAAACGTTGGTTGATTTGTCCAGTTGAATCTCCGCTGCGCCTTGGCAATCGGATTATGCGGAAACTAATCGGATTGTGCGAAAAGGTATCTAAAAAATGACGACCATTCCAAGAATACAAAGAAAATTCCTTGGCCAGTCGTATTCGTGCTACATCTCTCGAAGTTGATCTTCCCTTTATCTTCCATCGGTTTGAACTCTCGTAAAATCCCTAAATGAGATACGAGTAAAGTCTCTCTTCTGTTGCAAAAGCGAACCATTAATTTACCACTCAAGACACGTTGGCAATCGCATGATAATGACAGACATGACAAGAGAACACTTGAAAGATTTCATGAACTGCTGTAGATAAAGCAAACAAAGCAGGCTCCCAGTCAAACGTCAGACGAATTTACACGCAATGTGTGCGCAGATAATCCGAATCACGAAAGCATGTTTTCGGAATTTGAGAAAATTTTGCAAAACGGTAGGTAAATTTTCATTCTTAAATTTGGAGAGGAAAAAAATCTGCAATAAGAGAGAGCAGTCCACGTTATTCACGATTTTAATAACGAGATTCGTGTTTTGGTCGATTTCATGTACAGTTCATGCAGTTATTAATGTGTTTGTCGTTAGGGGCTAACAGTATTGACTGCGTAACAGTCATATTACTTCCACAAGTTCAAACTATATTAGTGAGATGAGTTTTTAGAAGAATCATGATTGTTCTCAACTTCATTTAGTCTGTAGCAGAATAAAACCCTTAAAGAAGAAGCTCATTGCTGGAGGCATGCAGATATCAAGTTACTCGGCCTCTCCCTCTTCTAATTATACAATCTTGTCTTGGGCGTGTTATCATGGTTAGTGACATGAAATATACCATGATCTCTGATCTTTCACTCTGTTAATTAACATGATCATTTCAGTTTTTCAAGAAAGAAAGTTATTTACGAGGTGATTAGTCATGTTTCCGTCAATCGAATCTATCGACAAGCTCGTTCATTCTGCAGAGGGATGTGGCGTAGCTGTGCTCACAAAGGAATAAGTATCTAGTTAAAGCGAAATTGCCGTTTTTAATTTTCTTTGCATCCTCATTACTGGCAGTCTGATGGTTTTTCATTCCAATCTGGAAATGACGAGTTTCTTCAAGGGGTCTCTAAACCACAGAAATTGTTACTAATTAAGGTTATTTTCTGGCACTTTCAAACTACAGTTCCCTGTTAAGGGTTTGACTTTACCATAAAGTTCAAGTTTGTTTCGTTTCTTTTATATCTGAATATCTCGAACACTCGGCGCAAAGTAATCTGGTGGTTCCTAACATTTGGCAGAGTCTGCTAACTCAATTTCACCGAATCTTTTTTTTTTTTTTTTAATATGAGCCACTGAACTAATCTGTTTTCCATCATCCCTTTGACTGATCACTTTATTGCGTGAAATTAAAGGATCTTAGATAAGCACATTTGAAATTAGAAATATTAAGGTCGAAGGCTATGATCTTAAACTGTTGTCATTACATTTCATGTTATAGGGCAATTTCTGAGATTCTTTTCACCTGAGAAGGAGATCGGATGACATTTGAAAAGATGTTACTTTGAAATTGCTTGTGGCTGGATTATAATTTGTTTCACACCGCAACTCTTAGTTCAATTTGACAGGAGATGGCCCAACAAGTTCAATTCACACGCTTTAAACTGACGGAGATTACTTCAAAAAAAAAAACTCATATATTTAAACTACAACAAAGGCGGTTTGTGATCGATTGTTATGGCATAGCTTTTGTCAAATTTTGATACAGTTTCTTTGGAGGCAACTTTCAAACATCTAATTTAATTACAGATTTCTTTAAGTGGAGTTTACCATGATAAAAGTTTTCTTCCCGCATCTTTAAAAGATGCATGTTTTTGTAATAATTTACATCTACTTTTCACCTTTCGACGATTAAACTGTAGCAAGCTGACTTAAATATCAGTAGCTGCAATGTCAGGATTTTTGTTATATTTCAAATTAAAATGAATGCAACGATGTAGAGGAGATGAATTATTTTCCATAGTCTTTGCGTGCAATAGAGACAGGAGCCCATTCAAATTTTTTTCTTTAATTATAAAATATGCCTTTTGGGGCAACTGGTAGTCAATTAGCAAACGATTTTGGGGAAAGCCATAAAGATGTTATCGCTTTAAATCACGTCGAATCAGAGAGAGTTTAGATGCATTGCCTCAGGGGATGATTCACAAGTGGCTGTCAAAGAAATGACTCGTGACAGCAAATTATGAGCGGCCTCTAGAGAAGGAAAAATGATATTCGCTTGTGGTTACACGCAAAGCCACTGAGAGACGCAGCATCTAAACAGAACCAAAAATCTGTTCGCGGCGGATATCGCAGCCATAAAAGTTGTTTTGACGATTGCGTCCACTTTTAAGTGGATTTAGCACATAAGACTTGTGTCATTTAGATATCTTCCTCCCCAATGCCTGCAAATTAAGAACTGAAGGGATATATTCAAAATGATCTGGATTACACAAGAGAAGAACTGGTCGATTGTGGTCTTCATTGTGGTCGCGTGCTTTTCATTTGGAATCACAAACCTTTCTGCTACAATAATCGTTGAAACGCAGTATGGCAAAATTATCGGCAAAACGACACAGTTTTTGGATGAAAACGACGGATTTCAAACCGTTTATTCATTTCTTGGAGTTCCTTTCGCCTCGCCGCCAGTGAATGAACTTCGGTTTGAACCTCCCCAACGCCCAGCTGCATGGAAGCCTCGAACATATAATGCAACCTTTTTCAGGAACGTTTGCCCACAAAAGAATCTTTCTTACTTTGAAAAATCAATTCGCAACGTTTGGCCAGAATTTTCGTGGGAAAATGACTCAAATGAAGACTGCCTGTATTTGAATATTTTCACTCCAGGAAATAAGCCTGAAAGTCATTTTCATCCGGTTATAATGTTTATTCACGGAGGGAGTTATGCATTTGGGACAACTGCCCGTCATACCACGCCCGGAGAGGTACTGCCCCGCTTGGGCGTTGTCCTAGTCACGATCCAGTACCGCCTCGGTCCATTTGGCTTTATGACTGCTGGTGATGGTGTTGCGCGCGGAAACTGGGGCATGTTAGATCAAGTAGAGGCCCTAAAGTGGATAAAAGAAAACATCGAAGTATTTGGCGGAGACCCGAACAGAGTGACCATATTAGGGGTGAGCTCCGGTGGGGCCAGTGTTGGCCTACACATCTTGTCCCCACTGTCAGAGGGGCTTTTTCATCGAGCTATAACCGAGAGTGGCGTGGAATTTTCACCATTTGCTTTCAATTCGGTGAAAAAAGCCATCGACAAGACGAACATCACTGCGGGGAAACTTAGCTGTGATACGACCAGTAGTAAAAGAATGATGGACTGTCTTCGAAGCAAAAGCGCTCAGAGTATCATCGACAAATTTGATTGGCGAAACACGGGGCCCATCATCGACAGGTATTTTATTTATGATACACCCAAAAATCTTCGCCGGTCTGGCAAATTCAACAAGGTTCCCCTTATTAGTGGCTTTAACAGCCATGAAGGCGCGCACAACACCCCCCAGGAATTTCATCCTCCAAGAGATATTACGACTTCTGTCCTGAGAGAATTTATCAACAACTTCGTGGAAAATCATATACTGCAGGACAACAACAAAACCGCTGTGATCATTAAAGACGCAATTGAATTCCAATACACTCCATGGAGTAAAACGCCTGACTCACCCTCCCTCCGTCAGGAAATCGTCAACATTATGTCAGACTACTACGTAGCAGCTCCCACTCTGGGGGTGTTGGGGATCCATAGCGCGCTTGCTCCCACTTACATGTTTGAGTTCAACCACAGGTCTGCAGAAAGCGATACAGATGCCTGGATGGGGGTAGCACATGGAGAAAACACGCCCTACGTGTTTGGTGCGCCATTTCTGAACAGTACTGCGTTGAATTTCACAAATGAAGATCGGAATATAAGTCGCTTAATCATGACGCTTTATGCGAACTTTGCCAAGTACGGGAACCCAACACCTCACCGGGTACATGGGGTCATCTGGGACAGGTTCAACACCGCTAGTAAGTTGTACTTACGTATTAATAACAGATCTCAAATGGGAGCTTACTACGAATCGCGTAGAATGGCGTTTTGGAACAACTACTACCCAAAGATACTGAACCTAACAAAACCAGAATCGCTTACGAAACACAGCCGGGATGACGTAAAACCTACGGATAACCCGAGAAACTACACCGGGGAAGACGCAAGACCTACGGATAACCCGAGAAACTACACCGGGGAAGACGTAAGACCTACGGATAACCCGAGAAACTACACCGGGGAAGACGCAAGACCTACGGATAACCCGAGAAACTACACCGGGGAAGACGCAAGACCTACGGATAACCCGAGAAACTACACCGGGGAAGACGCAAGACCTACGGATAACCCGAGAAACTACACCGGGGAAGACGTAAGACCTACGGATAACCCGAGAAACTACACCGGGGAAGACGCAAGACCTACGGATAACCCGAGAAACTACACCGGGGAAGACGTAAGACCTACGGATAATCCGAGAAACTATACCACATGCTCAAACATCGGTGTCAAACTATTCTTGAACACAGGCTTCCTCTGTTTTCTTTCATCTGTACTTCTTGTGTTGCCAGATGTCTTTATCTGATTTTGAAATTCTGTAGTAATCAACCGCAAGGTGAAACAGAATTATTCATTTACTGAAAAGCGGTTGGGGTTTATTTTCTCAAGGGCAACGAGTTTGCAGGACACTTCATCGTCAAAAGCTACTCCTAATGGCTCTTGAAGAGCCAAATTTTAATTTAGTTTTTTTTATTTGGAACTGAGCAGAGCTAAAACCAGAAGTCACTGAACTGTAAAATGCTGGGAATACTGGAAGGAGAGCAAGCGATGCGCATTGTTATATACGGAAATATAAACAATTTATCCCACCAATTTTGAGAAATTTCCACCCTTGATGCCTGTATTTGACATCGGATACATTTTCCTGCCTGTATAATCCTAGTGATCTCTGGGAAAGCCTTAAATTCTTTTCACGAAAATACTTGATAGTTTATCAAAATATATACCGGGAGCATTTATCTCCGAAGGAAATACCGTGCCTCAACGTGTTTTCCTTCTAACCGGCTGTATTTGTGGCTTCGCCTAAATTTAAATTTCGATGTTGTTAATAGTACATATATGTAACCTGAATTTTTAAGGAAAGAGCTTTCTGATGGAGTTTTAATAGTTGAACCGTATTATTACTTTTTGATCTTAATTATAGATCTTTTTATGAAAAACTGAAATGTTTAGAGACTGACAACGTATTATTATCAGTGCTGTTATTATCAAGTTCAATTAAAATGTTACTCAAATGCTAAACACAAGAAATCCTCACTTTAAATTAGTATTTCTCAAAACCAATATACAAACTAAAAAAAATAAATGTTTCCGCGGACAAACATATCACATTCAATTTCGCGCACTTAGTTTCTCCTCCACTACTTTTTTCCTCTCTTCTTGCTCTGAGCTTTTTTTTCCTGCTTCGCGCGATCATTAAATACCTACGCGGACGATTTCTTACAAATTAAAGTCAAATTATGCGCTGAATAAACGCGGATTGAGTTGACAAGAATACATTCTACAAAAATATTGGAAACGCTACTAGAAATGAATTAAATATGAAGGCTAAAGGCACCAATATTAAGTTATTGTGTGCGCGATCTGCTCTTTCGCCCTATATCAACACTTGCAATTTCATCCTAATTTGTGTTCATCGTTTTATTAATTTCGGATGCTTTTGGCCGTGTAACTCTCAAAAGTGATTAAAATGTAACTTCTCCCCGTTAAATCCACACATTACCTGGCAAACAGGTAATGAGAAAACTCAAAACTTATCAGTAAAGAAGTTGTTATCTTGATCTAACACCAAATTCTCGTAACTACCCATAACGAAATAATTAGCAGCTAGAGATGAGAATTAACAATCAGATCTCTTGAGTGAAAGGGTTAAACAGAGAGAAGCCTACTCCTTATCGGTAAAATTTCATATAGAGAGACTGCGGCACTCAAAGCGAGGACGAGTCTGTAATGTAGTGTGTAAATTACGATTTGGAGACAAGTGAAAAGCAGACAAAGTTTTAATCAAACAAAGTAAATATTTTTTTATTTGAATGTTCCTCGTGCTTACACACACCTACGAATGAACTTTCAGCAATTCGTCCTCTCTCTGCCTTCTATTTCATTTGTACAAAGCAAATACAACAAAAAAAATCCACTGAAAAAGTACTGTACGAACGCTAAACTTAGAAGTTATTACTAATTCTCGTGCCAATGACGTTGCATCACCACGTGGTCGCTTACTTTCTGCCAGAGCAACACGAGGTCGGGCAGGATGAGACACAGGTATGGGCGCACACTGGAGGGCACGGAGGGGGTGGTGGTGGTGGAGGAGCAGGTTCTCCGGGTGGTCCTGGGGGTCCCTGGGGTCCGGGTGGTCCTGGAGGTCCGGCCTCTCCCATGGGTCCGATAGGTCCAACTGGTCCGGGAGGTCCCATTCTTCCTGAAGGTCCTGGGGGTCCTGGCTTAGCTGGCTCTGGTGGTGGTGGGGGTGGGGGTGGTGGCGGTGGTGGTGCTGGTGGCGGAGGCATACAACAGGACACCGCACAAGCGGGCGCACAGCTACCGGGACATCCTGGGGGACACGGGTTAGCGTTTCTTTTGTATGCTGCGGGAGAAAAACGAGAAACAAAAAAGACGTTTAAGTTAATTCGAGACTTCACAAGATATTGCGCTACTAACTGGTTTCAGACACTACTGTCAATTCCAATATTTGGAGTCAAAAATTTTAATAAGATTTTCATCATGGTCTCCTAAATAACTTATCATCGTTAATGCCAAAAATTGACATTTTACGAGTTCAAGGTCACAATATTTTTACTTACCACGCTTATTGTGAAATATGAATTGAAAAATACCCTATACCTTACAAAGTCAGTTTTTGTCTAGTTAAAGATGCAAACAGTCTGATTTATTTCTAGTTATATGATAAGGAACACCTGAAGACACTGTTCAAATTGTAATCATTTATCGATTAACTCAAAACGACTCGGATATCGTTTGTAAAAGTTTGATTTTGGAATGGTAACCTAATTTTGGAAGTTGAATGAATTATAAATTGTCCAAAAAATGTTTTCACTTCTCGCTTCACTAACTTGCAGGTTTCGACGGGAACCCGCTTTTAACAAAAACTCACCAACCAATCAAATTTCAGTTTTTCGTAAATTGAATCACTTTGAGGGTCGCACAAGAAGTAAACGAAAAATTACAACTTCTTAAAAAGTTCACAACGCATCTTCGTTTTAGTGTTTTCGTAAACGACTGCTTGAAGTCAAAGTATTTCGAGAGTAAGTACGAGATAAATGTCACAGCTTCAAATATAATTGAAATACTTTGTTTGATGATTTAATCGTATTATCTGGTTACGATACATTCACAACTTTGCGCTCCAATAATCAACTTTAAACAAATATCTTAAGGTTGATCGATCGAGAGCAGTTTTACTTTATAATTCACCGATCATCAATTATTCATCACCTGGCCTTTTGTCGGTTCACAGAAGCGGCTTCTGAGAGGAATCTCTCATCGCCTTTTTTTAATATCTTCAAAATCTGCTCCATTTTAATCACAGATGAAATCTGTTTGGTGTAATAATTTTCCGCAGGCATAGCAAACTCATAAAGGTTATAACCATTTGAAATAATCTTTGATGGTGTGCCATTGCATTGCTCATATCTAGATTAAATTTTACTACAGCGAAGGTGCTTGACGAGGAAAAAAATTAAACATGAAAATGTAACTTACTTGATCTAGCATAAGTTGATGCTACCATGAGCGCTAAGCATCCTAGGATCAATTTAGACGCCATCTAAAAAATAAAGACAGACATGTGTCATAAAACTTGTCCATTTTATATCAAATTCAAACTGTCTACAATTTTGAACAAATCCTTTAAATGATTTTTAGACTTGCTTCCAAATTAACTTCCCCTATTTTGTGACTTTACATCGAAGAAAATTAAGAATCACAAGTTATTCTCTTTGTACGGTTTTTGCTTGAAATTTTTTTATAATTTTCCTGACTTTGAAATGATAGGCGTCAAGAGACCCTATGTTCCCGCAAGAGACACCTATAATCATTAAGTTCACCTATTACCTATGCGAAGATTCTTAGTCAAGGTCAGTTAGGAAATAAAAGAGATTATCCAACTCAATTCCCTACCTCTGGATCCCAGCGAAGCGATCTTGAAATGTGCTTGAATAAAGCTCCTTTCTGATTTATACCCTGGAAGTCATCAATTATACACAAACTCGGACGTGTTATAGCACGCTCTATAGTTCTCTTTGTTCCTCCCTCTTTTGTTATTTACTGAGGAATTTAACGCAGCTATGGCTTGAGCGCATGCGCTAGAGGACTTGTAAAAGTCGCGGAAAATAGTGGTATCATTTAGACTGAAATAACTGAAATAAAAAATCGTAATAGAAAATCCGAGAACTCTGTCTAAATGTTGGTTGTAATGTTGGTACTTCGGTTAAATATTGTGTTATTTCTGATATCGATTACACCAAAGTAGATAAAAATTCTACCCCTTGGAAACCTGTCAAAAGTGAATTATTTACAAGTTGCAAAACCAGAGACTCAGTCAAACGAAACGCCATTCTTTATTCTCTATTGGTTGTCTCGCTGCTTTCCCAGGAGCCAAACAGGTGTCAAAAAACTGGCACCATTATCTTCAATAAACAACAGAGCAAGTGCCCCTTTCTCCTCTCGTGTTACGCTTCAATTCCTTGGAAAAATCACCAGTTGTCAAAATTTTCACTCCAGCGATTTTGCGTTCCTCTCGATCTGACGAAAAAATGTTTGACAGAAAAAGAAGAATGCATCGCACAATTATCTCTTCTGATCGAGTCGTTTTTACTGAAGATTCCAGTTGTTTTAACGCGAATTTTTGTAAACATTTCAACCCCATGACGCGGTTTGACGCTTTATTGGTAAACATTCCCCCTAAACTCTGGGACATTTTTTTTTTGAGGGTGGGGGTGGGGTTTATTTGGAGCCGTCTGACACAAATTTGTGTGGAGTACAACTTTAAAGAAATAAGTTTATTTTGCTTGATTTTCATGTTAGCTCATTTTATCGGTAACACTGTCAGTTTATTTTTCCAGGTGATAGCTTTTTTGTTAGTTGAACCAAGCAATCCTTTCAGATTGGTCGGAATTCAGATAAACAAATGTTCCTTGCTTGTGGCCACTTGATTCTTTACTTAGAACCACACATCAAAGGTAAACGTATATGATTCATCGTTTAATACCGACGACTGGATAGTAAACAACACTGAAGTACTCTTCCATAGGAAATTGCGCGCGCTGGGTCGCAAGGTCTCCAGAAAGCCACAGCAAATGTTAGAACGCAGTTTTATACATGCTCAAAGATTTTTCATCGTACGGACTTAGGCTTCGCTGAATTGTGATCAAAATAAACTATGCCATCGACAGATATACACTCAATTTTCATATCCGGCCATCGAATCTACGTTCAGTGTTTTGAGACTGTACTTGGTGTTACAGTCAACAGAATTCATCTAACTAAAATTTCGAAACAACAAAAAATAAACGTCTTTGTAAGAGTGAGTTTCCTTTAAATTAACTTCCGTCAAACAATGAAACACCGTACTTTTAAACAGCAAGAACATGTGGACAGTTCCTCTCGCATGATCATCCAATAAATCACGTTCCCCGTCAATTCAAGCCACTAAAGAACAGGCTGTAATTTTTATCAGCTTTTACTTCTTTAATATCTCGCGTCTTTCAAATGCGAGAAGTTCCGTCTGGTGGCACACAATTGCCCATGATGACAACAATGTTTTTCACACAGGGTGCATCAAAATTGGTGCATTACACAGCAATTCGTTATGTACCCTTTGTCTACAGCGTTAAGAACTGTGCAGATGGGTCAATAGATGACGAAAAATACGGATTCTCCTGATCAAGCATTCGCAAAAGCTTTAATCTGTGACAGAAAACACTACCAGGCTTCTAGCAGGTGAGCACGTGTGACACCAAAATAACGTATCTCATTGGCTCAGTGGATTTTGCGCCAAATTTGATCAGAAAAACACCCGTTACCTTAAAAGGCCAGTTGTTAAGGAGAGTGACCCTTGAAATTTTGCTTAAACATGACTAGTGCGGGTACAACGATTAATATGCCACTCTTTGAAACGACGTGACTAATGTATTATTAGGCGTGGACTTTCTGAACAAAGTAAAATATAACAAAAACAAAAGGAAACTGGGATTTTGAAGTTTATTTTCCATTGGTCGGGCTAGAACTCAATAGATAGAACATATAAATTGGAAAATACATGGAAATTATCGGGTTTATAATACAACGACCTTATTAAAGTGAGCCTCACAAGACTCTCAGGTAAGTTGATACATAATACAAAGAGTAAGAGAACGGCGAGAAAACCATATCTAGTTATTCCAACCTTCAGTGATGTTCAAATTGAACTTGGAACAGTCCCTTCATGACACGCGGTCATGCGAGTCCGCGAAACCTGGAGCGAGTTTGTAAACGTCCTGCACTTAACACGTCGTGGTCACGTTCCTTTCATGAGCAAATAAGCAGAGGCGATCATGTGAATAGCACGAGCCTCGCATTAAGTTCCTCTGATGCCCAGGGCTTGTTCCAGCTCGGCTCTCTTCTGTTGTACCTGAATTATATTAACAAAAAGAAATTCAGAACTTTGGCTCTGCAAATTGACAACTACAAAGCATTCTTCTGTGTCATAAGGTGCAAATACTACGAGGAGCGGTCTACGAAAACAATTTTCAGAGTGCGCTACTAATAATCATTTGGCCTGAACAGATTAAAAGTTTTTGGGTGATCATTACCTTTCCATAAAAGTAGCGGCAAACTGCTTCTTGTGACCAGGGAAGATGAAAGAAATCAGCTCTCCGCTCTTCTTCTGGATTTCCGACCACATCAGTCATAACCTGAAAGATGACAGGAATTTCAACACAGGGAAAACAAAAGGTGCCGCAGGATACCTAACTAATATCACAAAAAGAAGAAACTGCAGCCACAAGAAGACCAGCTATTGCCGCACGATAAACGAGTGGTGTCACGGAAGAGCCAACAACAGTCACATTATAAAACAACCAATATCTTCTTCAATGAAGATCAACCAGCTCAAAAGAGAGAACTTGAGCACCAAGCACTCCCACAGTGAGAACAAACACAGTAACCACCGGCAAATTTCAGGATACCTATAATAGGCTGAGGTCTTAAATCAACTACATTGCGCAACCTTGTTGATATATTTACCTTGAGATCTTGACTTTGGGACTGTATCCATTGATTGATAAATTCCTTAAAAACAGATACCAAGGATATGTGTCAGTGCTACAAAACAAAACTGAATACTATAAAAAGAAAAACAACAAGTTGCAACAACATAGTCATGGCATTTTTTGTAATGTCATGTACCATTTCTCCCAAAAAAGGAAAAGTGTTTCATGAAATTGTTTCATACGTAACAGAGCAGTATACTCACGGGAGGATCTCTTGCAAACCCAAGAAAGAATTCCCGGTTAATCTTCAACTGATTGATTGTCTCAACTGTCTCATAAATCTGCAAAACAAAAAAAACAAAACAAAAGGAATGATTCAGAAACTCAATTTCAATGGCAGTTTAGCAAGAGTAAAAACTAACGATACTGTTGGGTTTATTTGTAACTCTTCAGCTCAATGATGGGAAACTAAAAAATCTCAGCTCACCTTGTTGTCATATGCAGTAATCTCATTCTGACTTGCAGTAGAAAGAAGAAAAGACTGCATCTGAGCCTTGAGCGTGTCATCCTTCAACAAGAAATTCAGAAATTATTGAAACAGCAAACCAAGCACTACATTTGTATACTCTATCTTATAAACACACCCAGTTGATTTATAGATGCATAATTTGTAAAAAGGTTGCTGTTACCAAAGGTTTTCTAAGAACTTCTCCCAATAATATCTTTACATTATCTGGCAAAAAGGTAACGAGAATACTCAAACTCAAGTGGAAGTTGTTATCTTGATCTAACACCAAATTGTCTTACCTAATATAGAAGGAAATGTGTAGCAGTAGAGAGAATTAACAATCAAATCTTGTGAATTAAAGGATTTAACCTACAATAAAACTTATGACTAATTACAGCAAGAATGACATGACATATGATAATAGAGAAAGGTTTCGTTAGAAGTGATTAACATGCAACTGTAACTTCTCCCAAACATATCCTTACATTATCGAGCAACAACAGAGAGGAAAATTAACAATCAGATCATGAGAATTTAAGGGTTAAACCTACATTAAAACTTTAACAATTAATTACAGCAAGAATGTCATGACAGATATTATAACAGAGATATGGTGCTAAGTAAAATAAAACCAAACTGTTTAACTTACAACTTCTACTTCAATGTCATAGCAAGTTGTTCTCTTGTTTTCAGGCGTTTCTTTGCTATGAGGAAAAGACAACTGATTAAATTAATGATTCAGTAATATTTGTACTTGAAAAATTATGCTAAACTATTCCTGTTGTAGTTTGATTATATTAGTTTTCATTTTGTTTGAAGTTTTGTTCCCATCCATGTTATACAGGAATGGGAAAAAAATTGAAAGATAACCAGTTTGACAACTCCTAAACAAAAAGGAACTACAGAGCTATCACTTATACCTCAGCTGATGGAGGATGCTATAGTTTACCTTATAAGGTGATGAATAACAATGGGATCTGGAGGTAATAACAAGGAACTCAAACGCTGAGGAATCTCACTAAACTTCATGCGATTACATTCAAAAATCTGAAAGCAAATAACATTGAATCAGTTACAATACCAATGACCAAATTTGATTTAACAAAACTTGCAGAGTTTTCATGGTATAAAGAATTAAATGCATAGTCATGTTCTCATAGTATTTCTGAGTAGAAATAAGTGGAGATGACTAAAGAGAGTTTGGAAGTTGAACATCAGATCTGACCTGCTGAAAGTATCTGTCACAGTTTATGTACTCCCTCTCATGAGAATCTTGCAAGTTGTGACTCTGAAAGTAATTAAAGAAAAAATAACATTACCTAAGGTAGCAGAGACATTTAAATCGTAATCAAGAGGTTTGGGTTACAACAAAATCTGTTGAAACTGTTTACCCACAGAGTCAAGCTCACCTTAATATACTGCCATAAAGCATTGACAATCACTGGCCTTGTTTGAGTGTGAATACCCATAAGCCTTGCTAATCTGGGATCCAGTTTGTACTGTGGAGGCTAACAAAACAGTTTATGTTTTGGTTAGTTACAAGGTTATGATACAGTAATCAATTAATTAATTTACTACTGACATCTGATTTATACCTCTTACCTGGTAATCCAACAGGAACATGATAGTGCACTTCACATTTTCTTCTCCAGGCCTTTTAACCTTAAATGAGATCAGATGCTTTAAAAAGGGCATTGAAGAGTGACTCAAGACTTTTAATCTGACACAGGCAAACTGCTTTTGTTGATGGTGACACTGACTGATGTTTTGACAACCTGAATGGGAGTCTTTATCAGAGTCCACTTGGTTCTGAAAATGACTCCAAGTCAATTCATCGAGATGACTGTCATTGTAGATAACAACAGTACTGTAGAGATTGCGAACCAAGAGAAAACATGATCAAAATTTTTCCAAGAATTTGGAGGTTGCATTGACAATGCTCAAAAACAACATGCAGTAAGAAGTCCTGGACAAAATTCCATACCTGAAAACCATCAGTCTCTTGAGTTGAACTGGTGCGATGCCACTGAAAAAAATTAAAAACAATTCTTTTGTTCTTATCAAATGAGCGAGCTTTCTAATTGAGCTTTGTAAAACAAAACAGAGTCATTGCAATGGCCAACCCAAACACAGGAAGACACAACAACACTCAAGGTGAAAAAAAAGCAAACCACCTGAATCATGGCAAAATCTTAATGGCAAAGTTCTGCTTACTTTGCTAGTCTAGTAGTTTTCAATCTTATTGATTCTCAGAGGAGAGTGCATGTATTTTAGACAAATAATGGAGCAAAGTAAAGTACAACTAATATACCCTGGATTACTTGCAGTGCTCAACAAACAAATCTATCTTAGTACTTTCTACTGATCCAATCTACTGAATATTTCACATTTTGTTTCACCAAATCCAAGATTGTATCACCTTCATCACTGCTATAATGTACCTCAACTAGGTGATTATCTGGCCCATATAACTCCCTGTCCAACTCTATCACAAGACTCTTGAAATATGTTGAGAACTTTCGTTTCTGTCTTGGACCATCAGTCTTGGGAGCCTGCATCTGTGTGCATGACACAAAACCATTTTGGTAAATTCAGGCAAACACTAATTTTTTTTTGTACAGTGAAACCTGTATAAATTATATACCAACTTGCAACCCAAAATTCACATCCCAAATTTCTCCAGAAAACCAACCTATATACATATCTACATATATATATATATATATATATATATATATATATATATATATATATATATATATATATATATATATATATGATATACATATCATATATCTTTCATGAGCAAATGTAAACTCTAAAATTGAGACTTTCAACAACCCAAATCTACAAGCGTATTTAGCAGACACTTCAAGAGGTTTTATCAAAGAGTTTGAACATCTCTAGGCTAATGGTATATTCAAAACTTCAATATCCAATATCAGGTCCACTGATTTTTATTTATGTGGTACAATTTAATACAGTGGTATGTACTAATTATGTACATTGAACTCCACAGACTTTGATGGTGCAAAATGCATCTCAGTTTGTTTCCCACCATATCTGTAATTCCATTTATTTTCAAGAAACTGGTGTAACAAAGCTTACATGAGACAAAAGAGGCTTAGAACATTTGATCCATCAAAGACATCAGTTACATTTCTGTTTTACTCTGTCACAATCTGAAATACTGCTTGTGGTCATTGTGCAATTTTCAAGAAGCTATTTTATATGGACACCCCCTTTTTAGCACAAATTAGCAAAGGTTCTGCATGTGTCTGTTTAAAATGAGTTTCACTGTATCATGCATTTCACACTTTTATCATACACTTGTACCTCCTCTAGAAGACGACCCTCCACTCTCAGCTCCCATGAAGGAACAATATTTTCTTCATCCTGGAGTACAAAAGAATGTTTTGAAGAGTTAGATACATTTATTGCTACTTGACTCTTTGATAATCATGCAGCAAATTCATGTTGGAGGACCAAAAATAAACCATTATATAGCAAAGTATTAGTGTTATGAACCAGATTTCATACTGTGCTACGAAAATGATGCATGCAAATTAAAGCCGTTGCAAGGAAAATTAACAGCTAAGAAATAACATTGCAGCTTCTTTGCTGAGGATAGATTTTAAGATAACTTACTTCATTCTCTGGTCTTGGCACATAAAAGTTTGTAGTTAAGTAGATTCGCAACTTCTTCTTTTGCTGGAAAAAGGAAACAACAAAAACAAAATTTTCAGTACATTTATCATACTTACAATAATCCTAGTATAAGACAAGCAATTTTAATCATTTTGATTATAATGCAGAGTCTATATTTTACTTTGAAACAAAAAAACCCTCCTACCTTCATTGGCCTTTTCAAAGCTTCTTGAATGTCTAACCTCTTGCGCATTATGGTTGCATCCAGTTTCCGTTCAAAGGCAAGGAGGTCCATATATGCTTGTGATTCTGGTACAAGATCTCGCACCTGTCATGAACACAAAGTTAGTCAACAAGATTTCTTAGCTCCCTTCAGTGACATAAGTAATACAATGACTTCACTTACTCTTTGAGGAAGGATCTTGTCAGCCATCTTCTTCTTTCTAAAAAGGAAATTATACATCAAGCTTGATTTAAATTTCCACTTTGTTGGAACTGTTAAAACATAAGGTAGTTTTCAGTTAACCGTTTGAGTAATTCTTCTTACTGTTGGCCATACAGTAATCACTTGTTACTGTCAGGAGAAGTTCTTTCTTTTTCACTCATGGGAGTTGAAACACCAAGCAATTCTTGCAAATTGAGTTGCTTTAGTTCAGACTTACTACAAACCTTCTCCTGTTCTTGGCATCCTGTCTCCGCCTCGCCTGCTCCAGTGCAGCAGCAGCACCTGGTACCAGTCCTGCCCGAGGCACATTAGGACCATAAGGATGTACTCCTGATGTGCCCTGCATGCGCATTGCCATGGCAGTATTTGAACCGCTGGCTGGACGCTGAAAAATCACAAAAGTGATTGAAACTAAACTCAACCATGCAAAATTCATTAAAAATATCACAGGCACATTCCAGGGCAAACATAAGATATTCAATTTATATTTTTTATCATGAATGTTGAGACCATAATATAAAGTATATGATATGCTGAATTATACATGCATTTTGATTGGTTCTTACAAATCATCTCTAGGAGGAGACACAGAGATGATGTCACCATCAAACACATATTGCTTTTTATCAATATATCATTTAAACAAATAGATTTTAAGTTGCCTTGGATCTGTACAGTAATAGGTCACAGAAGACATCAAAATGTGATAAGAACATCAGTGATAAACTCTGCCTCATGAACCACTTTTTCATTTTGTGTTCTATTACTGAACAGACTCTCGGCAACATGGAATCTACTTGTAAGAAAAAGAAGTGGATTTGAACAACTTGAAAACTCATAATCGGAACTTATTTGTGCTACCATTCGTTGATTTTCAAAAAAATGTCCTCCAAAACTTGGTTTCCTTGTCATCGCTGCCGATCGGCTAAAGGGTTTCCTTATAACTTTCAGCAATCAACAGAAATCGTCAACGATCAAATGGAAACAAAGCTTTGGAAACAGACATGATCGTCCTCGTGCTTGTTTCAGAAAGATTTTAATTCGTGTTTTATAGTTAATGTGATGTTATCAGTTTAAAGGAAAGCAAAAGGAATCAAATAGTAAAGAACTCACCGAAATTCCATATGGTGATTGTTGGAACTGAGAGCGCTGATACATGGAGGACTGCTGCGGGTTATTTGCCATTTTCTGCATTGAAGCAGAAGCTGGAAAACGCGCCGCCATATTGAATGAAGAAAGTTACCCACAATGCAATGCAATGCTACAGCTTGTTTCGGAATCTTTCGGGAGTTCAAACTCGGATAACTTCGGAAAGATCCAATCAAGAGCTAAACAAGCGTTCGGGATTCCGGAAGAAAGCGGAAGTGACATATAAAAATATCCTCTTACGTGCGTCTAAGTGAGTGGTAGCATTCCTGTCTTGTCCCGTACAAGAGCGTTCGCAAGTTTGCTGTTGGCTTGACATTATGAAGACCGTTTTCGTTTGTCTTATATTTCTGACAGTTTTCATTGAGGTAATCTTCACAATTAAGATACATTTACCTAGCTTTTAGTTCACACTTATTGCAGCATGATTTGAATTTGTTCAGCTGCGTAATTAGGGACCTAAAGCAGTCAGGACGGCAACGCTGAGAAGGACTTGGATTAAAAAAATGAATTTCTGCCTTTAATTAGAATTTCAAAAATGGCTGCATGTGTTTACCGTCTCATACGGCGCCAGTCCTCGTTGCCGTCGCCGTCGCGGTTTGCTCAAAATCCCTAATAGCGCCCAACAACCTGAAATTTAACTATCGATTGTTCGACAGATGACTAGATCGGGCAAGTTTCTAAAGAAATTGTAGCGTCGAGACTGTAGGGGTATTACAAGACAATTTGGTTTTTCAACCGGGTTGACAATGAAATTTAAATGGCCACCATAGAAAGTTTTAAAAGCTCTTTGCGGTGGCTAATTTACATGATCATTTCAGTTGATAAAACAAAATTTTCGATTGTTTGGTCTCGCTTCTCTCTTCAAATCATTCTAGATTATAAGAGACTATAGGGCAAAGGTTCGAATCCCATCAAAGCCTGAATGTTTTCAAGCTTCTTTTTAGCAATTCAATTATAATACAGACCACCTGTGAGGCTTGTTTCGCTATTTGTTGTCTTTCTGGTCAAAATTGAGTGGGATTTGTCACCTAAACACTATTTTTGATTAGATGATGTTATTAGAAAAACCGTATACATTGTCTATTGAAAAAACTTTTAGCAATGATCAACAGAAATCTGAAGAACAATTGCTTGTAAAAATTTTGTATGTTATGGTGGAGGATTTAATTTCCAAAATTATTTTCGTTTTTGAATGTTTCAACATGTTGTACTCATATTTATGGTTCTGGTCATCATCATATGATAACCATTAACATCATCATCATTATAATCAATAATTAAGATTATTTTTGATGTTATCACCATTATTTGTATAATAAATGTTATTATTACACATAATATCCTCATTTCATTGACATTGAAGCCCAATCTCACAAGAAAATGTTCTTAAATGATTTTGTATCAGTCCAATGGCCTCAGATGTTCATACTCAAGGTACAGGCATGGCAGGCACACCACTACCTATTACAGGTGGGCAATGTTGAATTTTTTTCACATTATTTGCAAACTTTAAAAGAAATAAAGTAATGTTGTGATATCCTTTGATGTTTTGTTTCTATTTATTTGTTTATTTCAAACCAGTGAAAATATGAGTCAATGTGAATATGGATAACTCCTATTTGCTGCTATTTTTTTCACATAGTTGAAAACACTTGATGTTTTATTTGTCAGTCAAAGACCTCTAACAACAGCACTTCTGTTCTTCTTTTAGATGACTAAAACTGACTAAATTGGGAAGAAACATGTAAATTAGTGACATTTACATAATGTGCTAGCATTCATGATGATCTTTTGCTCTTTGCTGTGAATTAATTTTTTTTTCAATTTTTGCTCTATAGCTGTGCTAACAATGAATACTGTTGTGGAACTCGAAGTTGTTGTTCATATGTTTATACAAGATGGTACCTCTGGTAAGTACAAGTCAAAATTAGAACCTACCTCATTGCATAATTTATTAAGACATTTTGCATATTTCTCAATTCCTAATAATTTGTTTTCAATTCAAAGGACAGGCATTGTGGCCACTTTTGTGATTAGTTTTATAATTTGGTGGTACTATCGTTATCGCTATCGTCGCGCACATCAAGTAGTTGTAGCCCAGGTCCGACCCCCTCAAGCTGTGCATACCACAGTCACTGAGAGTGTGATGAGGGTACCTGCTGCCTACCCTGTGTACCCCCCACCAGGTCAAGCCACATTCATACCAGGCACAGGGAATACCCAGTATACAGCATACCCACCACAAGTTTATGCTTATCAGGATCCACCACCACCATACACAAGTGCTCCTATGGTGAAACAAGGTGCTTTTGTAAGCACTTCTTCTTAGCTTAGTCATTCAAGGCTCAGAGCTTAAACATGTTTTAGCTGCAGTGGTGAATAAGAAAAAAATTAGCATTATTACATTTGTAACAAAAGTTGCCAATTTGGCAACCTGCTGGTCTTGAAGTAAGTTGTGACATTTTTGTCGCTTAAAGTTGAGTAACTTTGTAATGTCATATTGCATAAAATGTCCCTTTTTCATTTTTTGTTTTCTGAGAGAAGTTAGCAAGGGTATTGTTTTAGCAAGAAAAGTTTGGTGATCCTGATGATGGTCACTATTTTGTTAAGACTTATACAAAAGTTTTTTAGCGCATTTTTTTTAACAAAATTTTTCCAGCTACCAGAATGTTACTTAAGACTTATTGTATCATATGTTTACTTTCATAAAAGATGAGCCTAGAGCCCAATTATAATTCTTTGGATGAATCCTTAGCTGGGAACCATTAACCTCTCAAGTCATGGGTATCATTAGTGTATAACTTACTCAGTATCTCACCCTACAAACTGATGACAAGAAAACAAAAATCACACATACCTACCCTTTGGAGATGCAATAAGGCAAACTTATACATGTTGGCCGGAATTTTAGGAGTGCAAATGAGTGAAGTCTCAAAAACTACAGTGCGAATCCCATAGGGGGGAAGGGTTGATATTTTCCTAGCATCTTGAAAATTAGTCTTGTCATATCAGTTCACTGATGGATGATTTTCTACTCACTGAGAATAGATTTTTTAACACACTGTATTATTAAGATGTTTATAGTAACTTTCTTAGAAGGTGTTAGATTACTTCTGATATTTAGATATAGATATTTTAGGCACATTTATGAGATATGAAGTGATGTCAAACATCATTCATTTTTCATCTATTGTGATCCATGTATATGCATTACCACTAAGCATTTTTTACACTCAGTGATGCATTGTTTTACTTTAAATTTACTTAACTTTGTCAAATACATTGTAAGTGATTCATGCAAAAAGTTGGTTATGACTTTGACTTGCTTCAAACTGCTGAGTGTAACACACTTAACTAAACAACCAATAAATAGTATGCATAGCTGTAATCAGTTATCAAATTAGCCATTAATAATAGTTGATTTTTTGTGACAAGTGATGATTCAGAACTAATTTTCACTTGTTATATTTATAAGTACATGTATATCTTTTTTATAAAAAGACATTGTGGGAAGAGAAGTCTACCATTCTCCAAATCTCAAAACCAACCCTTTGACAACTTGAGAAAAGAACTGCATTCCTTTTCAGGGTCTAAAAATTGAAGTCTGGCCAGGTTCATTTTCCTTGCCAACCTCTGTTGGTGGGGACAATACTTCCTACCATTCACTTATTTCCAAACAATCATTAATCTGCCATCAAATCCTTTCAATCTTCCATCTTTGTGGTCAGTTGTCCACAAAGCTCCCATGCGTCCCCTCCCATCTGCCCCTATCTTTAGTAACTGGACACAACTCCTCTCATGCATCCATCTCTGAGAGTCCCTCTTTTTACAAAATCTCTGCCACTATGTTTTCATAGGGCTTGTGACCTTTATTTTCACAACAGATACCATGCTGGGGCTGAGAAACAGTGGTACTTCTTTCGTAAATAAAGTAACCTCCTCCCCCATCTATTCATCACCATCACTCAGACAAACAGTCACTTTTATCTTCACGAGTTGATTGAATTACCACAACATCCCAAACTAATTTTACTGATGATACTCTTCATCTGTACTAAAGTAACAAGTGAGCCAAAGGAAAAAGTTTTATCATGAGATGTCAAGAGCTAAGAACTATTTTTGTTCCTTCTTGAGTCTCTCCTCAGCTTCTGAGGCATGAGATCTTGTTGACATCACCTCCCATTCCTGAATCATTTTTTCTTTGAGGAATTCACCATGTGGTTTGCCAACATTTATTGGAAGCAAAGCAGCATAAACTGGAGTCTCTGCACCTTAAAAACAAATCAATTATGGATAATGGTTGAATTATTTTATCAATGGAAAAGCATTATCATTCAACACAGTAAGCATGAAAAACTTTCAGTTGGTGGTGAAATTAATTCCCAAAGGATTGTTTGTTTGTGATGTAAATGAAAAAAAGGCATAGATCACCTTCAATTTCAACAAGTGAGGGCATGAAAAAAGTACTCAAACTACACATGTAAGATAACTAGAGGAGGTAGATGTGGGGAAAATAAAAATTCAGTTGTACCTTCCTTGGGAGATTTTGTTGCTTTTGGTCCAGCCATGTCTGTGCGTACCCAGCCAGGATCACACTGCAGAATAACAAAAAAACATTTTTTAGAAATTGATGAGCACAAACCTCACTGATGTCAACAACTTAACCCTCTCACTGGAAGATCTTGGTGATTCAGAGAATTTGGTATTGGGTCAACTAAAAATCTCCTGGATTATATTTGTCTTTATTCTCATCACTAAACTGTTTGATATTGTTTTGATACTGTAATGAGAAATTCTGTCTTGGTCACTGATGTGAGTTAAAGGGTTAAAGAACAAAAGGTAACAAAAGCTCACACACAAAAAAAAAACACTGCAAGGAAACTGAAAATCATTTCAACACTACTATAGTATAACTTCATAAAAAATCAACACTGAGTTTATATCCAGGACAACAACTGTCAATTTCATGTGTCCTTTATATGTAAATGTGTAAAATGTTCCCATTGATTTCGTTTTACTAACTTCAGGCATCCATCCCAACCTCAACAATTAACATAGCAAACATTCAATTTAATTTTCATTAATTTTAATTTTTCCTGCCACAATCATTTGTAAACTATCTTATATTAGCCTTTAGAACCTCAAAGAAATCAGCATCTGACTTTGCCTTGCAGCAATACTGCTGAATCTTCATTAAGATCATGAGAATAAAAGAAATAATTGAAAATCTTAGATTATTTACAAAATTCCCCTTGTCATCACCAAAGGGAATGTATAGAGAACAGTTTGGAGAATATAGATAATTTGTAAAGGGTTAAAACTATGTGGTTGTCATTGTCAGGATGGGGGGAGTGGAAGGTCACACCAAGTCGATTATGAAAAAGACACAGGAATTGACAAAGGAAATAAACATTTTAAATTAAGATGTCTGTAAATTAATTGTCAATTGCAAATTACATGATGATGATGATGATTGTATTTCAAATCACTTACAGCATTGATAAGAATGTCCTCTCTAGAATCTTGTAATGTATTCCTTGCTAGAATCTTGGTTAAAGCAATTATTCCTATATGGGACATTCCATAGGCTGGAAGGCAGAAAGAAAATTGGATTCAGGAATGCCCAGTTGTTATCAATTATTACATAGAGACTTAAAATACTGTTTAAGAGTTTATTTTACCAGAGGTTAACCATCCCTTCTGTGAGTGTGTACCATCCTTGGCATCTCTGGAAATATATTGTGGAAAAAAAGAGAAATATTCACTACAAGAAACAAATGTCCTGTGGTAATATATAGATTTTATTCTGCTTGTCGTGACCATGTTTGCCATTTGTAACACTTGCAAAATTGTATTCCTTAATTCAAATGAATTCTAATTCTTATCAACAACATTTGCTTGTTGAGTACATGCCATTATGGACAAAAAGCTAAAAGCCAGATTTTAATTACCAAAGTAAAGAAACATTTTATCACAGTTAACTTTTGTTACAGTATACAAATTGAGAACACAATGGTTAACATATAGCGCATTCACTTTAAGTTCTTGTTTGATAAAGCAAATTAATAGATCCATTGATCAAGAACTTACTTAACAAACTGATCCATCAAATTAGCAAGATTTTCTTCAGTTAATGTTGGAGAAGAGAACTTCTTCTGAAGGTCTTCTGATAGTTGAGCCAAACCTCCTAAATGGGAGGAAATATTCACCAATCTGGAAAATCAAAGCAAAGATACCTTTAGTATTGACAATGCTGAAAGACCTGGAAGTAACTTAACATTTACTGACACGTGATTGACAGTACACAATGAAGGATAATTTTCAATATTTACAATGGGGACAAACTGTTAGATATAAAGGGGGGGGGAGGGGAGGGGAGGGCTGGTGCAATCTCTTTTCTATCAAGTGCAGTCTTTCTATGCCCTGTCCCAATTTCTTGTGGTAAAAAAATGTAACACCCCCTCCCTCTCCCTCCTCTATGGCAAGCAATGGCCATTCTTAACTTCATGTTTGAGCGCACCCAACATACTTAACTGGGATCAGCAATTTCAAAAGCATGATGTGTCTAAGTAGATAATTATTCAAATAGAGCGTAGAATTTTCTGGAGTGACATGCTATATTGAAAGATGCAAGTTGTCTTATTCTGTTGTTTGATAGAGGTTAAAGGAGGCTAACAGCAGTAAATAATTTGATAAATGTATCTTTAAAACCAACCAAGCAAAACACCCTTGGTTTCCTTTCTGCATGGGAGCTTATGATCCTTACTAACCTTGCATGTGGTTTTAAAATTGGTAACAGTGCTCTGCACACATTAAGCGTACCATGAAAGTTTGTCTGGATAGTCACTTCAGCTTGTTCTGGGAAAGGAACTGTGGATGCCCGCTAATTAATATTCAAAAACAAAAAAAACAAATATCAATACTTCACTTTTCAGTAGATTTATCTAAGAGGGACATCAGTTTTTTAACAGTTGATGTAGGGACATAGGATAACCCTTTTATCCCTCAGAGTGATTAACATCTTATTTCTCCTTAGAGAGCTACTACTTAATCAAGCATTTAGGTCATGAGAATAAAGGTAATGATCACTTATGAAAGGGGCTCTAGATCATAAAACAAATTCTCCATGTCAATACTGTAGAATATTAGGGTGTAAAGGGAATTTAACATCTAGCATTATAGCTTAATACCAAGCTTATGATATGTCCTTGGGTATAGATGCTTTACAGGCACCAATGCTGAAATATATGTAATACACAATAATTCTGAGCTTGATTCTCAAGTATTTCCTCTCACAACCTAACCCTATCACTCCTAAGATCTCATTAGTAATTCTCCCTACTGTATACCATACAATTCTTATGATTTTTCTTCAGAGAATTTGGTATTTGATCAACTTATAATTTACTTATAAGTTATAATATTTTCCTTTATTTCTCATCACTTGTCCACTTGATATTCTATTGATATGGGAAGGAAAAATTCTGTCTTGATCATTTGTAGGAGTTTTAGGGTTAATGCTTGTTTCAACCCACCTTAAAAGCTATCCCGGCATTATTTACAAGAAGATCCAATCCACCATATTGCTCCATGAGATGTTTCTTTATCCTCTCAATGCTTTCTGGTGAAACAATATCCAACTGATGAAATACAGGTGAAGCACCTTCAGTGCTTAGTTGTTTGACAGCTTCCAGTCCTCTTTGTTCATCCCTTGCTAAAAGCAAAGTTCGCAGACAGTCAAAATGATACAAAACCTTCTGCAGGTAAGGATTATAGATTGACCTAAAAATTAGGTTTCTGATTTTTGGCTGGCAATCTTGTTAAAGTGAAGTACTGTATGCATCAGATTGGGCTGCTACTCTGATCCACATCAGGTGTTACCAAGTATAAGGAGTCTCATGAATGAGACCAAACAACAAACTTTCCCTCATCCTATTATCTCCTTAGCACCAGCCTCAGCATGTCACACATATGCCCCCCCTCCTCCCCCCGGCAGTAAATCTTAAAAAAATGTCCATACAGGAGAATCCTCAGCCTCCAGTACGTGAGCTGGGTGTCCTGTGGACTGATCACCCCTAAAAACCATCAGATAACAGAAAACCAGTGGACCTATAATTTTTTTTCTCTGTGGGCAATGTTGCCCCTCATCTGGATTTACAGAGTATAATGCAGTTGTGCAAAAGCCAAAAGAATGTTTAGGAACCACCCAAATGAAAAGTGCCCATTATTTACTTTCCATTCCCTAATTAACCCTTTTCACTCCCATGAATGACCAAGAGAGACTTTCTCCTTACAATATCACCTAAGGGATTGTTAGTCGATCCAATACCACGTCCTCCAAACGAACATTATAGGAATTGTATGGCCGACAGTAAGGAGAATTACTAAAAATTAGATCTTGGGAGTGAAAAGGTCAAGAAATTATTATTTTGTTTAGGTTAAGGTTATATTAAGAAGAACTGATCACCTGTTAAAATAACAGTTCCAGAAAATTCTTTACACAACTTTTTGACTATAGCAAATCCTATTCCCTTGTTAGCACCTGTAACCTGCAGATTGAATGAAACTCCATGTTTTGTAGTTTAGAATACTATCAACAAAAATGAGATTCTCGAGAAGGCTTTGAACTTAACGAATCAAACTGAATTGCCGAAAAGATTTCCTTATATAAAGAGTTAAAAAGAATCACTACTCACAACTGCAACTCGCATGTTTGGAGACTTTTTCAAGGTTCACTCAGAGAAGGATTGGACACTAATAGCACAAATGGGGATCGAGATGGTTGGATAGGACAGGCAAGTACTAAAACATGGAACGACCTAAAACTACCTAAAACCACCTACAACCACCTACAACTATCTACAACCATCTCAAAAATTTCAACAACGACCTACAACCACCTCAAAAACATCTACAGCCGCTCGCAAACTATCTAAAACCATCCAAAACAAGGCATAAATGTCTTAAATAAAGCGAAACGACAACATGCCACATACATGAAATACGAGAATCGAATGAAACCTCCACCTCCCGCTGAAATCTTACTCTCCCTGGTCCCATGTATAATCAACCATCTCACGAAATGAAATGCGAGAGCATGCCAATTATATTTTTTATTACCTCAGTAGTAAAAGACCTAAAGAACTTTTCTAGCAGACGTTTTGGCTCACGTTTCATTTGTTTACGTAATGGTCCAAGGTAGTGTTTTTCTCCATTTATAATCTCAGCAATGGAAATGTAATTGTAGCAAAACGTGAGTGAGCACCACTCGTGCAACTGCATGCTGTATGAATACCAGCACGATGGCGTTCGTGCCAAAGGAAGATTCCAAATGCACGCACAGTTCGCTTGAAATATTTCTAATGATCATTCTTACTCATACTTTTTCTAGACGTAAGCCAAAACGTCTGCTGGTACCCAAGGTAGAAAAAGCCAAGTCAAGTCAGTCTTGACTATGAGTTTGTTATTTTACTTTATTATTTTTTGTAACTTGGTAGTTCATTTTGTAAAGTTCTCTAGGTCTTTTACCACTGAGGTAATAAAAAACATAAATTGGCATGCTCTCGCATTTCATTTCGTGAGATGGTTGATTATACATGGGACCAGGGAGAGTAAGATTTCAGGGGGAGGTGGAGGTTTCGTTCCATTCTCGTATTTCATGTACGTGACATGTTGTCTTTTCGCCTTATTTAAGACATTTATGCTTTGTTTTAGATAGTTTTAGATAGTTTCCGAGTGGCTGTAGATGTTTTTGAGGTGGTTGTAGGTCGTTGTTGAAATTTTTGAGGTGGTTGTAGGTGGTTTTGGGTCGTTCCATGTTTTAGTACTTACCGGTTAGGACTTAGTTAACAGCGGTTGTGGTTAAAAAAAGAAAAGTTCCCCATTGCATTTGTAACTCTTCTTATAACAACGTTAGCAAATAAATCTTAGAAATCACAAGTAGAACAAGGCATTTGTCTCATTGAAAAGAAAGGCAGACCAAACTATCTATCCTCTCACCCCTCCCTTTTTTTGCCTTTTTGCGACCGATGCTGCACAAATGGTACCCAGTCTTTAGGCAGTTTCACACACCACCTTGACGAAACAAAGTGGTCGACATGTCTTCCTCAAAAGTTGCAGTGGTAAGCTCATTTAACTTTAGAATTTCAGTATTTCTCCTCAAATCATGGCCACCTATGCAGCTAAGTGCAAAACTTAGGTAGATGCGCGCCCCTTGATGATAGACCAGGGTACTGTTTGCGATGATGTCAATCGTGCAAAAACCTAGCTACATACCTGATATGTTACCGACTGAGTTCGTGTTTTGTGCTACTCTCATGATATTTCAGTCGACAGGGACCACGCTTCAGAGCCCAAGTTTCAGTATTCTTATCGTTTATGTTTTTATGTGCAACTTTGGTATTTTAGGACGAGAACCATGTGGGAACTGAATTCAACAAAACTGAAAATCGAATAATTTCTTTAAGTGTCATGCTCGATTTTAGATGTTTATTTACCTTGCAATTTTCCTCCTAAAAAATATTTAGCTGTTAATTCTAGCTTTGAGTGATAACAGTACAGCTACAATTAATTGCAAGGGACTCTTTTAGTGGGAAGGGTGAGGGCTGGTTTATGAATCCATCAGTTTAACCCTTCAACTCCCAAGATCTCATAAGTAATTCTCCTTACTGTCTGCCAAATTATTCTCATTATGTTAGTCTAGAGAATTTGGTATTGGATCAATTAGTAATCCAATAATTGACATTTTTCTTTATTTCCAATGCTGTAGGTTACTGGTGCCAATAAAGGCATAGGTTATGCTATTGTTCAAAGACTCTGCAAAGAATTCCCAGGAACAGTAATTTTGACAGGTACACTTTTAGACAGCAATGCTTTGGTAATCTGATGTGAGCTGATTGGTCAGTTTAGCCTTGATGTGGTTGGCTATAAGATTCAAATGGTATTGTTTTGTCATTTCTTCTTTAACAGCACGAGATGAGCAAAGAGGCAAGGAGGCTGTCAAACAATTAAGTGGTGAAGGACTCACAGTGTCATTTCACCAGTTAGACATTATTTCATTAGAAAGCATTGAAAAGTTTAGAAAGTTCGTTCAGGAACAGTATGGTGGCATTGATGTTCTTGTTAACAATGCAGCAATAGCCTACAAGGTCTGTTGATGCCTTTTGTTTTCCTATAGTTTTCAATTTGAAGGATGATAGAGGGGCTTTTATTTAGTGTTTTAAGTTAATCATTTTAACTTTTGTACATGATGACGATGTTACTTTCAACATTTCACCAGAGTGGAAAAGCCAGACAGGAAAAATTTTGGCCATGTTATCCAACCCAACCTTTCTCAGTCAAACAATATACTCTATGACTGCTACTTTACCTCTTTCTTCATTTTTACTTTTCTCTTTATTCTCACCTTTCCATAAATTGAGCTATGAGACTTTTAGCAGCTCTGCTGGTTTCATCTTGCACAGCCCTCAAATTGTGATTTTTACTGTTTTTCAATAAAGCAAGCCAATTGCTATTTTCGTTTTCGCAGATGGCATCTACAGCTCCATTTACAGAACAGGTTGAAGTGACTCTGCGCACAAACTTTCAGGGCACTCTTGACGTCTGCCATGCACTTTTCCCTCTCTTGAGACCACATGCAAGGTAACATCTCTTTTGCTTTATGTTAGCCCTTTCACTCTCAGGTTCAAACAAGAAGTACACTTTCATGTAGACAGGTGATGAGATTAAAGACAAATATAGACTAGAGGTGATTACTTTAATTATATTAACAGAATTCTCATAACTGATATCAGAAATAATGAGTGCCAGACAGTAAGGAGAATTGATATGGAGAATTTAGGAGTGAAAGAGTTAATTGCTAGAAGCATATTCATGAAGTAATAATGTTGTGAATCTAACCAAATTTTATTACAACACACTTCTTTCAACCATAGTTTGCCAAATCTTGCAGAAAATTTTGTTGTCAGGACAACAACAAAGTTGGTCTGATATCACAAATCATTTCTGTGTGAGCTGTTTTTTTTTGGGATAACTTATTATTCTTGATATGAATTTTTATTTTCAAGGGTAGTGAATGTGTCCTCCAGGGCTGGACGTTTGGCTCAGGTGTCAAAAGAAATTCAAGAGAAGTTTACTTCTCCAACTTTGACTGAAGAAGGCCTTATTTCCTTGCTGGATCAGTTTGTGCAGTAAGTTTGTTTGATATGTAACTTTCCTACTGACTCTACCTTAGAAGCTCAGTATCTAACTTTGAGGATTATTTTAATCATCTTACATTTTTCTTCGCATATAGAATTTCCTTGAGTAAGTGCCCAAGCACCTAGTCATAATTTCAGTACTTATTAGGAGGAGAGCATTCGTTGAAGGGTGGGAAAATTAAAAAAATTTGAAACCTTTTCTGATTCCGTAGTGGTGGAAGCCTTAAAAGTTATGATTATAGCAGTAGTAGAGGCAGGTTTTCCTTTCATCCCTGTTATTTTAGAAAGTGAAGGAAGAGGGGGGCACTTATTTGAGAGAGGTGTTTTTATTTGATATTATGGCCAAAGGGAAGGGCACTTATCAGACTGCAGGCACTTATTCAAGGAAGTATGGTTTATGGAAAATTATCATATTTGTCAACTTTGAATTGAGAGATTAAAATACATTTAACTCATTATTGCTCTTTAGAGATGTAAAGGATGGCGTCCATAAGCAGAAAGGATGGTCCAACTCAGGTGAGATATTATGTAGTCATGCTGTATTCTCTTTCGTTCTTCTTGATATATTACATCTAGTTTGAAATTAATAGTGATTAATAATGGTAATTGAACTGAGTGGGGTGCAATTTGGGCTGAAATCATACGCATGATTTCCAAATAGAACAAGCGCACAGTGCAAGTTCGATTTGAAATCACAAGTATGATTTCAGACCAAAACTGCATGACACGAGGTTCAATTACCACTTTATTGCATCCATTTTGAAATCACCCAAATACAGGACTTGGTCAGTTCAAATATTTTATTAATGCAGTACTGAGCCAGTCTGAAATTAAATTCATCCATTTTTTGGGGGGAAAAAAGTAATAGTTTTGGGAAAAAAGTTGCAAATTTGCTACATGATACTCTTTGTCTTTCATTTTCCTGCAATTTGATTGGTTACTTTAAACAAGCCTTGAAATCTGATCGGTTTTTATGTTGTTAGTGTAGCCTCCTCATTGGCTGGGAAAAATATGCAATTTAAAGCAAAAAATGGTGCGATTCATGAATAAATTGCATCAATTAGAGCCAATCAGATTACAGGGACCACCAGTGATTTCAAAATGGGTGTAACAAATGCAATTATACTGGTTGTCAGCAGTGCAAGTTACTCACATTAACAAAACTCCAGATGAGGGTAATTAGCCTTTAGAAACCCTTTATGCACTCCACTCACTTTCCTTATCATTATGTATTGGTATGCTTGAGAATCTTCTATATGATGATAGAGTGCTTTTGATCCACAGCTTATGGTACATCAAAAATAGGTTTGACAGCTCTTAGCAAGATACAGGCGAGGGCATTGACAACAGATCCAAGGGAGGACATTTTATTAAATGCTGTGAGCAGATTTCACTGATTATTTTCTCTGCTTTTGATTCATTGTGACCATTGATTAAGATTGATTAATCTTTCTATTAATTTATTTTTGGGTTGGAGTAGTGTTGTCCTGGATGGGTGCGGACTGATATGGCTGGACCAAAGGCTCCCAAAAGTCCTGATGAGGGTAAGTATTCAACAAAGATCTCATGGCAATTAAATTTCTCTTTTATTAAGGTAAAAAAAGCTGTCCAGTATATTGCCTTGCTTCTGGCCATTTTTAATTTCAGTTTTAATTTTTAGTTTCCATGTTGATCCCTTTAGTAATATCTTAAGTTAACAATTTTCACAAAATTGTTTAGTCTCGTGGGATATATCCTTCCAAGTGAGCCATTTCTTTAGATGCTGTAACTTTTGTTTGTATTGAATAGTATAGCAGCTGAACTGTTACTTTTTATGAACCTTTCTTGACTAAAGCCTGCTTAAACTATCAATAAATAGCAAAATTATTCAGGTTTCTTTGCTAACATTTTTCTGTATGGAAAATCAAAAAGGAAGTAATCAACAGAAGTTTTTTTGGCCACAAACTCGGTAACATACCATTACTGTTTCTCTGATTCTTCAATTTATAACATGCAATTAATTTTTTGGATAAAGTAAATTGGACTTGTCTACTTTTTCAGGTGCAGAAACACCTGTCTACCTTGCCCTCTTGCCACCAAATGTTGGCAAACCTCATGGGGAGTTTGTTGCTGAGAAGGCTGTGCATGAGTGGTAACCCAGTGCACATCAATAGTAACCTAGTAACCTGCCTGCGCACACTTCAGAAGAGAAGTGCTAACCTGTCATCCTGTGGCTAAATAAGAAAAAGGCCACTATTTAATGCAAAAATATGTTGCAATATATATCCATAGACATTATTTCATTGCACAAAATTGGGCTATTGTTTTTAAATCACTCTTGTCTCTTTCATACCTTTATCTGTGGCAGAAAGTAAATGTGGAACAAGCAATTATTTTAGAGGTGTCTTTGCATGGAAACTTTGTAGTTTGTCAGAAGAATTGGTAAATAATTCTCTTTTTAGTGGTTTCAAATTGTTTCAGTGTCAAAGAAAAGGTAGATAGTCCATTGTAGTTGCAGGGTTCTTAACTAGTCTTTATCAATCAAACAGATGTACCAGTAGTTGTAACAGGCTGTTAGTTTTTAAAAGAATTGCCAACAATGTTGTGATGTGATTAGGGAATGATATTGTCAAAGAGAACAAAACTAGCAATAAATAATAGATGATGATAAGAGATGATAAATTATTTGATTGCATATTTTGTCTTGTTTGTAGATGTACTACTTCTTTTCTTTGTTAGCCAACACATGTAACACATTCCTTTGTCAATTGCTTAAGAAAATCAGTGATAACGAACATATTCAGTTGATTTAGTTTTCATACCAATCCTCCTAGATGTTCAAATGCATGGCTGCATTACAATCCTTTAATATGTGATTTGCACTCGTGCAAGTTCTCCCAGAACATCTGGTTGCCTGTAGAAGGTCAAAAATCTGAAAGAAAATAATCACTTTATGTTTTAACTCTTAGATAATCATAATCTTTCTTAATAAAAAGGGTTGCACTTTTATCAGGTTTCTCTTTTTCTTGAGTTCGTTAATCATTTACTGATTTTAAGGAAGTTAATATAGTTCCTTTATCTCTCCCACCTTCCCCCTCCCCCTCTCTACACTCATTTCTGGATCATTTCAGATGCTATTATCCCATTTTGGACGCTTCCAATCTATTTCAGGCACGTACGTCCGATCTTCGATGCACTCAAGAGACAAATTTTAGACAGTTACGCTAAATTTCGTTTTCTTTCGTCCGCTTTTGGACGTTATTATTGTCCCATTTCGATCAGTTCCGTCCAGTTTCGGGCTCTTCCTTCCATTTTCGGACATCATTGTTTGATTTCAAACGCAACTGTCCGATGTCGTTCGCGTCCGTCTGATCTCCGACGCTTCCTCCATTTTCGGATGGTTTCGTCTGATTTCGGACGCTTCCGTCCGATTTTATACGGCACCGTCTGATTCCGGACGCCATCGTCTTATTTCGAACGCATCCGCCCGATGTCTCACTTTTGTTACATACTAAAAGAATGGATAGCGTTAAAAGGCGCGCTACACTCCAAATATCCTTCACCTCCGAACAACGCGTGCAAGATTTGCCGAAAATATTGTAATCGTTACGGGAATATATGAGTTAAAATCACTATTTTAGTATGTACTAAAAGAAACATTCACCATCCTTCCAGTAGGTAGTGGTGAAAATTTGCCTCGCCATACTGACACTGCATAAAGGAGACGCCCACAGCTTAGTAGCCTGGTATTTTGTTAAATGCCTGGCTACTGTATAATTAGTTTGCCATGGCTGCCGGACTCTCGCGTCCCCGGTATCAAATTTGATGACAGAGAAATTGACCGTCCTCTCGTTTTGTTTCTTCTGGTCGAAACATCCTTAGGTTGGAAATATAATTCGACGAAGAAGAAAATAATTTTCTTCAAAATCTAAAGTTGGCCATGGTGAGTTTGTCTCCAGATGTTTGTTGTCTGTACGCTTGAGGCGGCTAAACTCGCTATGACTTTCCTCAAATTTATCTTCCTCTTTTCAAATCGCAAATGCTTAATTTTATCCTGTGGCTGTTTCTTGGTAGCTTTGTTTACTGAGTTTTCAACCGAATTTAGTCCTCCTAAAGTTTCCGATTTATAGCTGTCATTATTATGACAATTTATTTTGAATTAATAAATTCTCTGATTACTTTCATTTACGGCATCTATCTGATGATCTCTTCAGGGCTTCATGTAATATTTCGCACATGAGCTTAAGCTCACTGATTAATTTTGATGTCATTTTAATTATTTGGACAATGACGCGAAAATGACGCGCGAAATTATTAATTTTTGTTATCTAAATACTTGATCGATAACAAAGTCGTAAACATTCTCATGAATATGCGAAAATTATTAAGGATTTTTTTTTACTTCAATCTCATTGATCACTGTTCTGTTATAGGACATTGGATTAAATGAGCATCATCAACAAATTGTGGTAAACTACCTTAGATTTGCACGTTATGGCCGAGGACAGAGACTCAGGGGAATAGATGCATCTTTTGAGGAACTAAAAGACAGCAGGTATGATGTAGACAGTATTGTGTCACTCCTAGTCTCATTACAACTAACTGCACCTGGAATGTATCTTATTATCCAACTGCACAGAGGAGAGTACAAATAATGCGCCAGTAGAGTACAAATCCTGCAATATTGTACAGTTATTTGGACCATTGGTTATTCTGTACAATTAAAAGAACTTGTTTAACCAGTCAGCTGTGCATGCTACACTCCTCTATCCACTTTGCTTTTCCCACCTCATGAGAAACGAGCAGAAAGACTTAACAGAAAAAAAGCAGTCGGATATTAAAAACTTATTAGATGTCTTGGTGTGTAGTATCGCTGAATATTTTTACTTGCAGTTTGTGTTTTGACTATATTTAGCTATAATACACACCAAAATGTCTAATAAGATATATGTACTATCAGTGGAATGGTCAGGGTTTGAAGAAGTAGCAAAGGTTTATGCACAGACCTCGTACTGTAAAGTTCCTGGGGTGGAGTACAAGGCCATACCTGAAAATAGCTCATTGGTTTATCTCCTGCCACTTTAAAGTTGAAAGTTTTATGGTATATATTTCCATTATTTAGAACCTCATTTCAAATTTGTTTTTCTATCTCCTAATTTTACCAGGATGAGTTAGTGTACATGGGATTTGAGAAAGTGGGAGAGGGAGGGTTAATAGGGGGAATGGAAAGCAGGCAAATAAGTCCTATGAGGAAAGAATTATTACCACAGTGAGCACCAGTAACTTATTATTTTGATATTGTTTATCTTTCAGGCCATTTATTTTTAACTGACTTACTTTTAACCTGAAATTCATCCTTTAGCCAATGATTAATCCAGACCAAAAAAAGGGATTGATACCATAGAATGATTGCTTACACAGACTTGTAGAAGACACATACACTCTTGATGAAGTGACAGACATGTTAGATGGCCTTTGTGCAGTGGTTAGAGGAGAAGTTGAATCTGAACTCATTAACGCTGCACACACCAATGTTCTTCTCCTGAGGCAAGTGTTTAGTCAAGCTGAGAAATGGCATTTGAAGCTACAGGCTGACATATCAGAACTGGAAAATAGGTAAGGAGTATGTTTATTTAATGGCTCTTTAATCTTCAGATTTAAATCGTCATTTGTTTTTCACCTATTTGCAGAGAGCTTATAAATGAAATTGCAAAGTTTGAAGAAAGGGAATTCTCTCCCGGTGCACAAAGCTCACAGGTATAGTTTTCATGTCATTATTACAAAATGAACAAGTTTAACAACTACAAATGTCTGTTGAACAAAAATTAAAAAGATTAAAAAAAGGTAAAAAGTTACCTTCTGGAAATGAATTTTTCCAGGATGATGCATATCCTGGAAATAATGCATGCTGTGTGCTTTGGAAGTATCCAATCTTTTGGCCATATTATCATTATTGTAAGGGATGGATATACTGATGGCTGTTACTATCTTGAGAATAATGTACTTTTGCTATGTGGACATTTATCCATTGGATAGCAATTTTACTAATCTTTGGTTTAGTGTTTACCACCCTGCAGTTAAGTTAGGTGTTAACACAGCAAATGGTTTGAACCCAGTGGTAGTAGAGGTTAGGTGTTAATGTTAAACATCTTACAAATTTTTAATTCAAGCCTGAATTTTTTTTTGGTTTTATTTCTAATAAAATTTTATTTTAGTTGTGTTTATAACTACAATGATCTTTCTTCTTTGAAATTTTCCCCCCTTTATCATAACTTAAACCTAAGATTGACAATCCTTGATTAAATAACATGTATTTGCCACTCCAGAGTCTGATACATGTATATATCCACTTGTCTCAGTTTTTTTTTTTCCTCCTGTTAGACTAAGCTGTCCAAACTGTCCCAAACCTCAAAGCTTGAACCTTTAAATGAGGGTGGAGGTGCAGCATTACTTCAAATAGTAAGTTGATAAATTTACTGAATTGTTGCCATAAGGGGTAAATCTCAGATGGACCTCTTTGCTTCCTCCTCTAGCCCTGACCCCTCCCTTCTTCACTTTGTCTCAGCATTGTTTCAATATCTTTTGGGATTCATGGTTGTCCCTGAAGAGAAATTGAGGAGGGAGGGGATGATAACATTTCAAATGATTGGGAATGTACTAAAAGTGATGAAAATTACATCACTCAGTGTTTGCTTGTATCATCTGTTTTGATTATTCTGCTTGCATTTTTTACAATTGATTATAACTGATATTGAACAATTATTGTCCATTAGTAGCAGCTTTACAAAATTCAACTAATGCGTGACATGTCTAATCTACTTGTATTCATGACAATTCAGAACTTACAAATGTCTAAATTTTCATCTCTTCAGTTTTAGTATGGAGTCATGAATATCATGAATATCATGACTCCATAGAATGACCCCTGGTCAATATTTGATGAGGTGTTGTGAAACATTATATTATTGGTTAATTTCTGAAAAAGAGAGCAGGCTTTGTCTAATTTCAAACTGATTATGAATAATTAATGAAACAAGCTTTTTATTGTCAATTGTTCATCATTTATTTATTGAGTTGTCTTTCAAATACTTCTAAACTGCATCTTTATTGGTGGGTTCATTATGTTCTATGAAATAATGCCCCTTACCTAAATCAAACATTTAAAGTAGAGTTTACTGTTCACAGCTCATTTTACAGAGTACAGATTTGTATGGTTTAAACCTTCTTAAATATGCACAACCAATATTTTTTATTTATTATTTTTTTTTTTTAAGGAAGGTAGAGTTTATTTTCAGATATTTTTTCACCTCAAACATAAACCACAATACACTTGAACTTTTAATTATTCATTACAAATGACTGTGATGTATCAGATGTTCTAAATGTTACAAGCATCACACAACTCCATGGAAACAGTTTGTGTATTTACAAGATATATATACAATGATGATAACCTGCTAAAAGAGTATATAAAGTGATCTGTTGTGGATGATTGTGAAGATTGATTACAAAAGTCCGTGCTGTAGAAATGATTCTTTTACAACTGTCAGAAAAAGAACTCCTAACAGAACTGATTAGGGATCAGCAAAAGGTAACTACAACTTGGAGTGTTTCACTTCAGATGGATGGATCTAAACACATCACTTTGAAATAGATAGAATTTTAGTTTTAACATAAGGTGATATTATTTTATGGCTCTTAATCATGTGTTGGCATTTCAGAAACCTTGCTGCAGCTGATGACTTGAAGCCTTTGCTTTGATGTTATTTACCCTCATATAAGTTGAGCTTACCGAGGGGATATAATTTTTACATGATTGATCAGAGTCTAACAAATTTATCTCTGTTATTTTAGGTTGATTACCATTGTTATCTGATATTGTTAACACTTTCTATGGGGGCCTTAATTTACCAGTCTATCCTGATCTCTCATAAGAAATATCATCTTGCATGTTGTATACAAATTCTTTTGCAAGATTCTTCAGATAAGCTTTATAAGCAAAACTTATTATGATAGGCATTCCATTCAGCTAACAAGATGTTTTGTTTCCTAGGAAATAAACCGCTTGAATGAGGAAAATTCAAAACTCAGAGATCGCATCAAAATTTTGGAAGGAAAGGTGTGACTATTAAATCTGAAATAATCTTCCATCATTACAATGGTTTTTCATTTGGTATTACTTAAAATGCTTTTTAAACAAGTTTGATCCTATTTTTGTCTGGTCTTCATAATTTGACAACTTGTAGTCAAAAGCAAAGCAAACCTTTATGAAAAACTGATCCATGTTTTTCGTTTGCCTTTTTGTTTAGGCAACAAGTGCTATTGGTGAAAGAAGTAAACTTCAAGCTGATCTGGAAAGTACCCAAGCAGCTTTGAAAGCAAAAGGCAATGTTAAGGTTTGTCCAGTACCTGACATATCTTTAAGATTTGGTCAAATTGTTGAATCATACTCATTTATTTTTTATCCCTTTAACTCCCAAGATCTGATTGGTAATTCTCCCCTCTAGCTGCTACACATTAAAACTAGTTACAATAATATGGTGTTAGATGAAGGTAACAACCTACACCTGATGAGTTTGAGTAATCTCATTACCTTTTTGTTGGATAATGTATTAATATTATAGAGAGAAGTTACATGTTAATATAGGTTAAAGGAGGAACCTTTAATTACAAGTAGCAACTGAAGGCTTCTTTAATTTTCAGTATTAAAAGGTTCCTGATTCTTCTTCTTTCACAGGGACATGGCAAAGAACTTGCTGACCTGGAGGAACAGATGGCTGCTACTAAATTAGATCTGAAAATGGTAATGACAAACATGATGATGGATTTTTATAGAAGTCCATATCAAACAATTTTGTTTTATGTAATTTTCCCTTTTTTTACAGACAAAAGAAAAGGGCTCTACTCATGCTGCGTCATTGCACGATGAGTTAACAAACACCAAGGTGAGATATTCAAATTTGTTACTTAAACACTTATGTGATCATAAAAAAAAAGTTACTTAAGAGTCAATCTTTTTAATCCTTTTGTTCAGTGGATTATCTTCTAGGTAGAAGTGTGTGCATACCCTGTCTTACTCCTTACCAATTTCCACATATTGGTGTTAAAATATGACTGAAACTAATTAAAAAAAGTAATTGCTTGTGATTCTAGAGTTAGCAATTTTGTATGGTAATTAGATTTTAAAATGATATGCCTAAATGTTTCTGTTTTAATTTTTAATTTCTCCTCTTGTGTAGCATGAGATTCTAAGGCTTCAACATGATTTAGAAGAAGCACAAAAGGTAAATAATCTCTTGTACAGTACACAGGGAATCTGTTTTATGTCACTGCTATGTTTTTTAGTCTTTCTCTTTGCTGGAAGAATGTTGCCTTAAAACTTTTCTTGTTTTTTCAGGATCTTGCCAAGAAATTTAATGAAACAACTCAATACAAGAACATGAAGCAGATGTTGACCTCAAAGAATGACCAGATTAAAGATTTACGTAGTCGCTTACGCAAGTGAGTTTATGTGACTCCTCTTGCTTTGCAGCAACATGTTGTTACAAGTAATTACTTAATACCAGTGGCTGCTTTCTAGATAGTCTCAGTAACTTTATACTTCCAAGATAAATCTTCAACCCTGATTTTAAGAGTTACAGTGAGGGTCTTAGTTCTAAAACCAGTTCATTTTAAGGTCCTAAGAATAATGGAAATGATCACCTACTCATGAAGCTCTCAATTGGTAAACAAATTCTCTTCGTCAGCACCTTGGGAAACGTACAGAGAACAGTATGGAGAATCTGCAAACTGATGTTAGGGTATAAAGGGACAAGTTATAAAATTCCAGACACTCAGTGTTGCCTCTTTGCTGGTGTGCCCTACATGCATGTATCATCTTTCTTAGAATAATGAAGATTCAATTGACTTAACTAAGTACTTAGGCCATGCTTTGTCATTTTCCAGATATGAACCTGACACCTGAAGAAATGCTTTGTGACTTGTGGCATCCAAAGAGAAGTCAATGAACTTATTCCATGTAACATTGAGCTAACTATGCTACAAACACTTACTACTGACTTAGGCTCAAACTGTTGTGTAGTGTTCTGGCTGAGAAAAGTTCACTGAATAATTACTGAAGTTCTTTAACACTGTAGAAAGAAGTATTTCAAGTGATCTTGTATTGATTTTTTTAAAAGTTAATGTAAGTTATATTACTAGCCAAAACATTATATACATGAAGATATGTTTAAAGGAAAAAAACAAAACAAAATGAAAATGGCAATTGAATGAAGCAAGTCAAGGAAGTGCAAAGCAATTAACAATTAAATGTTTGTCTCTTTATTATTTATTACATGTAGGTGTTTTTGTCCTGTTATGTGTCGAATAATAAACCAGGCATAGTCTTGTGCACATGGATTTTATTGCGAAAAGGTTGTGTTTTAAATATAAACAGCAGCTCTGCATACTCAAATGACACCACCTAAAGAAATGAGACAAGTTCAATTTTTAACTTGCAAACTGCCATGTAAATTTTACAGGTCTGGCAATTTATATTGATCACAAAGCTGTCACATAAAGCAGTACACAAGTATCTCCTCTCTGATTTCCCATTTATTTACAAACTTCCATCCTACTCTAAATGCCCTTTCAATGTTTTGGTCTTTGATACAACCATACACTGTCAATTCCTTCCTCAATCATATCTGTTGGTTTCCAGTTTGGTAATGGAAAGCGACAAGCTAATATTTGAGCATCATCCTTCATTTCTTCCTGGAATTTATCTTGGAGCTTTGGCATCTACATATTTCCAAGTAGAAAGAAACAATTATTAAGTAAGTAAGTAATAACTTTATTTAACGAGGGTAAAGACATTGATTACTGGTCACCCAGTAGTTTTCATAATGGCCCTCCTACAATTAAAGTACTAAGATGTATCGATTGAATAATTGACTACCTATATAATCTACAAACTAAAATTACATTAAGAACTACTATTAATACAATATTGATTGATTTACTACTAATGAAACTAAAAAGTTTTACGAATCTTAAAATCATCAAGAAAAGAAGTCATACTACAGTAAAATTTAACTAAGTAATTTTTAAAATTAGTATGAGAGAGTGTCTTTGGTTCGGGATCAAGAGCGTTCCACAAACGGCAAGCGCTTGAGTGAAACATTCTAAGGCCAGAGTTCCTTTTACAAGCTGGTGTTGTAATATTGTTATTAGAAGCGGATCTCGTGTTATAATTATGGGTGTTACTTATATGTTCAATATATTTATTAAAATAAGTCGGGCAATGTCCTTGATTTATTTTATGAAGCAAATAAAGCTTCCTAATACGTATGATCTCATCTATAGGCAGCCAATGTAATTTGTTAAAAAGCTTGACTGAGTTTTTGTGAGTATCAGCATCTAAAATAAGCCTAGCACATCGTTTCTGTAGTCGTAAAACTCTTTAGAGATTACCAACGGTACAGTTGCCCCAGACCGTACAACAATACTCTAGTATTGGCTTGATGAGGGCATTGTATAACATTTTCCTGCAAGCAAAGGTTAAATAAACCTTTGCTCTTTTAAGGAGACTTATTATTACACAAGTTCAAACAATAAATATTGATAACGGCATTAATTAAGAGCCACCATTAGCCGTTGTGAGTAATCAAGGATAGTTTAATATATTACTATGTGGTTCAACTTTCCCTTTCAATCAGAGTATTTCAAACACAACATAGCTTTTCCCTGTGTCTCAGGTTATGGCCATTAGAGATCTGAGACAAACCTTTTAGGGCTAATATAATGTAAAATGAAAATAAGACTGTTTTAAAAATTGTTTAACCAGCATAACATTACCATCTCTGAGACTCCAAATATTAGAATGGTGTCAAATGTTGACAGGTTAACCTGTGAATAAATGGAAGAAAACCCAGTCAGGGTCCAGATGATAAAGAAAAATCTGGTATCCTGTGCTACAAGCTGTGAACTTTTGGTTACCATGGTGAGAAGCAAAAGTTGTCAGCAAAAAGACCTCCAACTAGAGTTACAATATAAACGACAGAAACAAATAAATTAAAACACCTTCCACAAATCAGCTCTTGAAAATGTAGCTTTGTGATGAAGTCCCTGTAACCTGGCCTGTAATCTTGAGTACCAAACCAGCCAGTGGTTTAGTTCATAACCATGAGCTTGGTAACCTTGTCTAGCTGCAGCAATTACCTATCAATTAAATAAAAGGATCCAAAATTTACATAGAATGATTTTCAACTTGTATGTCACATATTTCTGTTCCACCTTATTAATTGCCAGAGCAAGCACAGTAGGGGACCCAGAGGGACTGTCCAAGACATCTGGACTCCATCCTCGATATGACCAATGAGATTTTTTTTTTTTGCTTTTAGTCTGACATCAATACTATAAAAAACTAGGATTACCTATGAACCCCTTAAAACCCTTGGAGTGACCAGCATCTAATTTCTCCTGACATAAATGCAGCTGAATCATTCATTAAGATCATAGAAATAAAGGAAATGATCACCAATCTAAGAAGCGCATATTGAAGCAATCTCCGCTGTAATGAACTCTATTTAGCAGTTACTTTAGTAAAAATAAGGCCTTAAAAAAAAATTCAGTATGGGATTTGACCTTGAAACCTCTGCAATACCTGTGCAGTGTGCTACCAGCTAGTCATTGTGTTGGTTTGTACTCTAAGAAGCATTGAATGTTACATGAATTCTCCTTGTTAGAAGAGGAGTAAGGAGAAAATGGATACTGATGTTAAGGTGAAAGGGGCGAATGCTCATCCGGTTATTTTTTTTCCGGTACACAACTGTTAATGAAGGGAGATGGGGGCAGGTGTGGGTTGGCGCTTAAAGTAATGTTAGCCCCTCCCCATCAAACATTCCTGGGTGACATTGAAAATGATACAAACCACTCTCCCGTCCCCACTCCCCAAGTCCACCAATGTTGATCCATTATGCTTGGAAGCTTGTCCTATTCGTAATATGTTAGCAATTTGTCTCTCTGTGGCCGGTACGTATGGAAGACAAATTTTTCGTAAAGCTGGCGTTACAAATGGCGTGGTCACCAGAACAATTCCAACAGCTGCAGCGCCTGTAATTCCGAGGACTACTTTGCCTAGTTTAGATTTAGTTTTGGGATTTCTTGCGTCCTCTTGTAACTCGAATCCCAGCTGATTCTCAGGGCTCATGTCTGTGGCCAGCTTTTCTCCAGAGGACTTGTGAGACTGTTCCACAATACAAGGGCAAATCAGCACCGACATGAAAACAGCTATCTACTGCATGAGTTTTCCTCATTAAAGAGCTATGTCCGCACAAATCGTTTCATTTCGCGCTATCAGGAGGAGTATTCCGTGAGTTTGGCACCAGGAAAACAAAAACAAGCGAGCTTTGTGCAAAATTCATGTGTGACCGGCCATCTTGGAGAAAAACTCTAAACTGTGTGGGGAGGAATGGAATTTTTCGATATCTTTTAAAATTTTTTTTCTCTCTTATCAGTCATGACACATCCCAGCTTTATTAGACGAAATAAATATTCCACTATTGATATAACAATTCCTTTCATAAAAATAAAATATTAGTCAGTAACTCTTATAGGCAAAACATTTGTGATAACACTCGCCTTCTTAGACTTTCCCCCACCCCCTTAATTCGTTGTTTTGACTATGTAGATTGCGGGCTCATAAACAGAAAGTCAAGATGGCGGCCTGAAAGGCATTATTTCAGCTGATTCCACGAAACTCCATAAAGTCTTCTTGCGATGGTGCAATCTGCACTTGAATCAACTTTGTCTGTAAATGAGACGTACATCTAACCAGCTGATGGTGACAAGCTGGCTGAGATATGTTTGGATCTCTTTTTGAAACCGATGAAGAAGGATCGAAAAACAGTAAATCAGGTACTACTGGCAGAGTTTCCAAACAGAACAAGCTGAACTGGCCTCCTCAGCCAAGAGGGGTAACTGGAATCTGTGGTCTGCAGAACCAAGGAGCCACGTGTTATTTGAATTCTTTACTGCAAACGTTATTTTTCACTCCAGAATTTAGAGGTAAATTTGATATTTTGACCTCAGAACAGCAGACAGCTTGGGATCGAAGGGGAAAAAAGCTTGTCACGAAAGTATTCGATACTTCCTTTTTTGATAAAAGAATTGATAAAGTAGGTGAATAAATTTTCCAGTGGTCATTCCACAGGCTGCCCTCAAACGTTAGGATGGAAGAGTTGTAGACTTCCGTCACTGCAGAAAATATATCTCAAGCTTAAGGGGTCATACTTTTCCACAGAGGTTTATATCCGCACACCCTTCACCAATGATAATCTCGAAAGAAGTGGGAACATTTTGTATTTTTCCCAAAAATATTTCAATTTCTTTATTTAAATGGTGATGACTGACAGTTGAAGGATTCCATTACTGTCCTCTGTTGGAGGGATTGAAGGAAAAGAAATAAAATGTTACTAAAAATGTTTAACTTGTATTGAAAAATGATTTTTTAGCAGCACTTTTGTATGAAAGGTATTTTATTATCTCCTTCTCAGATGGGCTTTTCCGCCTTACGTCAGAAGATTTGAGTTATGATCCAAGAGGTGGGACTTATCCCAAGGTAGAGTGACACATTCAGCATGTCATAACCATATATTGACATAAAACTAGTTGAAGCAAGGCACTCACATTGAAATTTATTTGTAGCATATGCCTTTTCTTGAGTTATTCTCAGTATATATGAACCATACTGTAAACAGTCAATCAGATTGCTATCATAATATAATGTATTAATGAATGAAACGAAAAACATTTATATCTCCTTCTCAGGTCAGAGTGATACCATATCAGCTTCAGAAATTGTTTGCCAAGCTCCTTCTGCTTGATCAAGACAGTGTTAACACTTCTCAATTGACAGATAGTTTTGGTTGGACTGGAAATGAGGTGATACATTATTGGAACTGACTATATTCTGTTCGAGAAAATTACTCCGAGTTCTGGTGCTTCATATATCCAAAGTAATGTTACAGAGTGATTAAGTACTAAAGTTACAGGCGTAGGCCCAGTTCAAATTCTTAAACTATTCCAATTATTATTATTACAATTTCTTTGCTTTTTCAGGGATTTCAACAGCATGATGTTCAAGAATTAAGCAGAATCTTGTTTGGCGCCTTAGAATCATCTCTTCTTGGTACCCCTGGAGAGGCTTTGATTAAGAATCTGTATCATGGAACCTCTGTAACAAAGGTACATAATCTGAGATCTAACAGTCTTGTTTACAACTCCTCTCTATTTCAAGATCATACTTGCACATCATTCCAGACTGAACTGCATGGCTTTTAGGAACAGCTAAATTTAATAATTTAATTTTTTTTCAAAATTTTATCTCTTACACTGCATTCTTGACCTGAGTTGCTCCTTGTTGGCATTTTTCTTTGTTGAATAAGATAATATCCACTTTTTCATTCTTACTGAATTTGAATTACATTGATTGGCAGGTAACTTGTCAGGAATGTTGGCAAGTCAGTGAAAGAGAGGTAATGACATTAAAGTTTATGTAGTTCTATATTATCTGTTAAAAAGAATATGAAAGACATGCTTGCCATGATCTTGAGGGATGTTTTACCAGGACTGAAAAGCTGTACCCCAATTCTGCTAATGTATACAATTTCAACCATATTATTTGTATTTTTAGGAGGATTACCTTGATCTTCCATTGGTTCTCTCTGGGTGCAAGGACTTACAAGAGAGTCTTTCTATGAGTTATGCTGCTATGGAGATTTTGGAGGGAAGAAATCAGTATAAGTGTGGATCATGTAACAAGCTTGTCAATGCTACAAAGGTTTGTTTTTAGAAACAGACATACCCTGCTGCAACTTTACTATCACTATCTGTATCATCTTCATCATTATCATTATTACCATCATCATCATCAGAGTTCCAGAATATATCTCAACATGCCTGTCGATAATATTGAGTGTTATTAATTTACAGCTGCCATACACTTTCGCTATAAATGCTTTTATTAATTCCAAGTAGCTACAACTAACAGTGCCACTTTAAGGCATTTATGGTGTCTCCATGAATAATTATTCTGACCAGGTAATGTTTTTCTCTGTGATGCTAACTTTTTTTTCTCTTTGACCAGGGTAGTAACATAAGAACTCTGCCTCCCATCCTGACATTTTCATTGCTGAGGTTTGATTATGATTTTCGAAAAGGCGAACGAGTTAAGGTAAATTTAAAATAACATTTGTATTCCTTTGAAGGTGCAGACTGATAAACATGCATTGACTTATATTCCAAGTTTCAATTTCAATTTTCTAACTTTTTTCACTTCTTTGAGTCATTCTAAGCTTAAACATTCATATCATTTTTCCCATTCCCTCTCCTTCTCTTGCTCCCCAAATTATCCTCTGTTACCAGATGATGAAGAGTATATATTTTAGTTTCAATTATTTTTTTGTGGGATTTACTACACCATTGTTGTCTTTCAGGACTGTAAGAAATACTCCTTTCCAGTCACACTAAACATGAAAGATTTTTGTGAATCTAGTGATGCTGTTGAAGCAGATCAAGAATATCAGTTGTTTTCTGTTGTTATTCATGGGTAGGTTGCTGCAGTTTAATTTTTTATGCGATAAAATTAATCTCAGAAGTGGTCGATATGAAATTTCTCTCCACAATTTCAATACATTATTCAGAAACCAGGCAAGGAGAATAGACAAACCTATTACCTAGATGGTGTTTCCTTGATGAGACACCAAATTCCTTTAACCTATCCACAAGGAAGTTTAAGGAATGTCAATCAGAAGGGAGAAAACCAAAGCAAACCAATCGAGGGAGTGAAAGGGTTTTAATGCCTGTTAAAGGATTTTTTTAGTAGGAAGTTTCCTGTTCCCAAGAATAAAACTAAAAAACTACAACTGTCTTAAGAAGCCAGGATTTCTTTTTGCATGATTACACTTTTTCAACTCCTGCTATGTTGATGTTTGATGTGGTTGAGCTTGCAGTTATGCATGTATATTTGTTAGAGACTGAGTTTATATTCCAAAGGGAATAAATTAATTAGCTTGATGTTGACAGACATTTAGTTGTCATTTTATCTTGTGTTTTGTTCCTTTGTTCGTTGTAGTTATTGCTTTGCCCTGCCTCCCAACCCAGGGGCTTTCCTCAAACCCTCAGGGGCTCCTCGTTTCCTTGTTAAAGATGCCCAAACAGATTCACTGTCTCATTTGTTGGTGGTGTCTTGCAAGTGAGGTGTGTCGGGGGAATAATTAAAAAAGATTCTTAATTATAGTTTTTTGTTCTTAATTAAATGTTGAAATAGATGCCATTATGTTATTCAAAATTTAGACACTTCCCTTACTTATTTTCTCTAGAGGAAGCTGCTATGGAGGACACTACCATGTGTTCATTCGTGATGTTGAAGGAGTGCGAACCTGGCATCCACCTGTGAGTAGCTGTGAATCATAATAGTATAATTTGAAAAAATTCAGTGAAATAAATGTAATCACTCTATTGTTTGAGCCAGGGTAAGTCATAGTGTATGATAGTTTGGACAGTAAATTAAAATTATGTTTTTCAAGGCGAAGAAGCAAGTGAAAGTTGTTAAAGAAGATGATGGTGGTGAGAAAGATGTCATAAACTGTGGGAACCCTGTGGACTTAATTACCAGTCTACTGAAGAAGCTTGGTGGTGCTGCATCTGTCAATCAGTTATGTCAGGTAAAAACTTACATTCATGTTTGTTTTCAAGTGGACAAGCTGTATTGAGCATTTCTTTAAATAAATTTACTGTTTTTCTAAAACACATTCTACTTTGTATATTTTATGGATAGTATATGTCAAAGGAAACAGGGATTTCTTGGAATAAGGGATTTAAAAGTCAATATGGACCTCTAGCAAAGGTATTGTTGTTACCCTGTGCTGTTGTATTTTCAGGGATAACCTACGAGTTTAGAATTTTCTATTTACACAGTGACTACATTAGTTATGATTAGTGAACTATTAGCATGCGCTTATAAATTCCTGTAAAACCAGCCCATAAAAAAGAGACAAGATTGACTGAGAAAAGTTAGTTACTGAGCAAAAGGGAAATAAAAATGTGTGATTTCTTTTTCTCCAAGCCAAGGAAAAACTGTACCATTTTATTATGTAACGTCCCTGTAACCCTGCAATTAAATTCTCCTTGAGAGCTAACCAGTATCATGAAAACAATTTTCCACCCAGTTTTTCAAGAAAAACTCTGATGTGTTCAGGTTCAGTGATGCATCAGGTTATGTTTCACTACAAAATGGTATCCATGAAAATTCCAACAAAACATCACTAGCAGTGGTCCAAGAACAAGGGGAACCAGGAAAACTTGTAGATGATGTTCAGAAAAGAAACTCCCAACCTGTATTGGAAGGGTAGGTTGACATTAAAAATTGTTTAAAAGCTCATTTGAAAAGGTGCCTGGGTTAATTTTCCATACATGTTTTATGCTTGTTGTTAGTGAAAGTTTGCCTGAGCATGGACATTGCTGGTTTGATATAAATGATTCAAGGATATCCTGTATACATGAAAAAGACCTCCAAAGTCAGTTTGCTGGAAAGGAAAGTGCTTACATGCTGTTTTATAGGAGAAAAAACCTTTCTGCATGTGTGGAAGATCCAGGTAAGACAAACAAAGCTATTTGTTGCAGCTGTCTTTTTGTTGTTGTTGTTGTTGTTGTTGATTTGTGATGGATGATTATTTTATCTTATTTTCTATTTACAGCTCTCTTGGTCCCTGCTCCAATTAGAGCTGAGGTTGATAAACTAAATGAAGATTTGGTGAGGCAAAGGTGAATCTCTGAGAATAAGACATATCATGAAACCTATAACATGCTGACATCAAGTTTAAACATACATGAACATACATTCAGTGGACACAGATTTAGTGGATCTCTCTTTAGAAATTAACGTTTAATTTAGGGAGTTCTGTACCCAGTTCTGCTTAACACAGGTTAAAGTCCTGTGCTTGTCAATAAATATGGGTTTTACTAACTTAAGATAATACAGAACTAACAAACTTGTACCCAGTTGAGAACAATAAGGTGAATCTATTCTAGGAGAGACTGCCTAAGATCAGAATTTTTATCTCCTCTTTAGGAAAGACTATGACTGTCATCTAAATGAAATTTCTGTTAGTGTGCATTTTGGAAACAACTATACAATGACAGACAGTGTTCTGCAGATTAAACAGGTAAAACAAGATTAAACTGGTGAAATGAGATTATTAGGGAAAATTGTAAGGTGCAAACAAAGACTTGGTGAAATTGTATGGCTGTTTTGGCCTTGAAATTTGAAAATGTGTTTTGCAGGTTGGTTATGATGAATCATCTGCTTTTTGTACACTTTTAGGGAGTATCCGTCAAACCACTGATTATATCACTGGACAGAAGAAAGTCTGTAAATGATCTTTTAAAAAATGTTCTTAAGGTAAATGACAATATGACATACCGAAACTGTATTTTTTTTTTAACTACCTTATTGTTTCACACTTTTCGCAGATAAGTCTAGGTACAAAATTGTGTGCCAAACTTTCCATTATTTTCAATTTTGATTAATTTGTTAAGGGTTAAGTTTTGTTTGTTTGATTATTTGATTTTGAAGCTTGACATGCCTGGAAATGATGCAGAATGTAACACTCTTCACATTGCTCGACAATTATCATCAGGCCTCCATCTTTTTGAAGAACTGACGGGTAAGCTCATGTTTCAAGGCAACTTTTTTTGTGGTGAAACAAATCTGATATGATTATGAATGAAGTTTCTGGGCTCCAAAAAATTCTCATGTTCAACAGTCTTATGTTTTTTGCAAGAAGAGATAAAATATCTGTAGGGTTTTGTTATTGTGTGGAGACTGCAAATGAAAAGGATTCAGAGGAGTGTCACTGTGTGATGTTCGTAAAGACACATCACCCATAATTCAAGGGTATGCATCTTTCCAGCCAGACACTGGGCTCTGATTTAGAAGAGAATGAGGGCAGAGGCAATTAACTGTTGTCTTTGAACAACTTGTAACTTTGTTTTTCTGGAGGCTTTTACAAGCAGGGCACCCCAGATCTCTGAGACCTTCATTCATCCAGTGATTCTCCTCAAAGAACAACTTTGTGTTGTTTGAATAGCTACAAGCAAACTTTCAAGAAGAGCTGAAAAAATGTCAAGGGGGAGAGGGGTAGCTTGAGATGGACTGGCATCCTGTTTAGGGGGGTGCACAAAAGGTCCAAGATGCTTCATGTCAAGCAGGATAGCTCCTCTGGTTTGTAAGCTGACTTATCAAATCACCTCACTACAGAGTATCCAGAAAAGTCTCTTATACAAAGTGGAGTGAGTGGAGGTACAGATGTATTCCTATGGAATGGGAAAGAGGTAGAGGTTTCATTGTAAAACATATATCTTTTTCTGTTTTCTAAATCTATTTTCAAAATCTATTTGTCTCAGGAATGACACATACAATGAGTTAGTGCTCTTATTGCCAAGCAGAATTTCTCAAAGTTGTAGTGTTGTTGATTGTGGTAGATCATTAGATGAATGGATGGAATTCTTGTCTAGCCTCTCAGGAAATAGCTATGGAGGGCATTTGTTGTGCCTATCAAGGATCATCCCAAATTGCATAGCATTGCAACCTTTTTCACCTTGTAGTGGACATTTTAAAGCCTTGATGTACCATGTTGCATTCATCATTTTGTCATCACAGCCAAAACCTTCTTGATCAGAATGTTGCTCATTTTCCTTTTACTTGAAGATTGATGGATACTCAGTGTATCCTGGAGAAGACTCGGCACCAGTGCTGCTAAACATAACATATTCCACATGTCAACTGCAAGATACAGAGGAAATTCAGAAGCATTTTAGAAAGGATACTACAGTGGGAGAGATGAAGGTGTGTGACGAATTATAGAATCTGAAGATAAATTGATGGTTTCCATTATTCTCACACTTAAAGTCTACATTTATGATCATAGGCGGCAAAGCAGGAAGGGGGTATAGACACAAAAAGTTGGGGCTCTCCCCTTTGCCCGTACACTTCAGTGCAGAAATTATTGCTAACAGTAGTGGTATGCAGGACACATGTCACATATGAGGCTTTGAAACGCTTCGCCACTTCTGATAATAGTCCGTTATTTTTTTTTCTCTTAAATGTTTATAAGTCTAAGAGACTGTTTTGATTATTTTTTTACCGATTATTTTATCTTTTATGTCAGATTATGATAAGCAATTTTGTCGGAATAAATTTTCAAGATTTGCGTCTAAGCTGGGTAAAGTCAAAAGGTATGTATTTGAAACTGACGTAGCCTGTTTCAGGTGTTTAGAGGGTAAAGTGGAGCGAAATAGTAAACGGTGCACTAGCAGCGGAGGTTTGGGTTGGGTCAAAACCCAACCCAAACCTCTCTCGTATTTTCACTCCTATATTTTTACAAACTGAACCCCTAGACCAGGCTTAAACTGAAGGTTTGACACAATATTCCATTAAGATGACTGCAGTTTCTTTTATAATCCTTTTTGTTCTTCCGTTGAAATCGTAAAACTGCACATTTCTGTCATATATTTGGCTGGCAAACTTTAAACAGATAATTTTTCTTTGTTCTCATGTACCTACTTACAGGTAAAACCAAGCAAATAATGCCTAAAGATTCTGATCAGGTAAGTTTTTGAATGCCCCGTTTCCTTAGCTATAGTCGCCAAAGGTAGTTTGAGGACCAAGTCGTGGTTTGGTTTGGCAAGATCATTTCTTAGTGTATATTTTTTTAAGTGTCCGCTACAGTTCTCTGTTTTTTTGGCTTTAGGATGGTAACACACTGCACGAGATAGGTCTACAAGACGGCGATCAATTGGTGGCTGAAGAAAAGGAAGTATTGCAGTAAGGATTCTTTGTATTTATTCTGTATTCTTCTTGAATGTAGGATCCTGCAATTTCCTGTAACAATTATTGCTATTTTTTGTAGATCCAGTGAACAGGGTCCGCCTAAGTTAGCCTCTGAAAAGAAGGAGAAAGCTTCTAGTCTGATGTCCTTTGTGGTGGAGAATAGATGTTTGGTGAGCTGTCCAACGCTCGTTGTTTGAAAACGAGAATTACCATTGGTGTTTTATCGTCTATTTTTCTTATCAGATGCAGGAGTCTAAAGAACAGATCGACAATGACAGAAGTACAGGTTGGCCAGTTTTGTCCGTCAAGATTCATAAAGAGCAGGTAAAGAACTCTATTATTAGTTTTCTCGATCGTTGTCATGTAATGCTTTATGAAATACTGTCCAGTCACTTTCCTCCTCCTCCCCCCCCCCCACCTCTCAAACTGGGGTTCAGCCTGCTAAACAGGTTCGAAGGTTGGACAACGTTATCCACTGGATGAATCTCTATCCGCTGGATGGCGTAGAACGTTTTACAATCACTTATCCTCTGGATAGCAATTTATTTGTTGGATAACGTTGTGCGCCCTTTAGACAACTGGGCCTAGGCCTCCGCGTCTCCCATTTGGTTTAATTACTTTCTCTTGTTTTATTAATTTTCTTTTTCGAAACAGACTGTGGGTGATCTCAAAGCCAAAGTTCTTGAACTTGCAGACTGCAATGGTATCTCAGGTTGTACATAGTGTGGATATGCACAAGTTTGTTTTAAATTGATTCTCTCGTTCTTCAAACTGGGTGAACAGATAATTCAGAAGTACTTTGTCACGATGGTCTTTGAAAGCGGTTGAATCAGCCATCTTATTTCTTTTTTCTTAAATTTTGCGCACTCAATTTCTACGTTGGTCTATCCACTGCCTACTGACCAATTATCGTTTTGTTTGTTGTTTATCTTAGAAACCGCTTGTCGTTTACGGTCCGATAGCGATTGTCAAGGTCTTAGTGCCCCAGGTAAGTTATTGATCATTGTGAGAAAATAGGGGCCCGCGTACCATACACAGAGTTTGTGTGTGATTTTAAAATCCGACAAAACTCAGATTATAATGTGGAGTTTCTTTTAGTGAAGATAGTTAAATTTTTCGAGACATATCTTGTTTTATGCCATTCTGAACACTAAAAAGTTCAATAGTGTGCCATATAAGGGGGATTTAGGCCACAAATCACTCTTGACTCTGTCTACTTTTAGGAAGCTGGGGAAATCGTGAAGTTCGCGCTTTCTACTCTCTACGAGGGCTTCTATGTATGTGCTATAAAATGAACGAGTGAAACAGTTACGGGTGCCGTAACTGTTAAAGATACGATATATATTGGCCGTAAATCAAGAAATCGTTCCATTCATACAGCCATGTATGGCTGAGTTGCTTCAGAATTGACTTCTTATTATGAAGGGAGCAAAAGTATTGAGTGAAACAGGTTTAAGACATTTAGGAGTTTTCTCTGTTTATCTATGCCTTTCTTCATCAACTATCAGTGTATGAACATGAAACTTTGGAGGAGTCTTGGCTCAATGGAGGTCAGCGGCTTGTATTGGAGCATAAGCCCCCTCTCCTCCAAGGAGAAATCATGATCCGTTACTATGTATGTTCTCCCATACATACCAGCAGGAAAGAAGAGGAACAAACTGTGCTTAAATCGTGCACCATTCGTGAGGTAATTCTCATCCATGTGTTAGTGTTGAAATATCTAACTTATTAAAAAAAAAAATGAAGAATCTGCTTGTTTCTAATTTCCTCCAGTGTCTACAACTGTTGATGGAAGACTCCAACCTACAAGGTTTGTGTATTCGTCTTGTTTTTCCCGACTTCTGTATCACGCAAACTGCCGGCTAGCTTAGAGCAATTTCAATTGAGAGTTTAAAGTAATCCGGGATTACTTTGGCTTTAGTTTACTTTGCTCTGTGATTGATTTAGAAAACTCGCGCTGCCCTCTCAACCAATCAGATGCAAAAGTGAAAACAATCGCGCCTGGTTGTGACTCCCGTTTTCCCGCGCTTCGAGCAGTTCGTTTGTTTTCACTCTGAGTCCATATTGGCTGGTGGTGATATTCAATTGTGTTTTGATTTGGGGCTGTGATAACTTTGGTTTTGGTTTTTCGACACCCGGTAGAAAGATGCTGAATTGCGTTATTGTTAAAACTCCATGTTCTGGGTTTCAGACAGCATTGAGTTTCTGTTGACCCATTAAGTTCCTTTTTGGAATGTGAGTCTGTTGGTGATTACCTAACCCTTGCTCTAATTAACATTTTGCCAACATATTTGTTTGTTTGTTTGCTTCTGTTTACTGCTTTGGTAGGGATGAGCTGGCATTTAAGGAAAACTAACTGGAACGGTGAACCAACTGACCTGTTAGACAACGAGGTGAGAAGTCTTTCTTATCTAAGCTCTGTTTACTAAAAACTCACATTGAACTTAACTCAGATCAATTCATCGTATTAAAGAGCCCGTAAATTCGTATAATTAGATTTAATTGCGCATGCGTCCTTTGCATTCCCATTGTTCACACTGATGACGTGTGTGTACGTGTTGTGGTTCGTGTTATCCTTGGTTCAAGTTTTATTTTCCTTCGTTTCAAACTCATTATCATACATTACAATAACCAAAAACAAAAGAAAATAAAATTTTCACTAAGGATAAAATTGAACCACAACACACGCATTGAAGCGTGGCAGAGGGAATTTGTCCTCGTAAAATATTTAAATTATCGTGTCAAGTTAACAGATAGATTCCATGTTTCCATGCGTTTGTACCATAAAAGATCACAGATGACGTCAATATGTGGCAAGAGCAACAATTTGACGTCATCTGTGATCTAGTACTGTACAGACCCATGGCAATATGGAATTTATTTGTGTTATATGATTAAGACGAAAAGTGATGTTGATGGTGACGTAATCAATGTTTCTGTCCTTCAATAGATCATAAGTATGGACCTATCAGAATTCGTGTATAATTCAGCTTGTCATTAAGAAATGTGAAGAAACAATTCGTTTATGAGTCAGTTGTGTAATCATTGCAAATCGAAGAACACGGAAAGTTTGAAGAACAACCAATGAGCCACAATTCTTACAAATCTATTGTGCTCTCCGAAATTTGTGCTTGCTTGTTGTCTCAATGAATGTACAACTGACGCATGAGCCAATTGTTGAACTCTTAGACCCCTAAAAGAGACTAGCATCTAATTTCTCTTAATATTATCACCCCTGAATCACTTATTAAGGTCACGAGAATAAAGGAAATGATCTCTAACTAAAGTAGTTCTTGATTTTTAAACAAATTTTCTTTGTCAGCGCCTTAGGAAATGTATAGGGAACAGTTTGAGGAGTTTGCATATGGATGTTAGGGTGGAAAAGATTTATAAATGAATTCCAACCCGATAGTTCAGATGTTTTATTCCAAACTCTTAACTTTCTTTACAGGAAGAGACGCTGGAGAATGAAAACATTAAAAATGGTGACACTCTTGTTGTTGAAGAGGGAAGGCTTCCTCCAAAGGTTAAGATTGAAAAAATGTACTTTAGACGTATTTTGCTGTCATTTGATGTCCTCTTTTTGTGTCATAAATGATTTTTCCTTACTAACTGTTCCTAACAGGGGTTCATTCGTCTTACTTTATGGCAAACAAACAGTGGGAAGGCGAAAAGCCAACATTTTGGAGGAGTTTTAAACTGGATTACATCTGGTGTACAAGGTAAGATGGTGGCTGTAAAATTAATTGATTTCTTCCTTGAAATTAACACGCTAATTTTTCACTCTAAGGTCTCCTTGGTTCGTCCACAGTGGAGACTTCAGGGAATGATGACAACGCAGAGGTAGAACTATTTATTGAAAAATTATTGTTTGTTTTTCAATTTCGTCAAGGAGAACCATTTTCCCATGTCAATGCACAAATGTTAGACACAGTGTAACTTAAGGCAGACCGGTTAAGACGCAGGCAGGCAGAGGGACCAACTGATTGGCCAGCTGATAGACAGACTCACAGACCCACTTGCCAACAGACAGACAAACTGATCAGCCAGTAGAAAGACAGTCAGACAAACCAATAAACCGAGTAGGCAACAGACAGAGCGGCCAACAGATATTGGGACAGACAGACTGTCTGACAAAAAGGCTGACAGACTGGCACACTGATCTGCCTACAGACAGCTATTAATCGACCAGCCAACAGACAGACCGACAGTCAGACAGACCGACTGGTCAAGAGACAAACAGACAGACAGACTGGTCAACAGACAGAGACAGGAAGACAAACTGGCCAACAAACAGATAAATAGGCAGACTAACGGACAGACCAACTGACGAACTGAAAGATAAACCTACGGATAAATGAGTGAGTGGGTAGTTGGCGAGACAATTCATTCGTTGTCCCATAATATGGAATCCCTCAATTCCAAGGGACGACGACCAAGAACCGTTGTAACATGATCAATCATAGTTTGATTTTTATCAGGGTAGCGATTCATTTGAACCTTTGGGTGATGTGGAGATATCCAAGGAATCTTCACTGTATGATCTAAAGCTGCAGATAAGTTGCATGCCGCAGGTTGGTACTAAAGTCTTCCTTAGCTATGCAACAGATTCAGTCTTACCATTAGCTTTTATATTCATACTTTGTTATCCTTCTCTCTTTTGAAAAAACTGCTCTTTGATTGCCAAACCTGACGTAAGTCGAATGTTCACCAGTAATAGGCCATAATACGTACACGAATGACAGCCAAGCTACTCTCCGCTGACCAATATGCCTTGAATTTGCTAATGAAAGTATTGGATCAAAGTCAGAATCGGAGCAACTGCGCAACTACCCCTCCCCTAATCCAACGTTAACCCTAACTTGTTCTCAGTTGACTTTTGTTGGGTTAGGGGAGGGGTAGGTGCGCAGCTGCTCAGACATTGACGTTGGTCCAAAGTATTAGACACAATTAAGTCATAATATGATGATTCCAAGGATCTAATAATTAAAAAAGAAGCTTTTCTGAATCTGCGAAAATGGCAATTAAGGCGTCTCCTCATAACTGTGAAATAAGTAACAAAAACACTTTTGGAGTTGTTCATCGTCTTCCTTTGCAGCTATCAGATCACGTGATCCCGACACCTTCATTTGTCAGACTTCAGGAAGTCGTGGACAACCACGCAACACGAGTCCTTAGAGGAACAGATCGGACTTTGGGGTTAGAAAATCTCTTTATTTATTATAAGAGCAGTTTTCAATCGAGTTTCGAAACTAATTCACAACGAGATTTGATTTGTGTAGAAAACTCGTGCGATTCTTTGACCCAATCAGATGCAAAAATTCAAGCAATCACGATTCTGTCACTCGCATTTTCCCGCGCTTCAGACAGTTTGCTTGTTTTTACTTTAATTCCTCATCGGCTCCTCGGGATAATAGTCAAATAGTAGTGACTCTTCAGAGCAAACTGGTATATTACTATTTCAGGAAGTTAAAACTGACCTCATCTACTCAGCTCTGTGTGTGTGTTCTTCAACACGAGGAAGATCTAAGGTTAGTAAGAAATATTCTGCTTCATGTCCTTTCCAGATTCAAAGGTGCGATTTGCAAAACAATCTCGTAACGTACCACCGATGTTTCCATTTTTGTCTAACAGTTAATGTTAATGGATTGCTGGTCTAAGCGATATTCATTCTGTGAAATTTTTATGTAAGTTCTTCTGCAGTGCTGTTGAGACTAAAGAAAAGGATGCCACGAGAGAGGAGTTACTATGATGAACAAGAGGTAATTTAGCTGCCATGGTGCATTGATACTTCTAACTAGGCTATCGTAACCCTTTTTTTCCTTAATTTTTTTTCTTTCGTACGGTTGGGTTTGAAAACTCGCACCACCAGAATTATCACATATATTTTCCTGCGCTCGTTGTGTTTTGCATGCACGATGTTCTTTCCTCTAGTTCTCACTTGTTGATGGTGGACTTTACGCCTGTAGTGATTGGTCATAGTAAATAGACGTTGCCATTGGTTCAAAAATCTCGCACCTGAGTTTCGGAGCCAATCTTCATTGAATTGCAGTTTGATGTCAGAGGCGACAGAAGCATTGGCTCTGGTTTTGATATTTGATGTTGTATAATTAATATTTTCTGTCTTGTAAGGTAATATTTGAGCCGCCAGGAGGTGCTACGCCCGAGGCCTTACGTTACTTTGTGGGCAAAGTTTGTGATATTCCTCTTGAAAAACTTAATGTGGCCAAATATCTCAGAGCCAAATATGAATGGTTGGTCATCAAAGACACTGATGGAACTCAGGTAAATTCACTTTTCAAGTTTGTGTTTCCTGTCTTACAGATATTACAGCGTCCTCTCTGTCACAACTGCACCAAGAGACATATAGCTATCACAGTGTCAAATACAAAGAATATGAAAAACCCAGCCAGCGTCATTCCTGCACAAAAGTGTCCTACCATGCAATCGTTGTTTTTTCAGGAAATCCGTGTCAAGTTTTAAATTTACAATACTTATTTCATTCTTTTTCAACAGAACAAGAAAAAGGGTCGGAAAAAGAAAATCAATTTGCGACAGTCTCCTGTTAATCTTCAAGATGGAGATGTTATTGGTGTCAAGGTAATGTTATTGTTTTAGTCACACTGAAAAGTTCAAGCTCGTTCTGAAGGTCCGCTGTCATACTCCCCTGGTCTTTGTAAGTTTTGCCCGCGTTATGGAGACTTGTAGTGTCTTGTAAGGTTAGTATTATGATGAAAAATCTATACCACAAGTTCCTCCTCAAAAAGCACGATTACTTCTTAATCCATGAACGTTTACGAAAAACGCTAATATTCGATTGTTACCAGTTAGGTATTATAAACTTTACTTAACTTTCTTATTCGACTGTTTTTGTTTTTCGAAATCTCAAAGAATTGCCAATCCGATTCGGAAGACAATGATGATTTCAGTACACCAGCAGATGATGAAGGAAAAGAAAAACTTAAAAGGGAAGAGGAGGAGAAAAAGATGAGGTAGACAGAATTTTATTTCTTGACGTTTATTGCAATTTTCAATTGTGTCGAAAATAATCCGAGATTGCATTGGTTATGCTTTACTTCGCTCTGTGATTGGTCCAAAATACCCGAGCCATTCTCCCAACCAATCAAATGCAAAACTGACCAATCACGAGTCGGTCGCCCACGTTTTCCCGCCTTTTCCCGACTCTAAGAGGTATTTTCCTTTCTTCCGATTAGCTGATGAGATTACTTTGGTTTTGATTTAACGACACAGTCAAAAAGCGCTCTACTCTGATATTTCGCCATTCTGACATATTCAGTTTTTTTCGTGTCTTTTAGGAGAAAAGAAAAACGGGCAAGACGACCTGAAGTTCCGCTCTGCATTCATGTGGATGACTTTAGATAGCATATTGACCGTTCCTGACAAACCGATAAATTTCGACCGGTTCACTTTTCATTGAGCTTCGAAGTAATCCGAAGTTGCTTTTATTTGTTTTACTTCGCTTCATAGTTGGTCCAGAAAACTTGCACGACTTTCTCAACTAATCAGACTCAAGACTGAAACCAATCGTGACTTAGAGACCTCCGTTTTCCGCACTATGAGCAGTTTGTTTTTATATTGAATTCTTATTGGCTTGTTGTGATATATTCCTTCGCTCTGATCGGCTGTTGTGATTATTTTTGGTTTGTTTTACGACAGTCAGTCCAAATGTGCTCTATGAGGGTGGGGGTGGGGAGTGTGAGTTTAACATCAGTTTGGGCAGACGTCGAAAATCACACTTTGAACTTTGACAAATGGAACAACGCTTTCAGGATTCAACCGGACGTCCTAAAATTTTACCAAAAATTTAGGCTCTAAAACAAAGGAAAGATTTTTGTAATACATAATTTAATTGCTAGCAAATTTTTGGCAAAATTACCTCTGTTTAAAACACAGTACTGATTGTCAGAATTTAAATTGCCAAATTAGTTTATTAGAATTATTTTTGAAGGTGACATTCTATGATTCCATCATGCTCAAGAGTAGAAATCTCCTTGTTACTGTATTCAAGAAGATTTGTTAAAATTTCATGTGTATGTTGTCCTAACAAAGGAGGTGCCCTAGGGAGCCCCTGACAGGTTTGTCCGTTGTACTCCACAGCGGGTCCTGAAAGCAAAATAAAATAAAAAAACACACACTCGTAAAAAATTATAAGAAAATTATAATAATTATTCGTCAAGAATATCAGCCAAATCTATTGAGCCGTTGTCACTCCATGACACTCTAAAGAGCTTGTTACTCGAGTGGTTAGGCAATAGTTTTTGGAGCACTGTGTAGTCACCCAAATAACCTCTGACTATAAAAATAATATACTGAAAAAGCTTAGTAACCTGGTATCCGAATCTTTCCTGCCGTGGGATGTTCTAACTCTTGCACCATTTTTTTGTATTTCACCTGAAAAAAATATACGTTTGACATGGTCACTTCCTCCAACTGAGTATTACATGCTTTTTGCAGTTATCAAGAACCTTGCATACCATTTCTTTACTGTACCTGTGGATCTTCAAACACTGCTTTTATATTATTAATTGGTCCGCAAGGAATGCCAGATCCCTCAAACGCCTTGGCCCATTCCTTTGTTCCTCGTTGCTGAAAACTTAACACAAACAAGTAACGTTGAATAATATCCTAAATTCCAATTGAGTGAAGGAGATAATACAGTATTACTTCCTGTCATTGAATGACAACAGGATTGGTCTAAAAAATGCAAGACCTTTTCAACCAATCAGTGAATTGTTCACTTGCGTTTTCATGCATTAAATTAAGGGCAGTTAACATGTATCGAGACTCAGAGTTTCCATTTCTTTACGGTGTTATTTAATGATACTTAATGGAAGAGCACTTGCCAGTTGTATGACAACAACAGAACAATGTCAGTATCTGAGCAACTGCACACCCACCCTCCTCTAACCCACTATCAACCCTAACTTGATATCAGTTGACTGTTATTTGGTTAGGGGAGGGGTAGGTGCCAACAGATACCGACATTGATCAATGACAACTATTTAGTTAACAGAGGTCAGTAAGATCTTGGGCTCCAAACACAAGAATTTCCTCTTCCACACCCTCCCCCTTAGGTCTGGCTATCACAACAAACTTACCATTCTTTTAGCAGGGGAAGCAACTTGTGACGATTTTCGACTCGGGCTGCATTTGTAGCATATAATGGGTCATCAGCCAAGTTGTCTAAACCTAATAACTAAATCACCAAAAAATGGAATCAGGAAATTTTTTGAAATACCAATACAGATTAACACAGATTTTTCTGTTAGGAAGAATCTACATTTTTTAGAAAAGAATTTGCCATGAGTGTTTCTTTTTTAAGAGATAAATATCATTAGTCATTAAAAAAGGTGAAAGCAAAACATTTAAATAGACAAACAAAACATTCAGCTTACTTTGCAAAGTTTCCTAAACAATCCATCATTTCCAGCTCCTACAAGGAAGTGTCCATCACAAGTTTTGAAAGCCTCAAGAGAATAAGGGAAGGTCAGTATTAATTAATGAGGAGAAAAGCTAATAAAGTCAGGACATGAGAGAAGAGGTGGATGCTCCTCACCCAACCCTACAAGTGCCTCTATTCTCCCTCTTGACACTGATCAAAGTTATTGCAGCTGCAGTTATAGACTTAAATGTCTCATCTTAAAAGCTAATATAATGTATATATCATGAGCCTTTGCTACCTTCTATAATGGCATGAAAAATAACCCTCTGCAAGTGATGTATATTTATTTTCTTACCTGGTATGGGACAATACTGTGGTGGGCAGTCCCATAGCGTCCAGTCTCAAACCCAGCATTGAGGTAACTTGTCCCAACATGACTAAGCATGGCTATCTACATCATGGGCAGAAATATGATAAAGATACTGTCAGTCACATAGATTTACAAAACACAATTTTATCACTTGTCACTGTGTACCTGTGATGCCAGCAAGGAGCAATCTATTTTCTGTCCCAGTCCAGTTGTTTGTTTCTGTAGAAGTGCAGCCATTATGGCTCCATGTGCATACAGTCCTGTAGTTATGTCTGTTACTGCGATGCCAACCTTACAAGGATCACTGTCCTAAAAGGAGAGTAACAGTAGGGAAATTTTCAGCCATGTTTGCCAATGATGTTTATTTGCCAATTTTTGCAAATAAAGAAAGAAAATAGTTATAATGCATTTAGTCTGAAGCATGAAGGCTGCAACACACTCAGGAAAAAGTCACAGTGACATGTATCTCCTAAAAAAACACTCCATACAAGACACAGTGACATGTTCCAGCCATGGTCAATTTGTGTGGAAAAGGAAATTTTATTATTCCGTTCTAATGATAAATGATGATGATTTTCACTGAATCTTCCTACTTCACATGAGATGACTCGGTGCTAAAATTTGACTTAAGACTGGCACAGTGACTTGTTTCACAGCATGTCTCTGCCTTGAGTTTCACATGACCAGCTTTAGGGTGTTCAAGGTACCTCAGGGCCCGTTATGTGCATCAGTCCCCCAATACCTGACACCATGACGTCATATCCTGGCCTCTGGTCATAAGGTCCCCCACGACCAAATCCTGTTATTGAACAATATATCAAGGAAGGTGCTGATGTCTTCAGCTGATCATATCCTAAACCCACTTTGTCCAGTTTTCCAGGTAAGTAATTTTCTACCAGAACATCGCACTTTGAAGCAAGCTGTCAAGTAAATAAGATTTAATGTTATGTTTTTTCAAACAAATAACAGAGAGCATAACATGCTGGATAGTCAATTAATGCTGAAAATCCTCCTCACATGCATAAGATTTATGTACACTTAGGTGAGAGACAAAAAAGTTTGAAATAACACAAAGGGTGATTTCTGGAACCACTGGAAGACTGGAAGACCCTGTAAGCCCCTGAGCCTGACTCTTTGTCAACAGAGATTATTAAAAAAGTAAGTAAGGTGTAAGCAGCAAGGGTCTGGGTAGGAGTAACAAAAGTTTGCCAGTCTCCTTAGTCTCTCTCCTTCATTTTCTCACTCACTCCATTTTTTCTTTCACCCTTAGAAACTAATTGCCCACTAAAGGCTAAGCAAAGAAAAATAATCGCCCTCAAAATGTTCACGGCATCTGTCAACAAGATGAGAAGGAACTTTAAATGTACACAATCAGATTAAATGTTACTAAGCCTGAATCTGCATTAATTACCAGTCAATTTACTGAGTGACTGTATGCAGTTGAGTCTCTCTTTGTGTACCTTTCTGACAATTTCTGTACCTTTGGGATCCTTGATGTTTACAGCAATGCTCTGGAAGTTTAAATAAGAAAAAAGTGTTGCAATTTAGGAAGGCAAGTGCAAGAATCATTAAGTTTTCTTTTTTAATGCCCAATAGACCTGCACTATCATATCTTGGGTTGAGTGATGTGGGTTGCTTGAATACATCCCTTAGTGGCAGTCATTAATGAACAAGATAACATTAGTCTTTGACCTAATGAAGTAATGTGAATAGAAAAAAAATTATTTCAAGTTCAGAAATAGCCCCATTCCTGATTTATTGTCTTTTTTATAGAAATAAAAAGTGAGATAGCTGACAAATACCTTCTTGTTTCTGTTTATAGAGAGGAAATATGTGCTTTCATTCTCACAAAATGGAGGAGCCCATGATCTTGTGTCATCTCCAGACTCTAAAATAGAAACACAGCAATGTTAAAAAAAAAAAAAATACATCCAGCTAAAGTATGACTGCAATGTGGGCTTGACAACCATACACATTCAAACACATGTATTCTTGTAGAAATGCAATATTGTTCTACCATCACAGTATTGCTTTGAACTTTCTCAATAAACCTTATATCAATTAATTCAAAAGTTGACATAAAAATAACAAAAACAATTGAAGACGCTATGTTTAGATTTATGAAACTATTCCAAATAAACAAGGGAATGGCTTTTTGGAGTGTTACCCCCCTCCTCTCAAAAAAAATTTTTTAAAAAAATAGAAATTTCCAGAGGGGGAAGAGTGGGGGGGGAAGGGGCAGACAACAATTGATCATCTTTTTCCTCAGTGTGTACTCTGTGAGAATTATATGCAGCATCCTTGCAAGATTTTGGAGTTTCCTTGCTTCATTCTCTATGTTATGGCAAGAACAAAATAATTGTTTTATAAATTTCATAAATCCTGGAATGTTTAAATGCAACAGTTGGTTCATTGCATTTCTACAGAAGGAGACTCTAAATATAAGCTGATAACTGGAGTTGAGTGAACCAATCACCAATCAGAATACTAGAAATGCAATATTCAGAGTTATGAATTTAATAAATGATATTACCTGGTTTTTCAATTTTTATTATTTCTGCTCCTAAATCTCCCAGAAGCATTGTCGTAAAAGGACCTGCAAGAATCCTTACCAAAAATAAACAATCACTTTCTTCAAATTTTCTCAATGTCCATATTTATATGCCAATCAAGATAAAAGAACCATATCTTAGAGTCTATAAGTGAATGAAATACCTTGTCATATCTAAAACTCTTACTCCTGATAGTGGACCCCTCATTATTGATCTTCTTTCTGTGTTAAAAGGACATATGAGGAGGCCTAGGGATTACTGCACCAGACTCTACAGAAAAATTTCCAGGTTTTTAATAAATAATGGTTGATACTGGCTTATTAGATAACAATGACAATATTGTCAGTGCGTGTATTGTCATTGCGTGTATTGACTGAGTTCATTGTCAATATAATTACAACAATTACGATTTTCGTCATGTGCTGACAAGGGATCCAGAAACACATCCAGACAAAATTGCAGTAACTCAAGCATGTTTTTATTTTTGCCTATGCGTGTGCATGTAATTACTATATATGGTAAATGCACAGAGAAACCATTATGATAACAATAATAATAATAATGATAAAGATGATGATTACAATGATTGATGATTGGTAACAGTGAGGATAAGTGAACAATTGAAAGATAGATATATAGGCTATGATGGCCATAAATTGACTAGCCACAAATTTAACTTAACCGGTGTCATTTTCTCCTCTGTTTATGCCATATTTTTGCAACAGGCATGCAAAACTTTGAATAAAATCTATTAAAAATCATTGCTAATCTACGACTTGTCTCTCAAGAATATAGCACCCTCTTTTATGACATGATTAAGATATCTATGAAGTCAGTAAATATAGCTTACCAGCTTGTACTACTCTTCTGCAGACACGTCAATCAGCTGATCGACATGAGGAAATGATATAATTTAAAAGTAGTCATAGTTAAGACTCCATCAGCTGAGCGATAATAACAAAGTCTGTCGTGTAATTGTACTGTATTGCATCGAATATTTCATATATTTTTGTTTGAATATCCGCTGACTTACAGCCTCGTATTGCATTCTGAAAACAAAATGGCGACAATAGATGTAATAACAACAATCATAAGAAGAAATAGGCCGGGAACCAAGGCTGCTGTAAGTTTTCGTATTATTTTTACTGTTTAAAATAACTCAGATGACTCTATTTGCTTTGTTTCTTTTTTTTACCGAAGGGTTTTGAATTGCGAGTATACACAATATTAGATACATGAGACATGTAGTGACACGAGTTCTTTTGAAAAAAAAAAAACTCTTTTTCAGTACTTCGGTGAATGATCATTTATTTTAGTAAGATTTACAGGCTAAGTTGAGCAAACTACTTTCGTTCCTAATTTGCATAGCGTGGTTGCGTCGCTTACCTTTTCATTTTGTCAATGGTTTTTGCCAAGGAGCTGCGTAGAGCTTCAGTGGGCTACATGTTCAGTATATATCTGACCTAGCATCTGCGTTTTAATCCCAGGACATGTATGGCTGGCCTGATGAACCATTTGAAGAGATGGATAGTACGTTAGCAGTCCAGCAGGTACTGAAACATGGAAAGATGAGAAGCTGGATATCCCTATTCTTTGAACCATAACTTTTGTAATATATAACATTTTATAAAATATTTTATCAGAAAAGAGGCAAACCATGGATGAATTGTGGAGGCAGTGTGGCCAATTAATTAGGGAGCCAAACTTGTTATCTGATGACATTTTAGTCCTCCACATTGATACCCATAAGCTGGCCTCTTGTATTTAAGTGACCTGTGTTTCTTTCCTGTGTGGACCACAATGAAAACTACTAAGTCATTAGTAATTTTTTCACCTCTTCCCCCCTAAAATCAGTATTGTATTCATCATATTGGGAGTGGGGAAAATTCAAAATACCCATACAAAGAAAAGATGCCTATAGGAATAACTCCTGTAAAACAGAACTGAAAGAAATACTCTGGTACACCAAGAAAAAGAATCCTAATACACTATGGCAAAAAAGCCGTCCCTTCCTTCCTTATCCTGCTATAAGGGAATATAAGGGAAACAGGCATTTTTTTTACCCTTTACACCCTAACATTAATGTGCATGTTCTCCATAGTGTTTTCTATACCCTTCCTAATCAGTTGACAAGGAGAATTTGTTTAACCATCAAGAGCTTCTTTAGTTGTCTTGATAATTTCCTTTATTCTTGTGACCTTAATAGGTGATTCAGGGATGATACTGTAAAGAGAAATTAGATGCTGGTCACTCTTAGGGTCAAGGGTTAAGTTGTTGAGAGGATTATGTTTAACTATCCTTTTATTACTGTGCTTAGTATATTCAGCAACAGATCCGAGCAGATTACACAAATATAGAAGCAATTCTAGAGTCCCCTGAGGGACAAGATGAAGGAGTGTGGAAATATGAACATCTGAGGCAGTTTTGTATGGAACTCAATGGATTGGCTGTCAGACTTCAGGTAACTTCAGCACTGGAGAATTAAATTCTCCTCAAATGATGAGTACAATATCAGGCCCATGAATTATGAGAGTCAAAGAGAAAGTATCAATGCTAAAAAGCTTTCTAAATTTGTAAAAATAAATTGAAATTCCCTATACCATTTTAATACAAAATGTTAATAAAGACCAGACAAGTTAAGATCATTTGTTTGTCAATGGTTTACTTGACATAGCCATAATGAACTGTTCAAATGGACCAGGAGACAATTATCACCCAAACAGTAAAAGAGCTTAAAAAAAAAAAGATGTTTTCAAGCAAATCTGCAAAGCAAAATGTTTGCTGACCTTTTTCACTGACTGTTGTTTACTTTAGTCCGACTGTACTCCTTCAACCTGCACACAAATGACCGCCACAGAGCAGTGGATATTCTTATGTGCTGCACACAAAACCCCCAGAGAGGTGAGACATTCTCAAAAGCTATTGAGGTTGTTGCTACTTTTTTTGTGATTGGTTCTCTTGATTTCCTGAGGAAACTGGAATAGTCGGATCAGAACATCCACATTGCTACAAAAGATCCTGATAATGTAATCATTCATTGATTCATGGATTGACAGACTAACTGATTGATTGATTGATTGATTGGAAAATTGACTGACAGATTGATTGATTGACTGATTGACTCACTGACAGATTGAATAACTGATGCATTGATTGATTGACTCACTCACTGACTCACTTAATGATTGCTTGATTGATTTTATTTGTTGATTTAAAACTGCGTTCTCCTCAACAGTGTCCAGCTATTGATTACACACGGCATACTCTGGATGGTGCAGCATCTTTGCTGAACAGCAACAAGTACTTTCCAAGCAGGTATTGTCATTTTTTTCTCCCTTTTAATTATCATGCTCGTACACCAGTGGAACAAGAGAGAGCTCTTCAATCTGTTTTTGCACAGATGAAGTCTCATTTTTGGAGCTCTGTTTCTCTTACATTCAGCATCTGCCAAGCTGACAACTGTAAGCAAGCTAGTCAGGAAGCTACTCTTCATTTTTCTCTCATGGCATGTTTCGCTGTTATTTTTTCTTTTTTATTCTCCCATCACAAATGTACAAAGAGTTCTATTTACTGATTTGTTGTGCTGTTGATTGGGAGGTACTGTGGCCTAATGGATTCAAGATGGGACCCTTAGTTCAGAGGTGTGGGTTCAGGTTCAAGTTCAGGGTTGGTCTTTGTGCTGTGTTCTTGGGCAAGATACTTTACTTTGATAGTACCTACTTCTATCTAGGAGTAAATATGAGTACTGGTGACATGTCAGTGAAATTTGATGAGATGCTTAAGTGGGGAAGGGGATAGCAGTCCATCCTGAAGCAGACATTACCTCCTGTTGCCCACAATGAAGCAGCATCCCATCCCATTTTCTCTTTCCAGAGTGAGCATCAAGGAATCTTCTGTGGCTAAACTGGGATCAGTTTGTCGTCGTGTCTACCGAATATTTTCACATGCTTACTTTCACCATAGGAGTATTTACGATGAGTTTGAGGTAATTTGAGTCTGTTAGTATTCCTAAGTATACTTTACATTTCTAATTTTTGCAGCACTCAAGTTCGCAAAAAAATAAATACACCAAATTGAAGGGGAATTATATACATATTTTATGAAATTCCCAGATCTGTTTCTTATAGTAATTTTTCTCAGCCATATTCAGTAAGACATTTATCTTTAAAATATTGCAAAGATCCTTCAGAAAGAAAAGAAACAAGTGTTTCTATGAAGGGAGATCAACCTTTTTGTAATCAGTGATCTCCAGGTTTGTAAGTGGCTTTATGTCCAAATGTTATTCAAAAAAGATAGTCACCCTGGTCCAGGTTTTCAGTCAGTAAAATGACATGCAATAATCAATGGTGTTTCAGAGTAGTGGTAAAGCAGAAATGTGGTTCCCAACCCAAACATCCCACATTTTCACTGCAATCATGCCATTTACAATTGTATTTTCCTACATTTGGGTAACTATGCCTGGACCAGTCTACTGATTGAGGATCATTCAATATATGCAAGTTTTCTAAGTTTCTTTGTTTTTTATCTGCAGAATGAGACTCTCTTATGCAAAAGGTTTACAACTTATGTTCTAAAGTATGATTTGATGGCAAAAGAGAACCTTATTGTACCTATGGATGAGACACAGTCACCCCCACCCCCACCCCCACCCCCACACCCACTTCCAGATGATTCCACAGATGAAACTGCAATGGACAGCGAAGCGTGAGTGATGAAACAAGAGTTTAAAATTCAATGGAATGGATATATTTCAGTGAAAGTGGCATTCTGAACTGCTTTTCATCTTAAACAGCTTTGCTAACTTATAAATGCTCCTGGCTGCAAGGAAAGAAAAACTTAATGCAGGCAAATGTTTGAAGGATATTGAGTTGGATGAAGATTTTAGCATGCAAAATCTTTGGCCAATGAAGGAGGATTGAAAAAGATCTATCATTTGTGGTTGATGAAACTAACCATCAGTAACAGCTGCACCACTCAAATAATTCTCTATTTTTTCCTTTATTTGTACATTTGATGTGTGTCAGAGAGAGTTCTTATTTGACAGCCCTTGTAGGATTGTGATTTAGATTCTATCAATATGTCTTTGGTTGTTACTAACTTTTTCCCTTGAAATAGGTCTGACTGTGTTTTTAAAACAAACTGTTAAGGTTTTTGCTTTGTAAACAGCAATTTTTACTTGATAGTACATTTAGACTAGTAAATCTAAAACAATAAAACAATGAAACTTCTTACATAATTTCTTACTGATAGCTTACAGCATCAGAATATTTCTTTTCCTACAAATTAATGCTCTTCTAGACATATTGTATTCTTTAGTTAACCTTTATGACATTGGAGTAGTGAATTTGGTTTCTCAGTCCAAAAAAATTAACTAAAGAAGTTCCACCTTGTCTTTTCTGTTTTCCATCTAGCTGTTACCTTATCCTTAAATTATTAGAAGGTGAGATTTCAAAATGAGGCTTTGACTCAGCATAGCAGTACGTCATCCAGGAAAGTTTCATATATTTACATCTTTGTCTTTCTCAGGAAGACTTTCCTTTGTCGGTGAATAAGCATCTCTAGTGGAAACATCATCTTGATAATCAAGGCTGGAGTGCTTCTTTTCTTTATTCTTCATTGAATTCTTCCTTTTCATCCTTTGCATGATTATGGCGTAAATACACATGGCGTCTGGCTGTGAAACTTGCGGCTCCTCCCTATTGCTGTTTCTCTTTGTAAATACCTGAGTGGAAAAATTCAGTGTGTTAATCACTATGTCTAGGAACAATTTTCAATTGAATGCTCACAGTAATCCGGTATTCCATTGGGTTTGCTTTGCGTTGCCCAGTGATTGGTTGAAAAACCTTGTCGCCCTCTCAACCAATCAGAAAAACTAAATTAAATCCAAACCCGACTAATCGCAACTTGGTTGCGTGCGTTTTCCCGCACTTTAGGTAATTTGCTTGACTTTACTTTTTCATTGTCTTCTAGTGGTACTTTCCTTTGTTATAATTGCTTTGGTTATCGGTTCAATGCACTCAAAACAAAAAAAAAAGGACACTTTTCTTTTTTGCATCTGTCTGCAATTGGAGAATGTCTTAAGATATGAGGATCAAATGGAGGATGTAGATTTTTGTCTTTCCTGGGAGATACAGTTTTGACCTTCGATCGGCCGTTTGTCCAAGTAACACCTGCCTGTCGATCGATTTTTTGGGAAACCGTCGGTGGTAACGAAACGGCAGCGCAGAACTTAAGGCAAATTAGTCCCCTTCACATCACAACATGAAACGGCTCTGCCGAGAAGGAAAACACTGACCGCATTCCATTTTCACTGAAAAAGGAGAGAATGCTGGTAGTCTACAAATTCTTAAGCTCGCGAACACGTTAACTAACAATATTAACAACCACGCAGTTAAATCTATCATTCGTTCGAGTGCAAAAAAATTTTAAATTTCTTTCCAAAACGATTCGAAAAGAGACTGGAAATAAACATGTCTGTTTTCATCATAAAACAACAGGTAATTTAGTGTTAACCCCGTAAACTGACGTTTATTTCATTCAAACGATTGATTGTGGGTTTGTGTGGAAAAAGTTCCAGATTGGTCATTGGTTTGAAATGAAGGACTAAAAAGTTGCCTATGTTTTTTTTAGTCAGGAGTCTCTGAATCGTTTTCAATTTAAAACCAATGACCAGTCTGGAACTTTTAAATGCGCTCGCTCACGATGCAAAACTTGTCCTTTCATTCACAACGTAGAGAAAATATCGGGACCTAAAAGATCCATTAAGATCATTGATCACTTTACGTGTACCTCCGCCAATGTTATTTACTGCGTAACTTGCTCTTATTGCAATAAGTTATACATCGGCGAAACAGGAAGACGACTGGGTGACCGATTCCGAGAACACCTTCGCGATGTGGAAAGAAATGACAAGGACGCATCCAAACCAGTCGCTAGACACTTTAGTCTTCCTAATCATTCTAAACAGCATATGGCAGTTTGCGGCCTTTCCTTACATCTAGGCAGTTCGGAAAGCCGTAAAACACCAGAACAAAAATTTATTTTCCAAATCGGCACCCTTAATCCCCACGGAATCAACGAGCGCTTTTCATTCAACTAATTTACTCCTGTTTTCTCGTCACCATATTCCCACCAATGGCGTAGCCCCACTTTCTGCATATAAATCCACACACAACCCACAATTCCTCTAATCGCTCTGACGAAGGGCTAACGCTCGAAACGTCAGCTTTTTACCCTCTACGGTGGCTAATTTACGTTTTCAACCCAGTTGTTAACACTAAATTACCTGCTATACTCTCCCACCGACGCAGCATCACAGTTTCTTTAGAAACTTACCCCTTTAATCATAAAACAACTACATGTAAAATTCACTTGTACAAATTAGTGAAAATTGAAATTATCAGTGGAAGTTTGAACTAAAAAGGAAATCCAACACCATTTGCAGAATTTTAATATTTATTTGCCCAGCTGAAAAGGCTTGTGAGACCTCGAATAATCACTGCCTCTTACCTCCTGTGTACGCCGTTTATTCCTCGGCTTTCTTTGCATCGAGAAGAAAAGTAAATGACATAAAACGCCCGACAACTACATCATGTTTACTTTATTTTGAAAATACTGGCCTCAAATCTCGATAAAACATGATGCCCAGTCTTGATTTTCTATGCTCATCAATTTGTGTTTTGTCGCTTTTCTTACTTTCGAAATGCGTGAAAATATCTCTGTTGTCTCAAGTGGCTGTTAAGACCTTTGCCACCAAAAAGTCGAACCATTCATCTTGTTGGACTTGTGAGGAATATCACTATTTTCGAAAGTCACGGCGTCATTTAGGCTGTAGCTCGAGTCCCTACATTTATTGCCATAGTAGATTTAATGAAATAACACAGATTTCTTACCTGAGACGATGTGTACACTCAGTGAAAACCCTCCAAACACTCAGCAAATCAAAGGCTTGGCAAAATTCAGCGCTTGAAAAGGTTTCAATGAAAGACAAAACGAGTGAAATAACTTGCCATTGGTCCTTTTAAGATGCGATAGACAGAGTGATTTTGACTTAAAGTGGACAACTGTTTCCTTCACTTGTACGATGAAAACAAAGCATACTCCCGGAAGCTGCAGGTTGCCCAGACAACACTGCTCCATATGGATAACACATTTTCGAATGTTCACGATAAATTTGTCGTGTTTTGGCAAAGGCTAATATTACTCCGTGAAGTTTTTGGTCAGGTAATTTTTTATTATTATTACTGTTACCATTATTTATTTAATTAATTAATTTTAGCAGCATTGAGGCTCACTCATATGATAATTATAATTAATTCTTTGTCTTTACTTATTTCGTAGTTTGCTGTTGATGTGTCATGACATAAAATTTGATTGGTAAACGATATTAATTACAAAAATTTCAATCATTATTATGGTAAAGAGGCCTTTAAATGCTATTCTAAATGCAACAAAGATGTGGATGTCGCTGTAAAGTTATAATTGTGGATGCAAATTTATTGATAGGAGCAAAGTGATAATTTCGGATCCGTAGTTAAAACCAGAATAAACTTTTCATCAGTTGCGGCTATATCTCTGAGACCGATTTAGGGTCTTCCCCCCCCTCTCCCCCCTCCTTTACCCTCACCTCTCCACTCCCCTCTCCCACCCCCTTTCCCCCTTTCGGAGATAAAAGGGACCTTAAGCAGTCAGGACGGCAACGTCGAGAATATGTAAATTAAAAAATGAATTCTTGTGATAGAACCTTACGACTGGCTGGATGTTTTCACCGTCTCTTAAAGCGCCACACCTTAACTTCAGCATAACGTATTTGAGCAGCGTGAGTTCCAAATGGAAACTTGAATGAATTGCCGTCGGGGTTTCCATTCTCAGACCATGCAAATTTTGGTGATTTCACGTTGTTGTTTTGTAGCGGACGGCGAAGAAATGTAAGTCTTAAATTACTCGTGCTGAGCCAATGTTCTGCCTATTAGATTTTTTGCCACGTCCCCGCGTGTTTTGGTTAAGGTCCTTAAAGACGCTCACATGCACTTACCTGTTTGAAACTCTAAGATAAAAAAGACATGATATAGTGAATGCACATAACTTGTTTCATATATGCTAATATGACGCATAATATTCGTGTGACCTGTTTGGGCACACACGAGGGATTCATTTCGGAATGTACTAGACTGTTCAAAACAAGTGGTTAAGAATGAACCAAGAACATTCTGGGGAGCTAAAAGATCGTGGAAGTGCACTCATACGTGAAGTGCTTTTGGATACACTTGTCTTTTTGCTGATTTTTGTGACCTTACAGTAAACCACCTGCCAACGAAAATCATTACCCTTTGCAGCATCGGCTAATTGGGAAATTTCAGGGCCTGTTTACATGGAGGGTATCCTCGAGGGTACGGCTACACGTAGGCTAGTATTTATCGTGTCGAGTTCAAAGTCTGCCCAGTTTGCAAGCCCCTCGTCTGTATAGTGTTCACTCAGAGAGGTGTCTTGTTTTGAAGATTTTTGACACAATGTTGATTTAAAAAAATTCTGACTTCGGTTTTCGCATGATAGCATGAATATTCCATTTTACAGTTGAGTGGTGGGTTGCTAAGGGTTTGAACAGGAGTAAATTCTTGCTGCTTCTCAAATGCAAATTACTTTGTTATCATGCTAACTAGATACAGGTCTGATCACATGAGCAAGATACAGGTCTCTATCACAACAAGGTCTCCTTCAGCCTCACTCCGAAATGGCTTATTATCAATCCTCGTGTCTGTGTCAGCTGCCTCAGCCTTCAGCTTGGCAACACGTTGGCGTTACGAAGCTGACTATTATGGGAATCACACGGTGACTGTGCTGGGCCAAGGATAGCATGGAGTTGCGCAATTACTTTCACAATATCAGGCTATTATTATCGAGATGATGCAGCAGAAACTGAAACCCACAAGGGCGTCATACAACTGATCACATGAGCAAGAGAGAGCGAACTTATTGGTCGTTCATTGTTACGGATTCAGGCAAAAATATCGGGGTGGCACAGGGCTGACCATATTGGCACGACGAAGGCGAGATTGGCAAAGTCAAGGCAATTTTCGGAACTCATTTTTAAGGTAAATCTTTTCTTTCTTTTACGTTTTTTGAAAGCTTTAAATATTCTACCCAAATAGAAAGGTTGTAATCTGTTCAGGAAACTTTTTAATTCGGGGATGCAAAGCTGTAAATATCGTTGCGCTCGACTGGGTTGTCGCTCGTTCTTGCCTGCCAGTGTTGTTCTGATAGAGCTCAATTAGTATTCAAAGCTACTAACTGTGTGCTCAAGGGATGCAACGAAAAATTGCACTTTAAGTCATGCTTCATCGATTTGAAAGATGAGGACATTTGCTTGGTTTGCTTGTCGAAATCTATAGCCGGAGGAAGGTTGCTTTCCTTCCAAATTTTCGACATGGATTCTCTCACGCTCGTTGCAAAATAGTTATTCTTCGATCATAAAGCTTTACAGAGAATGTTGCGACAAAGTTAAATAAAAATCGCTTTGTCAGTTTATCGCATGAATACTTTGTAGCGGCGGAAGGCTAAGCTCATGTCACACTGTTACAGCTGTGTTTTTCAACCTAATGCCTTATTGATTCGTGCTCAGATATTTGTTTAGAGAGTGTACAGGATTTGAGACAATTATCTGTTGTCATGTATGTCTTCTTGTCTGGATGAACTAGCCATCAATTAATTTCCAGAGACAAAATTCAGTTTTAGTGAAGCCGTAATTACGAGCGACCATTAAAAAAAAACATCTCACAGTATCACTAAATTGGCAAATCAAATTATCTGAAATGACGTTGTAATAACTGTTTGGTAGACACTGAGGATAATTTATTTTGTGATGTAAGGAGTGAAAATGTAGAATTATTTTTGGACTTGCCTAGTAGGCCCTCAGAGGATTGTCTGTTCCAGTTGTCGAATTTTATCCTCTTTATAGGATATCATCATGGTATCATATGCATCAGAATCAGTCCTTGAGAGCTGCCCAGCTTTTAAAGATGGCTGTCCTTATTCTAAGATTACGCAAGACCTTTTTGTGGAAGAAATCAAGAAATGCCCTGAGTTCAAACAAGGGTGCCCCTTTAAGAACACAGACAATGTAAAGGATATCCTGAAAGAACTTTCCAAGATGCCAGAGATAAAACATCACTCAGGATCAACACATGAACATCTACTTCACATGCTGAAAGCCATTCACACAGAGTCTAAAAAGCTGGAAGAGAAGGTTGGAGAGTGTCCTGCATTCAAGACAGAGGAAGGTTGTCCTTTCAAAGATGCCAGCAAGGAAGGAAAACCTTTGATAGACCCACCAGCAGCTGTGTTAGAAGGTTTTACTGCCTCTGATGTCAGTAAACTGAAGGAGAAGTGTCCTGCTTTCAAAGAAGGGTGTCCATTTGCCAACATAGATAATGAAGCTCTTTTGGAAAAAATTAAGAAATGCCCTGAGTTTGAAGAAGGATGTGCCTTCAAAGAAGCCAAAACAATCGAAGAGATCTACAATAAGCTGTCACAGATGCCAAGCAGTGACAAGGACTGCCACCATAAAGAAGCTCTGATGGAGACCATGAAAGTCATTCACAGTGTTGGCCATGAGAAAGCTGACAAGTGTCCAATCCTTCTGAAGGATGGTTGTCCATTCAAATCTGTTGAGAGTGAAGGAAAGCCACTTTTCAGTCCAGCAGAATCTGTATTGCCCTCAGAGTCTGAGTCAGAAGAGCCTTCTACCCATTTTGTTAACCTCAAGGATTTAAAAGAAACTTGCCCAGCATTTGCATCTGGATGTCCATTTGCAAAAGTTGGTGACAAACAGTTGGATGAAGAGCTGAAACAGTGTCCTGAATTCAAAGATGGATGCCCTCATAAGGACAGTGAAACTATTGGAGATATTTACAAAAAGCTTGCCAGTCTTCCATCCTTCTCTGTGCAGGGATCACATGGTGCTAAGCTCGTAGAAATTTTCAGGTACATACATGAAGTGTCCAATGGACTGAAAGAGGAAATGGGTGAGTGTCCCATGTTTGCAACAGTGGAAGGATGTCCATTCAAGACTATCTGCAGTGACGGCAAACCACTGGTTGACAAGCTGGATGGTCAACGTTGGACCAAGATTTTCCAGAGTTCAATTGATGACATCAAAGAAGATGTCAATAAAGAAATTGAGGAAACAGAACCATCTATTCATCTGTCAAAGGAGTTGAAGAAAGGCACCAAAGTTATCCACAGAGAAGCAGAAAATATTCACTTTGTAAAGGAGTTTGCCAAGGGAAGGATTGAGAGACAGTGGTATAAAGAACTTTTGGCTGATCTTTACTTTGTGTACAGGTAAGTTCTATACCTATATATATAAACCTGTTGTAATTACGGCTGCTACATTTTCTCAGGACACTCTACTTTCCACCCAACCTCTCCCCTCTTAATTCCTATCTAGGATAGAAACATCAATGTGGGGTTGTTGTGATCCTGCCTATTGTCATTCCGCAATGAAGATTGAATTTTTCTTTAATTGCCTAGTGTTGACTGCTGTGTATGGCAGCCATTGTTATTTTCATCTCAAAATTTAATAAATTGTAGAAGACTAACATTAATGAACAGGGAAACATACAGAAAAAAAATTTAGAAATTTCAATCCATCTTGTAAAAGTGCAGATCAAAATAACAATATCTAGAGATATATTGTGAGCCCAAACCTCTACTGCATGCCATAGAGTCATAGCAAATCATTTAATAGGTGTTTGCAAGGGATTTCATTTGCAGAATTTTACTTAGTAGGCAGACAACCCTAAGACTGAGGTACAATGCCAATTGTATCACTGCTAATTACCCACTCCCCCTTTCTATTTCAGAGCACTTGAAGAAGAGAGTGAGAGACATAAAGATCATGATCTGTTCAAAGCAGTGCATTTTCCTAAAGAGCTTGGTCGTTTGCAGTCCTTGGAAGAAGATATGGAGTTTTATTTTGGTGAGGAATGGAAGGAGCAAGTTCCAATGTCTGCAGCTACAAAAGCCTATGTTGACAGAATCCATGAAGTAGCTGACAAGGATCCAGCTCTGTTGATAGCTCACCATTACACCAGGTACCTGGGGGATTTGTCAGGTGGACAAATTTTAAGAAAAATGGCCACTAAAGCTATGGATCTCCCAAGTACTGGAGAAGGAGTGCACTTTTATGTCTTTGATAACATTCCTGATGCTAAGAAGTTTAAGAACAAGTACAGATCCTGCCTTGATGAACTCAGCATTGACAAAGTGAAATCAGATGAGATTGTTAAAGAAGCAAATTATGTTTTCCTGCTCAACATTCATTTGTTTCAAGAGATAGATGATATGGCTGGATTTGAAGATCAGGTTACCAAGAAGAAAAAGAAGCTGACAGTTGAAGAGGTTTACAGTAGCATTGACACCAGTAAAGATCAGGCTCATGGGGTGTGTCCATTTGCAGTCATGGCCAAAAAACCTGCACAAGGAAACACAACAGCTCCAAGAAGTGAAGGAAGGAATGTTCATCCAGTGCTTCTGGCGGTAATTATTGCAATTGCAGCCATTCTGCTAGGGCTGGTGTTCACCAAAATAATGTGAAACAGTACAATGTTGTGTTGCTTGTATTGAAAACAGTGCTTTCAAAACAAATTTATATGACAATAGAAAAACATTTTGATCCTTGATTTAATTCAGATTAACAGTTTTAATATTACAGTTATTATTAAATGAGAGTACAAGATGAAGGTGTTCCTTAGTGTGGAGGTTTGAGTGGAGAATACAGGTGATCTCAAGTGAGGAATTGAAGGTATCAAAGAACTAGTTTTTTGTTTTTGGTATTTTCAAATTTATAATTTTTGACCATCATGGCTAACTTTCAGTAGAAGTAATTGAAGCATCCAACTCAAAAATAATTTTTGAATATGCACAGTGAACTTGATGTTGCCAGAATAGGACACTGTCATGAAAAAAAGTTATTTTAGTGAAAGTAAGACAATGAATGAAGGCATCAATAAAGAAACTGGATGACGATTTTTTTATGAGGACTTAAAAGAAGCAGATGATCCTAAGGGGTTATCAACCCTACTGCTGAAACTCTAGTAAAGACAAGTACATTTAGATTCAGAATTTTGGGTAATGATGATGCAGTATCATTTTTCTACAATTTATAATTCCTTTACATGTTTATGGGAGCTATTAAATTTAGAGTGATAGTTTAATGTGCAGCTCTCATATTATTTTGAAGAATAGTCCTGACATTTGAAACAATTTATATATATTTATATAACGATTTAATGAATATGCTAATCAGTTAATATATAGTCAGAAATATGCATTGGAAGTTATTTCAAATCAATTAAAATTATGTCGCATAGAAATTGTGGATTCTTCTTTTGTACTGTTTCCTGGTGAAGGAAATGTTTTTCCCGATGAACCCATTACACCCTGAGATCAGTATCAATATTCTCCATACCCCTCTCTATACATTTCTTTTATTTCCTTCATTCCCATGATTCAATAGAATTACTGTAGGGAGAAATTATATGCTGGTCACTCTCAGGGTTAAAAGGGCCTTGAACCAATTTTCATCTGTACCAGTGATTAAATTGTGAACCACGATGGAAAGTTAACTTTAAATGTGATGACCATAACAAAACTTTGTATCTCAAAGAATACTGGATTTTCACCGGTATCTTATAAAATACTCGCGTTGAACAAGAATATATTTCATGGTTCAGTAGATTTTATGCAATTTAACTTTTTTCTCTTATTAATTTCAAATGAAACTTCTAGAGACTGAATAGTATCACTCAACAAGGGTGAAGTCAAAGCTGTTAAGTACTTTAAGCTTGGATTAGAATAAATGAGCTTGACATCCGCCTTTACTGAATTTGCACTTCCCACTATCGGAAATACGTCACACACGAAACGGGTACTACTATTGTGTTCCCACTGTTAACGTGGGTTTGTCGTGAGTTTGCTAACTTATTTCATTCTTTATCGTGTTAAGAGGTAGATATTTCATTAAATACAGTCAAGAAAGCAGGAGGACAAATTTACGTGGAGAAATTATCTCAGTTCCGGGAAAAAAATATTGAACTACGTACATTTTAACGCTTTACAATTTTTCGCGATCTCTATCTTAAAAAAAGTCATCAAATCAAATAGGTCAACATCCAAAGAAAACAGAGCGGTCCTTCAAAGCTTTCTCTCAGCGTTCTCACTTGATTTCGCAACTAACAGTTTTGGTAATGTGAAGGTCACTCAAAAATTTTTTATCTTTGATCAGACAGCAACAACTACAACAACAAATTCATTGATCCTAAGACAGATTCTCTGTCTCTGTTAAGTTGAAATTTCGTATCGGTTGATCCTAAACTTCACAGATGCAAAAATTTACACAAAGTGTTTATTTGTCTGCTAGACACCTAAGGATCCCAACACTACATACTGCACAACTGGAACATGCATTTCTGATGGACAGCTGACTATGCATTTTTAAGGGATATCTGCTTTGCTCCTTTACGAGTGCACTCTTGACCTTTAGCCACCTTAAATTGATACAATGAACTTAACGCGTCATGGAATCTGTTAGCTCATTTACTTGTTTAAGCGACAGAAGTGTAAACGTGACTAGTGGCTTGAAGAAAGCATTTAGAGAAATATGTTCAACGGCCATATTGGCACGACGTAGAGGTTAAATTTAACACTTGAACATCACAGCATGATAGCGTATACATCGTTATTTGCTATGATTTTTGTCGGCGGTCTCCTAGTTTCTGTTCTCGCTCAGATCCGGAAAAAACGTCGAAGCAAATTTCACACTGTACGGAGTTTACTGATCCACTACTTTATCAATCGCTTTGTGTATCTCTTGGGAGCTAAAGCAAGAAGACGCCTGGAAAAAGACACAAAAAGTTTTCCTCAAGTTCAAGAAACATTTTTGTTGAACATTCTCAGGAAAAACTCAAAGACTAAATATGGCAGAGAATTCAAGTTTCAAGAAATAAGGAGCTGCCGGGATTTTACTGATGTTCATCCCATCACCAAGTATGATCACTACAAACCATTTGTGGGTAAGTGGAAAGATGAACGAAATATGAAGCCGGGTAACAGAACAGTCTGCATGTGACGACTGTAATAGCTTAAGGCATATACAGGTTTGCGCTTGTCGGTTAGTAATCACGAATTTGTCACTGACCACTCCCAAGTTAAAGAGGCAAGACCTTGAAGCTGATTTTATCCAGCAGTGATCATTCATAGAAAATAGATTCGCGTTATCTTGCTAGGCGTAACATTGAATAGAGTAATATATACGCAAAAAAAGAATGATTTGAAATATTCAAGTAATTTATTTTGGTGAAGAAATAAAAAAACAAATTGATGTTTTTGTCTGATTACAGAAATAAATCAAACCTCTGGAGAACGTTCTTGGATAACTTAAACTCTGAAATACGGATAAGCCATTGATACTGGTCAATACAGAGATTAATATTTGTTTCATTCGTTGATCTGTTCCTTTCTGACGAGCATCTTGCGCCAAAAGTTTTTAATCATTTCACAACAGCAATTCATATTGATATTTTCTGAAAAAATGAAAAAGATAAGGATTGTTTTCTATTGTTTTTGTGGCTTCTTCCAGCTTTGAAGAGCACGGAAAAGATAGATAAGAAAACAGGAATTCTCTAACTCGTAAAATTTTCGATGAAACCTAACTTTATCACTAAAAGCAGAATTTACAACTGAGATACAATTTTAGGATAATTTGGTATTCGCGCTAGGACAATAAGATTTTATGCCTGAGAGTTCTTTATTGAATATCAAAAAACCTCTTCCGTAACTCATCAAAGTAAACGTTTTAACCAAGTTTATAAATTTAATTTTCACCACAGATGAAATTTATCGAGGAAAGACGAATGTACTGACCAATCAAGATCCTTGGATGTTGGCGGTAACATCCGGAACAACAGGAAGAAGCTGTCTTATTCCCAAGACACGAAACAATTCTCGAGTATTCGTGGAATACGGATTCTCCGTGGGACTTTATCACACTTTGTTTAACGTTCTACCCCTGGTGAGCAGAAGTAATTGTTAAATGAGATTAAAACATTGCCACACAGGATGGAAAGAATAACATAATTTTCTTCTTTTTGCGGTCCCTCAAGTGTTCCTGTGTTGCTTTAACGGAGTTTTTTTTACGTCAGGTTAAGAATTATCCTTTTTTGTGTGCTTAGCTTTCGTGACCTTGATCTCCATTTAGGAATCGCAACAGAAAGCAGTCATACGCAATAGATAGAGCTTTAGAACACGAGATTAGCACGAAAAGCTAAGGGTTATGCAAGTGTGGGTAGCCATGTGAACCACAAACAATTATGGTGTGGGTAGAAATTTCTAGAATTTTTATCTCTAATTTTACATTTAAAATCTAATTTTCCAAATTAATTTTCCAAATCTAATTTCACAACTGACAACTGCATTATTAATGACTTATTTAATGGCATCTGAGCGATCAATACGCCAAGGGCACGCAATTTATCAGCATGGCAGGCCGCACGGGCTTGAATTTCTGTACTCAGAATGTCCTGACCAAGTCAGGCGGCCATGGCCGATTAATCTCTCTTTACCAGAAACCCTGTAACATGATTCATCTTTCCTTAGGCGGACAGCTTACAGAAGTCTCTTAAACTGTTTCACGCTCCTCAAGTAAGATGCTCAGAAGGAGGGATTCCAATAGGACCTTCAACTTTAGCGCCTTCATTACAGCTCCACGCCCTGTCCACTCCCCGAGTGCACCTTGACGTCCCGTCTGAACCCGCTGGACTTTATATTCACGTCTTGTTTGCACTGAGAGATAGAGACCTGGGTGCGATTCTGGGCAATTTTGCGTTTTGGATTCACGGGGTTTTCGTCTTCCTTGAGAGAAACTGGAAATTATTGGTGCAAGACTTGGAGAAAGGTGAAATCAATATGGATCTTGACATAACAGATGGAGTTCGAAAGTAAGTATTATGAATTCAACCCAAACGTTCCCTCAGAATATCAACTACTTTTTTGTTGTTGTGTGATCATAACTGATTGTATCTTCTTTGTCTGCCTCTTATTTCCAAGAGAGCTAAATAAGCTGCTAAAGCCAGATAAACAACGAGCAAATGAACTAAGGGTGGAGTTTCAGAAGGGCTTTGATGGAATCGCCAGGAGAATTTGGCCACACCTTGCATATGTTCATGGAGTAGTGTCAGGTGAGCTCTCGTCACAATATTGTCGCATGTTTCGAAAATATCAGCTTAAATTACTTACGCTTGTCAAGTTTTAACCATATGACTGTTATTTGTATAAAAAAGAATCTTGCTATTGCGACCATCATTGGGCCATCAAAATTTGACACCATTAACGGAGTATCAGCTTTCCTCACATCTGTTATTTGTTAAGTCACACAGCGCACTCCCCCCTCCCCCCCTCCCCTCGGAAAAAGGTTTTTGAAGGAAGGGCTGGTGGCTAACATTACAAAGAACAACTGCAATGGAGAGTAACGACGTGGTTTAGAGAGCAAAAGACTGGACTTATCCTGTTTGGGGCATAAAACTTGGACGCATGTAGGAGGGGGATGCAGTCGTAGGGCGTAAGGAAAGACTTGCAGCATGTTTTGCACATCAAAAAAAGAGAAAATTTCCATGCTGCATCTTCTTCCCTTTAAGGTTCTTCTGAGCTTTATGCCACGCAGTTACGGGAGCGCTATCTCAAGGGTGTGGCACTGTGTTCCACCATATATGGAGCAACTGAAGGATTGATTGGAGTGAACTTATGGCCACTGAACTCGGAACTTTGCTATCTCCTTGTACCTCGCTCAATGTTCTTTGAGTTCATACCACTGGAGCATACTCACGAAGAACAACCGAAGGTATTTGAAAGAGCTATCTTGTTTCTCACGTTCAAGCAACGAAATGTCACCTATTTCAGAATAAACATAACCGCTCAAAAAGAACGTCCATGAACAAACGAACCCAGAGATCGCTAGCACTTCATATATTCTGACAAGTTAGGCAAGACAGGCCGGTTATTAAAACGTATTTGCTTCATCTTGCTTTGTGATTGGTCCAGAAAACTTGTGCCATCTTCTCAACCAATGAGACGCCAGACGAACATCACTTGTGACCTAATCACCCGTGTTTTCCCCCGCTTTTGGTTGTTTGCCCGACTGTTTTAGCTTTGAGTTCTTAATGGCTTATAATTATATTTTTATTCGTTACAATTGGCCGCAGCGATTATTTTGGTTTCGCCTTTTTGACAGTCAATTTATAATTGCTCTTAAATTTTTCCAGTGTTAGTCAAAAGTCTACTTTCCAGCGTTCATAAAAGCCGACGTTTTGAAATGTTTGGAAATGAAATGTTTTAACTTTAGGACCATTAAGAATGTTTTTTTTTTTAATAAAGACTAGCTGGCAGCCACGTGCTATAAAGACTAAACAATTTCAGTTACAGCCTTAATCGTCTCGAAGGTTCAGCCTTGTTAAAGTGGTTTTTTTTTTTTAAATGGGCATACTGTTGTGATATGATCCCATTTGTGAATGTACTTCTCCCATGAAACGGCAAAATTGTCATCTCTAGTGACAATTATTCCGGATCTCCTTTACTTAGGTCATTCTTTCTATCACCCATCCTTAAAGTTGATGGGATATCACACACCGCCCCCTTCCCCTGAAAAGAAACGTTAGTTTATCCCTGGTGGTGTAATGTATGACATTCCAAACAACGACTGCGAAGAGACAGTTTAGCCATGCACATGTCATATTTTTTACAGACGCTGTTTGCTGATGAAATCGAACCCGGTTGCTTATACGAACTAGTGGTAACCACACTGAGCGGTTTGTATCGTTACAGGATTGGAGATGTGGTGAAAGTTGTCCGTTTTTACAACAATTGCCCGGTGGTAGAGTTTCAGTACAGACAAGGTCAGCTATTAAACATGCGCTCGGAGAAAACGACTGAGACGATGATGTACGAGGCAATTACGAATGTGCTCCGAGGGAAAGGCGAGAAATTTAACCTCGTGGATTACACATGCGCAGAGAGCATTCTGTTGGATTTTATCCCAACGAAGATGGATTTCGTTAAGGAAAATATTGGCCAGGGTAAAAACAACAACCACAGATGCAAGGCTGACTTCGATGATGTTAAGCCATTCTACATAATTTTCTTGGAGCTTAGTGCAACGCGAGACCCAGGAGAGAATAGGCCGCTTTCACAGGAGGTAAGAATCAAAGCTATCTCTTTGTCTCCTCACTTCTTCTGGTAGGAACTGTAGTTATAAAATTTGAACTGCTGAGGAAGATGCTACTACAGGGATAGGTAGATGAACGAGGTCCAGAGCTATTAACACCATCATTATCGCTATGATTATAGTTATCGTTATCGTTAGCACTATCATTATAAATTTCTCCATCATTATTTTTACACCATTGTCATTACACTCTTATCATAGCGTCATCTTAACCGTTGTAAATAAAGTAAACTTCCGATGTTGTCAAAAAACTAAAAACCATAGTAAACACAAAGGCCAATCAGAACAAAGCTTGCTTTCATCATTAGCCAATGAGAACTCAGAGTAAAACCAGGTAAACTGCATAAGACGCAGGAAAACGTGGGTGACCAAATCGAAATTTGTTTCAGTTTTACATCTGACTTGTTGAGAAGATGGCACACGTTTTCTTGACCAATCAGAGATAATTTCAGTAAAACAATCTGAATCCAGGATAACTATCGTCACCTAATTAGTTACTACTCGAACACATAATCGCGTTTGTGTAATTCAGCCTCGCATGTATGTCTGTTGCCTTTTTAAAACTGTCACTGATTTTCCTTTTAGTTGGACCACGCCCTTTGTGAGGTGAATCCATTTTATCTCATTCGTCGTGAAAATGGCGGCTGTATTGACAGACTCAAAGTTTGTTTGGTCCAACCAGGTACGTTCAAGAAATTTCGCGACTTTCTACTCAAAGTCACACCAACAGCCGTCAACCAACTGAAGATTCCGCGGAAACTGATGTCGAAAGAACAACTGATGTTCTTTTGCGAGAATTCTGGCCACAGAGCACGTTTAAATAATTAGCAAACTTCGAGAAAAGCGCTATGATTAGAGCGCAGTTCAATTGAGTATCAAAATAGACCCCCCTGTTATCACTTCCGCTAATCAGAAGAGAGGAAGATATTGAAAGGAACCAATAAGAGTCAAAAGTAACACGTAAAGTGAACATGTAATCCTCAAGGACGGGAAAACGCGAATAGCCAAGTTTCTACTGGCTGAAGTGTTGCGGGTTTTCTAAACCAATCACAAAGAAAAAGAAAGCAAAACCAATGAAAACCTGGAATAATTTTGACACTCGGTTGAAAACCGTTCTGTTTATAGCAAAACAAATCCAGAACGAAAAGAGTAAAGAGCTAATACTCTAAACCAGTTTTCTCCACGGAGAACATACGAAAAACGAAGACTAAAGAGCAAATCAGTCACGGTGGAGAAAACACTATTTATTTCAGTGAGTAACTTCTATTATTGCAGCGACAATATAGTGTCCTATGGTATCATTAACAACATACCAATATTATTTAACATATCACAGGACATATCGCATCGTTCAGTATATTTTATCAGTTTTGGTTTTTACTATCCCATAGATTTTGGCATACATTTTTTGGATATCATATCATCAAATTATTCACCGTGTACAACTTAAAAGTTCATAAATTGAACCTCTGATGTTTTGATAAAATCAACTCAGTTCATAAAACCAAATCATTATACTCCCCCCCTCCCCCCCACTACAACACCAAAGTTTCTTTATAAACTCATCCCATTTATTTTTAACATAGTTATTTATAATGCAGTTTCCATACCCAGAAAATTCAAATTGAACATGCTCCATGAGATAACACAGCTGACACAATATTTTCCTGCTAGAGATTCCCCTTTTCCCTGCAAATTATTATAAATTGTGCTGCTTGGGTGAAAAAATGCTTAACTGATTAAGTTAACAAGCTATTTTGCTATTTTTCATAAAAATTTAGATATTTTTTAATTTTAGGAAACTTCCCCAGAATTGAAAGGCTCTTAACAGAAAAATGCAATGTAGGCAAAATAATAATAATAATGATAATGATAATAATAAGTTGATGTACGTAATAAATTATAATAATAATTTCTGCTCAACCTTGCCTGTAGTAAATACTTTCCCAATACAATAGTATGATGACAATGTCTTTAAAGTGATTTAATTCCTTAACTACAACATCTTCGCATGACAAGCTTGGATGATACCTTTTTGTCATTATCAGCATACTGACTGCATTACCAGCCAAGTACAATCACTAAATTGCTGCACCATTCATCATTCCTGTAGCCCTGCATTCTTTTCTTCATCAATTTTTGCTTCACTTTTCTCTTCTGGTGCTTTACCCTCCCCAGTCTCCTCTTCATTCTGCTCTGAAGATGATTGCGTCAACTCAGACAACCATGATGTCACAAATGAGCGTGCACTGTTAATAGCCCCACCTAAGAAAAAAAATAAAGAATCAAAATATCGTAACTTCCAAAACTCCTTTGATGTTTTCCCTAGTTCTGGAAGCTGTCTCCCACTCATCCCCCAAGGACAACAAGGAGAGAACTCTGGGAACAAGTTTGTGCAATCCCTCTCCTCTAGAGGATCTAAAAACAAATACCTATCATACCTACGACTTTGCCAGTTTCCACCACAGCATGACCAATCCTACGGCCTCTTTCTGTCTGCATAACACTACACAACAAACAGATACATATTGTACTTTAGAAAATTGGTAGACAACACTGTTTATAATTTCTGAACTTTACTTAAAAGCATTCCTTTGTGACATGTTCTTGAAATAAAAATACAAACAACAACAACAAGTTTAAAATGGATTTAATAGGCTAACATCTTACTTAGAGAGTCTGATTTTAATATCTGCTAGCCTCATCTGTCCTTGAAAAGGATGTCTGTCAAGAAAATGGTGTTAAACTGTTACTACAATTTAGGGTTTGCAATGAAAAGCAAACTTTGGAAATGCCGTGTACTTTACCCAGCATGTACATCATCAATCCCTGTGTGTTCTTTTCCTCTCCACACTTGATAGTTTGTAGTTTGTTTCCAGGCCTCTATGAACTTCTCATTGTAGTTTGCCATCCCATCACCCCCTGCAAATAGTGGAGTATCAGACGAGTGCTCCCACATTAGAAGCAAAGCCATACACAGGATCACAAACCTGTGTGTTGAATGGTTGATAACAATGACAGAAGATACAATTTGAACTGGGCTCTGATCCACTCATCACTACCATCCCAGCCTAAGGAATACAAGAAAAATATAATTAAAACTGGACTCTGATCAAGAAAAACAGAATTTCTTGGCAAGTTCCTGACATTGTAATAAATCAACAAGATAGGTTACTCTCTGGGTAAGTTTCAACAATAAGTGAAATAGAAGCAAAAGTGTTTACTTCAGTTCCAAAGATGTAATGTAAAAGAAACTGACTGAAATGTTGTAAGTTTTCCTGGAAAATTTTTCAACTGAATCACACTGATGAAGGCTAAATGATTCTGTCAAAATATTTTCCAAAAAAAGACCAACCATGTTCCAGTCAGTTTCTCCTTAACTAAGTGAAACGATAATATTATTTGTCCAAATCTAAAGAGATAGTAACCTAATTCTGTGAGGGATTAACACTGTGCTTACTGACGTAACAAATATTTATCCCACTATTAGTCAGTAAAAAGCAAAAATGAGTTTCCTTGACAACATGTGAGGTTAGTGCTCATATTCCACCCCCCCGTCTTCTTTCCTGGGGTTGCAAACAGGCATCACCAATATTGAGGTGGCAACTGAGGAAGTTTCAGCTCCTAACTCTCTCCACTGGGTTTAAATAAACCAACAAATGGAATGTTTATTCTGCTTGAAACATTTTTTAAGTGGAGTACAGTTCAAATGTATAAGAAATATGAGCACAAGTCAACTATTCAGATAGAAAAAATCCCTTTCATCAATTTTGTTAGAACCTTTTGTTCTCTTCCTTTCCTGAAAATATTTACCACATTGAGACAATTTTTCTCTCATTGTCAATGGTAGTGATGAATTATATATACACACAATCAAAACTAAAAATAAATTAATTCTATCAAGGTCAAAATCACTGCAATTAACCTGCTTCTTGTTGGCCTTTCTCAGCATAATCATCAACGTGATGAATTAGATAGTCTGCAAACCTCAGGTCAGCAGTTGATAATGACAACTGTTCGGTTAGTTCAGGATCATGAATTTCAATTGTACTACTCTCCAGCTGTTGTCAAAAACAAACTTATAGATTAACAAACAAATTTTGTCCTTTTCCCTGTACACAAAACATTTTCAGGTAACCCTGGAACTCCCAAGATCTGATTGTTAATCCTTCCCTCCAATTGCTAACCATTAATCTTATATATTATTTGTGAGAATTTTGTGCTCGATCAAGAAAACAACCTCTACCTGATATATTTGAATATTCTCATTACCTATTTGCTAGACAATGTATGGATATCATGGGGAGAAGTTAAATGTTAATCCTTTTGGGAGTTAAAATAAACAGGAAGAACCATTTTGTAATCATCCATTGTAGAATTCATATCAAAGCATTTGTGATAAAAACTTAGTAGATTTATACTAATATGTGATAGCTCTTTTGTACTCACATCCACCAAAACATCTGATAATCCTTTTTGCCGTTTGTACAAATAATTTGATGCCCCAACCACAAAACTTCTGACATGAGAACTCTTCAACAGTTCCATTTGTTGCAAAGATAAATAGGGATGAAACAAAGAGTTCTACGAGGAAAAAAAAAAGAGTGAGTTGTAGAAATATCCATACCACATGTAAGATGGTAATGCTGCTGTAACATAAAATGTTGTGTTTTTTATGGGAGTTCATTTGTTCTTCACTGTCTCAAACTAAAAGAATAATATCTAAACCTTTTAGAGCAGTCAGGTGAAAATGAAGAAATTTATTTTTTTAAGAAACGGTAGAAATCATCATCATTTTTTAAGGAATTAAATAACATTGAACAGTGAATCCTTAGTAGTTGATACAATATTAAGCAGTGTTTACTTGACTCACTTTTGTAAAGATTGCTAAAGGAAATCCAAATAAATCCACTGGTAGCTGTTCATATTCATGGACATGAATATCCTGTTTCAGTGTAAAACAACAATAAAAACTTACTTAACTTGAAATTACCTGGTCAGTTAATTACTGGGTCATACATTAGTAATAACATTATTTCATGCATTCCTCTATGGATTCTTAAAACTCTTACTTAATCATTATGCAGTGTACCCACACACCTGGAAATCTGTTATGAACTTCATTCCCAACATATATTTTTAAATCTTTTTTTCATTACTTTCTGTTTAAAAACTCAAAACATACTTGCAGGTGTATAATATCTGCAACTTTTGAGCACCATTTCGCTGATATGAGCAGATTATTGTAAGAATATTTTTCATAAATTTCCATATTTAAACAACATAAAAACAGGCAGGTTACCTCCCTATGATCCTTTAACAGAGGTAACCATGAGAGAATGTTCTAAATAATGTGAATTAAAACATAGAGTTTAAAGGGAATCTCCAACATGAGACCAAAAGATGTAATAGCACAACAGAAATCTGGCTAGCCATCCTACTCTGACTGTTACAATTCAAAATGTTTATAATTTAATTATAAAACATACATACACTCTCTGACTTGTCCTCTTCAAAAATTTTTTCTCTGGTGACTGAATACACCAGACCACCCTGAATCATTCCTACAAAACACAAAAAACATGAATACTGACTTATGTTCTGTTCAGCATTGGAGGTTGAATGTGGGAGAAATAAGAATTATTGCCACAAAGTGCCTTGAATAAATAAGAAGTTTATCATTGAGTTGCAAGGGCAGCTTTCTTAGCCAAAAATAACCATGTAACATACACTAAAGGTGGTAATTAAAACCACAATACCAACTTGCTATATCTTTATTATATTGAAATAGAAAAATAATCACTTCAGGCTTTTTCAGGCAACAGTTTTAGCACTTTATTATATTTATTGTACATGTCTGCCTGTGGTAAAGGTCAGATTCCTTTATGTAAAGTTCTAAAATGTGGCATCAAAAAGAAGAAAACATTTAAACTTTGAATATAGTTATGGTTTTCATAATTGAATACTAATTGAATGCTTACCTGGAAACAGAGAAACAAGTGAGAGAAGCTGTGAGCAAATGTTACTAACTGGAAATCCATGAAAGATGACCTGTGATAAAGATGTGAAAAGTATACGTATATTAACTTCAAATTACAATTGAAAAATCCTTATTAACAACATAATATCACTGTGTCAAGTAGAAGAGAAGTATAGTGTATGTAATGAAAACATATAAATTTCTTTTATAACTTCTTCAAGACATGGCATACAAAAGTTGTGCTTCACATTGCTTGTAAATATTTTGTAATTTTCAGTCTGTTTCAGTTTGATACACTAAATACATCAAATATCACAGGACAATGCATGAGACAAAATTCTATGAAAGTTAACCTCTCTAGTTTAAAACTTTGTGATCAATTATGCAAAAAACACACACCTTTCTTTCAAGGAGAAGCAGTTTAAAAAGAGCTAAAATCTGTAAAGTTGAAGAATATAATTTATTTTTTTAATTAAGTTTTTATGTTATATAAACTAATGAACCATTTTTTACTTCTTCTTTAGCTTAAGAATTCTGTTAATTAAACATGTAAAGTAGTTATTATGACAGAACTGCTTTTACTCACCCGATGTCTGAACTTTCTAACTAATTCTACAGCTGAAAAACCTAACAATAGGGAAAAAACAGTTACTGAAAAAACCCTGGAATTGTATAATCTATAACCTTGGCATGACACCATTACTTATGGTATGGTTTAATTGGGAAAATTTTATAACCACTTTCTTTAGAGACTTTTAACTATTCATTATTAATATAAAACCATGAAAAACTCACCAATGAATAGTAAAGATTCTTCTGATATCAGATTTGGTGAAACAGTCATGTTTAAATTTCTATATAGTTCCTGAAAACCCACACAATATAATTTTGAATTAAAAGAAACCAAGTTATTAGTGATAACAGGGAAAGATGTCAAAACAAAGCTTTCACAATTTGTTTCTAGTACAGTTGAGTCTGTGCGGATATCAGGTACCTCTAAAATTCCTGTTTGAGAGAAATCCTTTTCTTCAAAATAGAGTCTGGTAGCAACTTGCAGCTTTTCTCTTAGGTATCCATAAAGTGGCTGATAAAACAAGAAAAAATTATTTAAATAATTGTAGTTGTTTAATGTTTGTCTAGTTCTGTGATAAATTGTAAATTGAATTGTTATTTTTCAACTATTGTCTTCATATTTCCAGTCTTTGTCAAGTAATGGAGTCTTACAATTGAATATCATCTTAAAAACAAAGATGATCTTCAAACAAATGAAAACTTTCAAGTTATTCTTCTAAGGATCTTTATCAATTAAGTTAGTAACAGGAAGAAGACCATTATCAATTTTATGATAATCCTTACACTAGCACTACTTTTTGTAGGTTTATAAACTATCATTCTCATTAAATGTAAAATAAATGATTATAAATAATCATAAATAATTAGATATTAGTTTACCCTAGAGTATACTACCTCCTTCTTAAAAGGTTAAATATCTAATCTAACATATTTATTTTTTTCATTGTGTAGTGGTACATTTTGACCCCCACTGCTTGGTAATACTACATGTTCTGTATTTGAGCTAGCCTACAAAGAATTTGCATTGTTGTGTTTTTTAGGCTACAAGTGGCAGGCACAAAGTGTTCTCGAGAGACAAGTTACGTTTTGCATTCTCCCAGCACTTGTCTCTGCTTGCCTAGAAAAAGCAAAAATGACACTCAATCTGCAGGCTAAGTTGAAACAACAGGTTACCTTTCACTTAAGTAACCTGTGTACTCACCAAGCAGGACAGGACACAAACACTCTTCTGTACAGTGCTTCTGGTCACATCCTCACTTTTAATTTTTAAGTCCTATCAACATAAAATGAATTAGTCAATAAAAATCAATAAACTCTGAAATGTCTCATTCCCATCTCTAATTTTTAGGAAGCAAAACATGGGCTGAACAACACTTCATGTGTGCCCCCATCTGGTTAGGAAAAAAGTACAATTGCATTCTCTGTGAGTCTGAATATTCACTTTTATAACAATGCTTCCTCAAGTTATAATATTATTTGTGAAAACTTCTGCTCCTGTTGTTGGAACTCTGTTCTTGTCACCAAAGACAGCCCTTTTCAGATATATGCTAACATTGATAATAATATTTGTACATCATACCTATATATGTACTTTGTTTATTCACATAAGCCTTCCTTTAAATCATCATTATCTGAATTAGAGAAATGAATTATAACAACCTTACTATCAATCTGCTTGTAACAAGAAATTCCAAAAATAGTTGACTGTGGGTTCTGCCTAGTGTCTGCTGTGCTGAGACTTGGTACATGGAAGAAAGTTGTGTCTACAAATTAATGAAAATCAGTAACTTGATTAAAAGCGTTTTTAGGCTGCACATTTCTAGTATTGTAAATAAAACAGCCCGGGACTCAATGGATGGCTGTATACGCGATGCTTGAAATGCGCGCTATAAATCACCACCAGACTAAATGAGGAGTTTTCTGGAATAATACCTTGCTCACAGTTATGGGCTCCATCTGGTAAAGCCAAAAACGGCAGAAATTTCCATTCACTCGGAAGTATTGAAGATTGAGAATTTCTTTGCTTTCCAAGCGGTGGATACAAAAACTCCACCTGCAATTTATGGAAATAATAATCATAACGACGAAAACAGGGAAACAATGTCGTATTTTAGTACAGATTTTGGAATGCTTCTCTTCAAAGCTGATACTTTCGAGCAAATAATCGGGACCTATTTTACCTCGGATCCTCGCTGATGATGGAATCCAACCACCACAATATGCAGTATGGCCCTCTCTGGATCATGGTCAGTCATGTTTACATTTCAGCTGATTCCCAGCTGTTGTTTATTGCGAGACAAGCTGTTTAAGAAGACCATCTTCATAAAGCCGCCATCTTGAATAAGAGAGCGTGTAGCATGGGGAAGAGCATTACTTCTAGTACCCAGATTTCTCGTTTCACTAAATCTAAACTATGCATGAAACACCTACTCCACTCCATGAGCAAACCTTTTTCTACCAGAAGCTCCCTATCCCCTCTCACAACAACAATGGAAATACAAGTTTGCTTCATGGTTGGAACTGTCTTGAGTCACCCTCCTTTTGACATTGATTTTACAACAGTGGTGTCTCAGTGAACCCTGTCACTCCCAAGATCTTATTAGTAATTCTCCTTTCTATCTGTCATACAATTCATATGATGTTATTTAAGAAAATTTGGTATTGGATTGACTAGCAATCCCTAAATTGATATTTTTCTTTATTTTCATCACTTATCTGCCCTATGCTGCATTAATCTTGCTAAGAGAAATTCTGTCTTGGTCCGTTAAGGGAGGTTAAGGGTTAACAATGTAAAGAAAAGAATTTTAAAAGTAAAAACATGTTTTCAATACAAGTATAGTTATCACAATTATAAATAGCAAGACTCAGATAAGAATGATAAAGTTTACTTTAATGGTTTGCCTTACTGTTTTCAACACAGGTGGTAATTGACAGTTTACTTATCATAACCAACAATGTGTATTCATCCATGTTTAATTTAAAAAATTAAAAGTTTGTGTTTTTTCATGTTGTGTTGAGTTTGAGAGCCTCAGCATAAGATCTACTGATTATTTCTTTGGATCTTCTTTGCCAACTTTGGCAAAAGGACACCCTGAATCAGTGGTTGAGCACTTCCTTTTTGCACCAGCTGGCAACACTGAATCAGCTGGCTCCACAAGAGGCTTTCCTTCACTCTCAACAGCTTTAAATGGACAACCATCTTTCTGAAGTACAGGACACTCCTCAGCTTTCTCATGGCCAACACTGTGAATGACTTTCATGGTCTTCATCAGAGCTTCTTTATGGTGACATTCCTTGTCACTGCTTGGCATCTGCGACAGCTTACTGTGGATTTCTTCGATTGTTTTAGCTTCTTTGAAGGCACATCCTTCTTCAAACTCAGGGCATTTCTTAATTTCTCCCAAAAGAGCTTCATTCTCCGTGTTGGCAAATGGACACCCTTCCTTGAAAGCAGGACACTTCTCCTTCAGTTTACTGACATCAGAGGTAGTAAAACCTTCTAACACAGCTGCTGGTGGCTCTATCAAAGGTTTTCCTTCCTTGCTGGCATCTTTAAAAGGACAGCCTTCCTCTGTCTTAAACACAGGACATTCTCCAACGTTCTCTTCCAACTTTTTGGACTCAGAATGAACAGCCTTCAGCATGCCGAGTAGCTGCTCATGTGCCTCTCCCGTGTGGTGCTTTGATTCTGGCATCTTGGACAATTCTTCGACCACTTCCTTGACATTTTTAGCATCTTTAAAGGGGCATCCTATCTGGAACTCGGGGCATTTTTTTAGTTCTTCCATGAAAAGATCTTTTGTCAGATTGGAATAAGGGCAGCCTTCTTTAAATGCAGGACAGTGGTCCTTCAATGTTTCATTATCATGCTGAAGGAAGTGAAAAAGAAGTTTATTTGTTTTTGTTTTGTTTTGTTTTGTTTTTTTCATGTAAATTGTTTACATCTGCTATTTTTTGTGCCATTCATCCTTAAAAATCGAAGTCCAATATCCATCAAACTTACGCGTAGATAGTTTACTACAGGGTTATACAGAAATCATTCCACTTTTATGTAGGGTTTTTAAGAGATGTTTTTAGAGCAAATTAGGAATTTCTTGCAAGGTTATTGCATCAATTTTTGCGATTCAAATTTCTGGGCTTAACATTGCGTGATTAATTGTTGTCACACTTCACGATCAGATGGAGAGTCACGTGGCTAAATACTTGACCGGAATTTTCCGACTTCCCTGATTTTTAATGAAACTGAAGCCCAAAACTCATTAGAAAAAGGAGATTTGATACCACTACTCACTTAACAACTATTTATAGCGTTCGAGAAAGTAAGCTGATGGTTCTGATGATAAATTTATCCTTGAACTACAAACAAAAAAATCAGTTTAATTTACTTATCAATAACTGGCGAGAAAGAAACTATCGGTCGTCGAAATCGGATTTGCAATTCGCTCGCTTTTGACTGAGAGATTAGATCACGGACTTGAGCTTGGATCGGTCCTTAAAAACTTGAAAAAGACATGACGATTCTTTGACTAAATAAAGGAACAATGCTGAACAGCACAAACAACAATGATCCCTCGATATGTTGAAATCTTGACTTACACCTGTAGGGTGTCACACAGTGATCACTGAAAAACAGTCATGGTACCTTTAGGAAATACTGTAATCGCCTTATCAAATCTAGAAGACTTAAAAAAACGGGATGAGCTTGCTTACCTCAGTTCCTGCCATGACTGCAAACGACGCTAAACAGAGCAAAAGAAGAAATGAGCCATAAATAACACGTGATGGTTTACGTCACAGCTGTTACGAGCAGGAAAGTCACGAACACGGAAAGATCGAAACCACTTGAAAGAACAACACGAAGACTGAAATAGTAATTGTCAGTTTGTTGATGAATATTGTTTATACTCTTTACGCCAACCTTGTCATGAAGGAATCGGGAAAGGTTTTCATGTGACCCCATTCTATTCTAAAACAAAAAACTTGTCCCAAAGGCAAGACTATTGTGAACACCACTGTCTCTCTGTTATCAATTAATTGTACGCATAATGAAGTACGGAGTTGTACGGAAATCTTGTCGAAACTCGTTTTGTACAAGATTTCATGAAACCTACGCCATGACTCTGAGGAAATATTGAAGTTAGTAAGGTCTAAGTTCCGTTTCAGTCACTAGCACTAAACTTCAAAGCCTTGCTGAGTTTATTCACAGTTTGCTTTTCTCACAAGTCTTTTAGTATGCTGCTATTGAATTTTCATTTTTTGTGCCCACTGCTCCGATTCTGGAATATTGCGCAGGCTGTCGGTGCTTTCAAGGTTTTTTTTACATAAAAAATAAATTTAAAAAAAAAAAGAGGGAGAGCTCGGCACAGATGGAATGTGAGACTAAAGCTCACTATAGAAGTAGCTTGTCCAAGAAACGTTTTGCGTTCAAGAGCTACTTTGATCCTGTGTTTTAAAAATGAAAATTATAATCAAAAGAAGCGCTGCACCTTAGAATGTCGAGACTTTACGACTTGAACATCGATGACAGTGGAGGACTGACGAACCAAAGGGAAGGGTTTTCAGAATCTTTCAATGAAACATCAAAACAAAAGAACAGCAAACCATCTTAAGGACAATTGGCCCTTTGGAGTTCCTTAGAATTTTTCGTTTGATTGGCAAGCTCCACACCTCTTGATTAATTATAGTAAGGAAGCCTGGAGAGAGTTGCTCTCCCCAGACCTTCCTCGGATTTCACTATCGCGGTTTGTGGTAACTATCGTCTTAAAAAAGTGTGACATGACTGAAGAGGCTGCGTTTCCTGCGAAGAGAATACGTCTGGTCCAAACAAACAGAACGTCGCTTTTCAAAGAAACAACCGGTATGTGTTTGCAAGATTTTTAAGGTAAGGTGCATGCTAGAAACTGCCCCTGTCTGATCGTTCTAGCTGGACGCAGTCCGTGTATAATTCTAATGAAAACGCTTTATTGATAAATTATGTAATGTTAAATGTATGTACTCCTATCGATTCCGATTGTCTTAAATTCTAGTTTCAAATTAATAGTTCATGTTTAGAATTTAGTTTTATTTCGGTCAGGTTTTTTGAAATTTTAACTCCATGGATATGCTGAATGGCTGGTCACTTAATTCTGAGGTTAAGCTATACACAATCTTAATTAGTGTCTGCCACCTTAATTAAGTCATAAAAAGTTAATGATTAAAGTGAATTTTCACTGAATTTAAAGAAGTTGTCACAGCAGAATCTGAAACCAGGTAACAAAAACTTTAGTTACTAACTTAGTGAAAGTGAGAATAGACGACAGAACAGGCTCCAAAGCGAAATAACAAATGGTCCCCGGATCACGAAATGGTTTGTACCTCTGGCGCTTGTGCTCTGGCGCGGTGCTCGTTTCAATACCCCCTCCCCCCTCCCTCCTCCCCTCCAGTGACAAACTCTTTGTTTCGGTTTAGCATCTCCGTCAGATTTTGAGCGATTCTGTTCGTTTTCGGACTCATCCGTTTCATCGACGACGCTTAGGTCCTGTTAGACAGTTCCATCCGACTTTGATTTTGGAAGGGTCTACCTTCACGAAACTTGTTCAATCCCTCAACTACGTGATCGCTTTTTACTGACGAGGGAAAACAAGCGGATTCTTGGAATAACTTCTTATGCTTTCAGCAAACAAACAAAATAACGAAACAAAATCAAAATAAGCCGGTAATATTTTGCTTACAACCGCAGTTAGTTAAGTGTAAAGTTGTGCTAGGAAAGATATATCATTTAAATCATTTAATTTTTCATCAAAGTAATAATAGTGCAGGGTCATGTGTAAAACCAGCTTATGGCGAAAAACATACATCCTGTTTACAATGTTACGAATGAAATAATTTTAAAACATGTAAGAAACATCGCGATTTACTGCCGGCTTAAGGACTAGTTAGTGTCATTATGTGAAACATCTGGAAGTGGGATCATAATCCTTCAATTGGAACAGGACCAACCATTGATAGGTTAAGATTAAAGATATCAATTAAAATGATATTTGAATAAAGTGTGAGCTTCTAAATCGAGTGTTTACGATGGAGAAGAGTTGTCGAAGTCGTTACTTGTTTGCAGGGAAAACAAAAATTAGACGAGGAGTTTTCATTTCAAATTTTACAAATACCTGTTACTACGACAAATGGTTTTCTTTCATCCCGTTAATCCAAACTTTTTGTGAAAATTTAAGATTATAACTTGCATGTGGCTTTTTGACTTCCAAGCACAATTTACGAGTGAAACAGAAGAATATGCACCACACAGATCCAGCAAACGATGTTTTAGAATATGTTTGCATTATCATGAGTAGTAAATAAGTCGTACAGTTTATCTAAACATGAGATGGCTCACAGATTGACTTAAATACTTATCTAAATATTTATCCGGTAGTTTCAATTTTCAATTCACGTTAAGTGAATCCGTTCAATTTGGGAGAGTTTCGTTTCATTTCATCCACTGACTCGGCCATACTTGGTTGAGGGAAACAATCCAGCGCTCTACGAGTCAGGTGATAAAGCAAGTAACTTTAATTCTACAGGGCAACCAAAGACACTATCCAAACGGTATGTAAGTAACTGCTGAAATATTTACATTTTGGTGATAGATTTGTCTCTTTGTTTGTAAATCTGTAGATTGGAGTTTGGGTGTTAAAGAAAACTAAACTATTTTTAAATAGGCGCTTAGTAACCGACTGATGTAAATTTTACCCCGACATTCTATGATCTGACCCACATGATTTCACGGGAGAAGAGGAATTTGTTGAGCATTTGAGACATTCATTTAGTTGCATGCATGTGTCTCCTTAAGTGTTTGTGGTATTCCACTAAACAACAATGTTGAGCTGCCGCAAGGAAACGGCACTGTATAAGATATAATTTTGTAAGCTAATTAATACAAGACCCGACTTAATGGTTGCTACTGGTTCCGCCTTTGATTAGCTCATCCTGTGATGCTCCTTGATCGCGTTTCTGGTTTTGTTCCATCTTTCTGTGAGTGGCCGTTTCTTTCAGTTCATCGACGGAAACTGGACAATTTCATTCACAACGACTGACTCTATAGATGTCCCACTTGTAAATCGTTGTACTCTTCTAAGGTTCTCGTAAATTCAAGTATTGTACCAATTAAGATATAATTGGCTTAATGCACTGACCAAGGCAACGAATACGATTCAGTAACACAAGTTGGCAAAGGACCTTTCTTTTTTGACCTGACCTTGATCAATCCTGTTTATGTTAGCTAAGAGTGAGAATACCCTTTTAAATTAAGGGTGTCCTTGTGTGAAGTTGATCGGGGGGATTCTTGATTTTACTCAAGGGCTGTGTTATTCAGTGATTTCAGGTGCCATTTGTTAAAAGATTCCGTGATTAAACAATGACCCTGTTAAGCTTACTGAGTGAAAGCAGCTCTCTGTTTCATTAATACGATTAAACGGATCTCTTATTAGCTACCAGTCCAAAAATACAACCCATTTAGAAATGATGAACCCATACATCACCCACAACGACTGTAACTGATCGAGTCAACAGAGCCCCCTTAATTCATGAAAGTAACTTCCGGTCCTTCCGTATGTCTGATTAAACGCGTCAGACTATTTTAGGCCATTGAAAAAGTAAAAAACGGACATAAGGGGGAGACTGCTGAATGAACCAAATGATTAGAGAAGTGATAGGGATTATTTTCCTTTCTTAAGATTTCCGGCGTCCTAAAAACCCTCAGTCTGAGCTGATATGATGATTTCCTGTCAAATCTCCGTGCACAAGCTTAAAAATGTTTTTTTTTCTGATTCAACAAAATAGAGGCGCCCTTTTAAAGAGGCCAACGATGGACTTGCCACCCCCCTTCTGAGTTAAATGCGATTTGGAAGTCTTCAGGTTCAGAGTGCATTTATTTTTTATTCCATTTCCCAAAAGACGCCGGGTTAGTGTTTGTCGGTAAGGAACAGCTAACATAGGTACATTATGATTTTTTATAAGAAAATGCCCTTAAATACGCGAGACCTAGGAGGGTAAATGTACGGAGTAGACGAAAACCAAAGGGGGCACAATATACAAAAAACTACAGCCTTGAAGATTGCTAAACTGACCTGGACGGCATAAATATGATTAAAATATGTCGTCCAAAGAAAGCTGAGTACCGATTGTACTGAAATAAAGTAGCCGTATTTGCTTCATCACCTGGAATGGATTGAGGTCATTAACTTTAAACCGATAGAGCGTCAAACTGAGGTATGTTAAATGGACAGTTCAAAGAGAGATTGTTCACAAAGTGGCTAGCGCAACACCAAACCCAAATTTAGTTCTTTTATTTTGTTTTAAAAAATTTTTTGCCATTTTGTTAGGGTTTTTTCACACGGTAACGTGAAACTAAGGATTTGAGGTGGAATGTGACTTTCTATGTAAGCCACAAACCTGATGAAAATTTGCACTTCAGCCTGCGTTGGCCTCCTTAATGGTATTTAAAAAACACTGACTGATAACCTCCAGCGGTAAACTGCCTTGTTGGTTTCTAAAGACGCACATTATCTCCCAGCCAATTTTCTCCTGGTGTTCCTACAGTAGTATAATTTGTTTCATCTTTTTACTACGGTAAAAGTGGTTTTTTAATGAAATAGAGAGCTCAATCGATTCCGTTGATTTAAAGAAAACATACACCGGCTGAACATTCGGGCCAAGACAAGGCCTCAGGGCTGAAATAATTCATGTCGAAAAACTCAACGTCTGAATACATGTCAACGATAATAATTAAATGTTTTTAATTAAATTGCATATAGCACGCCTGCTTATTGCATTACTGACGAATTGAGCTGCGGATACTTTTCCGCTTCCACTCACGAATGGCTGGTATACTCTCGACTATTACAAGGAATGATTGTGCAGTGATTGACCTGAAGCGCATGTAATTAGTCTGAATGACGTAATCATTGCTTATTTCCTTATAGAGTGTTTGTGAGGGGGTAGAGGTGGGGAGAAATTTATGTAATTTTGAATAACTCTCTGACGAGGAGCGGGGAGACGGGGTAAGGAATGATCTGAGGCGCGCCTTAGGGTTCGTGATTTCAGACCAGGACGACTCCATATTCAAAGCATCCGTTGGCGTTTCTTGTGTTTTCAAACAGTTCATCAGACAGATATTTTTTCCGAACCCCGAGTGACTGATTCACGATCTGCTTGCGCCACTCTTTGTCTTGACAACAGTTACAGTCGGCGGCGGCTTGGGTCCTTCTGATCTTGTTTGCTGAAACGCACGGTGAACGAAGCAAGACCATTGCAGCAGTGAATAATACCTTGGAAAAAGTTGTTTCCTCAAAAGTGATTTGGATCAAAGGCCTGAGGGCCGAAGCTCTGGAAAAGCCATCATTATTATAATTTAATCGCAGCTCTTTTGAGTTCAGGTTATCAGTTAAGTTCATCTGCTATTTTCAGAGTGAGCCGACAAAAAAATTAGTTTTAACGATTTCTTTGCTAGTCTAGATATCTTGAGTAAACAAATAAACACTGTCAGGTAGATAAGCATTTTTGTAATTGAAACAAGTTGTGGGTAACGCTTTATCGAAAGCAGTTAATTGCGACAACATGTGTATCCAGATAAGAGAACATATCAAGTATTTAGCAATTCATTTGGAGTTTAGCGAGTTAAATCGACGATTCTTGAATCAATTCGCCACAAATTTAAGGAAATTGTTATCTCTTGGAGGTGTCGGTGACGATTGTTCCCGCTAAAACGATCAGAGCCCATTGTAAACAGTGTCACTAACCTTCTTAACGTTATCAGAAAAATCACGTGAGTACACATGATCGATTAACTGTGAAAAATTGCCGACACAAGTTACATTGCTCTTGCTACATAACGTATATTAAGTAACGCACACGGGTTGGGCTTCAGCTCGTAAAACTCTGAACTTTTAAAAAATTGTCTTGGCGGTTTGAAAACAGGGAGGTATTAACAGTTATGTTGAGTCCTTGGTACGGTTATATAACAAGAGAATATCCTCTGGGGGGAATTGAAAGCGTTTTTTCCTCCAGTTGGTGGCCAATAATTCAAATACTTAGGTTTGACCTTACCTTTCTTTTTTCTTTTTTCCTTTACCGTAATACTTTGGAACCAACTCAGACCCAAACCAGCTCTTCCAAGACTTACGTTACGGTATGAGCAGCCAAATGATGAGGAACTAAAAAGAATTAAAAGCCACACATGGATAAAAAGCGCAGAAGGCGCATGGACAATGTCATATAACGTTATTTCCTTCTCTTCTTCTTCCTTTTTGCTTCAGTTATTGGCTGAAAAACAAACGTCTCCCTCGTTTAATCGATAACATATTTCATTTCTATCTCGGTCCTTGGTGAGTAGATAACCTGGACAACTACCGGGTCTCAATTGAGACGATTGTCTGCGCAATATTTGATAGTAACGGTGGCTTTTAGATCTTTAGCGGAAAAATCACCTCTTTCAAATTGCAGGAGATTTTCCGTTGCGCTGTGCTAAATGTTTATTTCTACCGCTGGAGCTAGTTGTCTTGCTGTTCATTACGCTTCCTTTTAATATTTTGTCAAACAATAACACATTATTTCACTCTATCTATGAAGATCGTAAGTAACACCCGCGTGTTTGTTACGTCTAACAACGAATGCATCCAACAAACCTGGCAAAATAATTATTTTTGTCGCAGGATCACCGAATCTTTTCACTTTTTATCTCTTGGTTAAATAATTTGGCCACGCCCAACTTTTGGATTGGAGAGATAAGAATTTAAGATCGAAAATCACTTTGGATATTTGAAGTGAAGTCGAATAAATTTGGGAAGCTTGACAGTTATACACCTGGATAGACACATACAACTGACTCTGTATAACTTGATGTACAAAGAGACAATGGGAGAAGCTTTATCAGAAAAAGTTAATCCGTTTAAATGTACAAGGATTAAGCTTGAGTTGCGCAGCAAAGAATAAAAGAATAATAACCTGAGAAATCGTAGCCAAAACTAAATTGGGCAAATGCCATCGGTGGTCAGTAACCTAAGCCTTGGATGAAAATGCTTTTGCACAAATAGCATGAATTTGCGAAAATACCAGGGGGCAAGAAGCTTGTAGCCTTATAGGAACTTGAAAGGCAAGTCAACAATCAGTTCTTTTTCCGCAAATTATATCGCATAACGCCATGTAGCATCGGAAACAATTTTCCAACAGAAAAATACGTTTATTTATATCCTTAGAGAAACAGGACACGTATTGCTATGTTCCTAACTCGGAACTCGTTCCCGCAAAAATGCGAGAGGGGAAGAAGTTTCTTTTTATCTGCTTGACGGCTGTTTAATCAACGAACTACTGAAGAGATTCGGTTTTCAACACAAACCTGGTGTTAAATCTTACCTCAGTTGATTGGTATAAAGTTACTGTTATCAAGGGTTGCTTGCCGCTTTAAAGGTCAACAGCAAATATACGCGTCAGCGGAAACCCATCTGCTAACGCTTGGAGTAGGAGCGCTAGTTTGTTGATTCACCAATGTTTTTGTGACACTTAACGAAACTTTCACTTAAATACAGTGTAGAGTTTTTATTTTCCTATCAATTTGATGTAAAAACATCTTTTATGTTTCGTGCGCGGTCGTCTGGATATTTTCCAAGGCTTTTTTCGCTCTCAAGGCGACCGGAAATCCCCAGTTCATTAAGACAGATACCTGGACGCGAGTTTAGTAAATGTCCTTTTTGATCAAAAACTTATGTTCAAATCATTTTGTCATCACCAAGAATTGTTATCAATTATCTCATGAGTTCATCTCAAATTCACAGACCTGCGCTGAGAGCTGCTCTAAAAGAGGATATCAAAGATCACAGTGGCGGATGCTTTCAAGGAACACAACTCATACGTGTAGCCAGGCATCAAAGAAACAAGATTAAATCATTAAGCTGGCCTCTCTCGGAACGCGCTGAGCTTGCAAGCAGCTTGACAGAGACAGAAACTTGAAAACGTTCTTGCTGAGAACTGATCGAGACAGATCGTACTTGCTAACGATTTAGCAGCATGCAGATCTCTAAATCTAAAAGCTTTTTTCCTCTTATTCTGGCACTTCTCGGGGCTGTAAGTGGTTTTCGCCGCGGTTCAAGTTCCTATGGAATAAGACCAATCTCCCTCTATGGTTATAATAACCCGCGTGCTCAAAGGTAAGATCTAAATTATTTGCGGTGAGTTGAAAATAGATTTTGGTCATTCATTGTAGCAAGGTAATTTTACGTTTGACATGAGAGCAGGGAAATCTCAGAGTTCTAATGATTACTTCTGCCTATTTCAAATGAATTGTTCACTTTTTAAGATCAACTTATTGCAAGAATTTGCGCCAAAGGGCGGACAGTTTTGAAGTCTTAAAAGAATCCGATTTCCTTGTTCACAGCAGAGTAATTAGTCAGGAAGACATCCGTAAGCATGAAATTTTAAACTTAGGTTTATGAAACGAGTCGAGGTTTCTAACTAAAAATTGAACTTTTTTTCGGCTTCAGCCAATGCACGTATATTTGGAAATTAATTACGACTCCTCAGTCTTGAATTTAAAATTAATTGCTCCGCGATGTGCTGTGTTCAACCAATTCTATTAGAGTGCCCTCGTTTGTTAACCGGTATGTTTAACATCCGTTAATTTTTTTTCAGTAATTGCGGTTGAGGCCTTGACTCAAATCTGTATAGAGAGCACTAAATTGTTCAAAGATTTGGCATGCTTTGAATGTTTTAATCGACCTTTGTAATGTTTTAATTTTCGTGACTAAAATAATCTGATACTGTGCAGTTTACATGAATCAGGTCACGTAAAGGTACCAACCGGGTTCATCAGTGGAATTAATTAGTTTAGCGTTTTGCACCCTGCAATGCACAAGATTCACGACTTGCAGTAGATTAGGTTATCTTCAATGTGTTGAACGAGATAAACATCGGAAGGCTTTTTAAACAGACAGGCTAAAGGAAGCGCGATTATTATTTACTTAGTTTATCTTACAACACGACCACCATAAAAGTGAAAATAGGATTCAGATAGATAGAGAAAATTAAAGTAAAGTAATGACCAATCGCTGAACCCCTTGGGATGATTAGCATGTAGTTTCTCCTTACACTATTACTCCTGAAAAAAATATTAAAGTCATGAGAATAAAGTCAAATTATATAAACTCATGATTGTCAAACAAATTCTCCTTGCGTTCTGATGTTAAGGTATAAAGGGCTAAAACATTTACACGAAGACGGTGGAACCAGTATTCTAATACTTAAAGCAGACTCCCTTTCTGAGAGGACAAACTGTAGTGAGCGGAAACAAGCTCCAAATTTCCAAAGTTCCAAATTTTCCCTTTATATCCACAGTAAAATGAATCTGTATTCGGCGGCCGGAGACACCAACATTTAGCGCTTTCTTTTTATGGATGTTTTTACCTTTTTTCTCATTTCCAAAGGTTAAAAGTACATTTTCTCTTTTTAAGTCTTTCAGTCTAAAATGACCGGATAAGCAAGTTTTCTGATCACCTGCTTTCGATGAACTACTTAAGCGCAATTTGCTCAACTTCTATTCACGTGCAGACTTATTCCCAGCCTTCAACGGTACGCCGTGTAAACATTCCGGTCTGTAGTGTCCCAGTAACTGTACAAGTTTGTAAAGCGAGTGGAACGAACGAATAGAAACACGATTTTGCATAAACTAAATTCTAAATCTTCTTCCTCACTCTCTCATAACAGCCAAACCGCTCACCATCCAAACCGATTGGTTCTGGACCCATCCAACAAGCTACCGCTGTACAGGAAGACCGGGCAAAAAAGGCACCAAGGAAGGGCACCAAGCCCCCCAAAGCCCGGAAACCAAGGTGATGACAGCAAATCTTCTGGCGGGCAGTACTGTATATACCAGAAACCAAAACAGGTCTCTTGTAATGTGGTGCACATGAAACGAGTCACGAACAGATATAAGTACTACTGTGGCAGTCAGTCCCGGGACAAAGTATGCACAGGTTACAGGTTAGTATACACCACAGTGAAGCGTATATAGCGGAAGTTAGATGGCCGACATGACTTCAAATTCCGATCAAAACTCGGACCCGTTCGGAAGCGTTCGGCGGCTGGAGAATCGAACGAGTCCATGCGGCTTGGACTCGACCGAAGAGGGGTAGGAGAGGAGGGTAATTGTTTTGTTTTACTCCCTCCCCGGACAGGTATCTAGTGCTTCAGCAGCAAACTTCTGTAATGAACAAGTGTCCCATCCACTGAAAAGGAATAAAATTATTTTGGGTAATGCAGTATTATAAAATATGAACAGAATCTGTTGCATTTGCGGTTTTCAGGGTTTCGTATCGTCCAGAGTACAAAGTAGAAGTAAGAACAGTTATGACGTCAGTCAAAGATTGTTGTCCCGGATTTACAGGTTCAGATTGTAGTCAAGGTTAGTAAGAGCACATGCACACATCGATGTCCACGACATGTCGTCGCTGATCAATTGCCGAACTGTCAAAGCAGAGAGTGAATTGGCTATGAAAAAAACTTTTATTTAAGTGTAGTATCTACTTAAGTATAGAATTATCACAAAATTTGGAAACATTGCGAGCTAAATTAAATGCGAACGCTGGTCAAATTCTAGAATAATGATGATATACTGGAGTCGTGCAGTGAAATATTGTAGGAGAAAATGGTATATTATTTTGCCCTAATGAAATTTTTTAAATTTCCATGTAAATTACTTTGTCATTGTGTATCTCCAGCTTTAGTTTAAAATTGCTTTCACTTGCTGACATTAACAGGAAACATTTATTGTCTATCTTGTGATTAGCGGCAGCTGTGCTAAGTTAAAATCCCTTTATTTATCGAGAGCGAATACAGAATAAACGCGATAATGAAGATGAAGCAAAGTCAAAAATTTCTTGGATTCTCCAACAATAAATAAGCGGATTTATCGATGAGCTGAAGTACGCTATTGTTTTAGTGCAGTTTTTAACACGAAGATATGTTTGTTCATCGTTAAAAAAGCCAGAAATGGCTTCTAACACAAAGTGAGGTAGATAGCATAGTAGGAGAAACCCGCAAACATAAGCCATGGTAATGGCGGATTTCTTGTAGTGTGGCATGTGAATTGCGTTTAACACGCTTCTTACGCGGGTATGAGAACTACAGAATCGTAACCCCACATAAATATTGACGTAGGAAGCAATAGGTACAATTAAACACAGGCTCACTACAACAGTTTGGAAAACTCGAGCGGAATTCTTCTCCCATACGCCCAGTCCAACCCAAGCGCAGGCGATCAACCAGCAACATATAACAGCAAGAATTGTCTTCTTTAAGGTCACAAGACTACGATATTTCCCGCGCAAACGATACGCCATGTATCTGTCAATAGAAATAACACTCACTAATAAAAGAGAAACGGCTGCCAGCGCATCTCCGAAGAGCGTATCAAATATTGCCATTATGCAGACCGGCTTGTAATAGTCTTGTCTGTACCCAATGATCTTAAACGCTGCAAAAAGAGGCTGAGAAAAAAGACCGACGCCAAGATCTGTCATGGCCAAGCTGAATAGAAGAGCTTTGGACGGAGCGTGAATGGTACGACATTTTTTCAAACCCAGTAGGATAAGTAAATTTCCAACAGAAGCTGTTAACGACAAAAAAGTGTTGATAACTGAAAGAGCGATGACGAACGAAAGCGGATTATCCTCGATCAGTAATTTTTCAGTCTGTGTGTCGCATATCTCTTTATACAGAGTCATAGCGTAGACTTTCAGTTCAATATGGAAATTGAAGTTCAAAATAACATGTCACATGACCATTATGCGAATTTTTGCAACAATGCCATTTCCTCACAGCACTAAATTTTCTCGAAGCTTGAGGTGTATCGCAATCAAATGGTAAACTACCTTCTTTACCTTAATTTAAACTGGCCAATATGGTGACGTTAATAGGAGTTCAAGCCTGGATGATAATTGCAATTCCTCCCCTGGTCGGCATGGAATTTATTTCAGTGTTAATGAAATTCAACATTTTAACAAATAAATTTCGTGCGAAAAAAAACAATCGAGTGTAGATAGATAATAACTTTGCGATCAATTTTTCTGTGGCTCGTTCAAATCTTTTGCGTGGTTTAAAAATCTATCACTTCCGCAACGCCCTCTTTCAAGGTGTCTTTTTTCCTACGAGAAAACGCTCGAATTTTTCCTTTTTATAATTGAAAGACATGCATTATTTGATCAATGCGCGGCCTCTAACTGAGAGATATTTCACAATTTCAAAACGGAACAATTAGATCTCAGAATTATTCATTATTGTCTCCATAGTCCACACACAGGCTTTTCTAAGATGTCTCAAATAAAAGAATAGTAAAAAATTTCACGCTATTTCATTGTTGCACTATTTTTAAGGCAATTCTTCAAAAGAGACCGATAGAAAAGTAAATAACTGGGAAATTTTCACCGCGTTCACGTAATGAAAATTCACCTGACAAGTAAGAGATCTGCTAAGGGGACATTGAAACTTCATAATACGTTGTGTTCAGTCGCGTTCTGTCCATATTTGTGTGGGCTGGGAACGGAAAAGGATTTTTAAATATGCCATTAATTTAACACATATACACCGTTTTTCCATTTTGTTTGAAAGGTTACTGCTGATTCCATTAAATACTTAGCACATGCTGATGTTAATTGTGATTTTTGCTCAATTCCACAGCCTGTTTTAACTGTACCAAGTTCCTTTTGTGGGAAAGCCGTTTGTCTGCACTGGAAAAGGTTAGTGCATTACTTCATTGTAATTAACCATGATGACAGCTGTCTCGCAAACCAAACAACTCTCTGAGTGTCAGGATCACATAAAAAGTTTCAAGAGTTTACTTTAAAAAAAGAAAATTAGCATGAAGGTCTGGTTTTTCTCCTTCGTTTAATAGTTTTCTGTTTGCTTTCAAAAAATAATTCTTAACTGATGACTTTTTTTTCATTTAAGAGAGCTGGGACGTCTGCAGCAGCCACCATATCCGATGAAGATGTCACCTTCAGGGGTAACACGGGACTACCGGGCCCCCCCGGCCCTCCGGGTCCCCCAGGACCACCGGGTGAGAGAGGAGAACCAGGACATGGAGGTTCTAGAGATGTAAGAGGTACGAAGAAATCATAGCTCAAAATCCTTTACTGTTGAAAAAATGGATTCATTTACAATAATTGATTATTTGTTTTGTAATTATCTGTAGGATCCTCTCTAGGGCCTCAGGGTCCAAAAGGACAAAAGGGGGACTCGGGGCCACCAGGTCCGGCCATGGTGGTGACAGGAGATCCGGGTCCTCCGGGATCACCGGGAATACGAGGCCCTTCGGGTCCACAAGGAAGAAAGGGAGAGCCAGGGTTGTCCGTACAAGGACCGGTAGGATTACGTGGACCTCCTGGACCCCCAGGGGAACCCGGGCAACCGGGCATTAGCACCTCGGTAAGTAGGATGAATAAAGGAATGCAAGACATGCAGAGCAATTTACTGAGAAACACCTTGTTTTTATCAGCCAGAAGATTTGTCTAAACTGAGAGAACAAATAAAACAGCTGTCCGCCATAGTCAAAGACCTGGACGAAAAAGGTAAGTAGTCCATAATTATATCGGGGGTTCTACGGTTTGCATCTCAGTAATACAAAAAATACAAAATACACGTGCGCCTGATTAAACACTTCACAAAACCAGGAGCCCATTGATGGGTTCCTGACAAAACTGAGTGTCGGTTATTGAGTTATGTGAAGCGTTAAGTCTGGAGTACCATATCCAACCACATTCAACGTGAAAATGTGCTTATCTGAGAAGTTTCGATGTCGACTTTCACATCAGGTGACATTGTCCTCTTCCTTACTTTGCTTGTTAAATCTCCTCTTCGTTTTCCAGCGTTTCCGTGGCTGCGTATTGTAGGCATTAACAGTCACGCTTCTCGTTTCCATTTTCAGTTTCCAGATGCAAGTGTTCTTCGGGCACAGGCCGCCAGAGTGTGAACGAGAAAGATGATGTTGTAGTGTCCACAGAACCAGGCACCACTTTACCTTTGTTCGCAACTCCAGCTCGTTAAAAGAATCTTTCCTTCGTTCAACTACTTCTTTCGCATTCCCTCAAATTATTGGAAAATAATTTCGTCTGCTATCCCAAAGTTAACTTATCTCTCAATTTAATTTAACCAAATAGTAGCCGCTATAAACCCCACCTCAAAATTTTTGGGTATTTTAACTTGTTGTATTCGCCACTCGTGTAACCTATACAGGACATACAGCGTTCCCTTCGTTATTTTACTTTTCACGAGCGTTCAAGGAGGATTGATGTCACGAAGACAATTACCCGAGTTCCTCCAAATCAAGTTCTACCGAAAAGTGGAATTAAAGTATAAAATATATGCTAAACCATTTTATATCAAAGAATACATTTCGCTGACTGTTTGAAACATAGGTGCTTTAAAATAGAAACATAATATTTTTTAGTTCCATATCATTGTTTGAGTGATGACGAACAACAAGCATAAATTTACCAGCGATGACACTTCTTCCACCCCACCCCCCTCGTTTAAACTCCGTCCGACATCCTCCCCCCCCCCTCTCCTTCCCACTTTGGCATGTGAGGATTTGCACTGAGTTGCATGTACCGTGTTGTGATGCGCGTAAGAACTGGGAAAAAAAACTCAGTTATAAAACTTCACGCGCAAAAAAGCACCAATCCAGCCTATTGAGCGCTTTTCAAGATCGCACCTCGATCAGATCAATCCAACATTGACTGGTTATGAGATTCAATTCATGTATAATGTGCAACACAAGTGTCCTTGTTCATAACATTCAACGGAAACACTTAATGATGTGAAATACGCAGTATATCAAACCTCACTCAGGTATGAAGTTATATCAAGTACGCATCAAACACTCCTCACGGTCGATCCTGGACTAGAGTGACTATATACAGTTAGTTGAAGAAGAACAACAAAACTGTCCATGAAAACGACATCACAGTTGTAATTTAGAAGAATTGAAGACTTTTAATTTTTCCGTCTGCATTACAATCCTAGAGCGTTTTCTGGGTGTTATGTTTCTGATACATATTGCGATTTGGACATTCTTGGATGATCGGGGACGATGTGTTTTTTAAACAAATATTGTCTCTTCTTTCCTTTTCTTTGTCAGTACTGTGCCAGGTTTGTGCTGAGCCTCCGGATGTTTTTCAAGCTCTGTCGGGCAATTGCTCACCTAAAATCAAAAAAAGATTAAAATTCAGTTGTAAAACGTAGTCAGTGAAATAAAATTGGGACAGAATTCATATCAAGCGAGAAGGTGATAGGAGAAGAGGGAGGTGGAAAGAAATTAATCAAGTCGTGGTCTGTCTGTGGCGCTTGAGTAGAAATCTCAAAAGGTGAGTGTGTTGCAATTTCTCATTTTCTGGATTTAATTTAATTTTTTTTTGTGTGTGTAAGAACCAGAACCAGATTTGTGCAGCAGACCTCTCTTTTAATGAAATGGGTTTTCATATTACAAAAGAGGAATTCAAAATAGAATCCTGCAAAATTCTAACCCGCCTCTTTTATTCCTTTCTCAATCAGACCTTTTCCCAGCTGCTTGTTAAGTATTTACTTACCGGACTGGCCAGTAGAGTCTGCTTAAGGTCATAAAACACGGCTGAATCTTCCTGGGTCAGAAAGGTGACGGAGATACCAGTCTTTCCAGCGCGACCAGTTCTACCGATACGATGAGTGTAGCCTTGAACGAATAAAACAACATTACGACTACTTGCAGACAATTGCTGTGCTATCGTTACCAAACCAGTAAATTTGAATAAAACAGGAACACATAAATGTGACTGCGTGGCGTGAACAAGAAAGGCGTGCATTTGGCAATGAAGATCGAGTCCTCGTAAATAAAACCTTGTAAGAGAAAAACCTACTCATAGAATTCTAAAACATTTCCGCGATATACCTCATCGAAAAGAAGACTATTTTGGACACGCTGTCGTTAATTAATAAAATGGACACCATTTAATATCAACCACCAACCTTCTATAGACTTTGCCATGTCGTAGTTAAGAACAAGCGAGACATCCCTAGCGACAAAAAATTTAAGTCAAAACATTCGAACAAAAGGGCAAACGACAAAACAAAGAGATGATCGTGACGGTGATGATAACGATGAAGAACACCTACTTGATATCAATACCACGCCCCGCTACATCAGTGGCGACAAGAATATCTTTAGCACCAGACTTGAGACTCGACAAAGCAAACTCTCTGAAAATAGATAAAATATTGCAATTCACGCAAGTCTGTTAAAAAGAGGATTGTTGTGCTGGTGTATAAAACGAACTCTAGCAACTGACCAACAACAAGTAGCTTTTAGCAAAAAGATGTTAAAGAGAAGACATTTAAGAGTACAACTAAAAATCCATTCAGTATAAAATAGTGCTTGATGTAAACTACAAGTTTTTACAATTTTTCTAGAATAAATGAGGTGGGGCATGTTGATCAAGGGAATGAACTCACCTCTGTTCCTGGTTTCGTCCACCATGGAGGGTCGTGGCACGGAACTAAGGAGAGCCAATTAGGTTAAAAATATATAACAATACATACATACATACAAATAACTAATACTAAAACAGAAAACCAACAAATGGAAAAAAAATTCCAACCAACAAACAAGGAAACAAACAATCAAGCAAACGATCAACCAAACACAGAAATAAACAAAATAACAAGTAGGGGTAACGACAGAGGCTAAAATTACGAGAGACTTACGCCCATTTTTTCCAAGGACTTCGCTAATACATCAGCTCCCTAGAAAGAATAATAACGTTTTATACCCTTCACGTTGGTGAATGGAACTACTCATCGAACCCCAGCTAGAGTCCTGATTCCTTTTAAAATCGAAGCATATCAGTGCAACATTATGACAGAACACTAGTGTTGGAAACTGAATGAATAAACTGAGAACTACTACAAATACACAGGAAATATATTAACAATGTGGATTAATATGAAGTAATTATTGAGTAGAAACAAGTAGAGAATCTTACCTTCTTTTGATTGACAAATATTATAATGGGAGGGTCGATACCACCGTTCAATATCTCTAACAGCTTCTTCCTGTTTAGAAAACGGAAAACGTTATTCTCTGGAAAAACAACCACTGGCTTAATTTGCTCGATCATTACAGATTAAAAGGTTTCTATGCCCTTCTTTCTTACATCCCTTTGTTGTTGTAGGCATTTTCATTCGATATCAATTTGATAACCAAAGTGACACCTCACAACAGACAAGAGACATGTCTTCAGCCAGCAATGAAGATTGTAGATGAAATACAAGGCACAGGAGCTTAGCCACACTAAGATATTGGCACCAAACCCTGAAATCACTTTAACAAAACCAAATGAGGTTTTTTAAGGTGCAGAACACCTCCGCCAAGAAATGAATTATTAGCTTGTACAGAAAATATCTTAAACCACTAGTTCATGGAGGACGCAAGAAATATTAGTTTTGATTTATAAATATTACAACGAAAAATCTTGCTGACAAACCGTTTTTGAGCTTCATTAAGCATGTAAACTTTCTGTTCAACTCTCTCAACTGGTTTGCCTGTGAAGAATTGGTAAAGCAACGGTATTCAGTCTCAAGTTGGTGGAAAATCGAAAAAGAAAGAGTACTAATAGAATAGACGGGATATTTACCAATAGAGCCAATATAAACCACAGCAGGCCGTCTGAAAGAGAAACAGGCACCTTTCAACATTTTTTTCAGTAATGCAGTCACCTTTAACCGATGAAAATCGGACGGACCCACCTGAAATCAGACTGAAGCGTCCCAAATGGAACCAAATAAAACGAAAGCAAGCGGAAACCGTTGGGACTATACAAAAGCGTCCGAAATCTGACGAAAAGATTTATACGCGAACCAAACGCACATTATCGGACGGAACCCTCCGAAATCGAACAGAAACGTAGAAGTTTCGTTCGATATCGAAACCACACGACAGAAGGCAGTGGGCAAACCAAACACATACGCAAGCATTCAATATCAGGTGAACAATTCCGAAATCAAGAAGACCTGTCCGTAAGCCTCCAACACCGAATACAACCGTTTGAAAAAGCGCGAACCCGTCAAAAATCTAACGAAGCCGTCCAAAATTGGACGATAGCGTTCAGCATCGCAACGCACAGTTCGAAATCGGTCGAACTATCTGACAGCAGTTAGAATTGCACGAAATAGAGGCGTTCGTAAACCGGCGGACGAATTCCTTCAAAAACAAAAGGAACCACCTCCTTTGACGAAACCGAAAAAATCGGACGAGACTGTCTGAAATTAGACGGAATCGTCCGAGATTGGATGAAGCCTTCCGGAATCGGACGTAATATTCCGAAATCGGACTGAGACATCCCAAATCAGACCGAAACGTTCAAAATCAAACAGGACTGTCGAAGCCAAAAGAAACCACCGAAAGGAGGACAGCGCCTAAAATCGGACGGAATCGTTAGAAATCGGATGGCAGTGTTCGAAATCAGACGGAACCGTCAGAAATCAGACGAAACCGATCGAAATGGGTCCGACACATCCAAAATGGGAGAGAAACTGTTTGAATAATTTGATTTACTTACCGAAGATAGTTCCTCGCCATACGTTCCACTTGCGGAGGCATAGTGGCTGTAAACATCACCGTCTGACAAAATAAACAACCACAATAATTACCACCAAATCAAAAGAGCGTTACAAGCAAACATTTTAGTAAAAAGATGAACGAGGTAAAAGTCGATATTGCCTCATCACATAATGTACTTCTCCAACGATGATCATTTTTACGAGAAAATAATTCTTGATTTCAAATTAAGTCATTCCAGTAAATTGGGTAATTGTGAAGAAGAGCTCCCCAAAAAACCTGTCGGCCGACTGTCGGCCAACTGTCGGCCGACAGTCGGCCGACAGTTGGTCGTCTGTCGGCCGACAGACGGCCGACAGGTTTTGCCCGAAATATAGGCTACCTGTCGGCCGACAGTGGACCGACAGTGGGGTAATTGTGAAGAAGAGCTCCTCAAAAAACCTGTCGGCCGATTGTCGGCCAACTGTCGGCCGACAGTCGGCCGTTTGTCGGCCGACAGTTGGCCGACAGACGGCCGACAGGTTTTGCCCGAAATATAGGCTACCTGTCGGCCGACAGTGGACCGACAGTCGGCCGACTGTTGGTAATGTGTCGGTAACCTGTCGGTAGCTTGTCGGTAGCTTGTCCGTGAAACGTTAACACGAGTTTTTGGCCGAGTTTTTCGATTAAATTATCTTCCAATGCGATTCTTAGATTGTCTGGTGTGTTGTAAATTACGCAAGTGATATATCCTATACGCATCTGATAACAACATTTTGGAAGAAACGTTTCTTTACATACTTTCAACTTTGCCGTCGATCGGTAAGTAGGTGAAGTCTGTCGAGTCATACATCACCATTACGGATTGTTATGTCACGTTAACTGTTCGTTTTTAACACAATTTTTCTTTTTTCTTAACCTGTCGGTAACCTGTTGATTAGCTGTCGGTAGACTGTCGGTAACCTGTCGGCCGACAGTTGACCGACAGTCGGCCGACAGGTTTTTTGGGGAGCTCTTCTTCACAATTACCGTAAATTGTATACATATTGTTTGTACTGTTTCTGTCCCAAATACAATATTAAAAATCCGCCAACATCTTAACGAACAAATGTGTGCACCAACCTGTCTAAAGCGGTCTTTTCCCATGTAGGACAGTAGTTTCTCGGGATCCTCAGCGTCTTCATTATCAGGTTTAACGTTACTCACTGGTAAGTGTTCCAAAATCTTTTGAACTTCCGGCTCAAAACCCATGTCGATCATACGATCTGCCTGTAATCATTAATGAAGAACGGACGAAATAAAGTTTTACCTGAGCTCAAAGAAAAAATTTAAACAAAACGATCAAGTTCTTGTTCGTTGTCATTTTCCGCTTTACAAAAATGTAACTTGAGATTTCCTAGTGCTCTATTCACCGTTGTTCCTTCCATTCCCTGGCTAGGAAAGCAGTTAAATCAATGCTACGAATTCCCGTTTCAACTTTAATGTACACTTCAGAAATACGGTAATCTTTCTTCTCTTTCCATGAACAAATTTAACCCTTCAACCCCTAAGAGCGACTAAAATCTGATTTCTCCTTACAGTATCACCCCTGAATCACACATTAAGGTCACGAGAATAATGAAAACGATCAACAACTATAGAGGTTCTTAACTCTTAAACAAATTCTCCTTATCAACACTTTGGAAAGTATATAGAGCACAGTAAATAGAGCACAATATACAGAGCACAGTATACAGAGCACAGTATACAGAGCACAGTATACAGAGCACAGTATACAGAGCACAGTATATAGAGCACAGTATATAGAGCACAGTATATAGAGCACAGTATATAGAGCACAGTATATAGAGCACAGTATATAGAGCACAGTATACAGAGCACAGTATATAGAGCACAGTATACAGAGCACAGTATACAGAGCACAGTATACAGAGCACAGTATATAGAGCACAGTATACAGAGCACAGTATATAGAGCACAGTATACAGAGCACAGTATATAGAGCACAGTATACAGAGCACAGTATACAGAGCACAGTATATAGAGCACAGTATATAGAGCACAGTATACAGAGCACAGTATACAGAGCACAGTATATAGAGCACAGTATATAGAGCACAGTATATAGAGCACAGTATATAGAGCACAGTATACAGAACACAGTATACAGAGCACAGTATACAGAGCACAGTATACAGAGCACAGTATATAGAGCACAGTATATAGAGCACAGTATATAGAGCACAGTATACAGAGCACAGTATACAGAGCACAGTATACAGAGCACAGTATATAGAGCACAGTATATAGAGCACAGTATATAGAGCACAGTATACAGAGCACAGTATATAGAGCACAGTATACAGAGCACAGTATATAGAGCACAGTATACAGAGCACAGTATACAGAGCACAGTATATAGAGCACAGTATATAGAGCACAGTATATAGAGCACAGTATACAGAGCACAGTATATAGAGCACAGTATATAGAGCACAGTATATAGAGCACAGTATATAGAGCACAGTATACAGAGCACAGTATACAGAGCACAGTATACAGAGCACAGTATACAGAGCACAGTATATAGAGCACAGTATACAGAGCACAGTATACAGAGCACAGTATATAGAGCACAGTATATAGAGCACAGTATACAGAGCACAGTATATAGAGCACAGTATACAGAGCACAGTATACAGAGCACAGTATATAGAGCACAGTATACAGAGCACAGTATACAGAGCACAGTATATAGAGCACAGTATATAGAGCACAGTATATAGAGCACAGTATACAGAGCACAGTATACAGAGCACAGTATACAGAGCACAGTATACAGAGCACAGTATACAGAGCACAGTATACAGAGCACAGTATACAGAGCACAGTATACAGAGCACAGTATATAGAGCACAGTATATAGAGCACAGTATATAGAGCACAGTATATAGAGCACAGTATATAGAGCACAGTATACAGAGCACAGTATACAGAGCACAGTATACAGAGCACAGTATACAGAGCACAGTATACAGAGCACAGTATACAGAGCACAGTATATAGAGCACAGTATAAAGAGCACAGTATAAAGAGCACAGTATAAAGAGCACAGTATATAGAATATGCATGCTAATATTAGTGTGTACAAGGGTTAACAGTCGACTCAAACCTCATCAAGAACAATGTATGAACAGCGGCTAAGGACCAGGTAACGATTTTCTGTCAGAAGGAGAAAAACTCAGATTAGCAGGTAAACTACGAAAACAAGGTAGACATAACATCAAAGGGAATTGGAAGGCAAACATTTACCAAGAACATCGATCAATCGGCCGGGAGTGGCAATAACAATCTAGAAAAAAAAAAGTCACAGAACTCAGTGAGAACCTGTGCAATTTTGTCAAACGACACATTGTGGTGCCCCAACAAGCTGTTCTGTGACCCATAAGTGCTTCTGTCACACAACAATTTGTCCAGACTGTTTCGTAATAATTTTTGCTGATTAAGTTGTCACGCAGTGATCAAATCGGTGCTAAATTGATGTTAAGAGATTGGTTTCTGAGTATTGCCCTATAGTAAGTTGAAGATTACCTCACACCCAAGTCGCAACTGGAATCCTTGATCCTCTCGTGACAGCTGGGACAGAAAATGGAGAAAAGCTGAGTAAGTCAAAGAACTTTGACAACTAAGCAACATTTAACGATAAAAGACACTTTTAGTGAATACAAAAGAAACTGTTGTGCTGGGTTGGAGGACAACTGATTATAAACTAGAAGCTGATCAAGATAGGAAAACCGTCTTAGGAAATAAGAAAAACTATGACAGGGGTGGAGGGTTTTTTTAAAACGACTATGTGTAGTTTAAGCATAGCCTCCTTACCCCACCAATCACAGAAACTGTCCGAACACCAAGAGGACGTCCAAACTTTGCTGCATCATCTTCAATCTGAAAAAACAAAATACAGGCAATAATAAAAATTACGGAATCTACTGCAGTACCAAACTAAACCTAAAAAGTTTTCATCGATAAAACGTGAGAATCCGAATTACGAAAACAACCCTTAGAATTTCCGAACATTATCGAAGACGGGCCGACAACTTCCGATCACTGCCGCAGACGGATTCCTGAAAGATGTTACAACTAAGTCCAAAGGTATCCGAACAGAGCAGCGACAGGGGCTTTAACTTTCTGTCAACTTGCACGTTAATGGTTTCTGAACAAGAAGTTTAGAAATTAACTAGTATACGTGCGATCGACGTTATCGATTGGCTGGCGTGTATCACATGCGTTAGTTGTAATTTCATTCACTGTGCCTCTTACAGAGTATGTTTTTTGATTATTTGCTATTTGTTCACCTGTTGTGCTAATTCCCTGGTTGGAGCCATGATCAAAGCATAGGGTCCTTTGTCTGCGTCGATGTCTCTTTCAATCTTTGGCAGCCCCATGATCCACACCAACAATGGAATTAAAAATGCTGCTGTTTTTCCACTGCCTTTGAATATGATAAACAAACAAACAAACACACAGTCAACTAAGAGATGAAACTACGTTTAGGATTGTAAACTTATTTGTTTTGTTCCAACATTTCCCATGCCGGAAGCAATCACAGATTACAGAACATGTAACAACAATCCAAGATCAGACACGAAGAACAACTGTTGAAATCCTAAGATCTCTGATCACCTGTCTCTGCCACTCCTATAATATCCCTATTCTGAAGACCAATAGGAATGGCTTGTCGCTGGATTGGTGTTGGGTCCTGTAAAGAAACAACATAACTAAGGTAAATAAGCAAAATTTTTACTGATTTTGAATAATTCTTTTCAAAACCAATCCAAAAGATCTACCAAAAATAATGATCAACAACATTATTGAAGCCCAAATAAACTTCTCACGACATGCGCATCAAATTGGGCTGCCTGTGGTTACCTCATATCCGAGTTTGTCCACTATATCCAAAATGTCTTTGGGTAGAGTGCTTTCCTTCCATGACCTTAGTGGATGAGGTATCTTACCACCTGTTACATAAAATAGAAAATGATTTCCATCATACTAAAGGATTTCTGTTGTCAACCTGGAGAACATGAGGTGCCCCTTGTGCTATTGCTCTGTTATCAAGCTTCAGTGGAAAAAACAATAGAGATAAAAGTGTCCTACCTTTTGTGGAAATTGTGAAGTCCTCCCGCAAAATTCTCCAATCTCTTTCACACATCTCCTCCAAAGACTTTTTGCTCCAATGACGATCATCAAAAGCACGCTGTTTTTCCAGATCACGCTGCTTCTTTATACGTGACCTGAAATGGAAAATCAAAGTACCCATATATCACAAATGCATGTGCAGCACAGAGGAAGGAAAGGGCATGGCAAGCTGGTAAATGTACTTCCATTGGATTTGTTTTTATTTAACATCTTCAAACTACAGGCTGATGGGAAGAACTACAGAGAACTAACAACATGACAAAGATTGACAACACTAACCATGAAACTAAGAAAACTGTGAACACATCAAAATATCTAAGGAACAAATACTGGACTGTGAACAGCAATTGTAATTAATTATTTGTTTTAAAAATTTCAAGTTTGTCCTGAACTTAATTTAGATTGGCCAGGACAAAATTTGCCAGTATAAATCAACTCAATGTGTTTACAGCTTTTTTTCAAATGACAGTGATTGTAAAATTTTATGGTAGAGATACATGCACTATTCAAAAACACACACAAAAATATGCATTGCTTTGTTACTTACGCCTCCTGATTCTTCTCCTCCTGAGTTCGTCTTTTCTCCAACATTTCCTGATAAAACTTCCCTGTTTCTTTCTTCTGCCACTGTGTTTTGGAATCAGGTAGATATAAGCTATGAAACAATCTTAACTGGTAGTGATAAGTTTCTTCTATTTAAGTATCAATAATGACTATTGTTATTCACTTTTGGCTCTTTCCACCCCAATATTTACATTCATATTCTCCACAATGTTCTCTTTACATTTCCCATGGTTCTGACAAGGAGAATTTGTTTGACAGTCAGGAGCTTCTTAAATTGGTTATTATTTTCTACATTCTCATAACCTTTAAATTTAATTCAAGGCTGAAGGATGATAATGTGAGGGGAAAATAGAGGCCAGACACTCCAGGGGGAAAATAGAGGCCAGACACTCCAAGGGCAAAATAGAGACCAGACACTCCAAGGGGAAAATAGAGGCCAGACACTCCAAGGGGAAAATAGAGACCAGACACTCCAAGGGGAAAATAGAGACCAGACACTCCAAGGGGAAAAAAGAGACCAGACACTCCAAGGGGAAAATAGAGACCAGACTCTCCAAGGGGAAAATAGAGACCAGACACTCCAAGGGGAAATAGAGACCAGACACTCCAGGGGGAAAAAAGAGACCAGACACTCCAGGGGGAAAATAGAGACCAGACATTCCAAGGGGAAAATAGAGACCAGACACTCCAAGGGGAAAAAAGAGACCAGACACTCCAAGGGGAAAATAGAGACCAGACACTCCAAGGGGAAAATAGAGACCAGACACTCCAAGGGGAAATAGAGACCAGACCAGGGGAAAAAAAAGAGACCACACTCCAGGGGAAAATAGAGACCAGACACTCCAAGGGAAAATAGAGACCAGACACTCCAAGGGGAAAATAGAGACCAGACACTCCAAGGGGAAAATAGAGACCAGACACTCCAAGGGGAAAATAGAGGCCAGACACTCCAAGGGGAAAATAGAGACCAGACACTCCAAGGGGAAAAAAGAGGCCAGATACTCCAAGGGGAAAATAGAGACCAGACACTCTAAGGGGAAAATAGAGACCAGACACTCCAAGGGGTAATAGAGACCAGACACTCCAGGGGGAAAATAGAGACCAGACATTCCAAGGGGAAAATAGAGACCAGACATTCCAAGGGGAAAATAGAGGCTAGACACTCCAAGGGGAAAAAAGAGACCAGACACTCCAAGGGGAAAAAAGAGGCCAGATACTCCAAGGGGAAAATAGAGACCAGACACTCCAAGGGGAAAATAGAGACCAGACACTCAAGGGGGAAAATAGAGACCAGACACTCCAGGGGGAAAATAGAGACCAGACATTCCAAGGGGAAAAAAGAGGCCAGACACTCCAAGGGGAAAATAGAGACCAGACACTCCAAGGGGAAAAAAGAGGCCAGATACTCCAAGGGGAAATAGAGACCAGACACTCCAGGGGGAAAAAAGAGACCAGTCACTCCAGGGGGAAAATAGAGACCAGACATTCCAAGGGGAAAATAGAGACCAGACATTCCAAGGGGAAAATAGAGACCAGACACTCCAAGGGGAAAATAGAGACCAGACACTCCAAGGGGAAAATAGAGACCAGACACTCCAAGGGGAAAATAGAGACCAGACACTCCAAGTGGGAAAAAAGAGACCAGACACTCCAAGGGGAAAATAGAGACCAGACTCTCCAAGGGGAAAATAGAGACCAGACACTCCAAGGGAAAATAGAGACCAGACACTCCAGGGGGAAAAAAGAGACCAGACACTCCAAGGGGAAAATAGAGACCAGACACTCCAAGGGGAAAATAGAGACCAGACACTCCAAGGGGAAAATAGAGACCAGACCAAGGAAAAAAAAAGAGGCCAGATACTCCAAGGGGAAAATAGAGACCAGACACTCTAAGGGGAAAAATAGAGACCAGACACTCCAAGGGGTAATAGAGACCAGACACTCCAGGGGGAAAATAGAGACCAGACATTCCAAGGGGAAAATAGAGACCAGACATTCCAAGGGGAAAATAGAGGCTAGACACTCCAAGGGGAAAAAAGAGACCAGACACTCCAAGGGGAAAAAAGAGGCCAGATACTCCAAGAGGAAAATAGAGACCAGACACTCCAAGGGGAAAATAGAGACCAGACACTCAAGGGGGAAAATAGAGACCAGACACTCCAGGGGGAAAATAGAGACCAGACATTCCAAGGGGAAAAAAGAGGCCAGACACTCCAAGGGGAAAATAGAGACCAGACACTCCAAGGGGAAAAAAGAGGCCAGATACTCCAAGGGGAAAAAAGAGGCCAGACACTCCAAGGGGTAGAAGGGTTAAGAGGCTTAAGTAAAATTATCCTTTTAAAAACATCCCCATGAAAATCTGCCATGCCCTGATTTATTAACATAATGTTGTTACACAACTATTTTGAAATTGAATTTGAGTGGAAAAGAAAAATATGGAGTGAATATGTCTGGTTTATGAACAAAGAGAGCTGTTGATCAACTTCAGCTCTTTTCAGTATAACGTAAATATCTTTTGAAGGACCTTTACCTTTATGTCAATTCCACCAATGTGTCCTCTTCCAAAGAGTTGTATCTGATGTCTATCAGTGTAACTATGAAAAAAAAACAAAAACAAAACAGTTATTGAAATAAGTTAATTACTTGCTAGACACTTTTTTTTCTTTACACTGATTCATTGGTTTATGTCCCTTACTACTGAAGATACTTACATTGGGTTATAATCCACAGCAGTATCCTCTCCTGTGTCCCATTCAAACACAAACTTTCTGTCTGCAAGACGACGTATCTTCTTCCTCTTTTTCACTCCCCCAAGGTATCGCTCCTGAAATTTCACATATTAATCAAATACTGCAGTATATAGCTAATCAGATTAACAAAGTTATGTTTGGTCCTTTTAGACTTGACTTTGTAGCAGTCATTCTTTTTAATTATCACATCCGGTATTACCTTTATTGCTTGGATTTCTTTCTCCTGATCTTTTTCCTGTGGAAAAGTGTAAAATGAGTAGTCAATCTCTGTATAGAAAAATAACTTTGGATATCTGTGTTAGTGATTGCTGTTGAATGACAAATTTACCACAGGCTTGAAAGCTACTATCCTTTCATCCACAACTCATGTAAAACCTTTCAACCTTTTAATCTCAATGACCAAAAAGATCTTTGTTCCATGAAACACCTCAAAGTTAAAGGCGTGGCTTCCTTGAGTGTAATAGTTCAATGGTAACACATCAGAAGAATTCATGAGCAGGTCATACACTTTGTAGGTTGACTCTCATTAAGAGCCATCGTAATGCATTTTAATGAGTATGTCTGTATCTTACCTTTCGTAGTTTTGCTTTCTCACTCTCAGCCTACAATAAGGCAGCCAGAGAAGAAAGTAGTAATTCAAAATGAATCAAAAATTACAGGAATTTTTCTCTATATCTAAGCTCTATTAAGAAATGATTGAAACATGGTACTAAACACAATTTATTAACATTAAAAATCATTGGAAAAATTATTCTTTCAACAAACATGGTTCCCACCTCTTCTTCAGTCAAGTTCTTTTCTCTTCTTTCTCTTCTTTCCCTTCTCTCTCTTTCCACTTCATCCTCTGGTCATTGAATGTGTTCAGAAAATAACATGTACAATCAAAATTTGCAAGGGATGTTAAGGTGGAAACTCTATCAACTATAAGATGAGACAAACAAGCTGACTAACCTCTCGAATACTGTGCCTCTCTTAGAAACTTCTCCCTCATTTGGCGCTCCCCCTGTAGGACAAATGCATTATTTTAAGTTCAGAATAATTATTGTCGATAAATGTCTGTTAAAAAATTGTTGAAAGATGTTTAAGATGAAGTTCTATCCTTGCTCACTCAACATAAATCTGTGGAATAGATTCTCTTCTTAAATACCTCAGTCTTTTTCCGTTGTTCTTCTACTTGCTGCTGTCTCCTTTTCAGTGCCTCCATGGCTCTTTGTTCTTTAGTCAAAAATGTTGGCTGTGATAAAACAGTACAAGTAAATTATAAGCTTCAAAAAAGTTAATGAAAAAACACATAAAACTGAAAAAAGAACTCTAACAAAATAATCTGGCAGTGTGGGTCCACAGGAACCCCAAACAATTAGCTGTGTGGTCCCTGTGTTGTTCCTATACCTTTTCTTGTGCCTTCTTTTCAGCCTCTCGTCTTGCAATCATTTCCTCCAGAGATAAGGGCTAGTATAAGGATAAAAAAAATTGTATTATACACAGTTATTCCACACATCACAATACAGCAGTTCACAACTATAATGTTCAGTATATAACATTCAATATTGGCTCTAGATATGCTACATGAAGTGTACATCACAAGTTTAATCATTACAAGAACATTATGTGACTGTAGAGTTTTAGCTGGTTTTCTATTGGATGCCATTTCATATTATGAACTTATTGACTCAGTAGGAGTGAAAACTAGGAAAACATTTTGCTCAAGGTAATGAAGCATGTAGTGAGTGCGGTGAGGTTTGCACCTTGTGACCAAGAGCCAAATGTTTTCTCTTTCAATCCAAACTAACTCAGTCAATGAAAATTTTCTCATATGACCACCACCTCTTTCTCTCTCTTCCCTTTTCTTGTTGGGCCATCTTTGCATGGCATTATCTTGTTCAACCAGATCACAAGCATAAAGAAGTATGTTTCTCACAAAACTGTGATACTGCATCAGAGGCATTACAAGATAATTTGGTTTTAATGATTGATTCAATACTGTTAGTATTGGTCAAAATGACAAGTCTCTCAAGCTGACATTTTGAGCCTTAGCCTTTGGTCAGAGAGAAGGACAAAGGGCTGATGCTTGAAACATCAGCTTTAGAAACTCTTTACAATGGCCAAATTACATGAACAAATCAGTTGATAAAACCAAACAACATTTACTTAAACTTGATTAAAAGCTGTCTAATTACCTCGACTTTTGGTTTCACTTGCTCATCCTCTTGTTCTTCAACACCATTTTTGTCGTCATCTGGTCTGATAAATATTACAGTGGATGTTTTATTAACTCACTTGACTAAAGATTTGACAAATGGTAACAAAATGGTCAGACACTTTCCTTTATAAAAAGAACTTACTTTGACTTCTTGCTATCTTTGGATCTTTGAGGTGACCTAGATCTAGAACAAAAAGGTAATTAAAGTTTGTAAGCAATCCAAAAATCATCAGTCCACTAAACAGACAAGTAGCCTCTGGTATGGCGACTTAAAAAATAAGCCTTTAAGGGTATATGGACATTTTGTACCCATCTACTGTTAATATCCCTACGTTGTGACAATTGCTACAAGTAGCACCCTTTACACCCTAACATCAGTATGCATATTCTATACACTGTTCTCCATACATTTTTTAGGGTGCTGACATGTAGAGTTTGTTTGGCAATCAAGTGCTTTTTGAGTTGGTGATCATTTCCTTTACTCTCATAACCTGAATGTGTGATTAAGGGGCAATATTGTAAGGAGAAATTAGATACTTGGCACCCAAAGGGGTCAAAGGGTTAACCCTGACATGCGTGAGGCGTCAACCTAACACTATTTGAAAAGCAAAACTTTTGCTGAAATATCTAGTAATTCTACAAAACAGAAGTACATGCGCAACAAGGCTTTCAACCTCCAGTTCTGCATATAACATTGCTCCACACACTGCTACCCTTGGTATACCTTGATCTTTTACGGTGTTTTCTGTCCCTGTCTTTATCTCTCTTCCTATCTCTGTCCTTTTCACGTTTGTCTCGATCACGATGCTTTTCTTTTTCTCTCTTATGTTCTCTGTCTGATTCCTTATTGCGATGTCTGTCTTTATGCCGGTGTCTATCCCTGTCTTTATCGCGGTCTTTTTCCGCGTTCTCTCTCTCATCTCGCGATGCTAACTTGCTGTCCGTTTTATCCATATCAGTCTCCATCTTGACTTCGCTTCCCATTTTTACTTTACAGCGGAAGAATTACTAAATTCAATTTGATAACTGCACGATTCCAGACGTCTAACTCAACATGGCCACAAGTACCCAGAAACTATTGCAGGCCTCGTGAAATCGCGAGAATGGAACTTTGGGTAGCACTATTAACCCACTTTCAAAATGGCGTCGGTGCGCTCGTATCTGAAGCCTTTCAGGCCTTTGTTTATCATGATTTTCCTGCTGCTTGTTGGTTTTCTGACGTACATCACTGCCACTGACGAACCGGACGACAACAGTAATGATTTTGCTGAATTTGAAACGGAAGGGGACGAAGAAGATGAAGAAGAAACAGAGGTGCATGGAACAGGCGATCAAGATGACGATGAAGAAGAGGAAGGTTAGAAGAGTTTTTAAAACTTATTTAGCGCGTATTTTTTCCTGGATAGGCCAAGGTGGGTAAGTGAATATTTTTCAAGAAATTATGTACTTGCGATTTAACTGGATTTAAGGTCTATAGTCTTTATTGACTTCAATGGCAATCACCTACAATAATCACCTACTTCTTTTGGAACGCTAGCTACCACGTGTGTTTGTCACGCTACATCTTTCCTCAACATCAAAATGAAATTTTGGTCTTCGTCTTTTCTTGTTTCTCTTTATTTTTGGATTATTTCAAACGTTTATGTCATCTTCATGTAACAACCACGATCGATTCTTTGCCATATACACTTTTGTCAGCTGATAAATTTTACTTGGTTTAGATGGGAACCTGCCTTGGCACGATGTATAGAAATATAAACAATATGCTGTTAATTAAAAGCTAGAGCAAAGGAAGAGCATGTTGTAGAAACTTTATGTTATTGGGTTTGACTACTCAGCATAGGTGTTCATATATTTCATACGGAAGGTTGCTCCTTTTTGTTATAGAACTTAATTCGTGGAACCCTTCACTTTTATTCCCAACGTTGCGTTTTTTTGTTGTTTTGGTCAGCCTGGGTCAAAGAACTTCGAGCCTGGTCCTAGAGTACATTATGGGTTCTATTTGTGAACTGGTTCATTCCAGACCAGGTGACTGGGGTGGTGTACTGTGGTGGTATAGCCAACAACTAATGCACAAAATAATGTTTGGTTTACGGGATGAATTGAAAATTATAGAGAGTTTTCATTAAATTCTGCTCCCTTTGTCCTTTCCCTCCTTAAACTTTGTCTCTCTTTTTTTTTATTCCTCATCTCACCCTCTCTAGTGGTGAAATTTGTGCTTGTTGCAGAAAAACAGTGAACAAAGAAAATATGAGGATGTTGAGGGAAAAAAGAAATACTTAAAAAGATATAAATCACAATGTTTTTGTTTCAATCTATTTAGCTGATGTTGCAGAAGAAACAGATGAGTCAGAGGCAAATGTTGAAGAGGTAAACAGCTTATACTTTAAAATAGATGATAATATCTTCATAGTTCCTTGCTATATCTACATATCAGTGTTAACATTACTGTGATTATCATTATTTCACATGAATAATTTTTTCAGTTGGAGAATTTTGTCTTAGTTCAAGGGACTTTCCTCAAGTAGTGTACTTTATATTTTTTAAAGAATGTCATTTATTGACTTGAACAAACTTTGAATGAACAAATATTTACCTTACTTGGGTTTGCAACTGATCATTAATAGTGAATGAATTATTCATTTTTATAGCCAGAGGAGGAGCAAGAAGAGTTTGATCACTTTACTGATGAAGAAGAATTTGAGGTAAAGATTTTGTTTAATTTTTGAATTGTTTTTTTCGTAGTTTCAGCCTTGATTGTTCTGATACTTGTTAACTATTGTTAAACCACTCTAACACTTTCACTCCCAAGATCACGTTCATTAGGTAATTCTTTTTTCTATCTGCCATACAATTCTTAAAATTTTATTCTGGAGAATTTGTTATTAAATCAATTGATAATTTTCCTCCTCATTACTTGTCTGCTTGATATTGTATTCATATTGTAAGGAGAAATTCTTTCTTGATCACTCAAAGGAGTTAAGAGTAAACTGGTTGTATAAATTACCTCTACACAAACAAGTTTACTGATGGTATACTTTTTTCCTACCATCCAGGGATATAATAAAGAAAAAATACCAAAAGGAAAATCAGGTCCACAACCTGATTTAAAAATAAAGAAGGTGTGTGCTTCATGAGATAATAAAACATGTTTATTTATTTCTTGCAAAGACTTTTACTTTTCTTACATTTTTTGATGTTTCTGTTTCAGATTCCTGTTCATTTAAGGGCAAACTGGGAGGGATTTTATGCTGAAATTCTGACTCTAGCTGGGCTTGCAGCCTATGCACTTAATTTCTTTGCTGGACGAAGTAAAAACTCAAGGCTTGCAACTGCATGGTAATGTGTTTGTGTTTTTATGAAACAACTGAATGGCTCATAGCAAAAATAAATTCTGATGATTTTTTTTATTTTTCTGTTCAAAATTGATGCATATCCATGATTAACCCTTTCTCCATATAGAAAATAACTAAGTGGGTGACACATAACAGTTAAAAACTAATAAAGTAATAGCCTTATAATTTTCAAACATCCAGCCGACAGGGATTGAGAATACTAAATTTTTTCAGGTATCAATTGTTATCTTGATATCACAGCAAATTCTTGTTACTAATTTACTAGCAAATGTGCAGTAGGAGATAGGAGAATGAACAATTTGATCTCTAGAGTTCAGGGTTAAATGATTCTTCTCTATTTTATGTATGGGACCCCATTCAATTTGAATTATAACTTTGTCTCCTTTGATTAAATTCCCAGGTTAAAATCTAATAAAGAACTTTTGGAGAGTAATTTCAGTGTAGTGGGTAAGTTTTACCATTAGATTCCATATTGCTATGTATCTGATCAGTAATAAATCACAGATGACATCAAAATGTGGTGAGAACGAAAAAGTGGCTCACAAGGAGCTGCTGAGTGTCACTATGTTCTGACTTTATTTTGATGTGATCTGTGATCTATTGCTGAAAGACTCACAATGACATGAAATCAAATTGATGTGTCTAAGAAGAAAGCAAGAATTTTAATGATGCAATCATCTGAATATTATTTGTTGCATTGTTTTTAAAATCATTGTTTTATACTGGTTTGTTTAATTTGAATATTGTTTTATTTGCCTAACCAGGTGACGATGGTTCCAGTGAGGAACCTCAACAAGGAATATTGGTGAAGGAGAGTGAGAGTCTGTATACATTATGGTGCACAGGGAGGGTAGGCTGTGATGGATTGCTTGTTGAAATTAAGGTAAGGAAGAAATCTTAGCCCAAAGTTACATGTTTCATTTATGTAGATGCTCACCCTATAACTTTGTTCATGCTTCAATGAAAATATTTGTCACTGTCACAATTTGACGATCTTAGATGATACTGAAATGGTCACCTCCAATTTTATTTTATTGCCAGTTTAATAAACATAAATTTGAAAGGACATTTGTACAATAAAATTTTCTGTAAATGCCTCTCTCACCAAAACCTTGAGCATTGAGTCATAAAAATATTACATCTTGCTACATAACCACTAAACAAAGGTTGCCAAATTTTATTCTTAGCTGATCAAAACAGTTGCTGTTTAGAGCACTTACTGTAAAAAGGTTATCAGTTACTCTGTGTACATAGGACAGTTGGTCACTGGTCTTTATCTTTCTATTTTAGTTACAGAAGCGTCATGATCTTGTTAGTGTGATGTCTTATTTAGTCAAACCAGCCAGGGATACTGTGGTACGTTTTAAGTTTGTTTTGTTATGTATTATTTGTTTGTTTTCACCATTGTCTGATTTGCTCATTTTCTAATTGCTGTTGACAACAAAAAACTGAAAAGTCCTTAATTTGTTGTCTATGTTTTATTTAGACAGTTACAGTGCACATGACTGATGAAGAAATGGACAACTTTGTTCTTGCTGTTTTACCAAAGAAGACTGCTGCTAAGATGCAAAAGGAGCTCCAAGATTTGGTAAAAAAAAAGAATTATGTGGTTAATTTGTTCTGATTTATTTGTGGTCATGAAAAGTGTCTGCTGATGTATTTGGTAACACTGTCTCCTTTACATAGACCTTCTTCTGTCCTGATAAACGTGCTGGACCTAAATATGATCTACCTGGCGCATTTGTTGTGTTAACTGAGTCTGCTGAAGCAGCCAGTGCCATTTTATCATCACAGGTATGATAAAAAAAACTTGGCTAATTTTTTTTTACTCTTAGCTCAAAATATCAGATTGCTATGATTTTGAGATGTTTCTTTTACATGAGGTAGAGGTAGCAGTCTTAAATGTGTGACAACTCCTGCATCCAGCTATTTTCAGCAATGAAAAAAGCTTGCCCATCCTGTCAATATGCAGGCAGCAGCATGCATGTCATATATTAAATTATTATTCAGCTTATCTCACCAGTGAGTTCTCCCCAGCTCCGTAGTCCAGGATTAGACAATGCAATTTGAAGTTTAGGGGTTTGATTGCAGATGGGGACTCAGATAGTATCTTTGTGCTTGAGCACTGTATCTTTGTCTTGTACTCCTGACAAATGTACAGCCATTTTTTTTTTCCTTCAATGTGTGGCATTTCTCGTTACAGATCACAAGAGCTATTTCCAGTGGTGAAGAAATGCTTGACTCATTGATATTTTCTGATCAATATGTGGGTCCAAAGCAACCTGATGATGAGTATGTCAAATGTTTTATCAATATTTTTAATTGAAAGAAATGTTGAATCTTTTTGGGGTAGTTGTCTCAGATTTAGTTTATTCTCTAGGTAACCTTTTGTCTTGCTCATTAGTCTTTTTTATTTATTTTAGTGACCAGGCAGCTAGTGGGAAACCTGTCAAACCTAAGAAGGTCCTGCTTTTTAACTTTAAAGGTGAGATTGATTTCTGTCTTGCTGCTGGAAAATTTATATTTCTGCAATAACAACTGATGCGAAACAACTCTGTTGAGTTCACAGACAACTCAGTTGAGTTTGCCAACAACTTGGCTGAGTTTGCTGACAACTCAGATGAATCTGCCAATTATTTGGTTGAATTTACTGGCAACTTGAGAAGAGTTCACTGATATCTTGAATCAGTTTGGCAACATCTCCAATGAGTTCACTGGCAATGATATCTTGTAAATGATATTTATATATCTCAGACTTTTGAGATCTCAAAATCCTTTCGGCCATCCTTAATAACTATGGTGTCAGCTTGTTTGATTCTGTTTTCTTGTATCTGAGTGCTGTATATGATATATTTTTCAGTGCCTTCTAAAGGGAGCAGTACCAAGTCATCTGACATGGTCAAATTAGAACCAATGATGAAACTAGTTCTTCACTGTATTGATAGGGTTAGACGGTTTAAGCTCGGAAAAGAGGTTTGTTTGTTTCTCGTGCTTAGTTCTAGCTTCTTTTCTCGAGTTTAGAAATCTTTTAGTTTGTTTCTTTTAATTTTTCTCTATATCATTCATCATAGACTCGCCTGTGGGGTAGCTTTTTCTGTCGTGTTACCACACTGCGTAACATTCTTTATTAGTGAATCGTTAGACTAATCGTGTTTTGTTTACTTCAGGCTAAAGCTAAAGCTGACAAAAATCGGCGAGAACTCGAGGAAAATCTGCTGAAACAATCTCATGCTCAAAGGCAAGAAGTAAGTGAAAATTAATGGTAATGTTTTCTTATATTTGGCAGTTTTCGTGACGTTGCTTTGATCTAGCGTCGCGGAGTTTAAATGCTCTCTAACCTCTGTTGGATTCTTTTGAATTACTTCCACGCAATAACATGCAAACCAGAGAGAAAGGAAATCTTGGAATAAAATTAAAGGTTTGGTAGCGGCAGTTGTGGTCTTTTTGTGACAAGATTGTTGGCAAGTTTGCTCGGTCACGAATAAAGGTTCCATAATTGAGTAGTTTCAAGGTTAACTGCATCTCTTTTACAATTGAAGGCCGCACAGCAACGTCGCGAAGACAAAGTAAGAGCTGAGAAAGAACGAATCATGCAAGAGGATGACCCTGACAGACAGCGAAGGCTGGAGGTTGGTTTGCATTCAATATCTGCGCCATGAAAAGTAGTCTACGCAATAAATGACTTAATGATTTTGTGATATAACTTCGAGTAAACATTTCCTTTTCTGGTTTGTCTTTAGGAGAGAGAACACAAGAAAGAAATGAAGAAAAGAAATCCATTCAAAGTAAAACAAGTCAAAGCACGTGGCTGAAGGAAAAGTTTGAGAACTTTTGTTTGACGCTGGATGATCCAAGTTTTTATTTACTTCGTTCAGAATTTTTCTTAAACGCTGCAATTTGATTTACAACCCTCAAAGGAAAACGGAGTTTTCTAAAATCATGAAACGCAGAGTTAAAAATCTGACTCCAGCGTCTAATGAATAATAGAAGCATAATGACGACAAGTTTAACGACGAATGTGTTATTTATTTCGTGTTTTTATACATAGATTTAAAAATTACTCCTCCTTTGAGGATATTTTTTCGTTTTGTTTCAGTCTTCCATGATTATTACTTGTAATTGATTTTTATCTGAGAATCAAGACTCATTGTATAATGTAATGTTACAAACAGCTGGCTGTCACTCCCTGTCCACGTGACTTCGGGATTATCTCTGTTTCGACTATTTCATGGCCTCTAGCTGCTCTTGTATTTTTGGTGGTTAATAATATCATAACAAGAAGATAAAACTGGCCCGTCTTTTGTGTCCTTTTTTTTGTGGTCAGAAAGACGTAAATGAAGGTTTTAAAAAATTGCGTGTTCGTAAAATTGCGTTCTCGTTAAACCTCAAGGCGAATCGAAAAGTGTTCATTTGCTTGAAGCAAGAGATAGATGTTAGTCATTAAAAGTTAGCTCTGCTATAGCCTATCTTCCATCCATTGTGCCTCCCATTTTCCATAACATCAAAGCGATAATGCGATAGCCTGAGAGTCAGTCGCTCGTTTAACTCTCTTCTCGCTCTGAAAGCGTTCCATTGATCACCGACAGTCAGCAAACCTTGACTTTTCTGAAAATCGGGAAATCATGGAAAAAAAGTTTTGAGTTTGCGTCAGAATTTCCGCTAACTAAGATAATATTTTAAGTTTATAAAAATAGTTGCGGTGAAAAATTAAAGAGGAAGTGATGTTATGAATCCGGAAAACCTTGTTAGATAAGGACAGACGTAAATACTGACAGTTATCGACTGAATCTCATGCACCAACTATTTTAAGCACAGGTGAAAAAAAAGGGATTAGTCACCCCACCGTCGTGGGAACTTGCCATATACTTCTTTATCTAGAAATGTCTTTCAGGAGCTATAACTCTTTCAAATACGAACGTGCGTAAAAAAACATTTATCAAATAAATTATCATAATGTTAAACGAAATATAAAGAAATTATTAATATAATAACGAAGAATGAAATGAATTAATGATTCTAAAGAATAGCTTTCTCAAGATTGCAATGGAATTCTGTTAGATTTGTTGAGTTATGAACTTTTTTGGGAAGACTATTCCAGGTATTCGCAGAAATATTGCTAAATAATTTTTCTTCCACAATGATTTAAACATGATAATATCTTATGTTTTCCTAGAGTTAAATAAGTTCCGTACAATTAATTAAGAGATGTCTCGGCTGTCAAGCCTTTTTGGGTGATGCAAACGAACCTTCGATTTCAATTTAGCGTTGCTTGAGTAAGTGTGGCAGCTACAGTTCTCACCAAACAGAAATGCGAAGAAGTTTATATCAATTTACACTTCCGGAGATAGGAACTCTCGCTTGTACAATTACGTCACATCACATCCATGCGAGGCTTGGAGCATGCGTGATTTGACCTGACTCTGTGAAGTGTCGATTTTGGAAGTCAAGGTAGTACAAATATCGATTGAAAAAACCTTTCCCTTAATTCCTGGATTTTGTCCCGATTCCATTTTAACCACGTTATTTTCATGGGCACGAGATGGGGCTTTTGTTCGCTAAATTGTTCAGTTGGTTCAGCAATGAGGGTAAGTATAATGCCTACGGTTGGCGTGCCCTTAGCTTGCCAGTAAAAATATCAAAGAGACAAAATCCTGTTACATGTATGTCTTTGCTCTTTACTTAACCCTACAGGCTCTATTCCATTTTGGATTTACTTTGGTCATATATATTTTAATTGAAGAAGATCGTTCTTCATGGCGTTTTCTGATGGGAATCATTAAGCTTGTCGGAACCTATGTCTGTGTACGGTGTGCATGGATGTTACAATATGTGTGAAGATTGAAATTCGTCAAGGAACGAGTGAAATTTTTGTTGTTGTTGTACTTTTTTTCGACGGAGAAGAGGTAGCGACGTATTCTTGTGAACCTTAAGTACGTTTTATTGTTTTCAACAAAGGATGCTACCTATTTATTCAATGTGATTTCAAGGCCTTGCATATCTTACAATGAAGTTGATTTTTAAACATTCCATATATACGGTATTTTGTCTCCTTAAAACGGTAATATAAACTGGGTAAACCGATATTTTGGTAAAGTGGAACCCATGAACAACATCAGTCCTGAATTTGAGTATTTACAAATCGACTTTTACTCAAATCTGTGTTGTAAGCTAATGGAAATTAGCTGTTATTTCAAGTTTCTGTTTGTGGGGTTTCCCCAATTATACAATTGTTTTGAATGAACACGTAAGTCAATGTGGAAATATTGTGAAGTATGGGTAAAATGAGTAAATTCTGTTGAACTGATTTCTCATATTCTTGAATTCTTCTGATTCTAGTTTTCTGTTGGCCGAAACTAATACAAATTTTTTGCATCCAAATTTTGGAAATGAGCTCAATTTTTTAAATAACGACTTATTGATTAAGCCATTAACCACTTTCAGATCATATTCTAAATGAACTGGTTCTCGCATCATAGAATTAAACTTGAAAGTCTTTGATGTCACAGAAACATAATCAGTTAGTAGTAAACAGTTAAGACTGGAAACTGTTGTTATAATAAATTTTTTGAATTGGAACATAATTCATTTTTGCCTAATATAAATATAAAATAATATAATATAAAATCCGACTAGAGTGAGAACAAGAATATTATATTTCCATTTCAGGAGATACAAACTTTGTAACGTGATGAGTGGTATGATTATATTAAATTGTAGAGTAAATTGTAATGCAAATATCAATTTTTATTATTTTCAGAACACAAGGTGATCATTGTGGGCTTAGATAATGCAGGAAAAACAACAATTTTGTATCAGTTGTAAGTATCAAAATTTAGGTTGAAAATTATATTTTAGATCTATCATGATGTTTATTTTTTTCATTATTGTCTTACAGTTTAATGAGTGAGGTAGTTCATACATCACCAACAATAGGCAGTAATGTAGAAGAGGTAAGCCTATAACAATAAAGATTTTGAAGAGTTGAGGGTATTGAAAATCCTGTGACATTCATGTACATATAGTTAGCTGCCTCCTATTGACAGTACTACAGGTGGCAAGATGATTCTTTCAAGCTGTATGGCAAAATTTTCCATTTGTTTTGAAATGTGTAAAGGTTTTCATCAATTACTGTAATTTGTGAAATGTTTATTGTTGGCTTCTTTTAACCTGTAAATCCCAGGAGTGGTGAACATGTGACTTCTTATAATATCCATACAATATCTTTACACTCTTCAGCAAACAAGTAATGAGAATACTTGGCTGTGATCTAACATTAAATTCTTATATCTAATTTAGAAGGTACTGTTTATTAGCGAGAGGTGAGAGTTAACAATCAGATCTTAAGAGTTAAAGAGTTAATTGGAAAGTATTAGCCAACATCTGTTGTTCTTATACTCAAGGAAGGTCCATTTATCTAAAGGAAACTATTTAATGGGTTCAAGTTTATTAGATGGCCTAGAGATTGTAATTCATTGTTTATGTGCAGTGCATGATTGTTTGTACTCATCTTTTCAATATTAGGTTGTATGGAAAAATATTCATTTCTTGATGTGGGATATAGGAGGTCAAGAATCACTCAGATCAGCATGGAACACATATTACACAAATACAGAGGTAAACTAAACTTTATAATATTCAGTAACTCCTTACATAGTTTTCCTAAATACAGTTAGTAATTTGCAAAGTTCTCTTAACCGCTTTGTAGTACTTTCTGCTCTAAATAGTTAAGGATTTCTTGATCATCTTTTCCATCAGAAAATAGGTAATTTTGATCAAGTTGTATTGTGTTTTCTCTTTCAGTTTTTAATTTTAGTTGTAGATAGTACTGATAGGGAAAGACTTGCTGTATCAAAAGCAGAACTTTACAACATGTTAAATCATGAGGTAAGATTGTTCAGCAATGCAAAAGTAGCCATCATCATTCAAAATGCATTGTGGTAATTCAGTGGAGTGGGGAATTGTCTTTTGGGAAAAATTAGCCAATCAGAACTCAGCTTTCAATAAATAAGTTGTAGCACTTCTGCCTCATTATGGTAAGCATGAGCTGGGGGAGGGGGAAGACAAAGGATCCACAACTGGCTCTGGATGTCTTCAGAATCATCATTTGTTATGTTGTTCCTGACATTGAAGTTAATCCCATTCCTACTAAAATAATACAGTAACTGATCACAAGGTTATAGATTATAAAGCTTTGTCTCTGCATGCTCATAATCATTTCATTCAGACTTACTGGGACTTCTTCAGTGAACTGGAAGAAACAAAGCTGTCTTATTGTGAGCAGTGATGCTCTCCAGTTACAAGAGTGCACAGCTTTATCTCTATTTCTTTTCTCTTTTTTTCTTTTGCTGTAGGATCTAAGACAAGCTGGGGTTCTTATATTTGCTAACAAACAAGACATAAAGGTTTGTTCCTCTGTTGAAGCAGCTGCGTGATAAAAAACTTGATGTAAAAATGTTGCAATTCAAACACAATTTGGTAAATTTGTGATAAACTGTGAACTTGAATGATAATACTGTATGAATAAGAACTACTTTTTAACAGAGTAGAAATCCTTATGATCTAACATTATTTACTTTGAATATAAATGTAATTGCTTTCTGACTCAGAGTTATTTTCTTTCAGGGATCAATGAGTGTTGCAGAAATATCAGAACAATTAAATCTTACTTCAATTAAGGACCATGGATGGCATATACAGGTAAATTTTCACAAAGGGAATTGAATTGATGATGTTTTTGTTGATAATGTGTATACTAAGCTAAAAGTAATGTCAAAAAGGAGTTTTGTTGCTAAGTAATTTCTTGTCTATTTTTTTTATTTCTTTTTAGGCATGTTGCGCCCTTACAGGAGAAGGGTGAGTAAGCTGGTAACTTTGTTTAGTTCAGTTTGTAATGCATTGTACGACACAGTTTCAGTGTGAGCTCAAGTAAGGTGTTCAATTCTTGGTTTAATTTATGCTATTACTATTGTAAAGAAAGATCTGGTACAAATATGTCTCATCTGTTTTTTCATAATAGTACAAAAAATGTGTTAATAGGATGTAGGAGTCAAATAGGATCATTAGCATGGGATCCTTAGCATAGGATCCTTAGTACCTAGGCAAGTGTGCACTAAAAAAATATTCTCAAACAATGTGTTGTGATTTTTTCTCTTTTCCAGATTGTACCAGGGGCTTGAATGGATTACAAATCATATTAGGAAGTAGACTTGTATTCTCTATTTAATGCAAATGTTTCAATTTATTTTATATAAAAAGCAGTTAAATTTTTTACTGAAATAAATGTACAATAATAAAGCTATCATTTATTTCTCTATGTACATTAGTCACTGAATTGTTTCTTTTGTGTGGGAGTGACATCTGGCTAGTTCTACTAAATATTTAAGCACTATGACTGGGTATGTTTTGTCTCCTTCCTGTAAGAATGGTTATCAATTGGGGGAATAACAAGTTATTTTGCTGGGGACTGTTTCATTTGTTCCAATGCTAGCCAGGAAAACTGGTTTGATCACATGAAGTTGAAGCTTTATGGTAAACTCCCTGGAAAAAATAAAGTGAAGTGACAAACTCTTATGGTTGAAGTGCTCTTTGTACAAAGTCATATAACTCAAAAACATATCTACTGCATAAAAAGAGAATATTTTCAGATAGGAATATTGAAGTTAAGCCAAACAAAATGATTAAAAGAAATTGAGAAATCTTTTTTTTATTATTGTTAGAGGGAAGTTTACCAGTAGCCATCAGTTTTATACCCAACACAAATTTCCTGGCTTGTGTCCTACTTACAGCAGCTTATAATGTGTACAAATATGACTTAATTCATTTAGCTATCAAACCATTGTAAATAAAATTAGTTTCTTTTAGAAGTAATTGATAACAGTAATTTTATTTTGTCTCAGTATGAGATTGAATAAACTCCTTAGACTTGAAATAACTGTAGCTGTAACATTGTTAAAATTGTCATTGATGAGAATTTTTCAGAATGGTATGTTGAAAATACTTTAAGCAAAGGTGCTTTCTATTGGACAAAATTGTGAATAAGTTGACCAGAAGCAAGTCAATTTGATATAGTGTGTGCTTAAATTACAACCTTTAGACCTCAATCATCAATGCAAATATTTATTATCTAAATGTATGTCTGGACATTCCTAGTTCTTTTGTTTGGGAGAATATTATGTATCCAAATGAAAAATTTTTTGCTCACTCTGGGAGATTTGATTCTGGTCACCTTGGGTCTTGAAAAAGCTTTCAACTGTTTGTGGGAGGCTGCCTTAAGTTTTTCAGTACAGTTTTATCCAAAGTGCTGTAGACAAGACAAGGTATAGCCTTGCACCAAAGGATACTGTTTTTAATTGATGAAAGAGAGTAATTCATGAGTATTGTGACTAGAATGTGCAATAGGATTTGGAGGAAAACCTGTTGTTCGACTAATGTAGAAATCTTGATCGATATACAGAATCATTCCAAAGAAGGTTTCTGGAAGAGTGTTGGAAGGAAAAAAATCTGTGACTATTTGTCTCATCGTTCATGGCTTAGGCTTCATCCCGCCACCTTTCTCCGGTCAATTTTAGTTTGGAGTACAAAGCGACGGAATTAAGCAGGAAGGGAAATAATATACTCTCTTATGTAGTAGACCAGATATTGACTATATCCTATACTTTCTATTTTTTGTTCTGCGAGGAGAATAAGACGAGAATGTGAAGTCAGTGCAAATACGCAGACCTACAATTGCGTTTGCAGTTAGGTCAGAAAGTGTAATTTCGTTTCGGTTTCTGTTTACATAATGTGTAATCCTTAGCAATGAACAAGACATCTTGTAGCGCACTTTTATTATCCTTTCAGTAAAGAATGTTTCACTTGACAAACGTTTGAAAATAAAATGTTTCAAAATGAGATTAACGGTGTTAGCTAGTGAAAATTGTGCTTATTAAGTAAACACAGCGCGATAACGGTAATCGAAACGGGGCAAAACTGTTCAGCCCTGAGGAGACAGGGCGAATTGACATTCCATGGAAGTTTCACTGATCAGTGGGACGAAATTTCGATTCTATGTTTTTTTGTTTTGTTTTTTTTTTAAGAATTACGTTTAATTTCAAATTAAACAGCCTAAGCGCCACGCTCGTATCTGAGACTTAGAGGGGTAGGTTGTATGAGAATTAGCTTGGCTTTAGTAAAAAATATTCTATGTACGTAAAAAAAGCATAGGATTAAGGGACCAAAATAGAGGGCGTTAAAATAGAATAGCCCTCTGATGTAAAACAGATGTTAGAAATGAAGCCGAGGTACTCTGACGAAGGAAAACGAGTAATTGTTGTAACTGAACGGTTTTCGCTGAGACGGTAGGTTTTTTCTTGACACAGATCAATAGAATTGAAGGAACACAACACCTACTAACCGGTTTGTAAAGCTTTTATTTCAAATTACCATTACAATCATGGTCTCTCTTCTTAACTTATTTGTTTTGATTATTAGCTGTCCATTCAAAAGAATTCTCGGGCAGTGGTAAAAATATTTTAAAGCAGTGGAACAATTACCTTGCACCGTCGTAACATTTCTGAAGTAGCTGAGTATCTTATGTTTTGAAGACGAACTAGCGGCTTCAAATATTTGTTTGGTAAATAATTTCGCTATTTCCCGCCTAAATTTGGGAATTAGACAAGTCTACGAGGATTTCAAACTATTAAGCCTGTGGGTCTCGTTTTAAATCGCATTCTCATTAGTTAAATAGAACCAGTCACCACACCAGAAAGGTCCCCGAATCATTGGCTCATAACAATATGGCCAATGGTTGATCGGAACCTCTCAACAACCAATTGCAAACTTAGTCTGAGGTGTCAGCAAATTTCCTCGCTCCAATACCACCAGAAGCGCCCGCGGGGAGACAGGAGACAGCTGACAATCTTATCGACCAATCAAGGAGCGGTAGCCACAATCAACTAGTGTAATTCAACTTCTGCCCTCATTTACAGAAATTAAAGTAGTTTTGTAACCCAGTCACTAATTTTACAGTGATTTCAAAATGACAACAAAACCTTGCTGTTTGTTCGCAATTGACATATTTCCTATAATATATTACTACTATTATGATTTACAATTGAGACAGTTCTCAAGAAAGGATTATTGCCAACTTACAGGGAATACTGAGTACTAACAGTTTTCTTTACTACGTCCATCAATGAAAATACCACTACAAAAAATATTAATCAACAGATATTTCTAGGAAAAATAATAGTAAAATCAAGAAAACACATTAAAAAAGCTTCGCCTAACTACATGAGACATAACAATTATTTTAAGCAATAGCAGGCGATAATTGTAGCTGTCATTCGAAATTTCAAATTTTGGTCCCGTAAATATAAACCTAACAAATTCAGGATATCTTCACTGTACATAAAAAGGGAAGCAGGTTTTGTAATAAAAAAAGCGTCTTTTCCACCTTGATATTCTATTGCTAGGGTTTTTAACATTGGGATTATGTAACGAACCGATCATCTGCGTCCCACTTCATATATATGACTTTCCGCGTCATGTGTGAGGCATATTGCCACATCTGATGTCCTTTTAGTCTCGCTATAAATCGGTGACAAGTAACAGTTTATTGCTTGAGGCACTCTGCTCCATGCCTGGAGAAAACAACGGTGAGTCACACTGCAACGAAAATAACAACAAATTCAGGAACATACGGCTTGTAATTACTTCTATAGAGTGAACTTTTGGTATAATGTCATTGCTTGCGTGATTTTCAGGCGATCGGTGTACGCGCAAGGTGCACGCGAAGGGCGAGACAGGCGAGGGAAGGAGCGCAAAAAAAAAAAAACTCTCGTCGAACATCTTACCCCTCGCACTTGCCTCCGCTCAACTGAAAAAACGAATAAAAATGGTTCTTCCCTTGCTTCTCTACGTAATGCGCACTCATTAATAACATATGCGTGAATTCCTCGTGGGCCACGTCATGATTTGTCCAAGAAACAGACAAACTTGGAACTCCCAAAAGGTTACGAGTGTAGTTCACTTACCCGATTGTCTGTTGCACTAGACAAGTTGTCAATATGTAGTGGCGTAGCCTTTCTGTTGGTTGGTGACCTAGTATTGAAAAAGGTTTAAGAAGTGTGAGGGAAAAAGAGGCCAAGAAATTGCAGAAGTTATCCCAAGTTTCTGCTCCACTTAAGTTTCGAGGCTATCTACTATCCTGGATGAAAGGCTGTTCTAAGTTGGACAGAGAGAGGGACTGGGAGAGTAAAGTGTTTCGCCCAAGAACATTACACAATGACCCCATCAGGGGTCGGAACGAGACCTCTCGATCGGGAGCGTAGCGCGCTAACCATTAAGTCACAGCGTCCTTCACGAAGGAAATGTAATGAATAGTAAACAAACAAACAACACCTACATTTTGGCGAGATCGTTCAGGGAATGCGTTCTATTTCTCCTTGTCAGTTTATTCTCGTTACTGGCAAAGAAACAAATAATAAAATAAGGAAATCGTGAGAGAACAAATTTTACATCAATCAAGTCAAACTGAAAAGTCGAAACAACTTATTACATACCCCTGAGGATTGTTCTCTTCCTGTTTTTGATTGAAAATTGTGCGCAGCTCCGGAAGTGAACTTCGTCTCCTGAAACACAAAATAAACGGTAAAGATGACGACATCGAATTTAAAGATATCTTGTGCAAAAAGAGGTTTATATGCTGGTAACTTTGAAAAGACGCTTGAATATAACAAGAAAGCCACATAAGGAAAGTGATTAAGATGAAAGCACTAAAGAAGGTAGAGATTATTTAGGATCTGCGCGACAGTCAATAACTGAATATAAATACATAATGAACAAAATAACAACTATCGACGACGAGAAACCTTAAGAACAGAATCAAGAAAAATTTAAAATATCTCACGAAAGTTTCCGAAAACAAAAAGAGGCACATGCTTCCTTTACTTACTTCGACTTTCAACGTTTTCCTTTTCATTTCCTTCTTTAACACGATGCTCATTGAAAACTTGACATGTGAATGCTTATTAAAACTAACTATCTTTTTAAGGAAAAAGGGAGGAGGGTTTCCTAGCTCTCTTTAAGTTCCCCACCTTTGGTCGGGAGACTGGGTCAAGTCACCAGAATACACAAAATGAAAAGGAAACACACGGAAAAAATATTAAAAAAGGAAATGAAACGGAAATATGAATTCAGACCTTTTCACAGGAGAAGCGCCTTTTCCTCGAAGTAATCTTTCGTCTGAAGCAGAAATTCCATCAATTGTAGTGAAGCGCTTTTTATGATCTCGCTTGTTTCTATCACTGGGTATAAATACTCGAAAGCTTCGCTGATCGTCCACGAAGTAATTACTGTGCTTCCCAGAATCAGAGTCAAGGTCTGTCTCTAAGTAATTCGGCACGTAAGGTGCATTCGGAGAAACCCGTATGTCTGGCCGAGCGGGCGTGGAACCTACAGACTTCACTTTTCCAGATTTTTTATCACGCTTTGATTGGCTGTGCGTTTCGTCACTTTTGGATTTTCCCGATTTCTTTTCATCCTCCTTACTGTTCTTCATTAGATCCATTATTCGAAGGTTTCGTTTGGATTGCCTTCCCGACGTTGGTCTCTCACAAGCCACTGAGATACCCGAGTCAACATCTGTTTCAGGCAACGAGAAAATCTCCAGTGGAGCTCTTTTGGCGTAAGAGGCCTTGGTTGTTCCCGCAAATGACTTGTTACGAGTGGCTTTCTTGTCTGTTCTGGGCGACGTAGAAGGAGATGACGAGGTGCTATCGTGTTTGGTGGAAGCCGAACGTGGAAGTCGAACATTGGCAGGAAGCGACGCTGATCGCGCATGGATATTCTTCGGTCGATCGTCTGGGAGACCTCCGGAAACGCTCGACGCACCGAATAATTCGGAAGAATCATCGTCGACCTTCCTAGTCTCTGACGTGGATGGTAAAGATATGGCACCATCCACAGCCTCAGACGAGAGATGTTCTTCAGGTTTAACATAACCATTAGAGTTGGAGCGTGGAGGCAGTTCAGTGGTAATCACAGCTCGACCAGTCAGACTTGTTACTTTCATTGATTCTGCTTTTCTAAGGCCTCGCCGAGTTTTGGCTCCGGGTCCTAGTGAGAGGAAAATAAAAATAGTTATTACTGATCGTTTGCTCTGGTAAATAAAAGTTTGATGTTCCGATTTGATCGGTTAATAACAAAGTAATGTTTGGAAAAAATTATGAGCCAAAAACTGAGAAATGCGATGCAGTTCTCTTTACAAAGACCGAAGAAAAGCAAACAAGATTCTACCCATCATCTACAGTGCAAGATTGTTAGAGCTGCACTTTTGCTATTCTTTCATTTGAATAAACATACAAAGACGAGACTCCTCTGGCGCAAAGGGTAATACTGACAAAAGGTGTATATGTATTTTTTAAAAAAAACATGATTCGCAATAGTAATCTCAAGCTTTTTACGTTAGAGCACGAGTTATAATATCAGAGCTTTACAACACAATCGAACCTAGAAATCGGAAATGTTTTACAACTCCGTTAATTAATATTGTCAAAAATTAATTTTATCAAAATGCAATTCCCGGCGAGATTTGGAGTAAAACGTAAAATGAAAACTATTTCGTATTTAGTTTCATTGTATCTTTCACTGGCTTTTTCAGATCTCTTCTGAGCATTTGGGGCCAGGAGGTTTGTCCCAGCTCCCGGGCGGGATGCTAATTTAACGCAGGACTCGAATTAATTACAACCTATAGAATAACCTTTTTAAACATAAGCACTGTTTACAGTGTTGCACTAGAATGCATTTACTAAGGATCGTCAGGAAAGCAATTAAATAGCGAAGAAGTGTCACTTGAAAGAACATTACATTTTAACCTACTAACCTTTCACGATATATCGGAGCGCGCCCTCGAAATGAACTTTCTTACACGAGGAGAATTTCATGTTATCACTTCTAAGTTGGAGGCAACCTAAAATTTTTTCCGTCGTCACTCGCCAACGAGAAGAGTTCTTCTAGTGATAAATGATCAAGCCGCGTCTTAAAGTAACGAGTTCTAGTGCGTAAATAGAATTCCGTGAACTTTCCCGACTTTTAGTTTGCCAAATTGAATCGAAAACAGAACGTAACGTAAACAACGTAAGGTGTGTTCAAGAACTTTCCATGATTTAATTATATTTAACAAACTAATTGTAAAATGAGATAAAAACGCAATTATCATGGCTCGCTTTATGCAGAATACAACTTCCCTCAAATCACAACTAAGTTATCCTTTGAAAATAAACGGGGTCCTGAGTAGGCGCAGCACACAACCGGCGTAAAACTTTTCCACTTAGGGAATTTCAGTAACTAAAATAATTAAAAGTTTCGTTCGAGATGATACGACCCCTGAGGCCAACCATGAATAATTAAACTGCCAAAGAACATTCTTGAAATACTCGAATTACTGGTAACTTTCTTATTTGGAAAGAAGCCACATTTGAGGCAAAGTTAACGCGAGTAAAGTGTTTTGTTGGAACTACTCACACATGCCTGCTGAGTGGATAAAACCGCATCTCGGACACAACTAACAAACCAAACATCCGGTGTAACTTATTTTTGTAGCTGCCTCCTTAGTAGCAATATCCGGAAGACAAACAGATTAATAACACAGCATTGAAAACCTTAAACCCTAAAAGTTATCATTCACAAGCACAAAAGAAACTTTTGTAAATGTTACAAAACAACCACAGACATTGACCCAGTCTCAAACTAATTGTTGTAATATTATTGTCGAAAGAACAATATATTGTCGGACGAATTACTGCCAGAAACAACACGTTACGTGTTTGGTTCTATTTTAGTTACTTGCACTCAAATTAAACTTTTAAAATGGCAGCAAAAACCCCTATCAGTACAGGGAAATAAGAGGAATCGATAATTTATCGCTGTTTATCTCTTCCTTTGTATTACTCTGATATAATCATGGGACAACCAGTGGATATGAGCGCGACACGAATGAATTCGTTATTATTATTTCACTCTGCCAGTAATAATTACACATAGGCTCCGTTCCTTTAAGGGCTCGCAATAAAAAGATCAGCACTCTCAATTCATTACTCGTATCAAGGAGTGAATGTTATCAGGTTTTCAAAAATATCGCAGATGGTTCGCGCGCTGTGATTGGCCAAATGAGGAGGCCATACTCTATTGCGCCTAAATTCAATCTGCTTTTGTAGCCAAAATCTCACGTTACTAATAACCAATTATTCTTAAGTTAAGAAGGAAAATAAACATTCCTTTGAATTGTGTTAAAACGTGCCCACATCTGGACTCGTTTTCACTTCGAAGCGCATCAAGATTAGACTAGACTACAGGTCGTTTACTGAACTCGTCATAGTCAAAGTAGGGATATGATAAGTAACGAAACAACTTCGTCTTCTCAGTTTTTACTGTGAGTTACCGATCCTCGGTTTGTCCCATTCGATTTCAAGCTTGCACAGCCACAAATTGAAACAGTGAACACTCACTTTAAAGAAGGACCTCGAACACGGTTAGAAGAGGAACATTGTATTTATTTTCTAAAATCTTACCGAAATACAAAGGTGGTTTGAGTATCCTTAGCTGGTCTATAGTGTTGTGATGTTTGTCTCCATCATCATACTCCACATAGTACTTGCCATGCTCAATACCAATCACCTTCCCAGACAGCTTAGCGGGCAGACTTGGCCAATGAGCGATCACGCGACTCCCTGGACAAAAAAAAAAAAAAAAAAAAGGGAGAAGGTTGGTAGGACCGAAGTCAGTGAATTTTACGTTATTCAATAAGTAAAATCAGTAGCCTGTTGTTAAACGTGTTCTTACCAATTTCTAAGTCACTGATCTCAGGAACTTGATCAAATACAACACACTCAGGGTCAGTTCTGTCATGCGCAATAGTGTCTCCATTGTCAAACTTTATGTGCAGCATTTCTCCCAAACCAGTCACCACTCCTTTGTAAAAATCACCATTCAGCGCCTTACCCCAAACTCGGGAACCAACACGAATAAAGCCTGTCACAGAAAAACAAACTATAAAACTGGTCCATTTCAAGCTTTTTTAACCCTCCAACTCCCAATATCTTATTAGTAATTCTCCTTACTGTCTGCCATACAGTCCTTGTGATGTTAGTTTGGTAAATTTGGTACTAGATCAACTTATAATCCCCTAATTGAAATTTTTTCTTTATTCTCATCACTTGTCTGTTTGATATTGTATTGATATTGTAAGGAGAAATTCTGTCTTGGTCACTCATGGGAGTTCAAGGGTTAATTATCATGACCCTCGAAAACACAATCACATGTGAGTAAGGACAAAAAAAGATTTCTCCACAAATTCGGATGAAGGTTATAATTTTTTTGTAGCTGAGCAGGCCTGCTGGAAGTGAAATTTCTTATACCTCTGACAATATCCTCTTTATCTTCAATTTTTCTTTTCACGCACAAAACTTGTGCTCAGTTTTACACTAGTGTATTTCCTCAATGCCATGACGTCAAATGCCAAGAACTCGGCAATCAAAACAAGTTCAATTCTCATCAGCAACTCACCAATAAACGAAGGCTTGTCAGAAGTGATCATAGTTATAGTTTCACAAATGATCGACTGAATAAGAGCCTCTTTGTAAAATACAAAACAATCGATTGAAGATGTTATTATTTGTCAATCTACGTGGAGGCCACGAAAACTTTTATCCACAACTTACGAAAACTTTTAAAACGAAGATGCAAAAAATTTAATGAAAGTTGACTGTAAAGTAATTAAGTAGAAATCTTACGAGGACATTTTCACTACTAATTAACTGGCGCCTACAGTTTTAATGCGATTACAGATACCGAAAAAAACGTTTACTTGCGCTTTTACGACTAAAACTGTTTATGGTAAATAGTGACTACAGATCCAACACTAAATGTGAAGCTAGCAGCGAACAATATATGGTCATACGTCTGCAAAGAATCATGGGTATATCAGCCATCAGCCAAATTTACAGGGTCTCGTCCACGAAAATGGATTTCATAAACATCAGCCAATAATGGAAAAGTGCTACATGAATGTTTCTATATCTAGAAAAGTGAAGAAGTCAGACCAATCGATGAAATTTATTCTTGTTGAGGTACATCTTCGAAGTACATTCCTTAAAGAACTTGTAGTTGTTGCCAAAATACGCAGTGGCAAGATTTGATTTTAACATCAGCATTTTAACGATGGTGAGAAAACGACGACAAAAAGTGTTCGATTGATCAGTCATAACGCTTACAGGAGCGAAGTTTGTAGAGTAATTCGTTCATTCTCTGTGTTGATAATCAGTCGACTTGCACTAACGAAACATGGAATATGAAACCAAGTTGGGCGTTTGGTTGATTGAGGGATTATTGTTAACACCACATATGACGCACAAACATGTTTAAATAATAAATGATATCTTGAACACAACAGGAGTCGTCTTGAAAGTCAACTGGTTACTCACCAACAGTAGGTCTCTTTGAAAATCGTTCACTTGTTGCCCTAAAAGAAACATTCATGTAAATAAACCTGATTTTAAACAAGAGCGATCCACTGGCTTGGTAATCCTCGGTGTAATCCACCTGTTAAAATAATACTACAGCTGAATACTTCTCCAGCAGGCTTTTCACACCTTCTTGTAAGCTGCTACAAACAGTGGCTGGGAACTTTACCCACTGATAACAAAAGAACAAAAAGTGGGCGCCACTTGACTTATGCGTGTTGTGTTGCCAAGAAACCTCACTGGGTCAATGAGGAAAATCTCCTGCTCAAATGTGACGAGGGGAATAATATTAGATCTTAATAGAAGCAAGAAGGCGTTCAAGCCTTAGATGTTGAACGCAAACCATTTAACAGATTAAAATAATTACTAAAGGTCAACCCAAGTGTGTTTGGATCATAATACAACCAGGTGATTCTGCTCTGACCAAGGGGTAACCTTCGAAATGTCATCTTTGGGAACTCTTTACGTTAGCCAGTTTACATCATCAACTCAGTTGATGAAACCAAGATATCTTCCTATACTTCCCTCCCCTTCCCTCTCCCCCTCCCTCTCCCTCTCTCCCCCTCCCCAACGTGGCACCACAGTTTCTTTAGTAACTTACCCCCTCAATTCTAATATATTTATAACTAATACCTCATTCATACCAGCAAAACATGTTTAGTTAAATTACGTTTAACTGCATTAGAAACAGAGAACTGAAAAACTGAATTTTTCATAGGGTTCAAGTAGTCAGTAATTCGTATTTTCAATACGCTAACTGAAGTCGATACTAGCTTTGGTGTGAATGGGGTATAACACTTTATCCTAACAAGAACAGTTTTTGTTTCAATCGCAAATCTTACTCCAATGTTTGATGAATTCACACTCTTTCATCTCTTATAAATTGCTATGAACAAAAGTAACATAGCTTTTACACAGTAGTTCAGATTACCTTTGAATCTTGAGTGACTTCCTGGCGCTCATTCTCGCATCTCTTTGAGCCTGATGCTCTGTTCTCCCGCTAAACCAAAACACAAATTCAAGAAAAAAAAGAACAAACAAACAAACCAACAAACAAATAATTAGAAACTTCATTTTCTCGTCCTTTTCCCTCCAACGTATATAATAGTATATGGCAGAATTTACGCTATTTTAGCCCTCCATTGTCATACTCATTGTAATTCATTTATAAGTATTTATTTCCACATACACGTCTAACAAGCACATCTCGGTGGAGTGCATCTTAATAAAGTATTGTTGTTCTTATTTTGTTGCAATTGTTGTTGTTAATTATATTAACGACGACGCGCAGTGCATCATTTCACTTCAAGTTGTCTTTCTGTATTTTCTCAATTGCTTCTTCAACTGCTTGAGCGGCGGGCGCGCGTGAAAAAGCGACGAGGAAGGGGAGGGTGTGCTAACTGAGAAAATTCTATTCTCCTGACCCCTGACCCCTGCCCCCCTCGAGTTCTAGGTTCGCGATTCTTGTGCGGTGCCGCTTCACTATCAGTTTAGCTTTCAGAAAAGAAAAAAAATAAGAGAAGCTTCGTGCAGTTTGATACAAACCTATATCTGTAACGTGATCCAAAGCGTAGGAAGCTGGACGTTCTCTTTGGCTTTGTAGTTGGTTTTACGAGTCTGTGTCAAAGATGATTAAAAAAGCCCACATTAAACTTTACTCGGCATGGAAAAAATTAACAAAAGCAATTGACCAATCAAAAAAAAAATTCACTGAAAAACCTTCATAATACCTGAAGAATGTATGATGTTCAATAGCACTTTTCCATAGATGCTTGGCAGCGAGGGAACTGGTACACGTGTACGTGTAACTTTCAGCATGCCGTTGAGCCTGAAACAGAAATAGGTCCGCAATATGCGGAAAGTTAGCGTTAGAAAAGAACTACAAGGAAGGTTAGGTTAGTTCTTAATTTAAAACACTTAAGCAAATCTTGGTGCAACAATCAAGAAAGAACTTGTACCCCTTGGTACTCCAGGTGAAATCTGTTTTTCTTGAATGAGATTTTGGTAATCTTCTGCCTGAAAAGTTAAGGAAAAGTTAGGCAATTAGTTTAACTTGACATTCCACAACCCTGAAAGATCACACAACAAGCATATAATGTTAATAAACTGTTTATCTTTCTGCTTACCACGCAAAAATTGTCCTCTTCTCTTTGTCCTTGATGGACAAAATACCACGAGGTGTCAAACCCAGCTGGCACTCCATTTTGTTTTCCCCCTAATAATGTGAAAACAAATGGAAACTTAGATGCTATAACAAGGCACGAACAAGACTAATTACACTTATTAAAAGTAAAAAGATTTTGAATAGGTAGAATATCAAATTTTAATACTGCTGTAATTTCACTGAATAGCAAGTCAATGAATGGCGTATTTCTTACTACAACAGTATGGATATCAACTCCATAGAAATCCATGTTCTTCACAATCTTGAGGAAATTAACTTCACATTCAGCTGGATTCAAGCCACTGGTGAAAATGATCAAACAAAGGTAGATTAGTCAAAGGAGAATTTCAAAATATTGCATTATTATTTTTATAATGTAGTGATAAAAGGACAATGAATAGCTTGCAGAGCAGGCCTAATTTTGGCAGGTGGGTGCACAACATTTTCTTCCATACATTATGGCTGCCATCTTTGATTTTTTACAGCTGCAGTGGAAGGCTGGGGAGAGAAAATTTGCACTGAGGGGGTGAGCAATGCTCAAAACAAAAGAGAGGGCCTCCTTACCCCACCTTCCACTTTAAATCAAACATGGCCAGCTAGATGATGGCCAGCTTGTGATGTTAAATTTCCCTGGTAAGATGCCTGCACTGCAGGGTTAGACAATGAACTACATTCACTACTCTTAGCACAAACTTACACAAGAGCTTTATGCTTCTTCTTGATTTCTTTCTCCAACTCTTTTGTCTAAAACAAATAAATGATTTACCAGCAACTATCCATTAGCATTAGCTCTAAACTGCAGAGAATACAAAAAGCTTAAGATATTTGTACGGCAACCGAAATAACAGCTTTACTCTGTGATGTAATTAATGTTTCAATCATGCAAGTTTTCGTTTTTTTGTTGTGGCCCCAGGTGAGGACCCCTTCTTGACAGAAGAAGAATATGCATAACTCAGTTACTTGGCTCTGAGGAAAAATCTAACATTTTTAAATACAAAATTTATTTCTATGCATCTTAAGTTTGTAATTTTTTTATTTACTTTATTTTTTACTGTAAGAAGCCTCCTTTTTATGCATCATAATTTTGTAATTGCCTACTGTACCTGATTGGGAATAAACTTGAATTCCGTAATGTAATCAGTTGATGCTTCATGAAGCTCTGGCTCAAAGTCACCAAGATGAGCTACAAATGTGAAATGAAATGCAATTGAACCAGTGCACAGAGACATCAAATATCCACTAATCTAAGAAAAACTTTACACTCAGAAACACAAACTTTTGAAGAGACAAAACAACAGAAGCAAAGTGTACTACAAGGATGTCAGACTGACAGAAAGTTTATGAAGAGTAAAACAACTAAATTTGACCCAGATGCATGTAAGTGAGGTTGATCAGATGATGCCATGAATTTTTTTTGGCAATTTGCAAGTTTCTACTCACAACAAACACAGACAAATTACTTTTCAAAAGGATGTTCAAAACTTACATTGCAAACTGTAGCCAGTCAAGTCAACACCAACCTTGAGTGGAACCTCAAGCCTAGAAAAAGATGTCAATCTTAAGCATACATAATATATCTTTAGTAGGAAGTAGTTTCTATTGACACATTATATGCCTGTTTACAAATTTCTCATAAAAAATAATAACATCTTAAATTAAAAATATTGCATTTTAAAGGATGAAAAACTTACTTTGCTCTGGATATATCTTGCTTAATTTGCAGAAAGAAGTGATATCTAAATGGGAATTGATAAAGCAAATTAACATGAAATATTAGCTTCCATTAACTAACACATATATCATAGATTATATTTAAACTTTTTCAATGCAAATGTAACATTTGCAGGGCTCCCAACTCAAAATTTCCATTTTGCAACCTTAACCACACAGTTAAATCTATCATTCTTAAAAATTTTAAATTATTTCAAAATGGTTTGGGTATATCTTTTTGCAACCTCCACCAATTTTATTCAAAACACAATAGAAGTTCATTACAAACTAATGATCAACCTGAACCTTTCAAATTCGCCTGCACACAATGCATTCATAACATAGAGAAAATGTCGGGACCCAAGAGATCCATTAAGATTACTGATAACTTCAAGTGCACCTCCACCAATGTCATCTACTGCATAACTTGCTCTTATTTCTTAGTGAAACAGGAAGACAGCTAGGTGACCAATTCTGAGAGCACCTTTGCAACATAGAAAGCAATGACAAGGACCCATCCAAACCAGTCACTGGACACTTAAATTTCCCTAATCTTTCTGAGCAGTTTGCAGGCTTTCCCTACATCTAGGCACTTTGGAAAGCCACAAAACTCTAGAACAAAAATTTATCTTTCAAATTGATATTCCTAATTTCCAAAGTATCAGTGAATGCTTTTCATTCAACTAATTTATTCTTGTTTTTCTCATTTCCATGTTCCCTCCGATAGTATAGCTCAATTTTCTGCATATAAACACACACACAACCCACAATTCCTACATCTGTTCTGATGATGGGCTAATGCTTGAAATGTCAGCTTTGAAACTCTCAACAGTTGCCAATTTACATTGTCAACTCAGTTGATAATACCAAATCACTTTGTTATGACTGTTAACAGTTTGACTGACTATCACAGGCAACATCTCAAACAAAGCTTAATACCAGAACAACCACGGTGAAGGAAGGAAATCTTACATAAGGTTAAGACATTTAAATGTCAATAACATTTCATGCAAAAGTCTATTTCACCTCAACTTTAGAGCATTGACAATGAAATCTCTATTATGTTCAGTTTCAACTTGTTTATTGGTTCTTGAATTGATGACCTTCTTCACATTTTCATTTCTTAATTATTTCCTTCTTGCCATGGCAACTATTGCAGCTTAGAAAGCTTGTTTGTTGCAGAATATTTACCTGGTAAGTTCCTCTGTCAAGTCTTGTGGTTCTGCAGCATAAAATCTGACTCGGAAGTGTAATGTATATGGAGGACCAACTGGAAAATAATATTAAGAATTTAATTATAATTACATATTTGCATTTGTAAAAACATTTATTATTCTTATTAAAACAAAAGATTATAATAAATAATTTGATACAAATCTTACCAGCACAAGGGACAAACATGTGACATTTACAGATTAAAACTTATCTCACAAAAAGTAGGTTTTTCTTTGCTTCTCATTTCTGAACAGTTCTGAATCACAGGAAATAAAAGGAAGAAGTGTAGAATTTCTTACTTTTGACTTGTTTCTTGATTTTTTTCATAGGATTTAACCAATGCTGTCAGGAAAATGGATAAAGTTTACATCAGCAATAAGTATTTATAATGGTTAAGAATATATGAAAGTCATATATTTACAATATTATTATATTATTATTATATTATTATTATTATTATTATATATTACTACAACTAGAATTGTAAGCTTGTTCAAGACAAAATTGTCCTATAATTACAGGGTTTTTGATAAAGCCAGTTACCAAAGGTCTACCACAGCCCATAAGAACTCTTCCTGCTGTCTGTTGGGCCTGCCAGACACTTCTCATGTTTGGGTTTTGCCTTATACAGTGCCTTCTCTGGGCACAGCCATTTATTACACTGTTGGAAGCTGCTTATGGAAAAGCTTATTGAATCCTGTGTACTTGTAAGGTCTCCATATAGATTTATCCTTACTTCACCTAGCAATGAATATGTAATATCATGTATTTGCCAAAAAATTAACCCTAACCCCAAATGATCTTTTTCTCCATTGGACATGCCCTCACCCCAGGAACAGTGATACCCACTTCCTTTCAATCAGATGAAAATTCCCTCTCAATCTAGAGGGTTCAGAAGAAGAAATAATAACCATACCGAAACTTGATGTGTGTCCATAAACTGAAGACCAAAGTAGTCTTTCTCTACAAGATCCAGGTTCTTAAAAACAAGGTCAAGAAGTTCTTGTCCTTTGGCCTTTTTCTAAAAAGTTTAAGAAGAATAATTAACCACAGTGAGCTACATGGAAGCCATTACATTCTTTTACTTGTCACATTCATACAACTTTGTTGGCTGTGGATCACAGCAGCCATTTGAAGTCAATAACTATGAAATGGCTACAACCTTGCTATAACCCAATTGGTCCCAAACTGTTATTCAAAGAATCAGTGTTGATACACATATAAGTTTGTAGTGTACCATTTCAATGACAAAGACAAATTCCTTATGATTTTCAAATAGAGGAGCCATGAAAAAAACTCAAATAAAATCTTGGTCATATTGAACTATGTCTTGTTGTCTGTAACTGTTACTTAAATTAGTCAAATGACAATCACATGTATATGTAGCCACATGTATATTAATTCAAAGCTCGCATTTGCCACTTGAACACTAAAATAAATAACTCTTTCAAAGGAAAACCTCCTTGGTTTAGTTAATAACTAAAAAACAAAAAACTAAACATGTCTTTCTGGATATTGCTTTTGTCCTGGTTATCAATTGTTCACAATATTATTACAATTGACTCCTTGATGCCTTGGACGGAAGGAAATGTGATTACTATCATACTACTTCTATAACCTAATACCAAAAAATCATGCAGTTTATTGAGAATACACAGGTAAAGAATCCATCAAAAAAACCTCAAATGCACTCTGAAACATTGTCAAGAAACCAGCTACAGAAAGATTTGGACCTAAAAGACATCTGTCTATTGAAAAGTAATTATAGGATTTTATTTCACAACTGGGCAAAAGAAAACACAGTAATCAAATTAACAAATAGTTATCAAAGATAAGGTTATGAATAAAAAGCAATAAACACACAATAATAGCGTGATTTCTCTATCCCTATCTACCTTTTGATTGACACTTTCTCTTAAATTATACTCAACATTGCTGCAATAAAATTTCAACTTCAGTGGTCTGCAATATATCACTGCGCGCAAATACATCGGTATTATTACATCAGACGTTGAAACAAGGGCACTCGTAATATTCCAGCAAAAGAATACGTCTTTTTAAAAGTAATCAGGCGCTAAGAAACGACACTGAGCCGAGAAAAAAAATTGTCATGATTCATCACGACCAACATGTTTAGAGACGGTTAAAAAAATAAACCTATGGTAAGAATCGCTTCGCCGGAACGCCCCGTTGAAACATGTAAATGTAAAGTTAAAGGTTAATGATGCTTGCTCTTGCAGAATGGAATGTCTTTTTGCTTTCGGATTATGGTTAAGTTTCCATGAGGAAAAGAAAAACAGTTTGCCAAACAGGTGGTGTGATCTCTAAGATACTTGTAAACATGAAATGTGCTCAAGTAAATTCAACGTATATTGAACTCTGCAACGACCTAGTATAAATTAAAAAACATTCAAAGACAGTTAGATCTTATCTTATAGACATACAGCCATAAAACCAACAAAGAGTCCACTGTTTTCTATATCTTCTACAAATATTAGCTCTTCTGGAACATTCCTTTCAAAACTTGACATTAAATTACAAAAGAAAAGTTTGAAACTTTACTGGCGGAAATGCAGCCATATATCATTTGCGTGAATTCGTCGAAGACAACAAATCATTTCAGTTACACGCCAAAACAAATTGCCCAAAATCGTGTCAATAATGGTAGCGTCCACCGTTCTTACTAATGTAAGCTGTTAGGAACTAATACATCATCAAAACTTACATGCAAATTGAACGAGAGATCGCTGCTATCAAGTAGAACGATGACATAGTCCAATGCATGTTTATCCTTCTTTTCTTCTTTGTCCTTCCCAAATCGTCTACGAAATCTTCTGCTTAATCTGTACATGGCAGGTGCTGAAGAGTAAGCTAGTTTCCTTTTTAATCAGGGAAACACGGCTTTGCAACCGGCTACTTCAAAATAAGGCCATCAGTTCACTTCATCTTTTATTTCTGAGTGATAAATGCAAATTCGTCGCATTCTTTCGAAAACACGCGAGCCTGCGATTTTTGGACTCATCATAATGATCGTTTTATGGTCGGTAGAGTCGTTAGGGTTCGTCGGAACAGGTCGTATAGTAGTCTTATTACACCGAACCTCTTTCTCCTCAGTTTGTGTTTTGACATTTACCTATCTAAACTTATTTGAAATTTTCAACTGAAAGAAATTGAAATTGTTTTACCCGTTGCTGTATTTATGCACACACAAGTAAAATATTACCAATCAATAATCCAATTTCCCGAGAGGTCCCCTGAGAGACTGGTCGATAGACCCGACGGTATAGTGGAGTAACCTTTTCCAAACTTCACCTCCCGTGGGATATATTTTAGCCGACGCATCATGACGCGATTAACCTCCCCGTAAAATGGTGTAGTAAAATGCATCGTGATCTCATTGTGACTTTACAGTGATTTAGAAGAAGTACAAGTTTCAGACCAGGTAAATTATGTTGTCTTCGTAGTTATTGTGAGCTAAAAAATGAGATTTCTCAGGTGCACTTTTTATGTGCACAAATGTAACAGGCTCGACTGAGGCGAGCTTGTTTGGTGCAGTAGGATTCTAGGTTAGGGGTATATATATTCTGCTGTGAAAAGAAAATAAATCTACTCATGTATCGTGACTTAAATAAGAGTCAGTTAATCGTAGAATTCATTATGATACAGACTTGTCGCTGTATGTTCATCGTTCCTTCAAGAGATGTCTAAAAACTGAAATGGACTTTAGCAAGTTTTCGTTAAGTCAGAACTAAATTGTATTTATTGTATTATTCAGAATCTAGGAACTTAGCTGAAATATGACTTTGTTCAGTAAACTGAGTCGAAAAGAAAAATCTTAATTATATTCAGTTATCTAAGTACAATAGTTTGTGGTGCTTTGATCCTCCATCAACCATGTGATTGCTGAGGACAAAACAATCATTCTGCACATAATTCACCAGGTCATTGTTGTTTGAGTTTTACCATAATTAAATGAGATTTCACCTCACTGCTTCAATACCTGAGTGCTCAGAGAGTGGATAAAGTTATTCACAGGCTAATTCATAATCTGGTAGATAGGCACTACCAAATTACTGCATGGTTGGTTTATCGACCAAAGAAAAATATCCACCTTTTTAGCTATTGGGATCAGAACAATACTTCGTACCATATTATCTGATACTGTCTCAACAGGTTGACAGAAACTGACTGATTATTGCCACAATGGCAATTTGTTCTCTTTACTGTGATTTCAATGAAACTTTGATAAGTCTTGTGTCCAAAGACACCGGTCTACCAAGATGCATCATGGGAACCATTCCACCAGCTGTTCTGCTTCTGTTGATGTTGCTGCTTGGTTTGGTTGAGTTGTTCAAGAAGAGAAGGCTACAGACTGATAATCATGGGAGAACTTTATTGCCCGATTTAGAATCAAATTCTGTGGAGGAAATTATCAGTGCACCAGGAAAATCTTGTAAATGCAGAAAGCCTTGCAGATGTGTTAAAAAACAATATGAAATGACTAGTAGTTCTATTCAGGCGATAACAAACCCTGCAGGATTTGTTCATGGAGATAATCGTACATCATTTTTGTACACTTTACAACAGTTCTTGCACATTTGTCTTGTATTTGTGCCTATAGCTGACCTCATAGTCAAAGGAACCATAGAACCACAGAGAATTCAAGGCTATGTCATTTTCATGGATGTTGCAATGTTGCTTACCTGGATGTTAACCTTCAGTGTTCTTCGTTCCCAAAGTGCAAGATATTTCAAGGCTCATGTCAGTAGACATTCCTTTGGTCTCTTGCTTTTTTGGTCATTGGCATTTGTTGTTGAGAATTTGTCTTTCATTTCATGGAACAATCCTCACTGGTGGTTTCAAAGAAGTACAAAAATTAAAGAAGCTGAATTTGGTTTGTTTATATCACGTTATGTTCTTAAGTTGTTCATCTTTCTTCTTGGATTGAAAGGACCTGGTCTTTATAAACCACTAGAAGTTCCTGTTGAGGAAGAGCAAAAGTTTCCGGAAGAATCAACGGTAATACAAGTTTTTGCAAGTGATCTCACTTTTCCTTTTGAATGTTTAAAATTCACTGTGCTTGATTGGTAGTTAATTTCATTCTGTGATTTCAAAACAGGTAAGAGATTATTACAGATATAGCCCTGATTATAGGTATCTTTATGGCAAAATATGACAGCAATTTTTTTAAATATTCTCCTTCAAGGAGACCATCGGTGTACCTTAACACAGGACAAAAATTAATTTTAAACATTACCTCATTTTCTTGTGTATGTTCTCACAAACCATTCAGATGAGTTTGTTGATAATAATTTTGTTGGGGAACTAACTTTGCTCAAGGAGCCATTTTTCTTGTTTTAGGCATTGGACCATCGAGGAGAGTCAGCTTTTAAAGGTATCTGGAAGAAAACAAAGTTGCTGTGGCCTTTCTTATGGCCCTCAGACAGGTAAAACAAAAGTTAATTAAACATGTAGCAGACTAGGTTCATCTACATGGCTTGACTCTCATACCCCTGGGAGTGACCATGAAATAATTTTTCTTAAAGATCTCAGTATGATATCATGAAGACAGGTGCTGAGAACAAGGAAAATATCAAAGCTGGGTGATGTTTTGATTTAACAACAAGAAATTATCTGAACTGACATTTAATAAACTTCATCACAGACAGCAAGAACATTTACTTCTGAGATCTTGTGATTGCAATAGTTGAGTGTTTTTGATTTTTAAACAATTTTCTTACTGGGTTAATTTTTTCACAAGGTGGCTGCAGTTAAGGGTTGTCCTGTGTTTCTTCATTCTTGGTGCTGGAAGAGCTGGCAATGTTCTTGTTCCATTCATGTACAAAATTATAGGTATGTGGACTTCATGGAATGTATCATTATTGTCAGTATTATTAACAGCAACATTTAACTTAATAGCTACTCAAAATATGGTCAAGTTGCCAGATTTATTGTATTTCTTCCTATCTGTGTTATGAGATGTGGCTGATAGGTTGTTTTCACCAAAAACTTTGACACAGAATTCCTGGTCTATCAATCAGGATCCTGATTATGTTCCTAATGACGTGTCCAGTGTCTCATTTGTCTGGGTTATATTTTCAGTGAACCGTCTCACACCTGGAAAGGAAGCAAAGATAACAGATCCATGGCACCTGATTTTGATTTACGTAGCTTTAAGGTTTTTACAAGGAGGTGGTACTGGTGGTATTGGTTTGTTGAATAACATCAAATCCTTTCTGTGGATAAAGATCCAACAGTTTACCAGCAGGACTTTACAAGTGCAGCTCTTTGCTCATCTACATAGGTCAGACTATGAAGTTCAACATACCATAGTTAGCATACTCCCAAATCAGGAGAAATCTGCTACAAAAACTGTTTAAGTACAAATTTAGCAAAAAGACATTTTCTTGTTGGAGAGTTTATCTGTATGTCTATCGTGATTGAATTTTTCTTTACTTGGTTGTGCTGAAGGTTCCTTTTTGTTGGAAAGATATCGTACATGTTTTGCAGTTGCAGGTGTAGCAGAATACAAAAAAAACATTAATTCAAAGTCACAAATGACTTTAATTGTTAGTCTTTGTGTTATAGGTCTCATAAGAGATTTTGACATAATACAGGGTGAAATTTTAAATTTAGTTTTCTAGTATATTTACTGGTTCTCATGTTTTAATTATTGCAGCCTGTCACTCCATTGGCATTTGAATCGTAAAACTGGCGAAGTTATCAGAATGGTGGACAGAGGAGCCAACAGTATTTACAACCTTTTAAAGTGTGATTTTTACTGTCATTCTTGAAGAGTCCATCAAATGTTTCTAATTTCTTACTTGAATTATGTTCAATTCTTATTAATAAATGCAAATTTTGCCATGTGAATGTTAATTCAGTAATTAAACTTAACAGTGAAGGAATATATGAAGATACAGATGTTATTACCCAGTTCTACTGCGAAGTAATGATTTATTTTTCTTCATTTTTTTATTTATTTTTTTTTCATGTTCTAGTTACCTCCTGTTTACCATTCTTCCCACTTTTGCTGATATTGGAGTAGCTGTTGTTTACTTCATTGTTGCTTTCAATGGCTGGTTTGGACTGTTGATTTTCTTGACTATGGCTTTGTACATTGGTGAGATGATACTGAAAAATGAATTAAACAATGAAGTAAAATTTGCTCTTCTATCCAATGTATTTTAACACATGCCAGTTTATTTAATGCACTAATTATTATATTAACAAAACTTTTTTTTTTCCATTCAGCCATAACAGTTCTTATCACTGAGTGGCGAACAAAGTATCGACGTGAGATGAATGAGAAAGACAATGCAGCCAAAGCAAAAGCTGTTGATTCTTTATTGAACTTTGAAACTGTGAGTTGTAAATACATCCTCACAGAAGTTTGTTATTGTCGATAGCACATTGCAATGAGAACTTAAGAATTCATAGCTTAATGCAACTTCACACGTTAGGTCACAGTCAGGTGAATGTATAATGTATACAGGCTGATGACAGGTGGTAATCTCACTGCTTTTTTGCACAATATTGCTTTGGTACTGTATGGAGAAGGTACCATTTGATGAGACTCATAAGGTAAAACTTGGGAGATACATTGGCCTTATGGTTAGTGGGCTGGACTTTGGGTAGAGGAGTGTGGGCTTGTGCTGTGGCTGGGTCATTGTATTTTGTTCTTGGGCATGACACTTTACTCTAATAGTGTGTCTCTCTACCTCAAAGTTTAAATGGGTACCTTGGAAGTGTCATGAAAACCTGTTGGGTGGCAAACAGTGATGGATTAGTATCCCATCCAGGGGAATAAGCAGTAGACTTAATCACTTTATGTTACAGAAGCTAGAATAGGCACTGGTGGTTTGGGCCACAGGCTGAAGATGATGTGTGCCCTTTCATTTTACCAGGTGAAATATTACAGTGGAGAAGACTATGAAGTAGAGAGACTGAACATGGCTATTGAAGACTATCAGGTATAAACACATTGTGACTTTCAAGTCTTCAGTTTTTGTTTCTATTCTGGTCATTCTTTCATTCCAAAAGGATACATATATGAGAATCAGTTGTCTATATATGATAACCATAAACATATTCTGTGTGGATTTATTACTTTATTTCTTTACTATTTTTTTTATAGAAGTGTGAGTGGGACACCATTGCCTCCCTTGCTCTTCTGAACACAGCACAAAACTCTGTAATCACAGGTGGTCTTTTGGGCGGGACATTGTACTGTGCCAAGTTGGTGACTGATGGACAGCTTGGGGTATGTCAGCTGACCAAACCCTCTAGAGCTTTTAGACACAAAATACCTGGTGGAATTTTGACATGAAAGACATGAAGTTAGTTACTTTGAACTGAGGAATATTGGAACATCAGAGTTCTTTAGATTATGTACATTTTAGGAAGACTTGGTGTAGAGTTTTGGTTGCAGTGCCTCCACCAACTGAGTCTTAAGCTTACCAAGCTTAATCTCAGATTTGTGTACAAATCCCTTAAAAAGACAGCTGAGAATTGTCGCATTTCTCTATAGGTTGGGGACTTTGTGTTATTTGTAACATACACACTTCAGCTCTATGTGCCTCTCAATTATTTTGGAACTTACTACAGGTGAGTGAAGAGACTACACAAACTAGTGAAGTTTGTGGAATGCAATAAGCAAGCTAACACTCAAGAGAAGCTAGAACTACAAACATTAAGAACTATTCTAAAACGGAGCTGCAATATATTTTGATAACGCATTGAAATGTCTTTCAGATAAAGGCTTTTTTATTCATATATGTACTTTAATCATTTGAGTACTGAACTAAAACAGAGCTTGTACTTTTTAACTTCAGAATGATTCAGCAGTCATTTATTGACATGGAAAACATGTTTGATCTCTTTCAACAGAAAAGACAGGTAACATACCATGAGTGGTGCCTTTACCAATTGTTATTTTGAAATTTCGTTTAGTTTGGATCCGTTCCATTCGACAGGGCGATCCTACTAATCACTTCTAACTAAAGAAAGGCGGCCACATTTCTGATGCTCGTGCATCACGTTTCTCGTGGGGAAAGTTGTCAAATTTCTGCATCTGCGTCTATTAATAATAAGCATTAAAGGTGACCTTTATGATATTTGTTTTGACAGGTACTAGATGTACCCCATGCCCCAGATCTACAAGTACCTAGTGGCCTGATAGAGTTTCGACAAGTCAACTTTTCCTACAATCCACAGTAAGTGTGCTTTGAGAAAATATACTGCAAATGATGAGTAAGAGGAATAAGGAGCCACATGTGAAAGTTGAAGTAGATTTTTACTTGATTAATGATGTCACTTTTCCACAGTCCCGCAGTGTGTGTGTGCAAGACTCTGAAACGTTTTGTAACTGATACTTATTTTTCTTTCTCGATTTGTCTTTTGTGATACGAGTATAGGGTACGACAAGAAAGTAGTTTGAATAACATTTGTCCGTGGAGATCTTTGGTCCCCTGGTGGAATCCAGAGCTGCGTTACCGATCAGTTTAGAAAAGTATTTTCCCCACCCCCCCCCCCCCCCTCCCCCCCTCCCCCCCTTCCCCCCCCTCCCCCCCCCCCCCCCCCCCCCCACTTGTGCTTGTCAACATGCTTGAGACAGAAATGCTCTGCAAAGTGGTGACTTAAGTTCTTTTTAAATCACAGAAAACAAATTCTGAAGGATGTGACTTTCACAGTGTATCCTGGTCAGACGTTAGCACTTGTTGGTCCGTCTGGGAGTGGTAAAAGTACCATTATACGACTTCTCTATCGCTTCTATGATCTGGACTCGGGAACAATCTCTATTGATGGACAAAATATCGCAGAGGTCTCTTATGTTATTTCTTACATTAACTTACAGTGTGGCCTACGTAACCCGGCCAGCCCAACCTTTATAAGCTCCCCGCTTCTAAGGCAGATAAATTAAGAAACCGCTGCCCCGGGGGGAGAGGGGGAGGGGGAGGGATGATGGTAATTTTTTATTAAGAGTCCTCTGTTCTCTTGAAAGTGCAAAACAAGGACTCGTTTGTCATAAAAAGAATTTATTGAAATGAGAATGAAACAACGTACAAACCTTCACAGTGACGAGTGCACATCCAACTGTGTCAATCATAGCTTTATATTTCCTAACGGCTGGGGAGAAACTGAAAGAGTCTTCTATTGTGGAATTCTACATACATCCATCTTTGGCAGCTTAATCCGTTGCGCGAGTCCAAAGTAATCGGCCCAAGCAAACGATTTTTCAGGGGTGCGTAAGGGGATTTGTTGAAGTCTATCTGAAGTTAAACGGCGTAAGACAAACAGCAGGAGACCTTAAGTAGTCTATTCATTTATACTAAATGAAAAACACCTCTGTCATTTTCTGCGTTCTCTCCAGGTCACTCAGAAGTCTCTCCGTAATGCCATAGGAGTGGTTCCTCAGGACACAGTCCTATTTAACAACAACATAAGGTAGTGCGGGATAACGTTACGGGAAGGACAAGTTGGGAAGGTGGGATATGAGGGAGGTGTTAGTGGAAACTTATCAATAACCATGAGAATAACAGTTTAGAAACCACCACACCAGAGGCCCTATCAAGGAAAAGTTTTGCCTCCTAGATGTTTGTCTCTCTTTTTTCGCTCATACCAGCATTTCTTGCTCCAGTGAACTGTGATTTCACAAGAACTGTGTTTTCTCAACTTGTAGCTTGGATAGTGAGTTCCCGAGAGATACTTTTCCATGTGTTTTCTGTCAGGTTCAACATTCAATATGGCAGAATAACCGCCTCTGAAACGGAGGTAGAGCAAGCCGCGGCAGCAGCCGACATTCATGATAGGATTTTAACTTTCCCCAATGGTAGGTGTTGAACAACTACATAAATAAATTGTAACACTGTTACTATTGCATGTATCACAATACCTAATAACAATCCTTTTCGTCAGGTTATCAGACAGTCGTTGGTGAGCGCGGGCTTAAACTAAGCGGAGGAGAGAAACAGCGTGTTGCAATAGCCAGAACACTGCTGAAGAACCCGCCGCTTGTTCTCCTAGATGAGGTATTTACCCTCACTGCGGCTTTAAGTCACTTTCTTCTCTTTATAACAAACAAACAAACAAACAATCGCTCACTTATGGTTTGTTTTATTTTATTCCAGGCAACCTCAGCGTTAGACACTCAGACTGAACGTAACATTCAGGCCTCACTTAACAGAATGTGCGTCAACAGAACTACAATTGTAGTTGCCCACAGGTAAGCAAAGTGAAAACATTCTGTGTGTGTCTTGTTCTTGTCAATTTTCTCTCCATAGTTCTTGCCAAGTTCACCTATTTCTGGTTACGATAAGCTTGGAACGTCAGCTTTAAAACTCTTTACGGTGACCAATTTACGTTATCAATTCAGTTGATAATACTAAAGTACCCTGTTATAATCTCCCACCCGACACAGCACCACAATTTGTTTAGAAACTTACCCCCTTTGTGGAAAATAATTTGACAGCTTTTATCTCCTTTAGATTATCCACGATTGTAAACGCAGATCAGATTCTTGTTGTGCGCGAGGGCGAGATTATCGAAAGAGGAAGGTAAAGGCCGGCATTTTTCTTGTTTGTTTTTTCTCTTTTTTTTTTTTTGGTTGTTATATGTGCGATAGAACTTACGTTGATGGTGTTTTTTCTTCTTTCTTCTTTTATTAATGACAGACACGAGGAGTTGGTATCAGAAGGCGGTGTGTATGCGAACATGTGGCTTCACCAACAGAAAGCAGAGGATAAGGAAACAGACAACAGCAATACAGACAGCCTGGAGGAAGAGAGCGGGCTGATATGAACGCAGAATTGAAATATGAAGAATTGTCTCAAGACCCTTTCTTGACAAAAACAAAAAGAAACGCTTGGTTTGGGTAAAATATAGCGGAAATAAATGAATAAAGTACATGATACAGCACCAGTGCTGGTCCAATACTTGTGCCACGCTGTGCCTATGCTTTCCCACTGAGTGCTAGCACAGTACCGATGCTGGTTTTAATATTGATAGTTGTATATATTCAGCAGCACATTATTTATTAGTGAGCTTCTAAGATGTACATGTATTTCACATCAAGTTCAAGACAACGCTTTCGTTTCCCTGACTTTTAAGTTCCTGTTACACTGAGGAAAACTATCTTGTTTATGTGAGTAAACCTGAAAATTTTTTTCCACTTGTAAAGGTCTTTTAAGTGTTGGGCGTCAAAAATATCTTTGAAATGATGACTTGGTTACTTGATAGCTTGGTAGTATAATATGATGTAACCACTTAAATTGCTGTACTGGTTTCCGTTGGTCAAGTTCTGTTCTAATTCTGTAAAATTTAAAGCAATAGTTCTTGAGATAGTGACAATATTCAAGGAAAGTCGCCGATTATCGGTTGTTGTAACCTTGTCTCACAATTGTTAGAAAATGCGAGTAACGTAACAAATAATGTTAGTTAGAACACTGCTGCCGTCAAATGAGCAGAATCACTTTGGTTTCCTCTGTCTGTGTCAAAAATGTTTGCCAATCGGAAATCTTTGCAAAGTCAAACAGATACAATAATTTTCCCGTTTGCCAAACCAAGAAGGGGGTTAGGGACTCCTCCCAGACGGCTGTTCTTTTAGTGTGATAATGGTAGGAATAAAAGGAAGGGAAACCGCTGACAACATTTTCCTCCTCTTTATTTAATACTATTTTGCACATTCATTATATTTATCCTAAGCGGATACTCCCTAAGCCAGGACGATAGAAGATTATTTTCCTACAAACACAAGTTTCAGTAATTCGTTTTCCCGTTCACTCTGTTATATTCTGACTTGATGTATGGGGAAAAGTGTAAATACTGTAATCTGAAAATTGTTTTTTTCGCTTGTTTGTTCATCCGCGTGATACTTGATCAGAAATCCCCTACAGGATTTTTCAAGGAAAGGCTTCTAGGAAGAAAATCTGTATTCGCTCTACTCTTAGAGAGAGAGAGAGATTCATTTCCTCCATGATGAATGTAAGCATTTTATTCGTAATTAAGCTGGTTAGACGTGATAAAACAACTCTCTCGGCAGTATCTCGCCGACGACACAACTCACCTGTTTTCATTTTCTATAAGTACTTTTTCTGGCTCCCAAAGAAAACCTAGGATATCCTGCTTTTTGCCTTGATAAGGTTGCCCTGCTCTGGTTTAAAGTCAAAAAGAGGCAATATAATTTTGATTGGTTCTGTCTTATAATCTATTGGAGGAAAGACGCGTAGATGACGTCGCCATTTACAACTTTTTGCGTCTTAATCATAAAATAAGTTGCCATGAATCTTTCTGTAATAGATGTGTGCCACTTTCTTGTTCTTAGCACATTGACGTCATTTGTGATCTCTGACTGAACAACTTCCCTATGCAGTTGTTTCCTAAAAACTCCAACCTCGGCTTACAGGTATCGTATGTGCCATTTGATACTCACCACGTGCGTTCGTGAGATCCGTTCAACAGGGTATTACTCGAGTCACTTTACGCCTTTCAGTCCACTTACCATAAGAAGAGCACAATATTATGAAAGATATGTTGCATGCAGTTTGAAGAAAAAGAATGAAAGGACAAGGTACACATGCGGACGTAACAAGCTGTGTCATATGGCATTATTGATGGTTGGGTTTTGTCTTAAGCTGAACATAGTGTATGCATCGCGCATATATCGTTATTCGTATTATCACTCAACAGTCTTTAGGTGAATAAGATATAGTTATAACAATTATAAATCACAAGTTTAAAATCTGTCCCAATGGATCACAAGAGCTTTAACATTTGTCTATGTTAAGACAGCTTTTCTGCTTTTTCTTGGATTGTTTACACTGATCAGGCTCATATTGTCCAGGAGAGAAGGATTATTGAAAAAACGATCACGATCTTATCCATTCCCCTCCCCCCTCCTCAACCATACTCTCTCTCTCTCTCTGAACGAGTTTATGACCTTAGATATAATTTTCATCACTCACTTGCAATAGTGGTAGAACTCAAAGAGCTTTCCTTATTTTCGCCTAACCCTCACATCTGTGGATGTGGTGCCAGCAAACATGTTAGAATGTGCTGTTATTTCATTGAATGGTTGCCAAGTGCTAATGCAACCCACTTATGCCCTAGGCGTAGTCTTAAATCTGTTAACTATAAATAGCAAAAACTTAATAGAATTTACTCATTATCAGCTAGGATTCAGTTAATTTTAGGGTGTTGATAGTATTATATACATGTGAGAAAATTTCGTTTCTAGATTAATCAAATAGGCTTTGAACGAATGAATTCGCGTTTGGGAATGAAGCAATTGCGGAAGTTTTGCCAATGTTTTGTTGTTGAAGAACATTGCGTGCAGGAAGTGGCCCACAGCCCCACTCAGACAGAGATTAGCTCATGTAAATTAACACTCGGATCCAGCTACAGGAATTTTCTAGACTCGCTCTGGTTTCCGCTTCTTGTCTAATGGATGGATGTGTTCCTTAGCAGTCCTTTAGTACCTCTGCATTACCATCTTTACGCATAACTTTCTGTTGTCCCAGTACCGCCTAGATTAGTCCTTCGCCACGTTTTTTCTAATCTGGAGGTAAATGATTTTAGGCAAAGGGTTCATTTAGCGACTTGACAGGGGTTAAGCTTTTCCAGGAACGTTTGGCAAAAGTTAATTCCATCGGAAAATTAATTTTTACTGCATATGATAGCCGGCTATGTGATAGCTAAGGGATGTTACCTTAATACTTGTCAGAGTAAAGTTAACGGTGACTGATTTTAGTGTAGTTGATAACGATGTTGTTGTATTTTTCTTTTTCATCGAAAAGTCTGCATCAGATCATGAGTAATAGCTCTAAAACACTTCTTGATATTACTCTGTCGTGAGAAAGCGCCTTTGAGAGGCTGAACATATTCACTTTTTTTGATCAGTGTAATCTCTCTTCTAAAAATCAGTGGGTTTTTAACGTTCGTTGCTTTGCTTATATGCCCAAATGCTTATTGCTGTGCGTATTACTGAGTTGATACAATCGTTGGCTGGAAATCTTACAGACTAGGTCAGTTTAGATCTCCATTTGAAACATCAGTCTTCCTTTCAGCTCTAGTAAGATTTTGTCTCCAGGTTTAGTTGAAGCAGTTGAATATCACCAAGGGGGAGGGGAGGGGAGGGGAGGGCTAATAAATTTCCTCTCAGAGGAAAATTATAAAAACGTTTTGTCAATTCTTTTGATCATCATTATTCCGTTTGGATGCGGGAGTATGCGTGGAGTCTTGGCTGAATCTTACATCGATTATAGCTGTTGACTGATCGCACATATGATACTAATGAAAAGCTATTCAGATGGCCATATTAGGAATATCTGACATCGTAATAGGATTATTACTAAGCGCCAATTAATTCCAATGATCCTGTTAATGTCGGTAGATCAGCCGTAGATAAATCACACACACCATATGAGAGTTCTTTCAGAGATTGACTTAAAATAATCCAAGTGCCTGGAGGATGAATGTAAACGTGTGATTTGTTTCAACAAATGTATTCTTGTAATGTGTAAAGCTCATTGAAGTTCCTCTCACCTTGGGGATAATTCTCAGTGGCTATTAAATTTAAACAATCAATCATCTTGGATTAGATCAATTACAGACAGGAAAATTCCAGCAGTGATTAATTTCTTTCCAGAAAATGGAGAAAAAAAAAGATAATTCGAAAAAAATGGGTATTCATATGATACAGATATATGATCAAGTTTTGACATAGCTGGCAGCTTACACTCGTGTTATAGAATTGAAGGCACGAACGAAACAAAGAGTAAGAAGTAAGCTTAATTTCTCAATATTATTAGGGTTGCTATACTCGGATTATTATAGGGTACGATTAATGACAAGAAAATTTAGTATGTTAGAGGTGCCATACTCTGTAATTCACTTATTTTGTGAGCAATCAGCGATAGCAGCTGTCACATTGCCATATTCCCACGCATGGTTTTATTTCGCTTAGCACTATCTATACCTCCAAGGTTCCTAAGCTGCATTTCCACTTTGAAAGAAATGTGAGACTAGACTCTCTGCAAAGGCTTGCAAGATGACAAGATTGAATAAAAAAGTTTTCAAGACGAGAGAGTTACCAAGCGCCACTCCTTTCTGTGGTATGCACGTACACTCCTTCGATAGGGCCGAGTTCAAACTTCACATCTGGCTGAATAAGATCAATCAGGTATCATCAAGAGCTAAAGATCGATATCCTGTGTTTATCTGCGCCGCTTCGATCCACTCAAACGATATCCCGCCGCGTTTTCTTGAAGATTAATTAATACACAATTGAGACCCATCCATGCTTCAGATGAATGAAATTTTAATCTTTGACTTCCTAAGAGGCTTTCCTTAATTTCAGTTGTCGCTTAGGAAAGATCTCTTTTGACAGAAGGAATCCTGATGTTGTCTGAAATGACCGCCGAGAAGAAAAAGATATTTTTTGTTTAAAGCTTAAAACTGTTTATTGAAAACTCCGAATTTATAACTTTAATAGTAAGGCGAAGTATAAGAAAGTTTTATTCAAGCTAAATGACCACATTGTAATTCTTTATCCTTCACCTTGACATTATGCGCTTTGCTTTTCAGAACCAAAATAAATAAGGTCGTAGAGGCCCCCTGTGCTCTGATTTCACGGCTTAACACTTCATTACTGAACTGATGATCACAAATGGATTCAAGGTCTTTAAAACAGAGATGAGAAGAAACTCACAAGCCATTACTATTCAACTGAACATCAGAAAGTCACATTGATCATCATTATTATACACTTTCATGATTCAAAATTGAAGGAAATCGGTTGGAAAGTTTACACATATGGAACAATTATGGGCTTTTTTTTCTATAATACTGACGTCAGTGACTACCAAAAAAATCACATTGCACCCAAGTAAAAACTTAAGGTATGTGAACATTTCCTTTCAGACGATCATTGAAACTTTCATTTATCCGTTGATAAACTTAAACTTTAAACATATTTTGCTCCAAATGCAATCAAATGCGTCGTAAATAAACAAATAGCGCGAATTCCGTCAAATCCTCGAATTCTGTCTTACCGACAATTTAAAGTGTTGATAACCCAGAGGTCATATCCGCGGAACTCGTGCCGTCGCTTTATGGACAAATAATTTTCGCCACTTGGGATAAGAAACTTAGTCGTTAGACACGCCTAGAAATGTGATTTCTTGACAAAAATAAATCGACCCAACGGGAGAGCTATTATCTTTTGTAAAAACACTTCCATAAGATTTTTCATTTTGGAACAGAATCTACAATCTTCCCTTCTTTGCTATGGGAAACTGTCTAATCGACAAAAATCAGAGCATTCCATGCAGTGCTCAAGGTTTTTTTTCTTTCGGTGATGCCTCAGATAGAGGGTTGATAGGTGCATGCAGAGGTTGCCCACATTAGACAATAAGATTGTTATTAGTATGTCATCAGTTCATTTTACTTATTGTTTTTATGACAATTTTAATCATCACAAATTTCAGCTGATTTGGCCTCTACTTGCTAGATATAAGACCAACGTTGGCAATCGGTTCGTTTTGTGGAGTAACCCAGCACCGGCGTGCAATCGGTCGAAATTGCTCTGAACAATTCCTGCAGACGGCGTTAAAATGAAGCTGTTGATGATGTGTTTACTTCTTACTTTCCATTCCTACCACGAAGCACTGTCGGGTCAATCTTACGAACAATATCTCTCTGATCTGGAACAGATTCATGTGCAAATGTTCAAGGAAAAACTGCTGAAAGAGCTTGGATTGTCTTCAGTCCCAAACATCTCTAAAGAACAAACACCCAAGTTTCCGAAGTTTTTTAAAGATTACCTCGAGTCGGAACTGAAAGACTTTGCTGCAAAACATACTGATTCGAACAACCTGAAGACTGGGAAGGAAGATCTGTTCTTATTTGCTAAGCAAGGTACGTTTTGTTTTAGAACGACAATGATAAAACTGTGCATGATGTAGAATTTTAAAACTATTTTAGGATTTAAAAAAAAGGCAGAAGAGTTCAAACAGAGACAGTTCTTGTTCATCTGTGACGGGTCTATTGCGTACATCTGAGGCAATCAAATGATTTTCAGAGGACACCATCGTCGCGAGTCAATTTAAGATGTCTGTTTGTAGTAAGTGGTCAATAGCTTTGATTACTAAAGCTTAGCAATGAAGTGGGCACAAGGAAATATATTGCAATTGAACTTACGTAATGAGACTGACATGCTGCAAAATGTTATGAAATATGAAGATACCTTAGATTTTGCTGATAATTTTTGCTTAAATATATATATTTCAGTTGCTTCACAACCTAATGGAGGTAGAATGAATTACATCTTCAATTCGAGATCCAGAAATTCAAATCTGATGATTAGATCTGCAACTCTATGGATTCACCTGGTAGAATCACTCTCTACAACGGTTGACAAGAAACCGAACCACAGCAACAGCGATTTGCACCTTTACAAGAAATACATATCGGCTACAGAAAATGGTTATAGCATGACAAGACAGCTTTTCCACTCCGAACGTTTGAAGGCGGCTGCTGGCTGGCATAAAGTAACAGTGACCGGTACAGTGAAAGAATGGTTCTCTCTTCATGTGGACCATGATCTCGGCTTGGATGTTGAAATGAAAGGAACGCCATCTCTGGTCATTGGGAATGTTAGCGACAACGCTACCGGGCAGACACTTCAGCCATTTCTTGCAGTCGAAGCGGAAGAGAAGCAGTCCTTAAACCGAAAGAAAAGAGATAGAGTGTTAACAAATTGCTCCACCACCGCCCCGTTGAAATGCTGCTTACACGAGTGGAGAGTTAATTTCTCCGCAATCGGCTTGCATTTCGTGCACTTTCCCAAAACTGCAACTGTTAACTTCTGCGCTGGTAGCTGTAAGTCTTCCGGTCTGTACAGGCCGTCACCCGCCGCTCGATTGAACATGCTGAAACGCCTCTATGGCCGTAGGGTGCAAGATTTACAGTGCTGTAGGCCACTTTTTATGGAAAGCGAGAGATTACTTATCGTACTTGAAAACGGAACAACTACAACACATTTGGTCTCTAGAATGAAAGCCAAATCTTGCCAATGTTCTGTTTAATAACTGGTCACGACAAGCCTAGGTACCCACTCGATAGCTGTGATGACATGGAAAATTTATGGCTATAACTTCTATGGGCTATAAAAAAAGATGTTTGGAATAACATTGGAATCTTAGAGTAGATGACCTTTCGCGTGACATTAGAGAATTTTTTTCTTTAAACAACCATTGTGTTTGTACAAAGCCCATCAGGGCGGCTGTATAGGCTATAGTTGTACTATAAAATACTATCGGGTTTGTAATTTGATTCTTTTTCCCAGAGTTATAGTGTAAAAAGAGGTTTTTGAGTCTTTTTTTCTTTTTTCATACTAATTCTCGTGTATTGTTCATGACGTATCTGTTTTTTAAGGCTTCTAAAATAAAATAATCCGTTGAGAGTCATATTGAGATATTTTTTATTTTAGAATACATCATAATAACGCTAGTATTCCATGTTTTGCTTTTCATTTTGTTTAGGTTCTTTTCTTGTTTGTGTTTTTTACCTTTTTCCAGAGGTCCAATGTCCTTTTTTTGGTTTTTTTGCTTATGGCTTGGAAATCATAACGTCTGGTAGGCATTATACACGGCCACGGAAACAAGAACGCGGCAAAACAAAACGTTTAATCAGCAGAACAATAGTTCTGCACGTCCAATTTAAACATAAGTCATTTCCAAACTTCTTCTGCCTAGCAGCCACGGTGGAAATTTGGTAACGCTGAAAACGGAAGCCTGACTTGTCTACTTGTCCTAAAGGGGAACTATGGCGCTGTTAGAGACAGTCATAGGCAACCAGCTTTTCACCAAAATCTCCAGGGGAATGGAACTTGGTTTTTTAATTGACGTTATCCCAGGTGTCGCCCTCGTTAAATTCTCAAGAGGGTCTGAATGAGGTTAACCGACTAGCTACAAGTAAACACTGAGTAAACAAGTAAACACTTACCGACTACCTTCATGGTCCGACATTATCGACATTTTCATTCAGAAGGAAGAACATTCTAGCTTAGGAGGTAGCTACTTTAGATTTAAGATTCGGTTAAATTCTAGAATTTCTTGTCATCAAATGTATTTTATGGCCGAGTAGGCATGCGGGCTCAATTCCAGAACAGCGTCCGGTACTCGAGGTTGCTCCTATGTATTACTTGACAAATGTGAATAACTAACCTGAGTTTTTAAGCATTGACTGAGATTAACCAACACAGATCGAAAATTTTAACCAACTACCGACAATATAAAGAAATTTTAGCTGACTACTGATTTGAGGAATAAGGATCTCCCCCCACCCCTCATTCAGACTCTTCCCCACTGTCATCAAGCAACCCAAAAATAAGAATAGCAAAGTTAATAATTTAATGAAGAGACATATTTTGTACTTAGCGCTCACTTAAGCCTGCTGTCCAGCGGCGTACTTAATATAAAATCTGTTCTTAGTGGTTACGAAATCAGCTTTCCAAAGTCATTCGTTGAGAGTGGATTGCAAGTTAAATTTCGGGCAAAGTCTAAGTCAAGAGTGTGGTACGTAAGTCGATGATGTTCAGTAATGTAATCACTGACATCACTACTTTTTCGTCACTCGTTTGTGTTCGTGTCAACAGATGTCAACCCTTGCCAGCTCTCTACCAACGACTTTTCACGACATAAATATCACAAACGAATCAAACAGAGCGACCTCACTTTACTGACAATCCAGTTTTCGTGGTTTGCTGTTTTGATTTGGAAATCTTTTGACCCAGTCGTATTGGACCTATCAGACCTATCAGAAAATTATGGCCCTCGCAAAAGAAGAAAAACAGCAAACTGATTTAGTATTAAAATTACCGGTTGTTGGACCACCTTGGTTGTATAAAGCCAATAGACCGCCCTTTCTATCGGTTTACCGGCGTAATAACTTGCGCGGGATGTTAGGAGAACACATAACGAACTTTTCGAGTTTTCTCCCAACATCCCAAGTGGGTTATTACGCCGCTAAACCGATAGAAAGTGCAGTCTATTGGTCTGATAAGTACGGGTTGACCGTTGTAATAGACGATAGGTTTTGGCCAATCATGGCGCTCGTAGTATCTCAGTTACGTTATAAAATTGGATCCGATCAAATCTGGTCAGGTGACCTGCTAACACTGAGACAGCAGCTGGGGGAGAGAAGAGATTGGTGAGAGACAGGGTAAGTCTTACGCGACCCTTTCCCCCACGTCCAGAGGATTAATCTGCGTTTTTTTCGGCCCCAGATTCCTCAGATCGTGGGACAAAAAACCAGGGGCTAACTGATACAATCCTCCTCAAAATGAATTTCTTTCAACCTCCTCCTCCTCAAGATGAAAACAAAAAAAAATTGAAACTGGATTCTAATGTCCGTTTGTAAAAGGCGCAAACAGTTCACTGATCCGGCTTTCAAAAAACCGCAGAGTATATCGTTGTCTCCCAAGCTCTCCGCCCCAGATTACAACGTCGTTAGTATAGCCTCGTCGACAATTGCCTTTGTCATGTTTCCACTTGTCACTTGCTCAGTATCCGCTTGCGGCAGATAAAACAACTTATACCAGGTATCATCTACCCTTTGCCCTCTACGTTCCTCAACCTCACGAACGGAATGAATTACTCACGAATCGTAAAATGAATGATCATCCATTTGACGTTCATAAAGGAGCTGCACACTACCACTTCCCTCGCTTTTATACAAGAGAAAACCAAACAAACAAAAGACAGTCCTCTTAGCAAAAACCTACTTGACGTTCCTGTTTATGTGAAGAAGAAAATCCAAACAAATTTATCGAAACCACGACAAAGAAAATAGAACATACAAAAGAACAAGGTATTCATGACGAATGACCTCACGTAGGTGGCTGCTCGGCCAACAGACCAGACAGTAATTCTTTGTTCCTTAAACTGAATAAGTCATTTATTTTAATTTCATTTAATCATCTATCTAATTACCTTTTTTTATTCATTATTATTGAGTATTGGGGGTGGCCTGTAGAAGTCTCTCTGCATTAAGAAAACAGTTGATATGCAACGTGCACTATTTCTGGTCGTTTATGTATGAAATAATCCTCTCGTGATTATCAATGTGCACTCCGCACAGGAAACCACGGATAGAGGCAAAGGGGGATAGAGACCCTGGGTACACGTTGCAACTGCGTCATGCGCATTTCCTCTCAGCCGAGGGATAGTGTACAAGTAAACTTATTTGATCCGTGATGCATCAATTTCGGTAGTTGGCTCGGTTAGAATCAGAAATAATGTCTACTCTTTGTGGAGCAGCTTCAGAGTATAAAGGTACTCACTCTTCGCTCGACAAAACCATCAATACTCTCCTTCCTTCTCCTGTCTGCCCCCTCCCCTTCGGCTAGTTGAGTTTAGATCCTCTTGCTTTAATGGCTAAGCAATTCACTCTCAGATCTCATAAGGAATTCTCCTTAGTGTCTGCCATACAATTCTCATGATGCAAATTCGGAGAATTTGGAATTGGATCAACTAACAATCTCACAATCGACGTTTTTCTTCATTCTCATTACTTGTCTGCTGAATATTGTGTTGGTATTGCAAGGAAAAATTCTGCCTTGGTTACTCATGGGAGTTAAAATATAGTGTCATGACTGACATGGCTAAAAATAGTTCGGATTAAGTTCTTGCTCGTGTTCTGCCGGTTGGTCGAAACAGATATTTGATACGCATGCAATCAACACGGTTTATTTTCGTGATCATCCGTGAAACAGTGGATGTGGAGGCTGGCCACTTCTACGTGCTTAAAAAATTTTTTTGTCTTTTGTTTTACTAGCGGAGCCTTCTTAAATCATTAACGAATAAGCTGCGAGAAAGAAATTGTAATCACCACGGAAATACGTAGCCATCAACTGCAGCCTCTAACAGTCAGCAAATTATTTGTGACTTCACTGCGTTTAAGACATGAAACCTCGTCACCGGATAGGCACAGTTGAACCTGGCGTAAATAATATAATTTTCGACGCCCCCTGAATACGTCAACATCACATATCAAATGTAGTGTTGTCACAGTGAGCAAAGCCATTAGACTTCAATGGAAAACATTTCTTGGAGAAAAAAGAGAACATAAAAAATAGTTGTCTTATTAATACCTGTTCTCTGAGGCGACGATATCTTTCCAGCTCAACAGGTAAGCTAAGCCACTGTTTAATGTAATCAAACAAGTCATGTTCATTAAAATTGTACATGTGGTAGCATTCGATAAATGCTATATTAATTGAGTTTTTTTTCCCTCCCACGCCTAAGATGGTATCAAATGAGATAAAGCGAAGGTCAAAACTCGTTGAGTTGGGGAAATTTTATATTTACCAATGCAACGATGAGATAAATTTTTCTCTGGCCTAATGATTTCTACACTTCCCATGCTTTGCCTTCATCGGAATTTTTCTTTCCAATGGTGCAAGGACACAGTGATGGGGATGATTATCTCGATCGAATATTAGATGCGGGAGATGTTACTAAATCGAAACTTAACTTCTATCCAATTAATCGATTATGTCAGCTTCAACCCCGATTACTATGTCACTTCAGTGAAATAGCTTTCTATTAAAAGGAACAGTTCAGTAGCTATCCATTATAAAGATGTTGCGAAATCATCTACCTATGTGAGGCAACCCGCCGCACAATCTTGCCTCTGATTGGTTCGCGGAATACAAAAACATCTCAAAATCGGACCACAAATTTGTAACTTTTTTTAATTTTAGATTTGACTGCCGACCGGAAAATCAGTCATAACAACATTTTCGAGCACTTGCGGGTTTTCCTTGTTCAACAATGCTGCATAAATTGTTAAAATCCGTTGTTCATATGAAATATTGTGACACGGTGAATAACATTACATGGGTTCGTGAAGATGCCAATCTGTCACATGGTTAATTGTAACCAATGATACCGCAGAAAATGTGATTGCATAACCTGTTCAAATGACACATGTCATGGGGTCACGTGATCTTGTTACACCGGCGGCACGTGGCCTTGGCTTTCGCTACGCTTGAAGCTCTATTTGAGGTCAGGATTTCGCATAGCTACGGGATTTTTGCTTCACTTTTTCTGTAATTTCTGCAGCTTCCAGCTGTTTGAGGTGTTTTGCAGTAGTTTTAAGTTGTTTTGTGTTCGAACCGTGTAGTTTCTGAATTTTTTTTTCTGCTTTCGATGGTAGGCCATTTGAGGCGGGCTTTG